TTGCTCGGGTAGTGCAGAGGAAGTTAGCTAATATAGGCTATAGCTTATAATTAAGTCGCAAGGTTATAGCTAAGTTACGAAATTAAGGAAGGATTAAGACAGTTACATTATTTAAGCACTATTTTGTTATTTTTATCCTATTTTCCTATCGATTAAGCAACGCTCGCAAATAAGATAGCTAGATAATAGTCGATTAAGTAACGCTTATAAATAAGAGGGCTAGATAATAGAGGTTGTTTTATAGAGCCTTAGAAAAAACGTTCTAGCTTAAAAGGATAGCTAACGCTCTAAGTAATGCCTAACTATAAGGAAATTTTATTAAGCTACCTAACCTTACTTCTTTAGCTTATATCTACCGAACTGCTAAGCGTTCTTCTTAAAATCCACTATTAAGGCCGCCGCCTATGCCTATAAGAACCGGATCTAAGGCGTATTCGGATCCTAATAGTCGTCTAAGGCCGCCTACGCCCTCGTATACAAGCGGTTAACGGTATCCTAAAGCGATCGCGTAGAATTAGTGTTCGCTATATAAACACTCGTTAAGTAGCGCTAGAACGTCGTTATACGCTCTTAGATATTACTCGAAGTAATAGGACCCTTAGGCCCTATGTACTTATCGCTAGGACTATTAACTAGTAGCACTTAGTTAGCACTTAATCCGATAGCACGAGAGAAGAGGTTGCTTAAGCCGAAAACTATTAGGCCCTAAGAACGGCCGACTAGCGGAGTAACCTTGCTTAATTAAGGAGCGTTTACTTAACCTAGCGGATAGATTCTACTAGGGCCGGAGCAAGTAATCTTAAGAGAGAGGGCAATTACCTACTATAATCGTTCCTCCTTATCCTTCTTAGTTAAGTCTAGGATCTTAGCTTCTTAGATGCCCTATAATAGCTACTAGCTTAGACTGCTATTCTAAGAAGAACTAGAAGTACTAGATAATCTCGTCTTAGTAGAAGAGATAGAGATAATCGACACCTCTCTACTCCTAGTATTATTAAGCTAACGACGCCGAGATACCGGAGTAATAGAAGGGCTAGCTTAAGGCTTCTTCTTAGGAGTCTATATCTTCCTGCTCTTAACTATAGTTTAGTCGGCTAAGTTACACTCCTACTAATAATTGCCCTAGAGATAATTACCGTAAGCTCCCTACTTAAGTCCTCCGTAACGACACTCCTTAAACGGGCTAATCGTACGGGTCTTACGACGGTATCTATAAGCCTGCTTAGGCGCTCCGCCTAGCGCTTAAGAAAAAAGAGAGCCTACACGCTACTATAGTAAGTAGTTAGGTATATAGCCGATATTCGTGTTCTATTCGATAGTACGAAGGTCGTCTAGCTAATATTAGTATAAGGCYTCGATAATAGCGCCTAGCTTATAGATTTCGTACTTCTTAAGGCGCTCTTATAGCCTAACGCGCCTATTAAGAAGGATTAGGATAAATATTACCTTACGCATCTAAGTATCGGTAATRCGTAAGAAGCCTAGGATACTATCTAAGCTTATCGTACTCGGCTCTAAGAGAGTTACTAACCGTATAAGTAGCCGCTCCGAGGTAGCTACTAGATTAAARCYRCCTTAACTACGAGGCCGAAAGACTAAGAGACTATCGTATTACCTACGAAAGCTTCGGGGGAAGTTCTCTAAGGAGCGGTTTAAGAGGGGATTAAAGGACGATATCTCCTTATTTCCCTTACGAAGGCTTGCCTTACTTACTTAACTACTAACTTAATCGAACCCGAACTTCTTATATTCTATACGAGTAGCTATCGCTACTACCGGAATTACGGGCACTAGCTTCCGCTAAACGCTTATACTACGGCTTAGAGTGCTATAACTAGGAGATTAAGGACTTAAAGCTTCCTTAATCGCTTATAGTTCCCTCTCCTTCCGGAGATCCGCCTTAGAGAGACTTAGACGTAGCTTAGAAGTCGCCTTACCTAAAAATAAGCCTAGAGTAGCGCCTAAGTTATAAGAGCGCAGAGAGCGCCTTAAGCTTATAACGATATCGCTAGTATTCGCCGTAGGTCGCTTTTCGAGTAATTTCGCACTTAGAGTAACTAGCGGGTCTTAACCGTTACCCTTCTTGCCCTTATCGCCGTCGTCGCTCTTCTTAGATCCCTTCGCCTAGCTACGAGTTATACGCCTATCGCCTATAGCTTCTTAATATATATAGCTAGTATAAGAGAAGACATATATAATAAATAGAGGAAGGGGAAGTATTAATTAAGGGACTTAATTAGGGAAGGGGAAGATAGATATAGATACGGAGGAGAAGGTTAGTAGATTAAGAAGGCGAGTTAATATATACCTTAGCGGCTCTTAAGCTGCCGGATATACGTTACGCCTCGACGCTCCCGCACCCCGTATACTACTCCCGCTCCGCTACGTTATAACTACCTACTTAAGCCGAAGTAGCTAATCGTATATACTATATACGTACTACTCTAAGCCGCTAGCTATATAAAGGATATAGCTTATAGCAAGGCAGAAGTAAACCCTACGTCTAAGCCTTTTACTTAAGCGATAGGGCTCTATAAAATAACCTATAGGGACCCCTTAGGTCTCTTAARTAACTCCTATAGTTTTAAGGGTAAAACGACTTAGTAGGGGAGGATGTTCTTAAAGTCTCTACTTAAGAACTAAGCATATATGCCTAAGGCTTAAGTAGCCACGTAACTTAGGCAGGACTATATAGCCGAGGAATTTTCCCTTAAGTAAATTCAATTAGAGAATTCATCCATTTTAGAACATCTGCTAGAAACTCAATTTGGTTGTCACTCTCCTTTGTCTTCACCATCGACATCTCTCCCCAAGCCTATGGCGCCCCATGTCCCACGGGTTCGTGCCACGAGTTCCCCTCTCGGAACACTATGCGTCATGTTTGACGGCACTATACGAAGCGCTTATAGCCTGTCATCTCATCTCATCTGCGCGAGAATCTATCTTTGCCGCAGAGCAGTGCGGCTGATGCAACGATAGCCGGCAGTCTGACCACAGTGCCGTACAATCAGCCCCAGCCTGACAGCAATGGATGAGTACTCCTACTCTGGCATACTCCCTGCCATTAGATTTTCTTTCACTCTCAAATTTGTCCTACAGAACAAGATTACTTCAGGTTAATGTTCCGGCCTTTGCGCTCTTTGCGTGATGATCAACAATGTCTTTGAAATGGACGGCACTTGGTGACACAACATCATGGGCTGACTGTGTACCGCGGGTGGAAAGGGTACCGGGCGTCTTGCGTTTCGTGGAGCATAAGCTCATCTTCTGTTCATTTGACCCCCGCGATTCTAATGTCTTCGAAAAAACCGACGAGCAAAGAGTAGCGGACTCCGGCCTTCTTTGTAGAACAACCACCGTTACCGCGGATTGATACAGACGACAAACACGAAGGAGGGTCAGCAACGGACACCATCTCGAGCACAGCTTCAAGTACGCCATCACTGTACCCTGATGAGCTTACGTCTGATACAATTCCGCAGAGACGACTCCTGATAGTGAAGATATGGCTACGTCTATCATGACAACCCCTTCATTCTACTCTACGTCCACAGTTCACGTGTCCAACGCATCTGCGGCATCGGAAATCCAGACGAGCGCTACGCAAACACCGCTGGCATCCAGCACGAATGACAAGGGGTCAAGCAATGGTCTGGGTCGAGGAGCGAAGGTTGGGCTCGGAGTAGGGTTTGGCCTTGGTGGACCACTTCTGATCCCGCTCGTCGCATCTCTCTTCTTCTTTCGCCGAAGGAAGCGGCAACGGCGTCTCCAGATGGCTCCAAAGCATACGCCTCACGCACAGTCCGAGCTATCAATGGTCGATTCAACATATCCGTTTCCCGCAGGCCCACCACGTTCCGATCGACAGCCTCCAGACTTTACCGTTCGAAACAGCCAGGCCTACTTCGATCCTCCGCCGCCGTTGGTGGGTMGCGAGTCGTTTGAGGCGACTATGAGTGCTGTCACGCAGAAGGATGGATATGATCAACCCGAGCAACGAGATTTGCAGCAGCCATTGTCTTTGCTCATCCCTGGGACCGAGGCGAAGTCTTTGCAAACAGGGGAGCTGTCGCCTCTCCGTAATGGGTCACCAGTGTCGCCAGTTTCGCCAGTCTCTACGACTGTGCCTGCCGTCAATCGATCGCTTTCTTCGAGAAGTTGTCAGTAGATCCTTTGTTCGCGGGTAGATCAGTGTCGTTTAAGKGAGCAAGCACATCGAGCATCAGCGTCAACTGCTATTACAATTGCATGCAAAACAGCAAACCAGATGAAGTCCATGTCCTGCAGCTTAACTGCTCGGAAGTGTAGGGAGAGTGCGGCAATGACAGCATATAACACAATGGAAAAATTCGCTGCGTTCATGACTTCCCGCATTGTCTTGCTAAACACAGAGCTGTGAAGCATAAATCGGGTGCTGCGGCTGCGACGGCCTTGGCGATGCTCGAGCACCCTTCATCTGACAAGCCAGTGGGGGACAGAGACAACGAATGAGGTAATCAGATCCACGATCATCTTTCAGGGCACGTGGTTGGCTGGCAGCCCTACGGTGCGATTTCTCAAATCTGGCAAGGACTTGAATGTGGCCACAAGATACGAGTCGGGGCATTTGTGGTTGCGGCATTCAAGAGAGCGTTGGAGAGCGATTGACGTAAATCCATTAATGAACATTCGGTGGGCGGTGTGTGAAGAAAATCTCGCTTATCATCGGACGAGCCATCGTTATCGGGGTCGGCAGGATCTGCAGCATGGAAGCATCGGCCTAACGAAATCTCGGGGTCTGTCTCCAGAAGTTTGTGTCTGCAGCAGGATGAGCTCGATTTGTTCCTTCTTTCCCTCACCCCGTACTTCATCAACCACCTCGCAACTCTCAGGGCCGGTGTGGAGTTACTGACTCCAACTGCCTCTTCAATATTCATCCCCAGAGTTGAGGTGCAAAGGACAATAGCGGCCTTGGTCCCAGCGACGCCACAGCTACACGACACCTGCATCCGCCCTCCACCATGTCTGTGACAGCTCTGCGCCTCCGCGCCCAATGGCTGGCCACACGTCGTCCGCTGTCACCGCGATGCCTCTTGCAGAACCGCCCAGCTCCCACTCGCTGCATTACGGCATCTCGAGCTTCAACACCTCAGCTCCAAATTCGCGCCCAGCACACAACCACCCGAGGGTTTCACTCCAGCACGGCCGCCGATTCCGACCCAATCGAATCCAAGGCAACATACGACAATGACTCGTTATTCGCACCGCTCGATACATTCGCCCGCCGTCACATTGGTCCTACGGCCGAGACCACCGAGCAAATGCTCAAGGTGCTGGATCCACCCGTGAGCAGCTTGGATGAGTTCGTCAAGCAGGTCTTACCCAGCAACATTCTCTCCAAGAAGAACCTCAAAGTGGAGGGCCCTGTGCCCGAGTCGGGCTCCGCATCGATCGAGCAGGGCGGCTACTCCGAGAGCCAATTGCTCACCCGTCTGCGAGAGATTGCCGGCGAGAACAAAGTCTACAAGAGTTACATTGGCTGTGGATATGCTGGCACTCGCGTCCCCGAAGTCATCAAGCGTAACATCCTGGAGAACCCTGCGTGGTACACCAGCTACACTCCATACCAGCCGGAAATCAGCCAGGGTCGGTTGGAGTCCCTGTTGAACTTCCAGACAATGGTATGCGATTTGACGGGGTTGGCCATTTCCAACGCGTCCGTTCTGGATGAGCCGACTGCTGCTGCAGAGGCGATGACTCTCTCCCYCAATGCTCTCCCTGCAGCTCGCGCGAAGCGTCCTAACAAGACCTATCTCGTTTCCCACTTGTGCCATCCTCAGACAATCGCCGTACTAGAGAGTCGTGCACAAGGATTCGGAATCAAGATCGAAGTCGCGGATGTTCTCGCGAATAACAGCCAGCGCGTGGATGAGGTCGGCCAGGATCTGATCGGTGTTTTGGCACAATACCCAGACACCATGGGAGGCGCTGAGGATTACAGACAGCTGGCGGATAAAGTGCACGCATTGCAAGGAACATTTGCAGTGGGCACTGATTTGTTGGCATTGACATTGCTCACTCCACCGGGTGAATTCGGCGCTGATGTTGCGTTCGGGAATGCGCAGCGCTTTGGTGTTCCGTTCGGCTTCGGTGGTCCCCACGCCGCTTTCTTTGCGGTGAGCGAGAAGCACAAGCGCAAGATTCCAGGACGCCTCATTGGTCTTTCCAAGGATCGTCTCGGAGACAATGCCGCCCGTCTTGCTCTGCAGACTCGTGAACAACACATTCGTCGCGAAAAGGCCACGAGCAACATCTGCACAGCCCAGGCCCTGCTGGCCAACATGAGCGCCATGTATGCGGTCTACCACGGTCCTGCTGGTCTCAAGCGGATCGCGGAGAAGGTCGCAAAGATGGCGCAAGTGTTGGCCAAGGGTCTGGAGAGTGGTGGTCTCGAGGTGAGGCAACCAGTAGCTTTCGACACTGTCGTGGTGAAGAAGCCCAACGCAGCCGCATTCGCAACCAAGACTGCGCAGAACTTCATGACCAACTTCCGCGTAATCGACGATGATCACATCGGTATCACCGTCGACGAGACCGTTGGCAAGAAGCAGATTGAGGAGATCTTCCGTGCTTTTACCACTGATGCCATTGACGTTGAAAAGCTCGCTGAAGATGTCACCGCCACTGGCAGTCTTGCGGAGCCATTGAGACGTACCTCTGAGTACCTCACACACCCAGTCTTCAACTCCTACCACTCCGAGACAGAGATCCTCCGATACATGTACCACCTGCAGTCCAAGGATCTTTCCCTCGTTCACAGTATGATTCCTCTCGGCTCTTGCACGATGAAGCTCAACGCCACAACTGAGATGGTCCCAATCTCGTGGCCAGAATTTGCCAACATTCATCCATTTGCTCCCAGCGACCAAACCAAAGGTTATGCAAAGATGATCGGTGAGCTCGAGGCGGATCTAGCTTCTATAACTGGCTTTCACTCAGTCTCCCTTCAACCGAACTCGGGTGCTCAAGGAGAGTTTGCGGGGCTCCGCGTGATTCGGAAATATCAGGAAGACCAACCTGGCAAGAAGCGCGACATCTGCCTGATCCCTGTCTCAGCCCACGGTACCAATCCTGCATCTGCTTCAATGGCGGGTATGCGTGTGGTGACGATCAAATGTGACAACATCACTGGTAACCTAGACATGGCCGATCTTGAAATGAAGTGCAAAAAGTACAGCGAGGAGCTCGGTGCCATCATGATCACCTACCCATCAACCTTTGGTGTGTTTGAGCCCAAGGTCAAGGAGGCCTGTGACCTCGTTCACAAGCATGGTGGCCAGGTCTACATGGATGGCGCGAACATGAATGCTCAAATCGGTCTCTGCTCTCCGGGCGAGATCGGAGCAGACGTCTGCCATTTGAACCTTCACAAGACCTTCTGCATTCCTCACGGTGGAGGCGGTCCAGGTGTTGGTCCTATCGGTGTGGCCGAGCACCTTTCCCCATATCTTCCGGGACACCCTCTTGTCGCGAATGTAGGTGGTAGCAAGGCTATTGCTCCCATCTCCGGAGCGCCGTGGGGATCCGCCAGCATCTTGCCCATCTCATGGGCATACATCAAGATGATGGGAGCTCGCGGTCTTACCCACGCCACCAAGATCACCCTCCTCAACGCCAACTACATCATGTCTCGTCTGCGACCACATTACCCAATCCTCTACACCAATGACAACGATCGCTGCGCACACGAGTTCATCCTTGATACTCGCAAGTTCAAGGAGACTGCTGGTGTCGAGGCCATCGACATCGCCAAGCGTCTACAAGACTACGGCTTCCACGCACCAACCATGTCATGGCCTGTCGCCAACACCCTCATGATTGAGCCCACGGAGTCTGAGAGCAAGAATGAGCTTGACAGATTCTGCGATGCTTTGATCAGCATTCGTAAGGAGATCGCACAGGTCGAGWCCGGCGAGCAGCCGCGTGAAGGAAATGCTCTCAAGATGTCACCACACACGCAGAAGGATCTGATTCTCAGCAAGTGGGAGCGTAGCTACACTCGGGAAACTGCTGCCTACCCTCTTCCTTACTTGAAGGAGAAGAAGTTCTGGCCAAGTGTAACGCGATTGGACGATACTTATGGTGACATGAACCTTTTCTGCAGGTAAGGATGAACACCTAACATTAATGATGAGTGATATACTGATTTGAATACAGCTGTGCACCAGTCGAGGCAATCGATGGTATGACGGGCATCGCGGCTCCGATGCCAACATAGACTTCAACTCTATGGCATATTTWCAACATGAATACAGTGGCTTTTCTCCTGCGGGAGTGGGAGGGGTCTTCAACAGCGTTCAAGCGAGGCGTATGGATAACAGCCCTTGGGATAGTGGCACTGAGCATCTCGAGATGGGATCTTGAGATGACGACGATAGATGGATGGGATTGTACTTTGCAGATAACAGAAGACGGACTTGTAAGTGAGGACCACGATCCAACATGTGGTTGAGTAGGAACATTGTCATTCCACACTATACCATGATTCAAACTTCTTCCTCGTCGCTTCGAACACATGGCATCGATCGACAGGTACACAAGCATCCCCCGCAATCTAGATCCAAATCAGACTAGGCGCGGGGCGATGGCGCACTCCCCACCAAAAGCCGATGCCCGCAGCGTCATCACAAGACCGACAGCCGTTAAATCATATGTGACATGCCAAGCGAAGAGACGAGAAAGGCGTAGAAAGAGTGTACAAGTCGGGCCGATGGTGACCATGTTGTGWTGATGTACTGCTGACTGCATGCCCAACTCTTCCATCTCCTCTTCCCTCCCGACGTTTGCGGTTTGCTTTGCGCTGTGCAACAACAAAGGCCAGAATAGCAGAGTTTGACTGGTTGGATCAGTCACCGCGCCTGCCGGATAGGTGAGTGTCCCGAGTCATGCAAAGGTATCTTTTCTTCACGCAGAACTGACGAACAAGGATAGAAAACATGCTGCTTCCCGCAATCTTCATAGCAGCGCTCGCGGGCCTTGCGCAGGCCAAGATATACAACACCCGGTTCAATGGAACCACTTGGGACGATGAGAGCTGGCGCATCACTACCACTGTCCTCGATCAGGGACACTATCAATCTCGCATGTCGCTGGCAAATGGATATCTAGGCATCAACCTCGCAGCTGTGGGACCGTTCTTCGACTACGACGAGCCGGTGAATGGAGACAACATCCAAGGCTGGCCACTTTTCGACAGACGGCAGAGTTTTGCGACCATCGCCGGTTTCTGGGATTCGCAGCCTACCACAAATGGAACCAATTTCGAGTGGCTGAATCAATACGGTGGCGAGAGCGTCATCAGTGGGGTGCCACATTGGGCTGGTCTGCACGTCCAGGTTGGGGAGGAGGTTTTGGATGCGAAAGTGCCTGCTGACCAGATTTCGAACTTCAACTCAACTCTCGATGTGAAGCATGGCGTGCTATACTGGAACTACGAGTGGAAGCCTACCTCCAGTCCCGCTATCGCTGTGGAGTACTCCATGTTTGTGCACAAGCTGCATGTCAACATCGGCGTTGTGCGAGTGAGGTTGACGGCCTCGGAGCATGTCAATGCTACAGTCATTGATCTCTTGAATGGTGACTGTGCTGTACGATCCACGTTCGTGGACAAGGGATATTCTCCTGAAGATGCTGCGGTTTGGACTGCAGTTCATCCCGATGGCCTACCAGACATCAAAGCCTACATCAGCTCAGCCTTGATTGGTGACGAGTCTTGTGATGCGGCTAGCCGCAAGCAAGTTGATGTGGAATCCATTCTCGGCGGCAACAGCTCTTCGATCGCACAGTCCATGTCTGTCGCGCTCGTTGGAGGACAGCCTTCTTACATCACCAAGTATGTTGGTGGGGCATCCAGCGATGCATTMGACGACCCAAAGTCAACAGCATCGGATGCTTCAATGAAAGCATGGAAAGAAGGGTACGACTGTTTGCTCGCGACTCACTCCGAGGAATGGAGAACTGTCATGCCGGACGACAGCGTGGATGACTTCCGCGATACGGATGGATCTCTTGACTTCGACCAGGACGTCCTGGAACTTCACATCACTGCAAGAACCAACCCATTCCAGCTTCTACAGAATACAGTCAGTGCGAATGCTGTTGCTGCCGTCGGGAACAACGCAAAGATCGACACAAACAGCATCAGCGTCTGTGGTCTTGGGGGCTCATGCTACGCGGGCCTCGTCTTCTGGGATACTGAAGTCTGGATGCAGCCCGGACTGGTAGTATCTTTCCCTCAAGCGTCTAAACAGATCGCCAAGTTCAGAGTCGAAAAGTATCGACAGGCCCAAGCTAACATCTTGACTGCCTATCAATCGAGTCAGAACGAGACTGGCAAGTTCTCGCCATCTGGAGCAATCTATCCATGGACTAGCGGACGCTTCGGCAATTGCACGGGAACTGGTCCCTGCTTCGACTATCAATACCATTTGAACGGAGACATTGCATTGGAGTTTCAAAACTATTGGATTGTGACTGGAGATACCGAGTACTTCCAGAAGGAGTTGTTTCCCATCTACCAGTCCTTCGCATACATGTACTCTGAGCTGGTGGATTTCAACAAGACTACTGGTTTGTACGAACTGTATAACGCTACGGATCCGGACGAGTACGCCAACTTCCAGAAGAATGTCGGATTTACCATGGTGTTGATGTCAAGCCACTTGAATAGCACCAACGAACTCCGAGAGAGGTTTGGCATGGAACCCAACGCTACCTGGACGAACATTTCATCTTTGATCACAATCCCCGTTTCGAATGAAGCCAACATCATTCTTGAGTATGYCAGCCAGAACGGTAGCATCACGGTCAAGCAAGCCGATATCGTTCTCATCGATGACTTCCTACAGTACCCCAATCCATACTCATTGAGCAACTTGGACTACTATGCAAGCGCTCAGTCTGCGGATGGTCCTGCCATGACATATGGTGTTTTCAGCATCGTTGCCAACAGGGAGAGTCCGTCAGGCTGCTCCTCGTACACCTATGATTTGTATGGTTCGCAGCCATATACACGCGGTCCTTGGTTCCAGTTCAGCGAACAACTCATTGATGACTGGACTGTCAACGGAGGCACCCACCCAGCTTTTCCTTTCTTGACTGGTGTTGGAGGAGCCAACCGCGTGGCCATCTTCGGATACCTTGGTCTTCGATTGTCGATCGATAGCTTGAACATCGACCCATCTTTGCCACCGCAGATTCCCAACCTGTCCTATCGAACAATATACTGGCAAGGATGGCCTATCAAGGCTGTGTCAAACTCCACCCACACTACCTTGACTCGCCTTGAAGGCTCTCTTCCAGAGGCCAACAGCACTTTCGCTGATACTGCTATCCCTATCACAGTATCCCTCGAAGGCACTGATCTGTACATGTTGGAGCCGAAGGGCACTTTGACGATCAAGAACCGTCAGATTGGAGAAACAAAGACTGTACCAGGCAACCTCGCGCAATGTCGACCTGTGACGACCGAAAATGATTACGTGCCAGGTCAATTTCCCCTCAGTGCTGTTGATGGAGCAGTTAGCACTTCCTGGCAACCATCCTCCGCGAACATCACCTCTTCCATTACAGTCGAACTACCACAGCCATTCACACTCGTGACGGGACTCTACTTCGATTGGGCCCAAGATCCACCCACCAGTTACCGCGTAACATTCCACAATCTGAGCGATACCACTTCCGTACCTCCCGTGGAAGTTTCTTCCAGCGACAATGTACGCATCAACGAACCTTTTGATGTCGAGCAAGCTTTTGTCATTCGTCCATACAGCTCCAACTCTACCAACGTCACGTTGGACCAGCCCATATGGAGCGCGAGATATGCGACGCTGTCTATCACTGGCAATCAGGCGAATAAGGGAACAGAGAATGAGAGTAATGGTACCGGAGCTACAGTCTCTGAGTGGGGATTGATTGCTGCTAGGGGAGAGGATTTGGTGGTGAGGAGTATGCTGGTTTGATTGCTTTGGATTTCAACTGTCAGGATAGCAACGACTTGTCAGTTTTCTCGGCATCTAGCATCGCAGTCGAGAGTGTAGAGGTATACAGGACTTAGTACATGCAACGAGCACTAAAAGTTATCCGTATTTTGAGTTTGAGCTAACCACGCAATTCTACCATGGGTGACCAGGGGATTTGCTTCAAGCAAATCCTTCATTTCGCACCTTAGGGACAGACTCGCCTTCATCCTTCAAACTCGTTACAACGGAGTCTTCTCACGATTGGTAGAAGCCGCCATAATCCCGCTCATGAGCGGTGTCTTCCGTCACATGATGGAGAGCCCATTTGGTACAAGTGTTCTGGGTGGAGAGTTGCCCTATCAATCACTTCCCTGAATGCGAACTAGCATCACGAGTTTTCCACCTCCTCCATCAGCCGCGCTGCCCTCGCTGATAAGCTCTTGCAGTTGTTGTCGAGATCCGATGAGCTCGCCAGGCCCATTAGCTTCTGTTTCCATAATGTCCACTTCTCCGGTGATGGTTTATAATCTTGAAGACCATTTTGACAAATCTCGTGCATCTTTGGCGCGGCGATGAAAACCCATGCAGCTGCTGAAGGAAGCATGACCCGCCATTCTTGCCCAAGGTAGTCCGGGTCATAGCCAGCCACCAAAGCCGTATCCATTGCCTCGAATGCATAGAGATGCATATCATTGTCAAACTCGGCTTGCAACATGAGGGTAGCGGCGAAAGTGGAGGCATTCAGAAGCTTTGCACCTTGTCCGTAGAACTCGTCTTTGTTGTCTATCGCTTCGTCGTAGTGAACAAGGACTGAAGGGATGAAGATTAGTGTATACTCTCATTACAGTAAAGCTACCGGTTGTGGACTCACAAAGGCCATACTCTCGGAATGTGACATGCCACGACTGTGGAAGCTCTGGCTTCTTTGGAGACGCTTTGTCCTGCTCCTGTAGATCTTGGGTATCTTCGATCGATAGCCTAGCGAGCGCGTTGAGCAAATCCACCAAAAGCTCTGAGATCTTGAGCGAGCCTCCCAGGCGACGAATCGCATCGCATACGATCAACCAGCGGAATCCGACACCCTGGATTCTGTGCATAGCCTTTGCAGCATAGCTTGGTCGGATTTCTTCGTGGAACATCGAAATGAGGAGGTCGACAATCTGCTGGTCTGCAGGCTGGCTCCAGCTAGGGGAGCGTTTGGCTCTCAACTCCCACTCTGTGATGTCGGACATTTTGGAAGCAGGCATCGAGTCGGCGATGCTGAGGATGTGTACTTGCGAAAGGAGAAGGTTGCTACGCTTCCATCCCTGAGTTGGGTAGGTCTTTATTGTAAGAACGGCTGTGTTCCCGGAGATCCACCCGACATCCCGCTGCGTCATTGTGCATACAAACAGTATGGATACATATGCATACGGAGGCTCTCCCGTACTTCCGCTTGTATACTTTAACGATGCGTCGCTGCGGAACACGAATATCACTATCAATCGTGCCTGTCACAACATAGTGGTCCCTCTTATTTGGATCTGCATTCACTTCTTCATGATGAAACATCATTTGGCTTGACTTCAGACAACTCATCTGGTTGTGTGAGATTGAGGTCCTACATTCGGGTTGCAGCCCGGAAACCTCTGTTATCTTGCCTTGACGTTCGAAGCTTCCCATGAGGGATCCCGCAGAAGCTTTAGATTGACCAAAATGCCATGCAAGGCAAAGATCTCTTCCAGCAGCAAAGATCCAAGTTGTAGCTGGGAAGACGGGCAGTCGCCGATTGTACRTTTCATTCATTCTGGTGTTGCGGGAGAGCTCTAGAGGTAGACATCTTCGTAGTGACGCTTGGATGGCTATTCATGAAACCTCATTCCTGGAAGTTGCCGGAGGATAGATGTTCGATGAGGACAGGCTGGCAAAGGGCTTGAGATGCTATGCTCTTGTTGCATGAATGTCCTGTCTGTGGTGCCGTCGATCTATCGCTCGAGCTCATGTACATGGGTTTCCAAGGCAGACTCGGGATCAGGGTGAGGTCTAGCAGAACAAGCTTTGAAATTTGCTGCCAATATCTTTTGCTACCTCCATTTAGACGCTTGTTCTTTCCCGTAGTTCCGTGATTCCTTCCGTATATATACAAGGCAAGACCTACCCTATGTACCTAGACCCTTTGCGATTGGGCAAGCCAAGCGTTCCGACCGTTAGGAAGAAGAAACGTAGGCGGCAATCCAGGGTTCTGAAAAGGAGGTAGATCTTTTGTGAAGTAAGGTAGTCCATCAGTCGTAGATTCCAGGGTTGCGGTAGATCCTTCGAAACTYTTTCGATATGAGAATACGTCACTCGGCATGTGATAGTTCAGGCAGCAGCTTTCAACCATCTTCGTAGAGGGCCCCACTACTACGCACAAGCTAGACGGATAGTCGTCTCTTTCACAAAAACCGAATACACAAGTATCGCAAAGGAGGTCCTACCATTCCACTAGGAACCGCAAACGATATGACAAATCAAACTGCCCAGAACAATAATCAAGGGGATGACGGCGAATCGTGGGAAGTGCTATTGATGCCAGATGCTCGCGATGCCAATGTGAATCCCAAAAGCCCATACATCGACTTCCAGCTAAACACATGGCTCGGCCGACTGTCCTTAGTCGTTCGATCAAGAAGCACGATCGAGAGCGATGTGTCACGCTCCATTGTCAAGAAATCTAGGACTCATCTCCACCTGCAAGAACAGTCATCTCTCTTTCAACTCCCGGCTGAGATCAGATTGATCATCTATGAGCTGATATTCGAAGTCGAGGCCGCAGACCATGGCATCAAGCTCCGGAGACCAGTGCCACACGAACGCAACCGATCTATTCTTGCTCCACTAGCTACATGTCACCGGTTTCACGACGAGGCCGAATCCGTTTTCTGGTCGATAAATAGGATCTACATAGACGATGTCGCATTGTTGAAGTCCATCAGCAAGCAAGCCCGCGATGGGATGACCATGCTCACCGTCCCAGCCAAGGATGGCAGCTCATTACTGGCCATGCTACAGGACATCCATCAAGCTCCAAATCTCAAATCACTCTGGATCGTGCGACCTTTGAACGTGAGATTCATCAATCATCAGGAGTGGGCTGTAATGGCCCATCAGATCATATTGGAGATCAAGAAGATGGCGGTTTTGAAGGAGGTCAAGTTCATTACGCCTGAATGTAATGATCTCAAAGACTATGAAGCAATCAGAAAGCAAAAACTTGATGAGATTGATGCAAGGATATGTGCGGCCGCCTTGCAGTCAGTCGCTGTCGGTGTCAGCAAAAGTTCAAGTTCGAATGGGGTGTGCGAAATAGATCGACCAGGTCAGAAATGTTGAGAAGATTCGGGGACATTCACTTGCATGGATTTACTCACTTGAATTTGTAATTAGAGCTTCGGATGGAAAGTTCTAGCATGTGATTCACAGTTTCCCGCCATCTTCAGACACAAAGACTGTGTCGGAAGAGCAGTCTCATCCTCCACGTCCACAAGTGACGGTGTCATAGAATGCGTTGATCATTCTCCGGTCGAACTGTCCATGCAACAGTCCCATCCACTTGCTATTCCCTCCTATCTCCGCCCTTCAGCCTCAGCGAGGAGCTCCGGTCATCACATGATCTTCCGTTGGCTGATCCAGACTTGACACCCAAGCGGTCTTCGAACAGTTGTAGACGGTGATACTCTTGAACTCCTTGTATGCCGCGGCGTACGAGAGTAGCGCTTGGTCTTCGTTGGAGAGAAGATAGGTGGGACAGACGATCTCGAACTCCAACTGCGAGGTATCGTCCGGAAGTGATTCAGCCAAGAAAAGGTGGAAGTTTTGAATCACTCCAGGCGACTTTTCCCACAAGTTGCCTTCATCATCGATGTCGTCCGGCCCATAACCAACGCACGCTACCTTGGGAAGTCTCAGTTTCTGAAGGTTTGTGAGGTCTTTGATGTAACCAAAACGGCAAATCTGTACGTCGTGCCCCGCGTCTTCCAAAGTATCTGGATGCCCATCTGAGGCGACGTTGTTGGCAGCAGAGAACTTGTTTGCCTTGACACCACAAGCGTTATCATCGAGATCTGGAAATTCATCATATGATGTGGCGCTGGTGTCGAAACAGATCTCCTCGCATAGGCGACCCAGCTGGCGAGCCACATCATCCCAGAACCAAAAATACTCAGGCTCCCCTGTGGCTGGCCATACCACGTAGAGCCTTTTCAAGGACGGACAACGGCAGAGAAGTCCTTCTTTCGCACCATTTATTGAGAAAACCGACGGACGCAAGRTCCCCGGATAGCATCCGAGCATGTCGAGTTGCTCGATGGTGCTCCCAAAATTCTTGCCTTGGTGAAACATGTACGTATGGAATTCCCACGCGGCCATGTCATAGATCGTCAGTCTACGCAGACCAGGCAGCGCAAACCCCAGTTGACCGAAGCTCGCGGAGTGATCACGGTAAGTAAAGTGCTCGATCGAGTCCAGTCCACACTTGCCCAGCTGTCCGTTGTTGGGCGGGACCTTCCGCAGCGCCGTCAATCTGTGACTCCAATAGTTGAGTCCAAATGTCACTGAAATGTTCTCACTAAGCCCTACGACGTCGAAAGACTGCAACCTTGTGCAGATAATGACCAGTATCAAATGATGCAGTCCCGCTCCCAGGTAGCGTGACTTGATCTCTCTGAAGGTCAAGGACCCAAAGATCTCGATGATCATTGAGATTGGAAGTGCCATGCAGCTCAACTTTTGGAGCCAGATGTTGAGGTCCGGCTGGTCCATTCCACGCTGCGGGTCAGAAAACGTGGATTCCTTTGTAATCTTCAGCCTTGATACTTGTTCGGCCAGAGCAGGCCGCTCGATGAGTGTCCGAATCAGAAGCACCATGCCAGAGCCCTCGACGCCGCTCTTGCCCTTGGAGTTGTTGTATGCCAAAGTGTGGTACATGACGGACGGTCCAACTGCTTCTCCCTCCTCGTTCAAACCGCACATCGCCCTCATCCCCGCCTTGCTTGTCCGGCAGATTGCCGCGCACTGTGCCTTGTCCGCACAATCGACTTGCTTGAAGATGTCATCGATGAGCTCGTTTGGGAGCCGTGGCCGCGGTTGGGATGCCATGTTGAACTCAGATGGCGGCGGTTTCGATGAACGGTGCAAGATGTTCGAGGCGAAGGAAACGGAAACTTCGCTTTCGACAACCACGCTAGCGAGCAAACGAATAACGAACGTAACCCTCGTTCGCCCGGTCCTCTTCCTCAGAGCCGGTCCTAGCCGCCAGGAGATTCATCTTGCGTGTTCTCGAATGGGAAATGTCGCTGGCACATCCGAGTATGCTCGAGAGAAGTGAAGACCGGCTTGTTCTCCTACCTACTCTTTATGCGAGCCTCTCGAGTCAAGGCCTTCTCTGACTTACGGCGTGCACGCGGAGGAGGACCTTCGCGGAGTCACGATGCCCACAAAATGGAAGAAGAGGGCTCGCGGCACTCAAGAAGAATATGAGAGGCTCCAGGGCTTTCAAAGGCTGTATCGAAAGGGCGGTCTCAAGAGAATTGGTGCGAAGGGACACTGGAGACTCTTAACATGTTGGAAATCTAGACTCACCGACGACAGACAGATAGGGATCCTTCTCCTCACCACGTGCGATGAAATCGTTACGTTTCTCCGAGCAGTGACTCGGCGGCTGGCATCAAGGGCGGCTTTATGTGGGATCGTCAGACAACAGAGAAAGGGAGACATGACTTTGGGCCCATGGCCAAGATCCGCGGCCGTTACATACCTACATGGCTCTTGTTGACCTCACTGACATTGCTCACTGTACCAACCGAATGACCTTCAGCAGATCGCCAGTAACACCCATCGCAGTTACATCTCCTCCAGCACCAGCGCCCTGAATGATCAGCGGATTGGCGCCATACCTCTCAGTGTAGAAGTTGATGATGTTATCACTTCCCTTCAGCGCGGCAATCGGATGGCTCTTGTCGAATTTCTCCAAACCGACCTTGACGGCCTTGCTGCCAACATCAATGCTTCCCACGAATCTCACGACTTTCCCTTCCTTCTCAGCTGCGTTTTTCAAATCTTCCATCTTCGAATCATACTGTGGCAGCTTCTCCAAGAATTCGTCCCCAGACTGACAGCTCTCTAACTCAGCCGGGATGAGGCTCTGTACTGGGAATGCAGTCGGGCTCTCAATTGGGAGACCCGCCAATCTTGCTAAGATGGTCAACTTTCTCGCCACATCCAGTCCGTTCAGATCGTCTCTCGCGTCTGGCTCTGTGTATCCGGCTTCTTTGGCTTTCTTTACCTCGGCAGCGAAGCTTCCTCCACCACCAGCCACAGGCTGAAATGAGTTGAACAAGAAAGACATCGTCCCGCTGAAGACACCTTCAATCTTTGTCACTTTGTCGCCAGTCTCCACAAGCTCTTTCAATGTAGAGAGAACCGGTAGACCCGCTCCCACGGATGACTCGTGGAACACCACTCCATTCCCTGCTGCACCGGAGCCATTGGCTGCAGCGTTGTAAATCTGTTCCCATAGTGCGAAGGAATCGCTGAAGCCTTTCTTGTTGGGTGTGATGACGCTAATTCCTCTTTGCAAGACCATTGGGTAGAGAGAGGCAATGTCCAGGGATGAGGTGTTGTCTACCAGCACAAMCTTTCCTGGAGCTGAAGCCAGTTGTCCAAAGGTCTCGTTGAACGGCGGTGGAGGTGTGCCCTCTTTGTCGAGGGTGGAGAGGAGGGAGGAGATGGGAAGATGCGTCCATTTGGGCGATGTGAGGTGCTTTGTGGAGCGACGAGCGTAGATGAGGCGGATGTCGGTGCCAGAGGGAGCCAGACGAGTACGGAGAGCATCGAGTTGGGCAAGGAAAGCCTTTCCAACACCGCCCACGCCGATGATTGCAATGAAGATGGGTGATTTTGGTGCCATAATTGCGAGATATGCGAGTGTTCGTTGATGTTCTTGAGGAAAATGGAGGGGAAGTCCACGAAATCAATGCCAGAGCTCCGATGTCGGATCTGCCCCGCGGTCAGCTCGGCGTAAATTTTGATTGACATTGAAGCTTCACCGATCAAAAGACCTAGCAATACGCTTAACCTTATTTGGACTCAATCTTCACATGTCAATCGCGAACATTCACTTCACGTCATCTTCTGTTTCTCCTCCACAGCCATCTCCTACACCAACCATGCCGCTCTCGAAAAAAGACTCGCATCTGACAAACCTCCCTCGCACTCATAATCTCACCTCCGGCTCCGAACTCCCGACCCAGTTCTCCTCAACCCTCAGCTCCCTCATCTCCAATTCAAACTCCACCCAACAACCTCCTCGCAAAAAGGCGCGAACTGGCAAAGATGACATTTTCACCACCCACAATGCCAACGCGTCGAAACGAGCGAAACGCGACCTCGATCCCAACATTTCTGGACCATTCGCCCAGAAACACAGCACAGATGGCGGAGCACTCGGGAAGGACGTTCTGGAGCGAAGCCGAAGAAAGATGGAGCAGAAAGCACGATTATACAAAGCGATGAAGAGGGGAGAAGTCGAGGATTTGGATGAGAAGTATGAAGTGGACTTTGAGGGCGAGAGACGACGTGATAGCGATACTTCCGAGGATGAAGGCGAAGCGCAGGAGGAAGTGGAATACATTGACGAATTCGGACGTACGAGGAAAGGAACGAGATTAGATGCCATGAGAGCCAAGCAGTCTGGCACAAAGAAGGACGACGATCGATTCACAGCAAGACCAGTTGCGCCGGCGAGTGGAATTGTGTATGGAGATACGATCCAGCATGAAGCGTTYGATCCGGATGCCGGACGGGTTGCACAGATGGAGGCGCTAGCGAAGAAGAGGGATCGAAGTCTCACCCCGCCACCGGAAGAGTACTATGATGCGGGCAAGGAGGTGAGGACTCGTGGGACGGGGTTCATGCAGTTTAGTGGAGAGAAGGATGAGAGGGAGGAGCAGATGAGAGGTTTGGAGAGCCTCAGGAAGGAGACGGAGGCTGTGAGGGGGGAAGGTGGGAAAGGCCAAAATGCGGCAGTCGAGGCTAGGAAGAAGATCATAGAGGAGCGGAGGAGAGTGGTCGAGGAGAAGAGAGCGAAGAGGAAGGCGGAAGACTTTCTGGGAGAGCTTAGTGGTGGTGCTGGTATCGGTGGGAACGGCGTGAAGACAAGGAATCCAGAGGATATGACTGACCGGATCGAGGACGCGATACGACGGGAGACCGACGCTGGAGGTGATGGTGATTGACTAGAGTCTCTCCCGCCAAATGCTTGGCTGCAACACCGCGAAATACAGCGGCAGTAGTAGTGGACTACAATCAGTCACCAAGAATCTGCCGCACGGGAGGTGCCCATGAGTTTTTCCTTCTCGCATGGACGTCTCTGATACAATCTTCGACACACTATCCATGATAATCCCAATATTAATCGCTCTGCAGCAATCACCTCTCATCCGAACCGCTGTGCTGGCTATGAGTTCCTGGGAGAAGAGGAGTCGAAAACTGCGAGCGGTGAAAGAACTTCGGGCGGCGTGCACACTGCTCGTTAGGTTTGTGATGAGTATGGTAGTACTATGGTATCCAGTAGGCGGGATCACAGATGCAGGGGAAGCGTGGGATAGTATTTTAGCGAGAAAAAGACGGGGAGATAGAGCTGAGCGTCCGCTTCGGACAGGTCATGCAAGTCTCCCTGGCTTTCAACGAAGGGGAGATGGGAATGGAGAAGAGAATTTGAACAGTACTTCTGATCGTCTGGGGAAGAGTACTGGAGTTCGATGAGAGATCCGATCTGCAAGCAGAGGAATCGGACCATGGCTGGACCTGGAAAACTTTTGGTGCAGAGAGCTCGGGAGCCAGAGGCGATGTTTCTTTCCCCTGTTAGTCTTGGCAGGGATGAACATGATCGAGGAGGATATGGCAGAGGTATCATCGATGTTGATCTGCCGGTCACATTTCCTCCGACTATGTGATTGGATCTTGAGAACGTGTCTCTTTCAACTCACGCGTTCGATGATAGTCACAGAAGCTTCTGAAAAGACAAGCAGAGATGAATTGCATGTCGAGTTCAAGTCAGAATCTGTGTGTTCATTCAATTCTATGAGCGCCGAGCTCCCGTTTCTGTGCGAGTATGCCGTATTTTCCAACCTGTATCCTCACCAAGTGACCCAGGTAAACGCCGGTTCCAATCATTTACGTCATCATAGTCATAACACCATCAAACATGAAGTGTGAAAGCAATCACATTTCCTTCCTCGCAGCGGTAGCAGCACTGTCCCGTTCACCATAGTTTCCCCAGATCCAATTGCTCCAACCCGCACCTTCCTTTGGCGTTGGCGTCCCAGTCGGTTGATCGTCTTGCGGGCGGAAATGCTCTGGATCCGGCATAGGCTCGTAGCCAAGATCCTCAAACTCCGATTCTGATCTCGACCGGGAAAGGTAGTCTTGGGAGGCCGAAAGAGGCTTTCGGCTGATCGGCTGGCGTGGTGGGGTGGAGTGGGGCTGAGCACTGCTTGTGGCAGCGTCGACGCCATGGTATGCTTCCGAGTCGAATGCTTGGAGGAGGGTCCGTAGACGCTCGCGTTGCGTGTTGACAAAGTCTGCGCGATCGGCACCTGCCAGGTTGTCGGGAATGAGAGTTCCAGAAGCCGCCAGGTCCCGAGCCTGGGACTCGCGGGATGTAGCATCTGGGTGTGTGTTCTGCTGGAGAGCGTTTCCGATCATACTGAAGATATCGGAGGTACCTGCCGCGGTGAAGCCATCTCTAGCAGCGGGCATAGCGAAGCGGTTGAAAAGCTGTGTCGTGTAGCTGACGTTGCGGCTTTGTGGTGGAGTGGGTCTGCGCGGCGTTCCTCCCAAGAACTGCACGCGGATGTACTCGTACGCCTTCTTGAAGATATCCATCCCGGCGGCCTGACCCTTGGAGTGTACTTGACTGATCATCCCATCCAACTGCCGCTCATGCTCTTCCAGAAAGGGTCTCAGATATTGCTGGTAGAGAAAGACGGAGCCCTGCGAACCGGGCATGACGAGGTAGATGTGGATGAAGAGACGGAACCAGGAGTAGAACGGAATCCAATAGAGGATAAAGTAGAATTGGTTCTCGACGAGCAGGAATAGCGAAAAGGTGGTCCAGTACATGAGCCATGGCGTGAGGACTGCAGGGTCTGATGTACGCAGTGCTTTGTAGGAGAAGAAGACGGGCAGCAGGATGGAAATCACCGACGTGAGAATGTCGGCGATGAAGCCAAACATGTTGACCGATGTTGTTGAGGTTCGTCGTGTGACGGTTGGCGGGGTCGTATGCGGAGGTCACGGATCGGGAGGCTGTGTTGGAGATGACAGGTTTGTCGCGATTAGCTGGACTCTTCCAGCCGGATGGAGAAAAGATAAAGAGTAATGAGGCCGTCTGATGTTTGTTTGTCAAGGCTTGATCACGAGCTCAGAGGATGAGGTGCATCTCTGGGTATCAGGTTGTGGTGGGGCTACCTACCTAGTTCTACAAGGTTCAGCCTTGGGACCCGAGTGCCGGGATCCGCGACCTCCACTCCTGCTCTCAACACACGTCACGCTCCACACCCATACCACGTCCCTGTCCATGGAGTTTTCAAACCAACAAGGCTCTCTCATGTGTTGGTGGCGGATTAACCCTCGCGAGACCATAGCGCGAGTGCGAGCGGAGCTTTGACATTCAGAATTCCTACCGATGCAAGGAGACGTAGCAAGACGAAGATGTGGGCTCTGTGTAACTGTGACGACCGTGATAGACAGGCGGCGGCCTGGGCGTTGATTCGATGTAGCCGCCAAGGGCGCGTAGAGAAGTTTTTACTCTTTATCATCCCTTTCCTTTGCTTGAAGGACACTTCTGACTCACAACCAACTCACCTCTCTAGCACCCTGGACGCAGCCCACTCTAGACACCTCTCTATCCGCATGCTCCCCATATCCACCTTGGAAGCACAGCTATCCTGACGATATCCACAATGTCAGTAGACATGGCTGCCAGATGGGCAGGCCTGCCACCTGAGCTCGTCGAACATATTATCGAATTCGCCATCCGAGACGACATCAAGACATGTGCCGCTTTCTGCCTTACCGATAGGGTCGGTCGGAGCTTCGCAACTCCATACCTCTACCGCTGCGTTGGAATTCCCACAGAGATGAAAGGTCATCAAGACCGCTCTTACCGATTGCAGCGGCTTTGCCTGACTTTGCTTGCGCGCCCTGAATTCACCCGGTATGTCGAGGAAGTGCATCAGTATCTCAGCAAGGACATGGCTTTTCCACAAACGAGTTCGATTCCGGCGGCGGATTGGACTTATTGGTCCACGGTCGCACTCTGCGGTCCCTTGCACTCCCTTCGAGCCGATGGTGGCCATTTCTTGAGGGAGTTTCGAGACACTTGCAGCAGAGGCGTATTCAGTAACCACCATTGCTTCCTTCTGCTGCTCGCCATGTGTAACAGGCTCAAGACTCTGACACTTACGGGCGATGTGTGTCTCATCTCAAGACTGGAACGCTTGTCGACGCGCTCGTCAGAAACGGGCCCTCGAGCTCAAACTGACCAGCAGACAAGGAGTGTCCCTGTGACGCCTACATTCGGGCCGGGCTCGGTTTTTTCGATAGCACCATCCGTTCCAATCATCAGGCCGGGCTCGGCTCGTTMTACAGCGCCACGCTCTCAAGCCCAGCCTAACCACGGATCTGGATCATCGCCTTCATTCAAGCCGGGCTCGGCTCCTTCTACACCCGCTCCAGCCCCGCCAACCCTTCGACCTGGGCTACCTGCTCCGCTGTCTAGACTCCGCGACATTGTACTCTATCCGACGGAGTCGCCAACGTCAACATTGCTAGTCGACCTTCAATCCTACCTGGAGCTATCAACCCCAATAACACTCCGTGTTGATTCTCTCATGCCACCGCTGTGGACTCAGATGTGATTTGGAATATGAGCCATCTGGTTACTGCGCTGTGCGCGTACAACTCTTTCACGAACATGCCATCCGGTGCGGGCTGAAGTCTACCCGTGAGCTCATCATATAACCCTTGACCCTCTCGAACTGGTGGGCATAGAGAATATCTGTCGACTATCATGTCTACCGTCTCTGACTACTGTGCATATCCAAATATTGGGATGCATCGCAAATCGATAAAGAGAAGACGACATAGATTTTAATCAAGATCGTTATATCCAGCCCAATACCATCCGGTCCCTGCATATCACCGACTGTACCGCATCATACCTTCAACTCCCAAGTATCGTTGTCGCATGCCATACGCATGTCACGCTCAGGGTAGAGTGGAAGGTCAGTGAAGAAGGACAGCATAGATTCGTATCGGTGAYAGCACAGCCGAGTTGTCACTCCAGGACATGTTTTTGCTGACTGAGAACAGCATTTCGAAACTTCCCCTACCTGTCACTATGAGTCAAAGAAGGGATTTGTAGGGATGAAAAGTCGACACTGGCCAGGCACATCCACAATTGAGATTGAAAGTGGGGCGTTACGTTGTGATGTCTTTCTGTACCTCTTCACTGGCCAGCGCCATCGATCCGCCCATCTCGTACGCGACGAAATCAACTGATACAGTCTCCCATCGCTCGTCCATCTGCGTAACATCACAGTCATACTTGTATGATCTTGGCACGAATGATTCATCATGGCCGGCGCTGCAAGACCATCCAAGCTTTGATAAGCGAGAGCTTATCTGATATCTCTTGCCCCGTTTAGGAAGGAGGCTACGGAAAAGGGTTTCAGACCAGAGCACTTATTGCGCGGCTTGTTTCGACTACCTTCTGGTGCTCCCACTCGGAACTCTTCCTGTATTCCAACTTCTTTGTGTGTTTGGTGTTTCGAGGTCCGGAACCGGCCTTTGTTCAATCTATCTGTTGAGTGTTGATTGATACATGATACAAGAGATACTCTCCTATTACGAGAACTACTCCAAAGGTTCCTGATGATGTTTTCTCCATCAACATTTGCGACTTTTGCCTGCTCCATTGGGCTGGTCCTCACAAGCCCAATCGGAGGACTGCACGCTGGAGTCAATATACAGCTTTCGGTCGGCAAGGATCTTCTGGAGAATGCTACTAGTGGACGAGTGCTGGTTCTCCTGGCTCCTGCCGGAACGGATCCTTTGGCCGACACGGACGTTACGACCTCGCCCGACTTGTTCTTTGGAAAGAACGTCTTCGATATTGACAGCAAGAACATCGTATCGCTGTCCGACGGGGATGGTTATGCGACCAGTACTGGCGTTTGGGGTTTCCCAAATGTCAGCCTCAATGATGTGCAACCAGGAGAGTACACCATTCAAGCTTTCCTCAACCAATACGAGACTGTGACTCGCAGCGATGGATCAACCGTCAGCGTACGCTTTCCTTGCGGCGATGGTACCGTGCCAGTGAATGGACCGGGCAGTCTGATTACTACCGCGAAGAATGTCACCATCAGTAAGAAGCAACACGATGTCAAACTTGCTTTCAGCAATATCACCGCCGGAATCGAGTTCAACGGTACAGAGATCGGCGGCTGCTCCCAAGGAAACTACGAAGATAGCGAAATGCTCAAGAATGTCAAGATTCGAAGTGACCTTCTGAGCAAGTTCTGGAATCGCGACATGTACGTCGGCGCCACTGTGCTCCTCCCTCAAGGCTACAACGCTTCGGATAACGCCACGAGGTATCCTGTACTCTACCATCAGAATCACTGGAGTGGTGGCGATGCAGCATACCGTTATGGATCCGACGATGGGTTCACTCGAGCTTGGGACAGTGGCATCATCCCGGGAACGAACATATCAGCAGCTCGAGAGGCGCCAAAGCTGATCATGGTCACTTTCCGCCACGAGACACCGTTCTACGACGACTCTTATGCGGTCAACACAGCCAACCTTGGACCTTATGGCGATGCTATCAACGACGAACTTATCCCACATATCGAGAGACTCTTCAACTCAATTCCTGCGCCATACGCCCGAATCCAAGATGGAGGCTCCACAGGCGGTTGGGAATCAGCCGCGAATGTTGTGTTCAGACCTGACCTATTCGGAGCTTGTTTCTCTTCCTATCCAGATTCCCTAGACTTTCATAAGCATCAGGACATTCCGCTGTATACATCGAAGAATGCATACACTCGCCCCGACGGAAGTAAAATTGCCTCGATCAGAGAGGTGATCAACGGTACCCTTACCGAGGTCACCACAGTAGAGCAAGAAAACCATTGGGAGTTGACTTTTGGGACGTCTACTCGCTCAGCTTTGCAATGGGATATATGGAACGCCGTGTTTGGAGTGCAAGGACTGAACAACTATCCCTTGGAGCCTTGGGATAAGGTCACTGGGGAAATCTACCCCGATGCTGTGGAGTACTGGAAGCAGATGGATTTGACGGAGCATATCATTACAAACTGGGATAATGAGATGAATCTCGGAGAAGTCTTGAAGGGTAGGATGTTTGTCTACGTGGGATCCTACGATACGTACTTTCTCAATGAAGGTGTTGAAGCGTTCCAGAAGAGAGTGAACGCGAAAGGCGGAGAAGGCTGGGCAAACGTCACGATTCTGGAAGGGAAGATCCATGGTGGAAACTACAACTTGCTGCCAACTTGGGAGTATCTGGAGCTTGTTGTTGGCTGGGTGAAAGACCATGCGCCGAATGGGAAAACACCACTCGAAGAAGCACGAACGGGAGTCTCTGCGAGGGGGAATCTATGGGAGGACGTCATTGCTAGAGGTGGCCATGAGGCAGCCAAGCAAAGACAGGCGGATCCAAGAATTGAGGCAATTGAGGGAAGGAATGTCAGGGCTAGTGTGGGACGATGGGATCCTGGAGTCAAGCTTCAAGCGCAGTGGATTGTTGATGGCAAGGCAGTAGGGAAGGCTTTCAAGGTTACAAAAGATGAACAGGTGGTGTACAAATCGAAGAGGGCGTGTACACTGCAGCTTGCCGTTACTGGGAGGAAGCGTGGATATGTGGATGAGACTAGAAAAAGTGGTACTATCGAGGGCTGAAATGGAAATCGATCCAGGCCGGAAATCAAAATCTGAATATCTGGGAAATTGCATCTCTCACGGGTAAGAAGTGCTGTAGCACACAATGTCGAGCAAGCAGCTCACGGGCACCTGCATCGCTCACATCCAAACGCTACTTACACACCGCAATCTGACAAACTGTGCAGCTGCGGGCTTGCAACTTGAAGTACCAAACAAACAAAAAATGCTAGAAACGCGACCTACAATAATCCAGCGATATTCTACCAAAACAAGAATACGAGCAGCGAAACAACGATTCCATCATCCCAGGAATGGATTTCCTAAAGATGACCGAGCATGCCATGCACAACTCCACACCTACACAATCCTTCCCACACAACCGCCAGGAGATGATTGAGAAACTCCGCACCATCCCCCAGGAAATCAAACACTCCCACACACCAGGCTTCATAAAAGACCCATACTTCCGCGGTGAGATCCGCACATGTCCATCCTGGGCGAGGAAGAATTTGTGTAGATATGGTTCGAAATGCGTCAAGGCTCATTACTACTTTCCCACGATCGTCTGGCGAGCTCATCGGATTGCACAGCAAACGAGCGAGTGTCGAGAGTGGAAGGAACAACAAGATATCATTCAGCAGATGGAACTCGAAGAAACTTTTGAGGAAGTTTGCTCGGTTGAATCGCAGGACTTCCTTCAAGCTACTACTGTCCAAGATACTGGCGTGAAACACCGCCACGCCACCATGACCTCGCCTCTCTCGTTCCCGGATGCGGCTTCTCAGATGAAATGTGCGGTTATGCCCATGAGAAGCGAGATTCCAAGACTGTTAGAGATCGGGTGGAATTGATCAAGAATATGAAATCCTTACCTTATCGAGCCGTCGCCATGCTGGAGTGTAAGACTTGTGGCGCCATGTTTCGTCACGTGGAAGACGTGCTGCAGCATGGAAGAAGAAGCGGTCATTTTGAGGAGTCGTTGTCGACTGGTATGAAGGCAAGGAAGTCCGAGAAGCTGGGGAGGAATTGGCGGAGTGAAGTTTGAGAGGGGAATTGGCGCTGGTATAGACCTCCTTGGAATTGCTCACGAAATTGTTACTCTCGGGAAAATGCTGTTAGCTCTTGAGATGGCATTACGAAATCTCGATCGAGTGAGCCATGAGAGCGACTCATGAGAAGATAAAGTCATATAAATAGTTAAGGATCACTCACTGCAGACATATCCGCAGAGGTATCGAAGAAGAAATACGTCAGTCAAAACTTCGTAATAGGCTCAGCCCTACAGAGCAGATCTCTTGCTAGGTCTCCCGACAACTAATCATACAAATGCGTCTCGCAATCCCACCACGAATCGACATTATAACCGCGGAAAAAAGTCACGGGTTTGATCCCAGAGTGTCATAACATCCTCGTATCATTCCGCTCCGATTCCCGCAAGTATTCCTTCGCCCCAAGCTCTCGGTGCGCTTAGTTTCCGTCATAGATTTGATAGTTGAGGGGAACGTAAGGGTTCTCGAAAGTGACGTGGTTCTGGTAGTACTCATCAACGAGCAGGGTGGTGCTGGCGTTGAGTGGGCGTTCAGGCCAGGCGGGGGTCTCCAACTCCCAGAAGTTGACGTTGTTGAAGGTAGCTCCTCCGTTGCTGGAAAGTCCAGCGCCGAGAGCATCGGCTCTGCTTGGGTAGATCTTGTTGGTCATGGCGAAACGGTTGTTGATGAAGATCTCGACGAGTGCACCATCGACGAAAACGTCAAAGGTGATTTGCTCGGTGGATCCGTCGGCGTACTCAAACGGCTCGAAGTATCCCTTGAACTCTGCTTTGCCGGTGTATGGAAGAAGAGAGGAGTTGGCGCGGTCGAAGAGGACGGTGTTGTCGAATGGGAAGYACTTGATGGTGGAGGACTCCTCGTGGCCTGGGCTGGAACGGATCTCAAGACCGACCCAGTTTCCTTCCACGGCAGGTGGAAGCTTGGTGACAGTGGCTTGCAGGTGGAAGGTAGAGCTGTTGACTGTTGGGAGGTTGGAGTAGCTTTCGACAGTGATGGGCTTGGTGTGGCATGGCTGGATGATTCCCTGAATGCCCTCGACGACATCCTGAAGTGGGCGTTGACCAAGGGTAGTGACTTCGTATACATCAGCGTAGGACTTCTTGGACCAGATGAAGGCACCCTCGGTGATGCCTCCCTTTGGAGGAAGAACGTTCAAGTGCTTCAGAACGAAAAGCTCCTGAGGGATAGTCAGAGTGCTGACGAAACCTTGTGCCCAACCGACTTTGTTTTGGAAGTCCTCCTGAGACCAGCCCCAAACCACGCGACGGTCGTTCTTCGAGTCGTAGAAGGTGTTGAGTGCGTAAGAGTTGCCCCAGTCGAGTACACCAGAGGCCTTGATGTCGAGCCTTGCGGAACCATTGAGACGCTGGGCCATGTCACCCATGACGAAAAGTGAGTACTTGTCGAACGGATGCCACTGGTCAGTAAAGCCCTCGGATCCAAGGCAGACGATCCAGTGCTCAGTAACACCATCACCGCCGTGCTCCTTCTTTTCGACCTCGTTCCAGAATGAAGCGACTTCGAAGTTTCCTCCATAGCTTCCAGTCTTGCGGCGGTCGCCTCCGAAAGTGAAGTCAAATCCGGGCTCAAAGAGAGCAGCCTCGAATTGCCATTGGGTGAGGTCAGTAGCCTTGGCAGACCACATGGGGATTCTTGGTCCAACGCCACGAATTCCGCTGCCCATGACGAGGTAGTAGTGAGGCTCATCCTTCTCCAAAATCTTGTCCAATGCTGGATTAGGCGCAAAGACAGGGTCACGCAGACCTGTGACGTTCCAGTCACCTGGAGAATKCGTTAGTACATGAGATTAGAAGTGAATCAATGTCAGTGAAACGTACCGGGCTGTCCGTTCAACCACGGGTTACCCTCCCACTTCTGCCAAGTCTGGCCTCCATCAGAGCTAGTCGCAATAGCCTGCTGTTCAGTAGCGTGAGGAGTACCAGTGGCCGGTCCAAGAACGTATGGGACCTTCCAGTTGTCCGGAACAATAACATTTCCAGTGTACATCAGAGTAAGGTTACCGTCCTGCTCGCCGTGAAGGTTGACAGGGTAAGCTCCTCCAGAGAAGACACCCAACCAGTCGTATGATGGCACGGAGTAAGGGCTTACGTCGACAGCGACGAAGCTACGGTTCTCCCATCCACCGACATCGACCCAGGAGACCATGTCCTTTGACTTGGCGTGACCCCAAGTCTTGTTACCTCCGTTGATGTGCTGAGGGAATGCCTGGTAGAAAACGTGGTACACATCTTCGGTAGGGTCATACATAGGTCCGCAGGGGTCGTTCATGTGTCCAGCCGGAGCCAGAACGTGGTGCTGAGGACGCCAGCGCAGGTAGAGGGAGTTGTCTGGCATAGTGAGCGGGTCCACATCTACGGGAATGTGCTCGTTCGCTGGGAACTGAGCCACAACGCTGGTCAGAGCGGTACTGACCAGCGCGGTTGCCGCGAGGCGGAACATTTTCGCTGATGGTATTAAGCAAGCTAAAATATATCAAATGAATGTGTGGACCAAAGGCCTAGAAACGAGTGTGGGCTCCAAAGGAGTGGATGTTTTCCGAATGAGTGTGGGGGGGCCTCCCGGTGGACTGGTTCAACTGTCGTTGGAGAAGTGACCTGCCGTCGAGGTACTGAAGCATGTCCGTCTCTTATACATATCTTGTACAGTAGTGCAAAAGCCAGGATTGCTTCGCACCATGGTTGCCAATTCCGGATCGGCCGACTACCGAGTGTGTTCGACATGTAGAGATGCCAGGATAAAGTCCTTTGAAGCGCTAATGCTGCTATCACCTGAAGCTTGTACCGGACTATTGTAAAGCGATCGAATACTGTCGGTCATGGTAATTTCATGTCACGTCATCCAAGACTCGCTAGTTCGGGGCAGCGTGATGTTAGCGGACTGCAAAGCACCGACCCATTGGAGGTTGTTGTAGTCTCACTCCTGGAAAGTACGGAGTATTACCCGAAAGCCTTGACTCCATCGGTATCGACTCTACTTTTGGGCTATGAGTACCGCCGAGATCAGACCGGGTTTGCAAAACAGCGAGTTAGTCTTGGCACTCAAGCATGTTCGGCACGTGCTCGGCATCGCAACATTTGCGCAAATAAACATCGCATTTAGAGTACAAGTGGTGAGCAGGGAACTGTCTCGGAAACTTGCCCCGTGTCTTCAGGCGACGATGAGGCACTCGTCTGAAGGGTGGAATGATGCGTTGAGTGGCAGTTCTTGGAGAGTTATCAGATCGGTATGAAGTCTCCGAAGTCTATGAACGCGTGGCAAAGAAACTCACAGTTGAGATGTGGCGAATTGGTTGCAATCACACTTATCCCCCCGCATGTAAGGGTGTCCCTACACAACCAGGCAGCCCCATGGGGTGGTTGTACCCATGAATTCAATCTTCGGCGGACACCCCTTTTTGATAGCCAATTGAGCACGCTTCCACATGGTTCCGGGATTATTCGTCGATTGAGTGTCTCACTACAGCGCCTGTTCAGCGCTTAAGAAGACAATAGCCTACCCGCGCAGCTTTTGAGCCATCTTTGCTCACGCGCCATTGCCCAGAGATGGAGGTCTGACCGGTCCGAAGATGACTTTGCCATCCAGAACACCAATGCTGCCAATGGGCACTGCCTCTGGTACAGCAGTCGCAGCTTGTTGATGATCAGATAGCGGTTCCATGGTGTCAACGCCGTAATCCTCGGGAAACAGTAGAGACTGTGAGGATGTCAGTCTGTCAAAACGTCAGTACAGGCACTATGGGTCATTACCTTGACTGCTGGCGACATTGTTGAGGAGTTTAAAAGCTCATTATACAGCGTCTTCATGCCAGGCTCCATATCTGGATCTTCCGCAAGCTTCTCAGCCGCGAAAGCTGCAAGACCGCCGTCGGGCTTGGGTCTGTGAGGTTGTACTGTTAGCCAGTATAAATGAGTGGGATGCAGTGTATCATACTTCTTGCTCGCAGCCTCAATATCAGCTTTCCGCAGTTTCCTGCCAGCAATTCTGGGTTCCTCAGTGGACAAGATCTTCCTCAACTCATCTCTGTATTCGCATGGTAGGTCACCACGAATGTTGACGTAGTCAGCGACACCCTTGAGAGCTTTAAGAGGATCCAGCATATGTATGTCTCTGAAGATCGTCGAATGCATGCTGTGCGCATGAATCTGCTGGAATCTGCCAGTCATTGCGTTGCGAATCAGGGCGGGCGGGCGGGTTGCCATGCTTCGAGGCAGGGGTCCTTCGAGACTCTCGCGAACGGCTTCGTACTCGCCGCCAAAGTGAGACCAATAGCGGACTATGAGGGTCGAGAGTTTGTTGCCACTCTCTAGAAGCGTGTCGACGATGGTTTGGAGGTTGGGTTGAAGGTTCCTGACAACGGAGCCGCGATATTTGAGAGCACCATCCGGTTGACAGATGCTTACGAGGATGTGGAGATGCTTGATCTTGGCAAACGTCTCAGGCATGCCAGTCGGCGGTTAGTGCATACGCTGATTGACACGCTGGAATGACTTGCCTKACATGACACGGTCGGTGATGGGGTATGCACGTCGAGCCAATACCGCAKCGCCAGAAGGCTTGGATACGCTCGGCTTGTGGGATCGCAGCGAATATGTTCTTCCCGAAAAGAGTCGTAGTGGCTTCGTCGTAGATCTGCTTGTTGGCCAACAGAATTCCCTTGTTTTGGCCGATAAACAGCATGCCTTTGTTGGCGCCGGAAGAATCGAGGATGAGCAGGTAGTCCTGGTTGAGATAGTCGAGCTCGCGCTCATATTCATACTCGTGTTCGCCTGTGGCGAGGCCAGCTTGGATCTTCTCATACTTGTCTTGGTCTCGAGGGGATCTCTGGACGATGAGGAGCTCATCGTAGATCTTGTCGCGGATCTGGAAGATGTCAGATGTCAGGTTGAGTTAGAGAGCAAAATCATTCTCGCGTACCTCACGTGGAAACTTCTTGAGGAAGGGCGAGTTGCCGGGCGAAATGTAGCCGCTGGGAATGGATTCGCGCTCCATCATCTTGGCTAGAGTCAGCATTCGCTGCTTTTCCGTTGCTACTTGATCTCGCTGCTTGCGTGTCGGCGCCATGTTTGTGAGATGATGGTTTTGACGGGATGCCATGAGAACAGACCGATGTTGAAGTTGCTCCGTTTGATGGAGCTCGATTAAGCTTTGACCCGATTGTTTGGTGCGAGCGTTTAGGTGCATCTCGGCAGGAGCCCGATAGCACAACGTATGGAAGGATCAGGAAAGTGCAGGAACAGTTGGAAGAACGGAGACGGAGAAAGCGACATAAAGTACCTACATAGTGCGATGGTCTCTGCAAATGGATCACAGCGCTTGCCTGTAGAAGTAGATGATTGACTCACAAAGTTCGGAGATCTCAGGAAAACAGCGCCCAGCGCAGGCAACTTTGAACAGCTTCACAGCTGCAAGTACCCTTTCCCAGGCGTCTGCAGCCCGCCGCATAGTGCCCTTCCCGGCCCAGAGAGAAGCTCTCAATTGGGGTCCATTGGCATGTCGCTTCGCTGTGCCAGCTCTTCTTCATATCTGCAAGCGTAGCCCGTGCCAATCCTCCTCCCGATCATACATGATCAATATCCCAAATGCTGCGGTCCTCCACTGGTAGGGCTGCGATCCCGGCGTAGGCAAATCCTATCGACTTCTGGTGAATGGTGGGTTGGTGGAGCATCTGGCAAACGTGCGCTGTCCGGCGGCAGATCAGCAGTATGGTGGAATGCAGTCGAGGATCACGAATGGTTCGATTCCAAAGCATCAGTCTGCTGGGAGCGTCTGGTGATGTTCAAACGTGGAGAGCTGAGATGATGAGGTTTGCGAGAGGAGGAGCTCCTCGGCGAACGTGGGTCCGTGCCCAGCGCTAGCGCACCGCCAATCGAACATCACGCGATCGCCTTCGCAGCATGCCCTCGGACACTCCTACCCATACATGACAGAATCGTGGACATGCCATCTCTCTTTTCATACGAACAGAGCTGTTGCAATTACGACCCTGTTAGATGATCAATTCTTCGCCGTAGCGGCATCAGCACCTGCACCTGACGATCCGGGCGGGAATAGGAAGTACGGCGTCTCCATACGTGGGGCTCAGAGTTCCATCTCCTCAACAAGCTGGCATGTGCTTCCGGTTCAAAGGGACAACATACATGCCACGCGTATCGAGCTCTATGCATGATAAATCCTGGACTTGGCCAGACTTGGACAACAAGTACTCGTGAGTTCCACACTTTCCAATTGAATTGACATCGCGAACGACAAGGCAGTCCCATCATGACCACCCACACAACCCATGCCACACACGTTGGATCCGAAATGCGAGATATCCTCAAGATCTAATGCTTTGGCTACCAAATTACATCATCATGCTACTGCGCGCTTTGGCCTCTTTGTGCTTCATACTTCATCCTTCTCAAGTATGCTGCACCACCCCCTGGACTCTACGATCTCTGGGAAATCAGAGGTGCAGCTAAGCACAATTATTTCCTGCTCAGTTCAAAGTTCGCCCACTCTGGTGCTGATCCTGACCACCGTCTGCCGGCTCAACTCGCTTCGCCATTTCACCTTCTTCATCCTTCGTGTATGCCATCGGTCTCTCTTCTTCGGCTCTCTTGGGGGCCTCGTTCTCAATCCCCTCTGATAGAGGCTTCGCTTTCGCCAAACCGCCCTTATTGACGAGAGGTTCGAGCTCTCACCCACCAAAGCATACGTGTGGATGAGCTGCAAGGATCTGCCCTGTAGCCTCTCATAACCGACGACCTTTCATCGGCCCTCCGATAGCGTTGTCGCTCACAGTTCAGATCTCGGGACGCCAAACAAGATCAACGGCTCCCAAGCCACAGACACGGAGCTGGCAGGTCAAACTTGATTCCAAGGACTCCAGCTTACTTCGTGACTCTAGCTCAGCAGTTGTAACACGCTGCCGTCTCTGATAAAGCCTGACTGAGGCGACGGGTGAAGCTTTGTAATAGTCAGATCCTGCTGGGGCCAGCCRCAGTAGATAGTCACGCAGGCAACTTCCGGCTCCAGGAGCTGGGCGCGACGGAGGGCCTTCGAGTCGTCGATGATGGTTCCATTCATGACATCCAATATGGAGAGACCTTGGAGCAAGATATGCCTGACCAGCTCAGCTGTGTTCAGCACGCGATGGGCAACCGCCATGTTGAATTTGGTGGAGGTGATCGTCCCTTGAAGCCGGAAATGCTAATGATGTGAATGTCGGATCAGACAATGTTTGTTGACGATCCACCCAGGCCGGTATGAACAACTCTCGAGGACTTCGCCGGACCGGGCCGAGTCAGACAGTCTTCTTGGATCAGCCATAGTAGAAAGTATCGTGGAAAACCTCGGGCTCCGGCTTCGAGAAACATGACTCGACGCAGTGACTTTGAGTTGTGTATGACCGCCTTGAAAAACTGACAGACGCGCTGGCATATAATGACTTCGTATATGGAGAGATCCTGGAGGAGAATCTGCTCAAGTAGCTCCGGAGTGTTGAGAACACGATCTGCGGCCGACATGATGAGCTTCGCGGAGGCGATTCTGTATCGCGGCCGAGTACTAATGCAAAAGACAATACGTGGTGCAGTAGACTGGCGCCAGGAGAGATATATATACACCTCGAACAGCGTCACGCGGCTCCGAACGTCAGCCACAATAAGCCGCTAGAGTCGCTTCGGAGATCACGAGATCGATCTAGTTAGCGATGCACCGACTGCCACAAGAGAGATCTCAAAGACTATACAAGAGCGGGCCGTAAGTTTTTGAATGTGTGGATTCGGAACCCCGTAGTTCTTGACCGAAGTAGGAAACATACACACCCTGGCCCGCGTCATCAACCGGATGCGGCCAGCCCCACTTGAGTGAATGGAGGGCCACGCTTACACTGGTCGAACCCAAACGCAATGTTGGCAGTATTATCCCTCGCCCAATGATAAAGTTCGATCATTCAGCAAGAGATCTGAATACGACTTCTGGTGTTTTCCGAACCGATCTGAACATGTGGATCTGGCCGAAGCGGCCGAGCATGCGATAGCGCTGATAAGCGACCTCCGGGACACGACTTATGCCCTCCGGCACCTCTTGAATCGCATCTGCACACTCCCTCCAGCTAGCGGAATACTTCACTGCAGAGATAACATGGCCAACACAGCAACATCGGAAGCACGGAACTATCTCACAGATCGCCTGAGCCAGAGCRAGCATTCGGCTCCCTACAAACCCTTTAGGATTCCTGTTATCGATATCGCACCTTCATATTCTAGCTCAACAAAAGACCGGGCGGCAGTCGCAAAGGAAATTCACCACGCCTGCACAACTAGTGGTTTCTTTTACATCAAGCACCATTCTGTCGACGCTCAAATCTGCTCCGACATCATCGCACAATCCAAACGCTTTTTCAAAGACCTTTCCCTTCCCACGAAAGATACCATCCACATCAAGAATTCTCCATATGGCTATGGTTGGGAGCCTGCCTCGGCAACTAGTATCCACGACACTCCCGAGCAGAAAGAAGCTTTCAACTGGGGCTACGAAGCGGACCTAGACCAGGAAGCTCAGCCAGGAAGCAAACATGTTCAACTCGATGGATCCTTGACCGAGTCAGTAAATCAATGGCCAAAGGAACAAGATCTACCAGGTTTCAGAGACGCCGTCAAAGCCTACTACGTGCGAACCCTACAACTCGCTCGCCATCTCTGTAGACTCTTCGCTCTTTCATTGCACCTGCCGGAAAAGCACTTCGATTCCATGGTTACGGATCCTTCTGCTAGCGGGAGATTGATGTATTACCCGGCGAAATCAAGGGAGGAGACTTCAGAAAAGATTGGGTTGGGAGCACATAGTGATTATCAGTGTTTCACGATTTTGCTCTGTGATGGAAGGCCCGGACTGGAAGTTCTGTCGAGTGAAGACGAGTGGGTGGGAGTTGAAGATGTAGAGGGCGCACTGCTTGTGAATATCGGAGATATGATGATGAGGTGGACGAATGGGCTGTATAGGAGTACGGTGCATCGAGTTGTAAACTGTGGAAACGAAGAGAGGTTTAGTGTTCCGTTCTTTTTCGGTGTCAACAACGATCAAGTCGTCGAGGTAAGTCTTTTCCCGGTGTTCCCTTTCGATGTGGGTATGCTGACATGGTCTGTATGCTAGACTCTGCCAAGTTGTGTAAGTGAAGACAATCTTTCAAGATATGGCCCGATCAAAGCTGGAGAGTATATTCTGCAACGGCTAGATGCTACGCGGCGATAATGTAGCTTTGCTCAATCTGCGTACAAGAAATCATATCTCCACTCTGACTCCGGGACGTCGCGATACTTGATGCTTGTCGGGTGTTTCTTCCTTGCCGGCAGAACTCGTTTGATGTAAAGGTCTCCAACATTAGTCGGTGGTGGACGAGTCTCGCCCTCTTCGACACAGCTTTCCAGAACTTCTACCATGGCTTCYGGGTTTTGACTCAGAAAGAACGGGATCGAGTACCTTCTTTGCCCGGTTTTGTTCCGTACCCGATGTACGGTGGCAGGRAATCTCCCATTCGTCTGTCTCTCAAGATACTGTTCCGGGTCAGTTGTTTCAAATCGCTTGAGGGGAAGATAGAAGAAATGCCACTTACTTGTCCAACATTAACGACAAATGTTCCTGGTTTTGGGGGAGCTTCCACCCAGACTCCATCCTGATTCAACACCTCCAAACCACCTACTTCGTCTTGTAAGACCAGAGTAATCCAGCTAAAGTCCGCGTGCGCGCCAAGTCCGTTCGCATGTTCTTCGCTATCCGCAGGCATTGGAGGGTAGTGTAGAGCTCGCAGGCCCCAGATCGGGAATGAAAAGTCCGAGTCGAATGCCGTTTCGGGCAAGTCGAAGGCGAGGGCGAAAAGACGCACAAGAGACATTGCAAGGGGATAGATTGCTGCGTAGTATGCATACATTCCCTTTCGAAACTCTGGAGCCTTGGAGGGCCATACATTTTGAGGCTTCTTGAGGTGTGGCGGTGGTGCCTGACCTGTTTTGGTTTCATATGACTGCTCGGGCTCAAGAGGACAGTCTCCGATTGTGTATGCTTCTTTAATGTCTGCTTTTGTGTGAGTTGGAGTTTGATTGGGATGAGATGAGGAGAAGGGTAAGACGTACCGCCTTTTGTGCGGGGATCCAGCTGAGTCTCCAACATTGGTTCATACCCTCTGATAGCGGCATTTTTGTGCGCATGGGCGTCCATCTTGGTTTCCAATGGTAGATCGAAGAACTTTTTCATTGTCTCGAAGACGTTCTCTTGTTGCTCCATTGGGACTCCATGGTTACTTGCGTAGAAGAAGCCGGTTTCCGCACAAGCTTTGTAAATTTCCCCAGCAAGCGCTTTACGGATTGCAAGGTCCGGCGAGTTGATCGAAGAGATGTCTATGGTTGGTATGGATGTGAAGCTAGTGGAGTTACCACCACTTGCTTTGACCTTTCGGTAGCTGGGACCCGAGCCGGAGTGGAAGTATACGACTTTCGCGTCTTCCTCCACTTGGGTAGATGCTTCGTTTCCCAAGGTAGACATGTTCAGTATTTTCTTGCTGTCGACTGGTTTCGGTCGCAGGGTCTTGTCGTAGTGCGTCTTCACAGCGTCCCGATGCACCAGAGCGGGATGCGCGGCCTGACAAACTACGGCTCAGCAATGTCTTCGGCCAATCTAGCCGAGCGCAAAGGGCAGAGGGCGGCGCTCCACATTTGTTCGACGTCGCTCCCATGGGCAAAGGTGCTGTATATGCGCGGGCAAGACTTGCCCTATCGCCAAGATAATACAACGGCTGCTTTATCGCCCTTAGCACCAATGATCATGATTGGGCTAGTTGGCGAGTGTTGCAATGCATCCAAACAACATCCAAAGAAGATGCATCGGGCTCGCACTTTGAAGAATAGGTACTCCTTCCCTCATCGAAAAGATGAAGTTCATTCGTGAGGCGTTCAGCTCCACTTACGGCGATGAAAAGCCCAAATTCTTCTGGTGGTATCCTCAAGGTACTTCGAAGCAAGAAAAGAAGCTCTTAACGAAGATAGACTTCTTCATTCTATCGTATTGCTGTCTGGGATACTTTGCGAAATGGCTCGATCGTACGTTCTTGTCCTGACGTCCTTTGTCATTGCTAACCGCTTGTAGAGGCAAATCTGAGCAATGCCTATGTATCCGGAATGAAGGAAGATTTGCTGATGTACGGTAACGAGTTCAATCTTGCCACAACACTCTTTCTCATTGGCTCGATAATTGGTGGGATCCCAAGTAACTTCCTCATCACCTATGTCCCGCCGCGGTACATCCTACCTGGGTGTGAATTGCTTTGGGGCATCATTACCCTCTTCACGTATAAGGTGACCTCCGCGCAACAGCTCTATCCACTACGGTTCTTCCTTGGCTTGCTGGAAGGAACTTCGTTTGTTGGAATCCAATACGTACTCGGTTCCTGGTACAAACGCACCGAGCTTGGTAAACGGACAGCCATATTCGCATGCTCCGCCTACGTGGGAACAGCATTTGGAGGATACATCTTCAGCGGCGTGTACGCAGCCAGAGTTGGCAAGGGCGGTATGGCTGCCTGGCGTTGGGCGTTCATCGTCGATGGCATCATCACGGTGGTAATCGCCATCTACGGATTGATCTTTTTCCCCGATACACCGGATAAGACCACAGCTTTCTACCTGTCCACCGCCGAGCGTGAGAGATGTGTGGAGCGTCTGGTTGAGGATGATCGCGAGCCGACTGGGAGTTGGTCCTGGAACGTCTGTGGTAAGATCCTCGGGTCCTGGCAATTCTACATCTTGACAGTCCTCTGGATGTTCTGGCAAACCACCGTTGGCAAAGTCGGGAACACGGTCTTCCAGCTCTACCTGAAGAACGAGAAACAACACGCATGGTCAGTGTACCAGATCAACAGTATACCTACCGCGATCAATGGCTTCAACATTGTCATGGTGATGCTCGTTAACATCTACGCCGATGCAACGGGACGCCGGATGCTTGCGGCAGTCTTCAGCCTGGGAGTCCTACTATTTGGCACGATTTGTCTTGTCGCGTGGGACATTCCCCTCGGACTCCGAGTGCTAGCGTACTTGTTTGCCAGCTGTGATGGACCGCTTTCGCCGCTATACATGGCATGGGCCAATATCCTCTGTGGGAGCGACAAGCAAGTTCGTGCCATGACCATCGCGATGATGAATGCGTTTGGAAACGCTACGACGACCATCATTCAACAGTTCGCGTACCCTGTGTCGTCTGCACCGGAATTCCGGGTCGGTTTCAGGACCAGTCTCGGATTGATATGTGGGATGTTCGTGTGGATCTTCGTGGTGCGATTCTTCGAGCTGCGGGCGGAGAGCAGAAAGACCAAGGGTGGAGTAGTAGAGGGCAGGATGTCGCCTGCTGGGTTAGAGGAGTCGAAGGGCCCCGTTGTGTCGGTCGATAAGCTGACTTCCGAGGGGCGAGRGGATTGAACGTCTCCGAATCTTCAGACGACAGATAAATTCGCAACCRGCTAGGCATTGCCATAACGTTGATACGCTCCATAGAGAATCTGGACCAGCCTTGAATGGTATAGCCCTTGGTTTTATGTCGTCATTGTCGTGAGAGGATGGCGCCTCTGGTTGTGGCCGGATGGCGGCGCATTGATGAATCACACAGCTTCGCTCGGTCTCCCAGCTTGATTCGTGCTACTCACTCGACATGTAGGAATCGGTGCTACGCAGAGGCGTTGAGCTTGTTGGCGTGACATGAGACGTACCACAGGTACCGCGATTGGTGATAGGTTCGTTCCTTTGTTTCCCCTCTGGCGTCTCAGCTTGTCCTTGCCCGCCTCTGCACGTATTCCTCGCTTCTGGGCAAACTCCATGTCAAGGGGCGGGTGAAGAAGAGAACGAAGAGGTCGATGTAGATTTGTGGCTGAGGATTACCTTACCTAATCTCCTAGGGGTCATCGCGGGATCATCCGCGTCCTCGCACGTCACCCGCGCGTGGCAGGGCAGCAGCGACTTTATGGCCCAAACTTGACAACGCCTCGCACATCGTCACCACCGTGACATCCAACCCATCACGTCCATTTTCCCACCCGTGCCACGACAGTTGGAGCAGAAGGCGGACGGGCCATCATTCAGCCGCGAGACGATGCAATCCACACCTCGCCATCCTTCATAAACGAGCATCACAATGGTCAAGCCAGACGTGAAGCATAACTATTACGCTGATCTCGACCTGCCCACGAATGCCAGCATTGAAGATGTGAGAAAAGCTTATCGGAAGCTCGCGCTGCAATTCCATCCAGACCGCAATGCAGGCAAAGAGGCCGAGTGTGTGCCTCGATTTCAAGCCATTCAGGCGGCCAACGAAGTGCTGTGTGATCCCACGACCAAGGCCCGATACGATGCGGACCGCCGCAAGGTTGGCCTCTACCCGTCTACGACATACAAGCCGAATGTGCCGTCTCCTGGCAACCCATACGCCGCTTCATCAGCATTCCCACCACCTCCACGCCGCACTCAGCCGGGCCAGAGCACATATCAACGCTCCGGTGCTGATCGCTTCACCCACTTCCCGCGCGCAGCCAACACGGCGCCTCGGAAAGATCCGGCAAGCGAGCGGACGGAGCAGTTCCGGGCATGGCAAAGCATGAACACGGGCACACAGCGACCTGCTCCACCTCCACCTCCACGTCCAGCGGCGTCTCCCAAACCGCCGCCAACGCCAAATGGCAGACCGAACGCTCCACGACAAGACACCAAACTGCCGTCTGAAGAGCAGATAAGAGCTGGTATGAGGCATGGCAAGGCGCCCACAGCAGATACCGAGACGCTCAATGCCCGTCAAACGGCGTGGCAGGAATACGGCAAGAGTGGCACCAATCGTAGCAAGAGCCAGCGTCCCGCTCCGACTACTCCGAAGAGGACGGGCGGATTCGATCCAAATGCACCGGGTTCGGACGAGAGAGCGGCGCCTCAGTCGAGCCACTACCGACGAGGCAACCGATCTGACGACTTCCTGTACCCACCACCACCSCCAGGTCCCCCTCCTGCATCAAGTCCCCGATCGCCAGTTTCTCCCCAGCCTACAAGACCTTTTGCAGATCCACTTCGATCTTTCAGACAGCGTGAGGATGCACCATATATGGAAGGCAACCGCACCAGCACCCCGTATTCCTCGCTCAGTGGCGAGAAGACACAGTTCTCTAGCGAAGGCCTACGAAGATCCGCCAGCACTCGCGATACCACCGCGCTCCATCCAGAGGGCCCAGAGAGCCCACAAAGCTCCACACGTGCCAGAAGCACGAGTCCGCTCGGACGGCAGCAAAAGCAGACTAATGGAAAGCAGACCCGCACCCCAAGACCGCCATCTTTCATGCCTGGCATGGAGAGCTCTTCCAGTAATCCGTCGTCGGATGCTGAACCTGCGCCTCGAGAGCGTAAGATTGCTCAGCCGAAGCCACGCAGGGACCGCTTTCCCAACCACGAACCTTCATCGCCACAACCCGGACCTACCTCTAACGCTCAGCCAACCCATGATGTTCAATCGGAACCCGAACAGCCCGACATGCAGCAACGGAAGAGCAGCACCAACATGTACGCAACCCCCCCTGTTTCACATTCTTTGCCTTTCTCGTCTTCCTTCAGCCGCAGGAAATGGTTTGGAGAAAACTTTGGCTACGGCAAGAAAGTTGTGCCCAGTTGGGCTATGCCAAGTTCTATTCTTCCAACATCTTACAGGCGCACACCTCGGCGACCGATACCCGAAGTCACTTGCGCTACGGATGATCTTCTGCAAGAAGCTGAGCAGGATACGTCTTGGCGCGAGTCTTCAACAGACCTGCGACGGGCGTATCTGCACTTCCGCACGCAATCGATGGTCGTTCGCGGTATTGATATGAAAGACGTCAAAATCGCAGACATGTTGCAACTCATTCATATGGTGCAAGGTGGAGCGACGACGCAAGACGAATTTTACGACACTTTGCTTACTGAAATTCTTGCGCGCTTTCCCTCCGTTGGAGGTGAGAAGGTACAACAACCACCTGCTGATCATCACTCTTCTGCCGACAGATTCAACATTCCCATCAATCACGACACCTTTACGTCAACGGGCATCAAAAGTCGGAGCGAGGAGAACATCAACACCAATTTCTCTCCTGAAGGCTGGAGTGGTAAGTTTGCGGGCTCGACAGACTACTTTGCTCAGGAAACACCTGGACGGAAACGATCGCCTACTCGACGGGCTGGCTCACGGCGTGGTCTGTACACCCCAGACTCGGGCAGTGCAAGTGAGAGCATGCCACCGCCACCTCCACCAGATTCCACACGACCGAGACCGCAACCTCCGCTCGACTCGACAACCCCGGTGCCACTCAACGGTAAGTTTAGTGAGGAGGAGTGGAAGAGTACATTCAAGGACGCGTMATGGACATGGCCGCCGCCCCCTTCAACGGCCCCTCCTACTGATCCCAAGCCTGGTCTACGATCGAAGGTAGGCAGCCGAAAGGCTAGCAAGCTGTCTTCAAAGTCTTCACATCCCAGTAGTGCCAGTAATCCGAGCAGCCATGCTGCTTCCGGTACCCGAGACAGTCCAGTCGTGCTCGACGGTGATGATGTCGCGCCTGAGCCAGAGCCCGATGCCATGGACATTGACACGCCCCCACCCACCCGACCTGTGTCTGATGACTCCACGACCACGCAGCCCATTTCAGGCGCAAAAGGAGCTCGTGTGTACTCCGTACCGATCTCGGAATGGCGGCAACAACAGGCAGAAGCGAATCGCGAGAACCCTACAGCAAAACGGCAAGCACGCACGACACCAGTCGAGCCTCAGCTTACAACCAACCTCGATGACCTTGCAAATGTCGAGCCTATCGCCCGTAGTGCGGACGGCGGGCTGCGAAATCTTGCTGATTTGAGCTCTACTCTCCCCTTCACTTCACAACCGTCGAACAGCGCGACGAGTGGGAAGGATAGTCAGCTTCTGCAGATTCCTCCATTGCCGAAAGTCCCCATGGCACCGAACAAATGGACAAAGAGCAGCTGGCACGAATACGCACAGCGTTTCGCAGCGTATCTCCAACATCATCATCAGTTTACGCGCACTGTTCTGGCGCACTTTGAAGCTCGGGAGAGGTTATCCGAGGAGCGTATGCGGGATGCATCATGGTTGGAGGCTTCAGGTGATGTCTTTGAGAGCTATGCGAGAGATTTGAGGCAGGATGAGAAAGTCAGGGAGGTCTGGAACCTGGCAGAGGAGAGACACGGCGAGGCTGTCAAGGGTTTTGAAGGCAGCAGAGAGCAGATTCGTCGCATTGTCAACGGAGGCGGACTGGCGGACTAAACACCAGTAGCAATGTGCTGTGCGCACACCAGACCTTTGCATGGGTTACTGGAAATGTGAGCAAAGGTGTTATACACGGACTGATTATACATTGACTGATGTGCTACTACCTGCTGGGAATTCGGGGGCCTTGGTGGCCTCTCTCGTTGCAGGGCGTCCGGCGTTGGGAAGAAACTTCTTTTAGTCGGTGTTCATGAGATACCCTTGGAATGGAAGAATAGAGTCTATCACGATTTGTCTGCATCTTCTGCCTTGCATTGAGAACCAAACGCGCCWCGGAAATCTTGACAGGACTTCGGAAGATTGAGCTATTAATGTCGTTGACACTTCAACCCCTACCACACTACTTCAAACTATCGCAAGGAATGTCTGATATCAACGCCGCGGGATTGACGTATACATCATGATACCAGTAAACTTGCGCCTCGGGCTTCAGGGAGAGGTTCGGTGGTGCCTCGATCCTTTGGTCGGTTTTGAAAACGGTGTATTGAGTTTTGTAGCTGATGAATCCCGTCAGTGAATTCATATTCAAAAGGGCAGCGGTGAGAGGGGATGAGGGCGAATGACATACTAGAGTTGCGAACAATTGGAGATGGGAGCTGGATACGTCTGCTCTATCCTTCCGTGGGACTCGTACACTGTGGCTGTGTAATTGTTGTCTGCGATGAATGTTGTATTGGGGAAATGCTAAATGGAGCCGTTAGTTTTTTTCTTGTGGGTAGGCAGGGATTGATTTTACATACGACCAGAACTCTTCCATTCACGAGGAAACTCTCTTTACATTTTTGTATGGCGGCTGCTCCGGCACAGTGGATTGTTAGGGTCGTTTGCATTCCATCTGGGGGAAAGTAATCCGTGTAGCCGGTTGTGACTTTTGGGTCTTCGGCCGCGTCTACGAGGCTATTGCACAGTTTGCTTTTAGTCTGGAATTGCTGGGAAGGATGACTGATGGAAGACGAACGCTTGGAGAAATGGACGGAACTCGGGTTGTACGCCGGGTTGAGGATCATACTGAGCGAGGTTGGCACAGGAGCCTAGAGTCGCTGCTACTAGGAGCAAGGTTGGTAGGGTGGGGCTGAAGGGCATCTTCGCGTGGGAGTAGAGGTGAGAGATCGAAAGGTCTACAAGTTGCTTGTAGACAAAGCTGCAATCTGTATTCAGATGATGACGGAGTGAGATGCAGTGATATTTGTCTCCAAATGGAGAAGGTCTAGATCTCGGTAATTGCTTGAGTTGTCAGCACCGATGTTCTACCTTGTAAGTACCCCTGATAGTCATTCTTAAACTCCCCGGTAGACACGAAGTTACGGCCGCGTATACAGCACTTAAGTAGGCTTGAAGCAGCTAACATACTATTTCGAATCTCACTGTGAGAACATGTGATAGATGTATCCTTTGTCGAGCAATATTGACCTTCACGTGGTTTCAAATTTCAGGGGTTGCCAGCAGGTCCGGTTCGCGGTCTACTGCCGGGTCAACATTTACTCTTACCTCGGTGTTCCTGATCAAAGCYAAGCATTGCTAATTCAAGCTTCCATTTGTGTTCTCATGCTCGGCAGGTATGCGGCTCAGTTAAGATCGTTCATACTGTGTGTCGGAAATTTAGGGTTAGGGTTTGGGTAGCACAAGATCCTCTGATGAAGCTCACATCTGAACGGCTCAACGTGTGCTAGGGCGATCACATAGCTGGAGAGTATTTCATGTGTAGATAAAGACAAGTTGACATGTGTAAGTTACTTTGTAACGCCGCTCGTGAATTTAGGATAACCACATGTTCAAAGCCAACCGGCACGTTTGGAGACTTCCAGTCGATTTTTTAACCAGGAGCACCGACACCGACGTAACTTTGTTCCATTCTTCAATGTTGATGTCACGAGTACAATGACCAGCACATAAGTTCCACAATCTTCCCCCTTTCAATTCATCCAGCAGCAAACACTGGGTGGTAACAACAACAGACAAGAAACGCTTATCGGCTTCTGCTTCAACACCATTACGGTCTCTCTTCCAAGATTCATTCCCATCGACGACACCTGTTTCACCCTAAGAACTGAGATAGCTTCCATTTACGCTATCAATACACAAGCACCATCGCAAGAAAGGGACGATGTCTTCAATTGACCCAAACGATACAAGCAGTCACCCGTCTGCATCCAATCCGGCCGCCGACAGTGTCATCAACTTTCTTCGACCGATGTTCCCAGATCCCAGGAATATCGTCAGAAGCATAGCAGCTAACAGTGCCCTACTCTCCGGACACCGTGTGCTCAGCCTATTCTGCAACAAGACTCCTGTATCGGCTGACGATCCTCTCATCTTCTACGTGCCCGATAGCGAAGAATGCATCTCAGCATTGCTCATGCATGGCCCTTGAAGACGAAGGGGTTGTTTTCGATGATATCTACAAGCCATTCCGCGAATTGCTCGCGGCTTCTCCATCTGAACCCACAACGTTGAGCGTCATGTTCCATGACATGAATTGCTGCTATATGGGTGGAAACAACAGTCGCATTCGCCAGGAGGGAGGCATTCCCGACTCGATCAAAGGCGGTGATGCCATCACAAATTTGTTCATGCAGGCCGCCAAGATAATGAACAAGCGCATGTGGCTGGAGTACAACAAAGCGGTAGACACAGATAAGCCCATCGTCATAGATGTTGGCAACTCGAAACTTGTCGTGCACTTTGATCGTCCAGATCCGCAGACCACCACCACGCTACACCCTCTCATTGTCGAAAATGACGAGAATTGTGTCGTTCATGGCCGTCCGTACTTCTCACAATGGCTCATCATTCAACATTCAGGTCATCAGTCGCTTCGATTGGGTGCCAATAGAGCACATATTGAGTCTGGAGTACACACATTTGCAATGTTTCATCTCTGCGTACGGAGCTGCTCATTTCTACCATAAGGTGACCTCGAAGTACATGACTTATGTATTTGGAGACGACACAACCCACGTCCAAGCTCCAGCTTGATACCTGCTGCTCCCCCGCTCGCCAGATCCACTGAAGGTGGAGGTTCGCGGTTTGAATCCCCATAAGTTCCCCGAGAGCAAGGTCTATGGATTGAAATTTTGGGTTTGATCTGGGTGTTGCAAGTCCGCGCGTTGAGGCTCGGAGAGAGGCTTTGTACAGTTTGATGTGGCTCCAGGATGGTTATCGGTGCTGGAAAGTCGTCGATCTGGAGGTTGCATATCGGCTCATTCACGAGCTACAGTTTGGACGGTYGACGTCGGCAAGAATGCATCCTCATATTGGAATCTATGTGGTCAAGTTCATGAATGTTTGGTAATTTGGACCCGTCGAAGGGGCTACCGAGGGACGCCATGATCCCGTTCTGAGAGAGATGAGAAAGTCGCTTTTGGATACAACACCGACCTTGATAATTGGGCGATAGCAATGCAGAATGTGGTTGTAATCTAGGGGTGTAGAGTTATCACTCACAGCTCCAAGTCAAAGAGTGGATTTAAATGTCGACTTGTGATGATGTGTTTCCTCCATAACCCCCTGAAACCTAAAATGAGTCGCTGACGAGAACTCACACAATTGAGTCCACTCTCAGGAGTTCTAGCTATAGTTTCAACAAATGAATTGTTTCGAGGGCGGCCTCTATGTTGATAACAGATCAATAGCCTTGAGCGATATTGCGTTCAAAATCTCATCCTCAGGTCTGGTGCTCTATGTGACACTGGAGACTTTTGTTGAAGTCGATGACATCTTTGATCCTGCAGCTTGATTACCTGCTACAAGTTGTTTCTCAGTCCSCTCGTACAGTCGCCTCGAGCGGCATTGCTGCTGTTGTTCTGACCATAGTTGTTTCTAACAGCAGGAACTGGGAATGCAGGAGAACGTAGTAGACCGACAGTTGTTTGTGGTGTGTACAAACACAGGTAAATACATAAGGACAACAGTCCCCAGATAGAAACAATCAAGCGTTTTGATACTTCTCTCACTCTCACTCACATGTGCCCATACCTTGGCACTATAAACAACTACCATTGTTCCGAGACAAAAGCCCAGGACAATGACCCCTTTTTCGGTCTTTTGTTCTTAGGATCAAGAGACTATGGCATTGTGCCACTGTTCTTTGTGCCTGCATCATGTATATATATATATAGCCTCGTGGATGTTCAACATCCTTACCTTTTGACACATTCCGAAGAAATCGCAGCTTCTCACGCCTTCACTACAAGCAGCCAGCCTGCTTTTCCCGATCAAGACGAACATACTTGATACATACCGTTCAAAAACGATACTGTAAGTCGTCCTAACCATCAGTCATCACCATGGCAAGCTCACTTACTTTTGGCGTGGAGCTAGAATTCCTGATCGTGTACCAAGAGGGCGTCTTTAACAAGGAACTACCAGAACTTATACCACACGGCAGGGAAGAACATCAAAAAGATGGAGCGCYTGGGCCGATCCAAGTCATTCACCACCTACTCGAATCTCACGGAATCAAAGCCAGTGAAGAGGAAACATACGAACGATGGCACGTCCAATTGGAGGAATTGGAACTGTCGCATAATGAGAGGCGCGCTGTGCCCGATGGTTATCTCCAAAGGGGCATTGAAATATCCTCCCGGAAATTTACCGCCACAGAAGACTGGGAGCAAGAGGTGCGTGCCGTGCTTTCAGTACTGCATTGGATGAAAGACCGTTTCGAATGCGAGATACTGACAAACTCTTCGACTGGCCTGCATGTGCACGTTGGCGATTCTACCGGTTTCTCGCTGGAAACTGTCAAGCGTGTCACACAAATCGCCAGTATACATGAGCGAAATCTCGACTTACTACACAACGGGAACCGAATCTTGAATATTATGGCAGCCGCTCAGCGGGATCCACATAATCTCGTCCAAGAGCCGTTGTACGCTGGTCTATCATTCTTCCATGCTTCCGCGGACAACAACACCGCTGGTGTGGACGAAGAGATATTCAGCATGCTCAAGGTCATGGTAGTTATCGAGGCCAAAAACTCAATCGCTGCTCTCGGAACGCATGTGAACCGGGTAGTTTATCAGAGCCAGAGGATCAGGGGACACGACTGTACCCTCAACCTCGATAACTTGTACCCCGATCCCGACGCTTCCCGCCATGCGCCGCCTCGTTCAGGAACGATCGAGTTCCGACAACATGCCGGTGATCTGGACGCAACAGAGATCACATCCTACATCAAGCTGTTGCTTACACTGACGGAGTTTTGCACGCACGCTGCCGACGCTGACATCATGGCCCTCGTGGCTAATGGCCTGTATACTTCATTCAAGCTCCGGCAATTCCTGGAGTACATTCATTGCGATGGCCAGATCGTCGAGCATTTCTGCAATCGTCCTGCACGAGACCAGACCACTGCACCAAACCCGTCTTTACAGCCTCTGATGAACGTAAACCATGCCGAGTCCGAGCGCAGCAGAAGCGTTGACGCTACCGCGAGCGCTATCCAGGAGAAGAAACTCACCGAGACTTATGGCATCGACTTTACAGTATCCGGCAAGATCCCCTTGGGCGTTCCACATTACAAGTGGATGCTGGACTGCGCCGAACAAGACATCATTTCAGACGTGGTTCCTCCGCCTCAAGACATCAAGTCTCAGGCTCGACAAGTGGTCTTCCGCAAGATTTCCGAGATTTATGTTGATCTTGATGATTCGGAAGATCTGGACCAACCCGGTATCCCCCACGCCCTGGATCCATGGATGCTGAAGTACGGCATGCCTCCGGGTGATGATGACGACTCTGAGTGAGTCCTATTTTTCTTTAGCCGAACCAATATCAAATCTTTCTGACGACCCTTACCTGAAACATTTCCCGCTTGAATTAAATGTATATGTATTCCATTAGCAAGAATACAGCTAATATGACTTAACCACTTCCGAGGAGATGTGGCGTTCTGGTTTTGACCGCTCCAGTTCTGAAATTGCTCTCTCGCTGCGCTGGTAGAGGAGGCATTCTGAGCATTGTGCTGTTATTCTGCAATCAAAACATGAGATCGTACTGATCTCCTCACGTCGGACGTCGATGATAGTGTAGTGAACAAGAACGAGGGGAGAAGTGAGTTGTCGGAAGATCGTTCTTCCATTGCCCCGCATAAGCTTACCGTTCAACCAATCGGACTCTTCCGGGAAGTGATGACACCAATCATGATGCACACGTTACGGTTGACATCATCATCATCCTTGCGCGTGTATAAGCAATAGCTCGTAAATAGCTGTCGGACAAGCAATCCTGCAGGCATTGTACGAAGTAATTCACCGACACCTTCTCCCCTCTTCCCCACCAACTTTCATGCTCCTCCCACGCCTCTCTCATCAAATCATCACCAAATCAACACGCCAATTCCTCCCCGCCATCAACAAGTCTACCGCGTTCGGTAGCAACAACATTAGAAGCATGACGACCGCTTTCAAGCTAAAGGACATTTCGTCCCTCAGCGATTTGAAGAACGGAGAGAAGAAAGAAGTAAACATCACCCCACATCATCTGATATCCATCATTCTCATTGACATTCCCAGGTCGAAGTCGAAGGACTAGAGAAAGTCAAGATCCTTCTCGCCCGCCACGACAACACAACCCACGCCCTCTCACCAAAATGTACCCACTATGGCGCACCGCTCGCCAAAGGAGTCCTCACCGCTTCCGGCCGCTTGACCTGCCCTTGGCACGGAGCTTGCTTCAATGTCAAAACGGGTGACATCGAGGATGCTCCTGCTCTTGATCCATTGAGGAAGTACACAGTCGAGGAGAAAGACGGTGCCGTATGGGTGACAGGAACGAGCGAGGCACAGTTGAAGGAGAATTGGAAGAACTTGAGCATCAAGTGCAAGAGTACGGAGAAGAAGGAGAAGGTCGTGATTGTTGGTGGGGGAAGCGGCGCTGTTGGTGCAATTGAGGGGCTGAGAGGCGGTGGCTTCACTGGAGAGATTGTGTGTGTGCTCGGTGACGAGGGGCACTTGCCAATTGACCGGACAAAGTTGAGCAAGGGCTTGGTGAATGATGCAAAGAAGGTGGAGTGGAGGAGTGAGGAGTTCTACAAGGAGGGTGGCGTGGAGCTGGTCCGAGGACTGGCAACTGGCGTGGACGTTCAAGCCAAGAAGGTCTCCACGGACAGCGGCAAGGACATTGAGTACACAAAGCTCATTCTTGCTACTGGAGGAATTCCGAGAATGTTGCCTTTGGAGGGGTTGAAGGGCGATCTGGGCAATGTCTTCCCTCTGAGGAGTGTGTCGGACGTGCAGGCCATCCTCAAGGCTGCAGGTGAGGACGGTGGCAAGAAGGTGGTGGTGATTGGCTCTTCATTCATCGGAATGGAAGTAGGCAACGCACTGGCCGGAAAGAAGCACAATGTCTCCATCATTGGTATGGAAAGCGAGCCAATGGAGAGAGTCATGGGCACCCAAGTCGGCGCTGTCTTCCGCAAGCTGCTCGAAAAGACTGGCGTCAAGTTCCACATGTCGGCCTCTGTTGAGAAGGGAACTGGAAAGGATGGCAAGATTTCGTCCGTCTCTTTGAAAGACGGCACATCTCTGCCAGCCGACTTGGTCATCGAAGGTGTCGGTGTCCGCCCTGCTACCGACTTCCTCAAGGACAACTCTGCCTTTTCGTTGGAAAAGGACGGCTCCCTCTCTGTTGACGAGTCCTTTGCCGTCAAGGGCCAAAAGGACATCTTCGCAATCGGTGATATTGCTACCTACCCATACCACGGACCAGGTGGTAATGGCAAGCCTGTTCGCATTGAGCACTGGAATGTCGCACAAAATGCTGGCCGCAGCGTCGCCGGAACCATCAACGATCCTTCAAGCAAGCCAAAGCCATTTATCCCTGTCTTCTGGAGCGCTGTCGGAGCGCAATTGAGATATTGCGGTCACACCCCCGAGGGTTTCGATGATGTGATTGTCCAGGGTACCACGGATGTGAGTGAGGGCAAGCAGAGCTTCGTGGCCTACTACACCAGGGGAGAGGATGTCATTGCTGTGGCGAGTATGATGAAGGACCCATACATGGTGCAGAGTGCAGAGCTGATGAGGACCGGGAGAATGCCTGGCAAGAGCGAGATCAACAAGGGGGTTGATGTCATGCAGGTCAGTCTGGTGGAGGCCTGACTGAGACCGAGAGGCGGCAATAGACAAGATGCATGGATGAAGGGTAAAACATGAGCTATGAATTACGGCTTTCCATTCGAAAGTCTGATCGACGATTGTGCGTTCTGAGACACCCCGGGGTTTGCCGTTGATATCTAACCTCATATTTAAACATAAACGGTATCGTTAATCCTTATGTTAATCTTTGTTCCCGAGCATCCACTAGCTTCCGCGCTTGGTTCCCCAATCACATCACCCCGCATCTTGCACCTCCAACTTCACTCATCACAACTTCGATATAGTGTATACAACAAAATGTGAAGACCACGAGATGCTCCATGCAATCTTTTACGCCCGCTTCCACCCTCTCCGTGGTCCCTCCATAATCCACCAATACCCACCAACCTCCATCCTCCCACCGCCGTCCTCTAATGCAGTCCCTCTAATCAGCTGGTCAGACCTCTCGGCCTACATCATCCCACCATACCCACTCTGCAACCAGCCCCTCTCCATCCTCTCCGACTMAGTCCGCGTTCTAGGCTTTCCCATCTCCCTCGAAGACCCCGAATATGACCGCAACCGCTTCACATTCAACATCTGCTTCGTAGTCTCCGCTTCCGACAAGGCCGGAACGTGGGAAGGTTTGGTCCGCAAGACGGCGCGATTCTTCGAATCGATTGAGCGAGAGGATTGCGTGCTGCAAATTGAAGAGGATTTGAAGGGACTGAAACTTGCTGGAGAGGAAGGATATCCCRAAAAGGGCGTCGGGACGGTCGCGTATCTTTTGGAGAGAGTTTGGGAGGATTTGAGGGGTTTGGGGGAGTGTTGTGTACAATTGCCGGGATATGGGACTGGGACTTTGAATTTGAGGGTTGAGGAGGAGTTGGATGAGGAGAAGGAGGATTGTAGAGGTGTTAGGGTGAGGAGTTGGGATGTTCCGGTCTTGATTCGGGGACTGCCGGTTAGGGAGGAGTGGACGAGGGACTTGACGTTGGAGAGGGTCGGGGAGTGGGTTGATGGTGTGAGACATGTGGGGAGGATTGCGGAATTGGCGGACGTCGAGGTCAAGCTTGTGAAGAGGTGTGTGAGGGAGTTGGTGGTGTTGAAGAGGGCGATGGTGTTGGACATATTCCACTTTGGAGCCATCTATACTTGCACCAAAGACGTGGTGGATTTTGTTCGGGATGAGGACTTGCAGGAGGAATGCAGAGCCTACGTCGCTATTGTTTCCAAGGATGAGAATGATGGGCAAAATCTACCGAACAAGGAGACTTTGATAGAGCTCTACACCTCCCTACAGCCTGGTCTCCAGCTCCGCGACTTCTGCCTCGAGCATGAAAGCTCATTGCATAACATCGACACCCGCCGCCTTATAACATTCGGCATTATCAAAGGCTTCCTCCGCAGAATCCACAAATTCGCCGTCGCGACCGACAATAACTCCCCGCTTCCCAGTGGAGGCAAGAAACTCCGCTCTTCAAATTCCCATCCCTCAGGCGACGAAGCTGCGCGAGAAATGGATCGTGCCTGGCGAAAAGCCGCAATGAGTTCGGGATGGGCAACTCCACCGCAGAATCCCACGCCGAAGTCCGGAAGTGGGAGTCTTGTGGGGAGTAGGAGGAACGAAGCGGACGTTATGAGAGRGAGGGTCATGTTCTATTTAGATGGAGGTTCGCCATTGGACCGAGCTTGTGTGGAATTGGGCGTTGGCGAGAAGGGATTTCTGGAGAAAGTAAGGGGCGGAAGGTGTGGGGAGGTGGTGCTGTTTAATAAGTGATGAGATGACGGATCACGATGTCGACGATGTCGATGACAATGATGGTATGACTTGAGGAGAGGCTCTGACCCAGTTCAAGAAAGAAGCATCGCATTACCACAATCGGGAGAGACAGATGAAAAGAGTCAAAGTGCATCAGCAAAGTCCAAGCAGTAAGTCATTCCGTATTATCCTTTGAGCTATCGTCCCATATTCAACTCCCCGCAGAATCTGTCACCTCATTCCCTCGCCAGTCGGCCATAATGTACGTCATCTCATCTAACAGACAAGCGCCTGGACGACTCCGAAGAAGCCGCCAGCAATGCCATTGATGGCTCCGACGATAGCAGCGCCAGCCTCCCCGATAGTACCGCAGATGACCTGATGGAAGTAAAGTTAGCTGAAGTTATCCACCCACCAACAAACAACATCACTCACCGAATCCTTGCTCTGCGTAAAAGACACAGAGACATCCAACTGACCAACCATCCCGTCATCATCATTGTTGCGGACCACAACCGAGAAGAAGTTGCTTGACTTGGAAACATCGCAGCGGTATTCGCGGCCCGGGCTATGAAACAGAATCAGCACATGAGATTACTCCCTCTCATTCCAAGGTACTCACTTATGAGGGCTGTTCTGTGTGAAGATCGAAACGACCTCTTCAATCTCCACCGCCTCAGGAATAGCCTCTGCTTTCACAGCTTCAATCATCGCCTCCTGCATTCCAGAAGGCCAGCGTCCCTCGGCGGAAATGCTGACCGTAGCAGGCTGTTCCATGCCGTTATCTGGATATGTAACTTCCACGCTCGTGCTGGCGCCACTATCACAGCCCAGGTCGCCGCAAATCTCCGAGAGCTTGGAGAGGATGTCGCCGGGGATATCTGTGCGGCAGCCGTAAGGAATTGCGGTCTCGCCAACGAGGGGCTGGGTTGAGCGGGATTCCTGGCGTTTGGCGATTGAGGCCAGGTCAGTGGTGGCGTTGGAGCTTCCGAAACGGTAGTCGTAGTCAAGACTGCCGGGCTCCATGCCGGGCTTGAAGCGGGTGGTGGTGTAGCCGAGGTCGTTGGTGTAGGTCTCCCAGTTCGTTCCTGCTGTTGGAAAGGCCGCGGCCAGGCTGGCGAGGGCCGCGAGGGAGGAGAGTGCTGCGGTGGTCTTCATTTTGGCTGATGTGGTGTTTTGTTGGAGAACTGGAGCTGTTTGGTGAGATTGAATGAGTTGGATTGCTGCGATGATGAGAAGAGAATGAGTACGGAGACTGGAGTGTCTTATATCATGTCTTTCGCAGCATTGTTGATGACGATGAGGCTTTCAACACACTCTGCAACAGCTACATCATCGCGAGCCTGAATCCTTCATGCTGTATTGTCAACACACGCAGGAGGTGTTGGTTACTGTGTGGAAGGGGAAAACAACCCTGAAGTCCGGGCATTGCTATTCTCAGGTCACACCTTGCAGTCCTCTACGCGATCGTCGGGTCCAAGATGGCACCATATTGCAGTACGAGCAGCAAGATCGGGCGAAATGCCAGGGCGAAATCTTGCCTTCGCATGTAGGGATGCTCGCCAATCACAGCTGTCACACCTCGCAAAACAGCCTCGTAGTGTTGGACATTATCCGCTCAATGGAGCAGAAATGATGTATGCCATGCAGTGCGGCTGAATAGGCTGAGGATGCCTACAGCGATCGAAGCCGCAAAATGAATGTCGAGAGGTGAGCTGAAGGTAGCCGGGCAGAAAGGAAGGAATGAGGGCTGGAAGTGGATACCTTATGCTCTCCACAGGGTCGATCTTTCATACCCCCTAGAAATAGAAACCAACACTTATACCAAGGCTTACCGGTGTATTTTATCGCGTAGTGACCAATGGACGCGCAGCTCCAAGACAACTATGACTGATTATTACCTTTCTCGATTTAGCTCCCACATGTCATGTTCCTGCAAGCCTCTCTTGGYTGACCTCATGAACATGGTAAGATGGACAGACACCCTGCACAGTTTTGCAGGACTTCTTATTTGGTTATGCTATTCCTTGGCAATGATGGTCGGAAAGTAGGATTCGTCCTACCTTCTTCTGTCGCGGAGCACATTTGTACATCACTGGAACGAAATCATGGGTCAGAAACGCCACATTGTCTAAGAGGCGTGTCTTTGAGGCCACCACCACATGCATCCTCAGTACTCGTTGCACATTCTCCACGGCCGAATGAGAAACGAATGGTGCAAAATCAGCACGACGCAACTGGTGTTTGCATCATGCTGCGTGTTATGGAACCCCGATGAGCATTTTTGGTACATATTAGTGCTGCGTAATCATACAGTGGTCGCTCTCATTCAGGCATTCCACATTTTCCTGCGTTTCGCACTGTGACTTGCGGCCTGAGCACGCTTCATTACCGTGCTCCCTCATGATGAACAATCTTTACGTTCGTGCAAGAACCGCGAGCAGCCCGCATGAGGCCAGTAGAAGGAACATCCCATCTGCCCAGTCGATTGCATCATTCAGTTTCGCACTCGATTGCCCACACTCTTGCATTCGTGTTGAGGAAACTCGTCTCTACTGCCCTAAGTATGCTTCTTGTTCTCGTTGAAGTAGCGCACATACACGACAATACCAATGACAATCCCCACGATGAGATAGGCAAGGAGCTGGAGTGGAAAAAAGACGATCAGTGCGCGGCGCTTCTGCTTGCTGCCCATGCTCGTGATGCGGCCTTGGGTCTTACGGGTGATGATCCAGTCGAACCAACCGAGCCCGTAGGCGAGTGCGCAGAACGGGAGGATGATGGACAAGCTCTGGTACTTATCCGAGATGTTCGTCTGCTCCTGGTACGTCCTGTGCGGAAGTAGCCGAGCCTTGTTCTGGTGTGGGCTGTTCTCAATGGGATGATCATTCCATTTGACTTCACGTCGGAGTAGCTCTTCGTTGGAGAAACCCTTGCGACCGGATCTCGTCTTCAGCCTGAACTCGCGCAACTCAATCTGCCCGTCAATAGCAGGAGCGTCTTGCTGTACGGATCGAGTGCAAACGGATCTCAGTTTGGAATGTCCATTCACGACATGTCCAGTGCTGGGAGGGGATCGCAAGCGACCCAGTGCGGTGTTGGTCGGGCTTGCGTTGCGCGGATCCCACTGACGCGAGCGATGAAACGCCTCGGCCGTGAGGTGCTTCTTGCTGCGGACCGTAACGAAGGTCCCTGAGCTTGCACTGAACTCAAGGTTTGTATCTGGTGTGGAGGGTGACAGCAAGCCGCGCTGACTGGAGAAGGATCCGTGATCAACATCCTGGCGACCAAGTGCGGCAATCTTCTGAAACGAGTTCGATGGGTGGTAATTCTGGCGTTTGAGAGTGTTTCTCTGTTTTTGCAACTTGGCCGGCATTGATGACGTCTGCGCCGGTGGTGGCGAGTTGCAAAATCTGTCGAACTCGAAGCGTGCAATAGCCTCATCCATGGCGTTCTTGTCGTAGACTCGAATGCGCTCCATCTCTTTCATGTCACTGTATTCACGTGCTGAGTGGGATCCAGGCGACATGAACCGGCCAGCTCCGAGCTTGTCAACCGTAGCTTTGCGCTTCATGATAGTCAGAGCACGCTTGACATCCCCGGTAGGCCTCGAGGAAAAGTCAATGCCACGTCGTGGTTTTGGAACATCGTGGTGAGGCTCTCCCTTTGGGAGGTAGATGCGAGGGAGAGGCATGCTCGACGACGACTGTTCCATACCCACCCGGGTGTTACCATCACTCCGCTCGCGTTGCGGGCTGACCTCCGAACTTGGATTGTTCAGGTTGGGGAATGAGTCCAAAGCCAGGTGCTTGAGATCGTTCGTAGGGAGAGCTTGACGGATGACAGACGCTGGAGAGTGCGAATAGCGATCCCCATTCTCGTCAAGATCTTCGTCTTCTGTGAATCCTGGTGACTCGCTACGCTGCATCTGGGAAACCTGCTCCGCATCGTCGTCTACAACTGTGTCCCAATCTCCTTCACCACATAAGCTCGGGGCATGGCGTTGCGAGGGTGTTGACCAACGATTGATGTGGGTGATGGAGGCAGTGAGTGCCACCACGCTCCCTGTACGTACTCGATCAGGTGAGTGAGATCTACCATCACGATCACCATTGAAGTCGAAATATGGGTAGTCATCCATGTTATCGTGTGCATGGCGCAACCTTGACAGGGCCATGCTTCGAAGGAGATCGTCGGGCTGCGTACGAGTGACTTGGTTATGGCGACCGATGGCCACATTTGGGTTGGTGTTCGGGGTGATCTGCAGAAGCTGGTTGGTCTCACCGTAGGTTTGCTCGCTGGTGGGAATATCGCTCATGTCAGAAAGACGCATTTGGCGATGAATCGAAGGCATGTTCCGATGCGGCACGTATCCGTTCCGACGAGACGCAAGTGGGCGCGGGACCATCTCGCTGGGGTCCTCAACGGTACGAAGTCCGAGGAAAGAGCTACGGAACTGAGCACCAGGGGAGACTGGAGTCATCCACCCAACAGATTCTTCCTCGGGAATATTGTTGTCGCCTCGACCAAGCTCGATAGACGCCACGCTCCGCGAGGGATCGCTTCCACCATGTATATAGGGATCGCGGGTGTAATCGTACCTGTTGATGAAGGAGAGTTCGTAATCACCTCCGGTGTCTGACATGCTGTGAAAGGAATCTGGTAAGTGCGCTCTTAAAGTGGGGTCGGGGAGGATCTTTAACATACGCATGAGTGTTTGAGCCATTTTCGACAGTCAGGGCGGTACGCTGACCAGTTGAGTCTGAGGCAGACTCCACCATGTCAGGACGTCCTCGCTTCATCACGCCGTCAATGTTCATTCGCTCAGCGTTGTTCCCAATCTCGCTGACGGAGAGATCGAACGGATTGGACAAGCCCGAGTAGCGCTCTCCATCATCCCCAACGAAGCGGTTCAGATTCATTGCACTGCCTTGACGTTGGGTGGAAAAATTGCCTGCTCGATAAAGTTAGCGTTGATCGTACCCTCAAAAGGCACATGATATGTCCTACCTTTGGACTTGGAAAATCCGTAAGCATTGGCATGGTCACTCGCACGACCCTCTTCTGCGAGATCCCGATTCTCTGTACCAGAAGCAATGCCGAGAGATCGTCCGATTGTAGCCATTTTGTTACGGAAAGGGTTGGTGTTGGATCTCTTGAGGGGCGTGAAGCCCAATTCCATATCAGTTGGCGGCTCCTTGGCGACTGCCTTGCCTTCAGTGATAACGGGGGTTGGGATGCGAAGTATATTGCGGCGGGCTGTATCTGCATCATCGTAAAGGATGTGGGCCGGTTTCGAGTCGTTGGCAGTTCGCAGAGACTGTTGCGACGTCTCGCCCGAGTCGGGGATAGAAGTCATCGCGAAGATATTGTCGTGGTCGTCAAAGTAGTCGTCGAGTAAGCAGTCTATCTCGGCTGCTGGCGTTTCGATATTATGTTCGCCTAGAAGAAGCGATGCGTGCGGATTGATGAGGTCAAAGGATGCTCCACGATAGAGTACGGTGGCAGATGGTGATTTTGGAAGATAGTCTACGCACTTGATGAGTAGTGTTTTGAAATGATGGCGGAGGACTCACCACTTGCGCCAGCCCAGTTGTCCTTGTTTGGAGGTGCTGGAAACTCGAACTTTGATAGCGAGAGCGATGAAGTGACTGTTTGGTCCCGCCGATGGAGAGATTCCCCACTGCCGGGCGTCCGGCTGACGTCTTGATTGTGTCGAATGTCAAGCACTGTGGGATGAAGTGCTCGATCTTTGCTGATCGTTGCCGCTGGAAGAGTCGCTTCCTTGCTCAGACCTTTCTCCTCGCCTGAAAGATCGAACACGGCGGCATATACCTTAAAAATGCCACTTTCCCGACTGCCCTGTCTGTCTGCCTCCTCCCGTGGGAATCTTCGCGCGCGTTTCACACTGGAGTACTTACGTTTGGTCCCGATGAGCTCACACCGGTCGTGCTGCCCAGTTTGCTCCTCGGCAGAGCCACCGCGAAGTATTGGCGTGTGTGTTGGTGTCGACTGTAACGTCGTGATTGTCGAGGATAACGACGGGGACACGGTGTAGGCGCGCGGTCGCGGTGTGGACGGTTGTTGTGGATGTTGAAGCAATGAGCCGTGCGCACCAAAATCGTTGATTGGTGGAGGCGGAATTGAGCTTGGCGTCCTTACAAACGCGGAGTGGGCAGAACTCCCAGTCAGATTCTGTATTGATGGTTTCCGCCGGATTCGCCTGTGCTCAAGTTGCAAAGAAGCAGAGGGCACTGGCGAGTACTGCCACCTCCGATAGTCCTCCAGCGTCAGTTGCGGTGTATCCTGGCGAATCAGAGAGACACCACTGTCCAAAAGCCTCGAATCTGCCGTGGTGGAGCCATCCAGCAGCGAGTAGGGGTCCAGCCAGACCGGCGACATGATGGCGGAGCCTGACTTGGTTCCAGGTTTTGGAGTCAATCTTTCGCAAGCAAGCCTCCCATACAAGAGTCCTCCCATACAACAGATTATCCAAAGAGAAGCAAGCCTGTCTTTCCAAGAGATTCAAGAGGAGACGCCTCCAAGGTCTACTTCCAGAGCGACTGCGCTGGCTGGACGCTCCCAGGATCCAAGGCAAGTCCAGGCCCGAATACAAAGGCGACAATTTTTCAAACCGAGCGCCCGCCTGCAGAGCGTAACAAGCACAATGCGGATCCCGATGATATTCTTGCTATCGATATGCAGTCGCTGCTCGTAGTCCCGTCAGCCTTTGCCTCTTGCGCAACTTTTCAGACGGCGTGCAGGCACCTTTGGGATCTCAAGGGCTGCTATAGATCAGTGTCGAAGCATCTCTCATCAGAACGACGGTTCCGTGTATCGCTGAGTGCGCCGCTCTGGGCCTGAAATGACGGACAGAATTCGAGATTCACGGAGACGCGATGAATGAGAATTTTAATTCGTCAGAGACAGTAGATGTGATAAGTGAAGAAAGCATATCCGAGTTGGGCGACGCTCGAGATGGCAAGTCCACCTACAAAGCAAGGCAAGGCAGCCACGCCACCCCAGCCGGCGAGGAGGAAGGAGCAAACCCAGATCCAAGGCCCGCCGCCATCGCGGAACATTGGGTATCACGCCTAAGGTATGTAACCCCGGACAGGCCCAAATCGAGCAGTGCAGGAACGGACGGCATCAGCGCCTTGCGAATGTCGCGGGCACGAAAGCACGTAGTGTGAAAGCTGAGGTCGAAGGGAACTTGGCACTGCACAAACTCAACCAATCAATCTTCGAGGAGACCTTCCGACACTGAACCGACAGCATCCTAGCATGTCTCACTTTTYCCACGGAACCCCTAGTGTGACAAAAACACGACACAGCGATACGTGTGGCCGCGTGAGCTTCGCGCGGGAGATACGTGGTTGTTTTCGGTGCCAGTGATTTGAAAGAACCCAATGGGCTGCGAAGGACGCATTCTCGCCATGTTTGGCTTCGTTCGAGAAGCAGAGCCGTCGTTACAAGTTGAAAGATTATCGCCGTGAACAGGTCGGCATAGGCTGACGTGAGACAGCCCAGGTATTTGGTGTAAAGGCTCTGCCTGGAAGTAGAGCATGGAGAAAGGAGTGGTGGAGTGACTGCATGGATTTAAGTGGCTCTTACCTCATTGTGGACGCTGTATGCTACATCAACATGTACATACACACCATCCACCATCCACACCTGCATCTCTACGTCAGGCACCGCCGATCCACTATCAGACGCATGTTCAAGAGATCATTGACCAGTAACGGCCCAGTCTCCACATGCGAAGCATCATCCGCCGTGCTTCCATGCATGCACGATGGCTTGCAGCGGAAGGCAGTCTACCGAACAGCGGCCAGCAGCCACTGGTCCGCCAGGTACTCGGTGCCACTCGTCAAATCATTGCGTAATTCTTTACACAGCACACTCCGGAGTTCAATACTACAGAATAAGATCATAAYCATCAAAAACCGAGCCCACAGCCTTGCTTCAAATCGCCTTATTCAGACCAAACACAATCCTATAAGACACAACAGCTGCCAAAACTCCCACGCATAGCGTCTGCACAGCATATCAAATCGCTTCCACACGCGTGGTTCCAGTAACAATGGCTTTCACATGGCCGATGAAAACAAGAATAAGTACGGTGAGTTCGTTCAAAGCCGGCGACGGAGAGTACTATAGCTAGGACTCCGCATGAAGCCATCAGCTCATGGACTGCAGAATGATACGAGGAAAGTTGATTTAAAGTACGACATCCCCATCGCGCATCCTCCAACCCCTGCCATCTTGCGTTCCGGCATTTGTCGTTTCAGCTCAATCTCCATCTTAAACCTCCCGGCTTCCGTCAGCGTTACCTCCCCTAACACAATCTACATGTGTTCCATTTCACAACCTCTACCTACCTTCATCTGAATTTCCTCGTTCATCTTCAAGCTTTCTGCCATGTTTCCAACTAGTTCGTGCGAAATTCCACATCGACCGGGAACTTCGAACCCGATATCGATGTCAGGACATTCGTTAACTTCTCGTTTTTCTTTCCGCTCCTCGACATCGTAACGCTTCTGCTCCGTGCTTGCCGCGAGGTAAGCTCCGAGGCCCATTTAAAGTGCTCTAGCGAAGAGTTCTGCGAGGCCGCCCATAATGACCAGGTGGGTCGCTMAAAGGGCAGATAATGCTGCCGCCAAAGCAAACGAGGCTGCAGAACCATCCGCGAAACCAATGATGCAGTCCTGGATAAGCAGCCCTCTCCGTTGATTGTGCGATGTTGGGCATGCTGTCTCCGCTAGAGAAATCTCCTTGGTTGGCATGATGGACGCTGCGAAGGAGTGAAATATTGCATAGTTTAAGAGGAAGAAATGCTGCTCGAGATCGAGACTTCAACAGTGCTCTTGCTACTTTAAACCTATCTGAAGATGGTGCTGCTGATCCCAGATAACTTGACGAGAATTTGTTGTACCTACAGGTTCTCCACGGATTGCGCAATATGCTATACAACGCGACTGCGAAGGATGTGTGCATAGTTTGGCCAAGGATATCTTAGTACAAGTATCGATTGGGAGGACGTGGGTGGGCGTTCCGGCTGCTCCGAAGCACGAGATTGTAACAAGGCGGTTGCAGAATGTCATACTGGTGGTAGCGTCCATGGTCATCCATATCGTTCATTCTGGACGCCCGAGCGGTGTTGTCCGTACTTATTTATCTATGCAAGCTGTTGCAGGGCAGAGCTCGCTGTTTCGATCACACTCCCCGATGCTAATCAACGAGGAGGGCCATCTTGTCGAAGTCGCTGCGACCCTGGCCGTCAAATACGCAGTGGGGACAGATTCGCGCCTCGCCAAGCTGGGGTGCGAATACCGCAGGAAAATCGTACCTGGGATCATCAACGACACGGGGTCAGTCGATTTGCCCTCGTAACCTTGCTCCAAGAATAGGCACCCCATCCGTGAACAGCGCTATAGACAAATCTGCCAGCTTTGACAACTCGCGACGGGTGGTTCGTCTGCCAGAGATATTGTAATGTTGGGAAACGATCCGCGAGGTCGTTTCCAAAGCATCTTTCAATAACATGACGCGCTCCTCCGCAAATGAAAGAGCGCTGCGCCGTATGAACCCGTGGTACCGCACCCAGGATCCAACGCTGCTTATTTAGGCTGCTTATAATGGCGCCGAGGATGGGAAGACCGTATGCCTGCTGAGAGTGCTGTAATCAATAGAAAATCCCCCATATGTGTAGAGAATGTTCACATAATAATAAGCGATGCAGAGAGGAAAAGAAACTCGCGACTTCTCAAACAAGGTGCCGCGATCGATCGGAAAGCCGGCATTGGGCAAGGGCCATTTCCCGCTAAACCCTAATATCGGAGCCAATCTCCCCTAAGCACTCACTCTTCACACGACGACGACACCACCACCAACTTCGCGCGTGGAAACTCCACGACCATGGAGTCGCGCATCCTCACGCCCGAGCCGGGGCCTCGACAGCGACTACCTAATCTATTCGAAGTCCTCAGCAGAAGGACGCTTGCGCCGGTACGTGGACGGTTTTGTTGACATGCGGGCGCAAACACTGACGACAGCAGGTCGACCTTTTCTCCTTCTACATCTACATGCGCGACGTTCAACGAAGTGTCGACTACCTCGATTTCTGGTAAGCCTTGTACATTCCTGTTACTTGCGAGCGGCAGCAGCCTGCAGGAGGCGATTGAGGGGGTGAAATTGGAAAGTCTTGTGGTGTTTGGGTGGCAGAGCGGGAATTTGGGCAGCGGCAACAATGGCAACCATTGGTGGAGGACGGTGGAAAAATGCTGCATGGACAACACAGCAGTTTGAACAGCACACTTACGCGAATGTTAACTTTAGGCTCGATGTTTCGCAACACATGTCACTGTGTCGACACTACGTACGCGAACTCCGCAGATCTGTCCTCGTCGAGACACCCGACCTCGAGAAGTCCCACTCGAAGCGCTCCTCCCAGATCCTCGACGACTACAACGGCTACAACGAACGTGCAGACTCTTCCGAGCAAGGACCCAGCAATGTATACCGCGACCCGTCCAAGGATCGGCAAACGCCAGATCAACGCCTGTCTGCGTTCTTGAGAAATGATAATGGAAGCCACCACAGCCCACAAAACAGTCAAGGCAGCGGATACGAGTCGGCCGGCACCGCGAATCACGAGCAACCTCCTCGCGCAAGCTTCATGACTGCACACTCTGGCTCCCCGGTGGTCATTACGCAAAGTAACAGCAGTCCTGGACAAACGGTCGCGCGCGCAGATATTCGAGCATCAGCGGAGAAGATTCTTTACACCTTCCTTTTGCCAGGCTCCGAGCGTGAAATTATCCTTCCGCAGGGTATTTTGAACGAGATCACCAACAGTATCGAGCAGGAGGGCAGAGATGATCCGGAGGTGTTTGATGCAGCCAAGGACTACGTATTCCAAGCTATGGAGCGAGACGCATTCCCTGGTTTCCTCCGAGCAAAGGCACTCGGCAACATTGTCCAGCCATCACTCATGCTAAGATTGATCATTGGACTGGTGTCGATTGGTGGGGCGTTCTGGACAGCCTTTGTGCTACTGTTCCTTGACAAGGACAGAGCGACACGATGCTGGCTCATTTTGCCATTCACCGTCGGCATATACTTCCTCGGCACACACCAGTACATGCTGGACCCGATCCTGGCGCTGGTAGGACTCAGCGAGTACACATTCATGAGCTTTGCGAAGGTCAAGGAGCCTTTCGTAAGGTAAGATACCTCAAATCGGGAGCCTCTCGTTCACAATGGCATACTGACCACGTCTCGCAGGAAACTCTTGACAAAACGTGCTTTGACGTGTCTCGCGGGAATGCTGGTTTTGGACGTGGCACTGCTCTGCCTGTTCATCTTCGTACCGGGGAAACGACTATAATATTTGCAATATGGGAGCGAAGCAACGGAGTTTTAGGAGTTCGACAGAGACGGCCGACAGAAACGATGGTCCATCACGCCAGACTGGCTTTTCTGCTGACGTATGAGGGTACCTCGAGGAAGGGAGATTCATAGCTGTTTGAGCGAAAATACTGATTCTTTTCAATCCATCTCCTCATGCTCGATGTCAGAACTGCTGATACCCCCTAGCTCGCCGGGCCTTATCGCGGTTCTTCTCTCGGCCGGCCATCCGCAGATCGACTGGAGACAAATGCGGGGCACCACGCCATGCTTCAAGACTCCACCCGTCTCAGCTCTCCCAGGTTCTCCTCGTTATACCTTTGTCGATCGTTTTTCGTATTTATTCTAACGTAACAGTTTCTATGCAACATTTTTAGACGTCAACAGCCATGCAGTTGGCACCAAAAGAGGTGTGTCTTGACAAGCCCAAGATTTCAAGCAGTGGGGAAAATTGTTCTGCCGCCAAAAAATCCTAACATTACCGTGAGTAGATAGATAAGCTGGTGATCTCCCAGACTGGCTTTCTCGCTCAACGACGACTCGCACGCGGCGTACGACTCAATCGCACCGAAGCCCTGAGTCTGATTGCCAGCGTTCTCCAGGAACTCATCCGCGATGGAGAACACTCAGTCGCCGATCTCATGTCTCTGGGCACGACTTTGCTGGGGAGGAGACATGTCCTACCGAGTGTACCGCATACATTGAGTGAGATGATGGTCGAGGGAACATTCCGGAATGGAACATACCTGGTTACTGTACACAACCCAATCGCTACGGACGATGGAAATCTTGAAAGAGCATTGTATGGGAGCTTTCTGCCTGTTCCTGCGTTGGAGAAATTTCCATGGCCTCCGGTCGAGGGCCTCGGTGCGTGGGAGGCCGAAAAGATGCCTGGTGCATTCATTGCGGTCAAGGGAGAGAAGGGTCGGATAAAGCTGAACGAGGGTAGGAGGAAGATCAGGATAAAGGTCACGAGCAAGGGCGACAGACCAATACAGGTTGGAAGCCACTATCATTTCATTGAAACGAATCCCAAGTTGGAGTTTGATCGGCTCAAGGCGAGAGGTATGCGGCTGGACATTGCAGCCGGAACGAGTGTTCGATTCGAGCCCGGCGATAGCAAGACTGTCACATTGGTGGAAATTGCTGGCCATCAAGTCATTGCGGGTGGAAATGATTTGGCAGCAGGTAGCATCCATGATACGAGCATTACCGACGGCATCCTGCAGCGTCTGCATGCTGGTGGGTTCCTACATGTGGAGCAGCCCACTGCCGATCTGGTACTGGAACCCGTGTCAATGGATCGCGAGAGCTATATTGCCATGTTTGGACCAACTGTAGGTGATAGGATCAGGCTTGGATCTACGGATCTTTGGATTGAGGTTGAGAAGGACATGACTGTTTACGGTGATGAGTGTWCCTTTGGAGGCGGTAAGACCATCCGAGACGGCATGGGGCAGGCTTCTGGGCGTGCTGACGTCGACGCCCTGGACACGGTCATCACTAATGCTGTGATCATCGACTGGACTGGAATCTACAAAGCTGACATTGGTATCAAGAATGGGTTGATTGTGGGAATCGGCAAAGCTGGGAATCCAGACGTTATGGCGGGCGTCGATCCTAAGATGGTCGTGGGAGTGTCGACAGAGGTCATTGCTGCCGAGCACGATATCATCACAGCAGGAGGTTTCGATTCCCACATTCACTTGATCTGCCCGCAACAAGCACAAGAGGCAATCGCAAGCGGCATTACGACTTTCTTGGGCGGTGGAACTGGGCCAAGCACGAGCACAAAAGCTACAACATGCACGCCCAGCAAGAACGCGATCAAATGGATCCTCCAGGCTTGCGACGAGCTACCCGTCAACATCGGCATTACAGGAAAAGGCAATGATTCAGATCCGACAGGGCTGAGAGAACAAGCTGAAGCGGGTGTATGTGGTCTCAAACTTCACGAAGATTGGGGAACAACTCCAAAGACTATTGACAACTGCTTGAACGTCTGCGATGAGCATGACATTCAATGTCTCATTCATACCGACACTCTGAACGAGTCTGGGTTCGTTGAAACCACAGTCGCAGCCTTCAAAGACCGCACGATCCATACATACCACACCGAAGGCGCAGGCGGTGGTCACGCACCCGACATCATTTCTGTTGTCGAGCATAACAATGTGCTTCCCTCCTCTACCAATCCCACCCGACCCWACACGAACAACACTTTGGATGAACATCTCGACATGCTGATGGTCTGTCACCATCTTTCACGCAACATTCCCGAAGACGTCGCCTTTGCGGAATCGCGTATTCGCGCCGAGACGATCGCTGCGGAGGACGTTCTACACGATCTTGGCGCCATCAGTATGATGTCCTCGGATTCCCAAGCCATGGGTCGCTGTGGTGAAGTCATCCTCCGGACTTGGAATACAGCTCACAAGAACAAAGTCCAACGCGGATTCCTCCCAGAAGATGAAGGCACAGACGTCGATAACTTCCGCGTCAAACGATACATCTCAAAGTACACCATCAACCCTGCCATCGCGCAAGGCATGTCTCATCTGATCGGGAGTGTAGAAGTCGGCAAATTCGCCGATCTTGTCCTATGGAACCCAGCGAACTTTGGCGCGAAACCTACGCAAATCATCAAAGGTGGAATGGTATCTTGGAGTCAAATGGGAGATCCCAATGCTTCAATTCCAGCTGTGGAACCTGTGATAATGCGACCTATGTTTGGCGCTATGAATCCTGCATTGAGTGTCATGTGGGTTAGTCAGGCAAGCGTGGAGAAGGGAATTGTGGGTACGTATGGGTTGAAGAAGAGAGTTGAGGCCGTAAAGGGTTGTAGGAACATTGGGAAGAAGGATATGAAGTGGAACGATGCTATGCCTAAGATGAAGGTTGATCCTGAGAGATATGTAAGTGTTGCCGTCCTTCTTCTTGACTAATATGGATATGCTGACTTATGCTTGTGTAGACTGTGGAGGCTGATGGCGTGATTTGCTCTGCTGCGCCGGCGGATAAGTTGCCATTGACGCAGGAGTACTTCATTTATTGAGTGGACTCCTTTGGTCCTTTGAACTTGAGCTTCACGATTGGTAAAGCAGGTCGCATCACTGCGTATTGAACCTTGTGTACGATGAGTTTGGGAGAAGGCCGCGAGAGTCCTTTCTTGACGAAATTATCTCACAGATCAGCCAACATCACTTGTCTGTTCGCTTCGCCGGCGACTCAATGCACGAGTGAACTCTGGGAGGTRTTGACACAGCTCCTTACCGCAAATTTCATCAGCCCGGGGTTGTAATCCACGGATGATGCAAAGTCAATGCACGGGGTCGCTCCAAGTATGCAGCACTGCTTCGATGCTTTGCGGACGAATCCAGTGACCAGCTGTGCGTCTTTGAGGCTCAAATCGATGGCTTCCATCGTTGTTATCGTTTCGTTGTCAACGCAGCGTATGCTTTGTTCGGTAGCAACGAAAAGAACCGTCGTAGTTCCTTCCTGTCATCCTCATACGATGAGTCGTTGATTGGTCGCAATGGCAAACCCCGACTGCGCTGCGCCACGAACGAGTAGAGCCATCTGTGCTTTCGGCCCAAGGCGCGTGTAGGTGTCCCTAGCAGCTGAGTGATTGGACTATTGTAGCCTGCGTGTGAGGTCGCCAAGTCCGCGCACTTTGCGAGCTGTCAGTGCACGTGTCTCTCCGCAATATGCAAKTATTCCTCGTGCTACTCCGTCTTCTTCGCGGTGTTGGAATAGGAAGACAATACAGGTTTGCATCATGCAACCTGCATTTTCATTACAATAGGCTGTGTAGTTGGTATCTCGACTCAGGGCTCTCGCTGATGTTCCAAAGTCATGCTTGTCCCCAAAACTCCGTGCTTCTCAATCCCTCACATTCTGCCTGTCCTACTTATACTGCGGCATCTGCTGCGGCGGCTGGTAACCCTGATTTGGAGGCGGCTGGTACGCTGCGTTCTGATGCTGTCCGTTCCAGCCTTGTGGCGGCTGTCCTTGGTGAGGTTGGTTCTGCAAGGGTATCTGTGCTCCTCCCGCCACCCCATCCATCTGTTGCTGTACGTCTGGTCGATACTTAATATCTTGTCTGAACTGGCAGATGTGAYAGGACACCGCGTGCCATGGCTTCAAGCTGAACGGGATGAGAGGTACGAAGCAGAAGGTGAACCATTCCCTGCGTCGACGCGCATTAGTTTCGCGAATCACCTTGATGGAGCGCAGATCGAATATATCAAGGCTTACCAACGCTTCACGACCTTCCCGCTGTGGTTACCGCAGTTCTGGCATTGTACTGTGATGTTCTCGTAGCCTTTGAGTAGTGATTGGAACGCTAGGAAGGATTGTCAGTACTTGGGCATAGCTCCGCATTGCCGGGGAAGCGGTCGCGACTGACTGTGGGTCCCGCATGTGAAGATGAACGCCATTGTCGATGCTCGTGGGGTCTGTGGTGGTTGGTTTGTATGCTGGTCTCACGTCTGCAGATAATTCTCAAGGTGATGATGTTGCAACCAACTTTCCTACCACCAAGCACTGTCTGCGAGAAGATTGCGTGGCGTTTGCTGGGCGTCGACACTGCGTGGCTGAGCCTGACGATACGCTAGCCCTAGATCAGTTTCAAAGTCCGGGGTAACTTTTGTTGATTCCAACGGTCGGCTGGCGTGTGACAGGAGAACTGCAAAACTCGAAGACGTTTGAGAGTGAGAAGCGTTTGAAGAATACAGCAGCTAGCACGACGAAAAGTGCCATGTCTGAGGCGGAACAGGGGAAGTCGAGAGAGATCAAGTTCGTTCTGTAAAGCTGCTTGTTCCGTATCGTACGTGATTCATTCTATTTTCCGCGCGAAAAGACTGCACGCTGTACCAGGTAACATTACATTGGTGTTGGTCTACTGGGTCTTGAAGAGGAGAATCGCGCAGTGTCCCAGGTAGAAGTAGATGAAGTGCTTGGTCTCTGTGCGGCTGTTAAGCTGATGTCGTCGGATGCATTTTTAGATCACATACCATGCGTGACGAAGCTGCCGAAGTTGCGGCCGACAATACAGTGCCATGTAGCGCCCTTGCGCTCATCGAACTGTAGTACATGTCAGATGGGTCGAGTCAAGCGTAGGTGGAGTGATGCATACGATGCGCTTGATGTGATGTGCGATTTCCTAGAGTTGATGTTAGCATTGGTGCTTGACATGATTGTCGATGTATTCTCACCTTCTCAATCGAGTACTTGTCCATTGCCTCCTGAGCTGCGCGATTGTTAGACTGTCCCTCGTAACACGATCTCACGCATACAACAGACCAACTTCAATAGCCTCCTGCTGCATGTCATCGCTCTGCACATAGAATAGTCAGACAAAACACATCTCGCGTCGTGCAACACTGGTAGAAGAGAGACACACCATGTCCACGGACTTAATCTGGGCTAAGATGTCTGTTAGCTGCGCATATGTGTGATACACGGATGGAGCCGCACTTACCCTCAAGCTTCTCATGCTTCTGGTCTGGCCCGGCGTTGTCATTCATTTGGACAGACATTTTGGCGACGGGTTTGTTATGAGTTTTCGCGTGTATCGGGAGCGTGGATGATGCTGCTTCCAAGTCAGAGGGGTGCGCAGAGGGCAAAGTGCTAGTGACGGTGAGGGTGTTTTGAGGGGCCGCATGGAAATCGCGAATCCTTGCTAGCGCCAAGCGGGAGAAGATGATCGGAGGAAATTTTTCCAAACGCTGATCGAGATCTTCTCTGCATCCCACTCGACATCAGCTGTGAGTGGAAAGCCAACGCCATGGAATCATCCCGCATCTTCATCAAAGGCCTACCGCCTACCTTTTCGGAGGCGGAGTTCCGAAAGCACTTTTCGCAGGCTAAGCGGGAAGTCACCGACGTGAAAATCTTCCCCAACAGAAGAATTGGCTATGTTGGCTACAAGACGCCAGAAGACGCGCAAAAAGCAGTCAAATACTTCAACAAGACTTTCATACGCATGAGCCGTATTGGTGTTGAGTTGGCCAGACCGATTGAGGACTCAAAGAGCGCCAGAAGTCATGGAAGCGCGCCGACTGCCCGACGCGACATGGAAGGCGATGACGCAGCCACAGGCGCAAACCTACTCAAGCGCAAGCGAGACGCTCCTCCCGAGGAGCAAGATCCGAAGCTCAAGGAGTTTCTGGATGTCTACAAGCCGAAGAGCAAGAAGAATGCCTGGGAGCCTGAAGATGTGGCCGTCCCAGTTGATGCAATGGCTGCGGATGATGTCGTCATCCCAGTTGTCGCTGCTGAGGCACAGAGCGACGACGAGTATGAGCAAGTACCAAAGAAGACGAAAAGGTCAAAACAGGAAGTCGGATCTATTGCTGCCGTGCAAAAGGAAGAGGCTCAGCCTGTGCTGGCGGAAGGAGGATCTGAGGAGGTAGAGGACCCACCGATACAGCAAAACCCCAATGTACCTGTATCAGACGCCGACTGGGCACGTTCAAGAACCAGTAGGCTGCTCGGCTTGCTTGATGACGATGAAGAGGAAGAAGCGACAGGAGGCGTCACAAAGCAAGGCTCCGACGTATCATCGGACGATGAGATGGAAGTCGACAAGCCGACGCAGCTTGTCGAGGCAACGCACAAGGCTCCCGAGCAGGTGGCATCAATACCCACCCCGCCTGCAGACGCCGGCTCCCCGAATGATGAACACGCCGACCCTGAGATTCAAGCTGTCCGATCTAGCATGCGACTCTTCGTCCGCAATCTGCCCTACGATGCGCAGAAGGAGGACCTACAAGCCGAGTTCGCGCCATTTGGAAGCCTTGAAGATGTAAGTCAACATCTCCCGTCATTTCACCTCTGTTACATGATGAGCCCTGATAGGGACAACTTATGCTACGGCATTTGATGAGATCCAGGGACTGTATTTTAGTAGATGCTTGTCTTTTCTGATAACATGACCTCAACCACTCCTACCATATCGCCTGCAAATGGGGAATCAACAGCTAACATGCAAACTGCAGGTACACGTCCCTCTTGACCCTAAGACTGGAGCTGGCAAGGGCTTCGCATACATCCAATTCAGCAGTCCGGATGCCGCTGAGGCCGCCTTCATTGATCGGGACGGTCAAACCTTCCAAGGGCGACTGATACACGTGCTGCCTGGTTCCGCCAGACGTGAGAACAAGTTGGACGAATTTGAGCTATCCAAGCTGCCACTCAAGAAGCAGCAGCAGATCAAGCGCAGACGAGAAGCTGCGACGTCCACTTTCAACTGGAACGCGCTTTACATRAATGCTGATGCTGTAGTGTCAAGCGTTGCCGAGAAGCTTGGTCTCTCCAAGTCGGAAGTTTTGGATCCAACCAGCAGCGATGCCGCTATCAAGCAAGCCCACGCCGAGACACACATCATCCAAGAAACGAAATCATTCTTCAAACAGCAAGGCGTAGATCTAGACTCGTTTAAAAGAAGTCAACGCGGAGAGACCGCGATTCTTGTAAAGAACATTCCGTTTGACTGCAGCCGAGACGAGCTCAAGCGCTTGTTTGAGGAGCAAGGAGACGTCAAGAAATTTCTCATGCCGCCAGCTGGCACTATTGCCATTGTGGAATTTCTGAACGCGGCTCAATGCAAGGCTGCGTTTGCGGCACTTGCTTACCGAAAGGTGAAAAGCTCGGTTCTTTTCTTGGAAAAGGCACCCAAGGATGTCTTCTCCGGCACTGCGACTGGTGAAGTCGCTGGCCAGACACGCGATGGAGTAAGCAAAGTCTCCACATCTGATCTCAAAGATCCAGACCAGCACGTTGCGGAGACTGGCGGGACTGCCACATTGTTTGTGCGAAATCTCAACTTCAGCACTACCAATGCAGTGTTGACGGAGGCCTTCAACGCGCTCGATGGCTTCTTGTCTGCTCGTGTCAAGACAAGGACAGATCCGAAGAAGCCTGGACAAATCCTGAGCATGGGCTTCGGATTCTTGGAGTTTGCCAGCGCCAGACAAGCCCAAGCCGCCTTGGAAGCCATGGATGGCCATCTACTGGAAGGCCATAAGCTGCAGATTCGTGCAAGTCACAAAGGTGCTGATGCTGCAGAAGATCGTAAAAAGGCAGATGCTGCGAAGAAGTTGGCCGGACAGCGCACCAAGGTCATCATCAAGAACTTGCCGTTTGAAGCGACCAAGAAAGATGTGCGCGCTCTCTTCGGCGCATATGGCCAATTGCGCAGTGTTCGCGTGCCAAAGAAGATGAATAGTGCCGCTCGTGGGTTTGCATTTGCGGATTTCACGACCGTCAAGGAAGCGCAAAGCGCAATGGATGCGTTGAAGGACACTCATCTGCTTGGTCGCAGACTTGTTCTCGACTTTGCTTCTGAGGATCCCGAGGACGCTGAGGCCGAGATTGAAAGGATGCAGCAAAAGGTTGGCGCACAAGTCAACAAGGTTGCACTGCAGAAGCTCACCAGTGGTGGGAGGAAGAAGTTCACCACTGCGAACGAGGAAGAGGAGGGTTAGCGTCGAACGTCCCCTGTTCTCAACTCGCCCGGCGTGTTGGCGCAGTTCGTCGCAGCGCAACAGCAGATCTGGCCTCCAGGCTTGCAGCTGCATCACGTGAATGATCCAGTCATCCCGCGACGACCTACCCCTTGCGTGAGTTGATGCGACCTACGATGCGACCTAAGGTTGTGAAACTGCAACTTGGGAACGCTTGACGATCGTACAGGTATCGGATTCTGGAGTCTAAGAACTCCGCTGCGAGGCAGACGTCTTCTACCCTGAGGACGCGAGTAGTGATGATGCTTACATTCCGCAGCTATGCTATTGCATTCCTACTTTGAGGTCTCATTTGAAGAAATGCTCACCGCGCCAAGCTGATGATATCCCTCTCTCGATCAGCGACGTATCGTCACCTGCAATGCCCTTGCACTAGCTTTGATGGTCCCGCCTTGCCGGTGGAGGCTATTCTATCAGTTCGCGCTCATGCAGTCAATCGGCAACCTTGCCGGACCACCTTCACACACTGCTTGAGCAGTCAGGAACGAGATTACATGGTCTCCTCCTGGGTCCCTGTCGGCGACACAAGGCTAAGTCAGCAAGCACACCCTTCCTTAGATGATTATGGTCGTGAAGTGGCCAGTGTATATACTTTGCTGCTACTAGCAACGACGATCTATCTTCGTCTCTTCAGCCTGGAAGTGCTGCCGCTCATTCATCAATACCATTCCTTGCCAAATCCAACTTAATACACACTCATTCTTTTCTCCTGTCATAGTCTCCGCTCGGCGAATCACAGGAATCACAGCCTGATCAGTCAAGCATTCCTTTTTGAAGCATTCTTTCACTGCGTGCCTCGTCCGGATTGCTCTCACAATGATTCAGCCAGCACGGGTCTTACCCTCAAACGCACCACCACTCCACGAGGCTGGTGGCAGTCATGTGTCCCGAGTCTTGCAAGAGCACTCCGGCAACCGTCAACAGAACGACTACACTTATGCACATGACTCTGGGCAGAAGTACCCTGCTGCAGTGTTGACGGAGAACAGCTACGCCGGTCATCAGCCACATCAGCCCGCCCACATCTATCGGCAGACGCCGTTGCAACGGCACAACTATCGCTATGCACGACACCAACTTGGCAGTGATGATCAGGTCAAGGCGGAGAAGCTTGCGAAGCATCTCTATACGCGGTTCACGCATTCTGATCATTATATGAAGTATCGCAACAAGCAAGGTGGGAAGGGAGATAAAGGAGGCGCCGACAAGATCTGGCCCGATCGGTTGGAGTTGGCATTCTTTCAAGGTATGCTCGTCATGTCTCCTGTGATGACCTCCTCGCCCACTGATTGTTGATAGCACTGGTCCGTTGGCCACCGATGGGTCGTCGCAAGCTTCACCACAAGGACAAGCAACGCGGACGGAATGAACTCATTGCCGACTATATTGAAGAGCTTACGGGAGAGGCTCGTACACGAAAGCAAGTGTCCAGCCACATTCAAGTCTTGAAGCCATTCGTTGAGGGKGACTCCTTCATCATGAAGTGGCTATCAAAAGAAGATTTGTGTGGTGGTGGCCACCCTGGTCGCTGGTATGGCAATTCTGGACATGGTGGTGGTAGGATGAGATCAAATTATCCTGTCACCGCGCCACCGCACAACCTACGCAATTCCGCTCCTTCAATGACACAATACGACTCTCACGCACTGGCAAAGGTAAAGGGAATGCTCGAAGTGTTTGAGCCGACCGACTTTCAGATGTTCGTGCAGAGAAAGTATGGAGAAGACTCTGTCGATCGCCTACATACGTACACTGGGTCCATCACGCATCCGCGGCAACCCGACCAACAAGTACAAGATTGGCCTACATTCGCAGAGCAGTATCCTCTTCTCACAACTATGCATACACAGCGACCGCTTGACTGCAACATACTGGTAGCGAATGCATCACTTGCATTCCCAACCGAAGATTGGAAGAACAAAGATGGAAGCGCCCTCCCCGGCGTCGAACTTGGTATCTCATTCCTCTGCAGCAGTCGACACTTACCTGCGAATTCCCAGGTTCAGTGTCAAAACAACTTCTACAAGGATGGCAAGTTCCTGAAGGACCATAGCGGACACAGCGCGGTTCCCTTAACGCTTTCCGAGGATGGCAGCACTGTAGAGACTCAGGTCAAGTTTGGAAGCCTCTTCTRGGCAAGGACGCTTTCACACTTGGCTGGACGACTGCAGAGTGGCGATCAATCAAGAGATCCTATAGAGGATGTGTCGGCTTACATCAATGGCATCACTGCTTCTCAAGAAATTATGCTCACGACTGAACACGGCCATGAAAGATTGCTCGTCATCTATTGGAAATTCAGACTCTCCACTGGAACGCGAGGACGAGCTTATTGGCAGAAGATCAAGATGCCTGCATCGCCTTCGAAAGTGGAGTACATTCAACAACCAAAAGATCGATCTGATTCGGTCCACGATTATAATCTGCAATTTGGAGATGCTTCCACTTCGCAGCATCATCAGTTGCAACATCAAATTCCGAATCAGCCGAGTCTGCAATCTCCGTTCGAATACGACAGCAGCTCAGGCTCTGCGCCCACGTCTGTCACATGGCCATCTCACATGGAAGACATCACCAACACCGCTCCCGTCAGCGCGATAGAGTTCACGGGAGACAACAGCTTCGACTTCAGTGGCGGTAATATTAATTTATCTTATGACCCATCCTTCGATCTCAGCACATTCGATAGCTCAGCGTTCGATTTTGCGGCCACGACCGATTTCGCCGCAGACCCAGCACTACAAGATTACTCGACGCAAGACTTTTCAACGCAGTGGTGCGACAACTATGCTGCATTCGACACACAACACTCACTTGATACGAATACCTCAGCGTACCCGATGACGACAGCAGACTCGCAGTCTCTGCTCGCATACGATTCTCAGCAGTCGATGGGATCAGCATACCCCGTGACCGTTGAATCTCAATCGCAAAATATCTTCGACAGCTTCGAGCCTCATTACGAGCAATCGTTCAACGTCGGACATGATGGACAAGCTTATGGTGGTGCAGGGCAGGACGCACTAAAGGATGATGACCCTCTGGCTACTCTGGCGGATGCGTCGTATGTGGCTAGTGAGATGGTGTCGCATCAGAACGAACACCACACGCAGTAATGATTAATGGTTAATGTGCAGATACCCTCTTTTAATCGCTAATGATGGATGGCATGGCGTAGTTAGGGAGATACATCCTAGAGTAATGAGTTAGATGTGGTGGTATCGCATTGGATTGCTACCACAACCCCAACCCTAGAACGCCATCTCGCCCGAAGCCTTGTCACCATTCCTATTGACGACCGTCTTCCTTGCCACTTGTTGTCTATAAAGAGCGGAGTGTTGCAATTGTACCTGGACGAGRATGTAAATTATGTACAAACCTACCTTAGTAGTAACGAGTCAAAGGGTCAAGCGGTGAATCGAAGTGTATGGGGACATATAGCCCAGTTACAACAAACATGATCAAAAATTTCAATACATGGCAGAATGATATACACTAGCATTAGTAAAGACAGTCGCTTAACCTATCCTCTCAAACGTCACACGCCCCAATTTGTCCTCGGATGGACGTTCACCAGTTCTGCAAATCCAGAGCCTGTGAATGTCAAGTCAGCTATAAACTTGCACAGTTTTTGATCAGGCTCACCCTTGATGTCCACCGTGAACTCGGTCAAAGCCTCCTTGAGCTGCCCAAGTTTGCTCCATCTCCTGCCTGTGCTTCGACTTGGGCTTCTTCTCAGCCAGTCTGATCTTCTCAAAGTACAYGTAGGCGGCGTAGAACACTGAGCTGGTGTTTCCCATTCGTGGACCCTTCTTACTGCGGAAGTCGGCAAGCTGCTTGCTCTGGATCTTGGTGCCTGTGTGGAGTTGTGCTGTCAGATCGCGGCAGAAACTCGCTTGCGTGACGCCCGGCTTCACAAGATGTGCGTTGATCTTCTTGCGAATCTCATCACACGTTTCGTACACTTCCACATCCGTGTTCTCCTCTCCCGGAAGGGTAATCCCGCTGATAWCGGGCATCTGAACAGCACTACTACCAGAGGCTGCAGTTGCTTTGGCCTTCTTCGGCGCTTTCACGCCGGCCAATTCTCGCTTTTTGAAGAATTCCCAAGCATTCCCGTATGACAGGCTCTCCGCGCCCTTCATGGGCCCATTCTGAGCCAGAAAGCTGCTCAAGCTCTTGGTGCTCACTCCAATAGCATCCGAGAATTCACCTTTTTTCATCTGTCCAGACTCCAGAAATCGTCTGATCATGCCGCGGACCTGGTTGCAGCTTGTATCAATCGGCATGCCTTCTAGGTCGAAGTCCTCGAGATCGAGTTGCGGAACTGGTTCCTGTGCCTTTCGTTTCGTCCCCGCCGCCTGTTCCAGAGTTTGGAGCGTCTTGGAAGGGGCATTGTGGTCGTCGTCGTTAATAACTATAGTTGCTGGTTGCGTATTGGCAAGCCTCGAGGTTGCATCTCCAAGCACCTGGCGGTCTGACATGCTGACAACAAGACTGCGATCGTTCTAATTGACCGATACTTAGCGAAAACTTCAAACCATGTGCGTCGGTCGACACCGCGATTGTAAGACTCCCGCTATGATGGTCTCGTCCCGCAGAGGTAGACTGTGCTTTGCGTCGAAATACTTGCGTGCTGTGATGATGAGACTATCAACTTACATGATCGAGTTTACGATTTGATTCGCTGGAAGCTACAATGAAGTCGATAAAAGACGGCGCAAGTGGAAAGAGGAGGTGAGGTCGTAGTGAAGCAAAAGAAGTGAGCATGGAACGCGTGGGACGCGATTGTTTTGATGACGCGCCGTCGATCTCCGAAACTTTAAATCTCGCCTACGACCCCTCCACTCTCCTGAGTCCTCACGTTCTGGCATGCACTGACGACCTCACCAACTTTCTTACGACAATGGAAACGCACGTTTGAACACGCTTATCGGCGCCTGGTAGCCCTTGGGATTCAGACTGGGATGGCAGATGTGCTCAGTATTCGATGCTATGAACTCTACATGTGTCCTCACAACTCTACACCGACTACAACAGCCTGCCTGGTGATCACTGTAGTACGTGCCTTTTCGAAAATGTCGGCAAGCATAGTGTAGGTCTTGAAATACCAGGAACATGCTTTGTTGAAGAAGATGTAGTCTGGAATGGTCGAAGTTTGATCATCGAAGCTGGAAAACGATCCAATACGATCGCATATCGTCTCTCCTCTGGAACAGACAGGCCTGGCATCAGATACTGGAGAAGATTCGGTCGTCAACGAATTCCTATTTGCCAATCATAGTCTCCGGGCCGTCGACAGTGTTGAATTGCAATTGGGATATGACCGGAGACGCCCCAACTCCTTCCCAGGTCCCAGGGTTGCTCACCATCGCTGGGATCTATCGCTGCATACCGGATGTCTGAGCTATTATTAGCACGATACTACGTAGTATAAGGCACTTGATCAACACATGTTGTAGGTCACTATTCTGAGGAGTAGGACGCCAAGTCCCAATGATACCATGCTGGAGATTATAGAAAGGCCGGAGTGAGTGGCCGCAAATAGCGTTCATCATGACTTCTTCTCTTACACAGTGCTTCTCTCGGTCAACTCGTAGGCCAAGGAAAGATCGCCGTTCGAGAATCTAGCACGAGGCTGACTACAGCACACTGACTTCTTGAACAACCCGTCAGTCGAGACCTGCAATCCGTCACGGACGTCAGCCAAGAGCGATCACGAACCGCCCACCTATGTTGCGATAGCTGAGTGTAACAGGCACTTGTATGTTGCACTTTATGCGGAGTTTCTCCTAGGTTTGTRGATTAGGCTGTACAACTTCTCGCTCCCGGCTTCATAGGCTACAGCCTTCCAATCATCATAGTTCTTTCCCGAGCTTCTTAAACGCTAAACGAAGCAATGGATAAACACAATCTGAACCTTGGGCAAAACATCAGGCTTTGAAGGCACCATCGCGTGATCTTTGTAGTCGTTCCCGGCTCTTTCTTCTCCTCCACAGCACAGGCGCGAGACAGCTGCTCAGCGCCACGATTGCAAGTAAGCAGGACACTAAAGGATGCTGGACGAGCCACAGCACGACGGCGACATCATCTCCATGCCAAGTACCGCCAGGACTATGGCCGAAGAAAGTGTATTCCTCGGAATAGAACTGATTTGGTAGGACGAACCAGTCGTCTGCTCCTGCAGGATCAAGTCAGCAAACAGCTCCCTTATCAAATCGCTAACTTCTCACCCGTACTATTGCCCTTGGGCTGCGAGCCATGCGTCAGAAACCACTTCTTCAGCATGTCGCTGGTAAACTGTGGGCCCGTGCTCCAGAAGATAGTTAGATAGGGGAAGATCAGGTTCCGATTTCGCTTGGCAAGATTTTCCAACATGAGTCCAAGCACTGGATGTCCTGGCCGGGCAGCCATCAAGTCGTTATTCAAACCCAGCGGCGAGGCTTCAGGGAACCACGCAGGGAAGTCGAGAAGAGGTTCTAGCGGCCGGCGACAAGAAATGTCCATGTCCATATACACGCCGCCATGATGCCAGAGAATGAAGTATTTGAGAGCGTCGATGCGTTGGATAGGGTGCCTGTAGCTGTCATATGTGGGGAGGAACCATGAATAGTGCTCTTCTAGTAGTTTTCGGCCTTCAGTCTGATTCCACACTTCTATGGCATACAGCGGATTGTGTTTCTGACACAGACTGGGAGCCCGTGAGCCAAGTGAAGGTAGCTTTGAGATATCTAGGTGAGAAGTGTAGAGGTCTTTGAACCAGATGAAGTGAATCTTTGGCGGGATCGTGTCCGAGGAAGATCGTGAACTGTTTGYGTGGAAGTGTCGTACATAATCGAATTGTCTTCGTTCAAGGCCCTTCCAATCTTTGGAGCGAAGCTTATCTGCGTATACGGCAGGGAAGTGCTCAAAGGTGATGTGTTGACTGCTGAGGAAGCCTTGAAAGCGGTATTGGTTGGAGGTGTATATCAAGGATCCAGTGATGCAGCATAGCAATAGGAGCGCACCTAAGTAACGACTTAGGCATGAGGTAGGAAATGTCATTGTTGCAGGGGAGAAAATAAGCGAGACWGACAAGCCATAAGGGCGTAGTTGCCTGGAAGGATGAGTGCGCCATGTCTGTTTGCTTCTGGCTTGAGATGAGAGATCGACGACCAGCCCAGCGAGTCACAGAGGTTTTTGTTCGAAGACGCGCGAGCAAAGTGTCTCAGCCTAGGAAGCCAAATGATCCTGTACACCTACCATGTGGATTTGAACGCGGTGTCGATCATGAGCTCTCTCAGGCGATGACAGTGATTCCTTGTTGCTTAATGGGTTAGCCTGACGACGAAATTTCGACAAGCTTATGCCAATGAGCTCTCTTTAGACAAGAGCTTGACCGCCGTCTACTTGCTTTGGCACTTCATGGATCTGACTTCGGTCAAATTGGACATGATTATCCCGGTGGCATGCTTGGCAAAAGTCTCCTTATATGTCCACGAACCAAAAGCGTGCTACAGCCTGCATGAGAAGTGGCGAAGGTGGCATGCCGTTGCAATGGGATAAATGAGCGCTCCGTCGACCAAAATAGAAGGAATCCAGTCACTGAGGTATCGTTCATGCCGACCAAGCTTGTTTTCAAGTCCGCAAGTCATAGCACAGTACCAGTATATCCCGCACTGCAATCCGCAGAACATTTTCGTCGCCTCAATCTTTGTTCCATCGCGAACTTCGGCAAATGTAGGGGAATGCCGGATCAGGCAATAGATGTAGCTGTTCCAGAGGTTGTTCGTATACCACCATCCTACCGTGAGCATGCCGAAGCTTGAGTCAGCTGCGCCCCCTCTTTGTCGCGTCTTCAAGAAGGTTTCACTGTTTTCCTAATACCTCCTTTCGTTCAGCTTGGTCTTGACCAAAGAAGTAGATGTGAAGACTTTGAAATTGGAATAGCACACTTACGCAGGATCGGCGTGATCGATCCTCATCATTGTCGAGCCACGGTCGCAGGATCAATCAGGAGAACCGCCTAATCCGCTGGCCAGTGAGCCAACGACATCCATGAGAAGAGCGTGCCGCTCGGAGGGATCGACTCGGCGTGCGTTCATTGTAATGCGTTGAAGTACTGTTCCACGCAGGCCGCACAGATTTCGAAGATGTTAGCCATTCATTTAGACGGAGCGGCGAAGTGTTTTGAGCCGCGGCATGGTGGGCCGCCTGCTGCACCAGTCACAACGTCCCGGAGAGTTGAGGCATGCATTCGAGGTGATGTTCAGTGAGACGACAGACCTCCGAGGACGGGGATTGTGATGTTTTGATCGCTTGCGTACACCGTGCACGGACCATATCCACTCTCACCTACCTTCGTCGAAGCAGGAACACTTCAACGTCCACTCTTTACACTACAAAATTGCTGAAGACCCAGGCGAAGTCGCCACCGAAATCTAAAGAGCAGTACAAACGCAAGTAAGATGTCGTATCTCTTGAAATCTCCATCTCACGAGACCGAGAGCCTGCTAAGCAGGATCTACGTTTTGACCCAATCAACCCGTGGGTGCGAGAAACGTGCATGTACTGCTGCTCCTGGATCAGCGTGTCCACGCTGACTACACCATCACGACCTGTACCCACTCGGTCCTTTGCGACAGAATACGTGGGCGAGAATGTTCGTCCTACGGTAGCTTCTCTCCGTGATCTCTAACATGGCCGTCTTTGGCAAGACTGGCTCTCGGACCTTGAAACTAGGAGGCATAATCATCACTCTGGGTATCCTGATCCATTTGGGAGTCCGGATCAAAGCATTCATCCACATCTTCTTTGAGCATGCCGGCGTTCTTTTGGATCAGGAAGCAATCCAACATGCCCACACGGCAGGAGATGTCAGACCGCTGGTCGTACCGCGCATAACTCATCAGATATTCCACAATTGGACGCATCCTGGAGATGAGACTTTGCCGGRAGACTGGAATGCTACCCGACAGACGTGTCTCGATGCGAACAAAGATTGGGTCCATCATCTCTGGACCGACAGATCTTCGGAGGAATTCATCACGAACGAGTATACTTGGTTCTTGCCTACATACAAAAGCTTCAAATTTCCAGTGCAGAAGATTGATGCTTTGAGATACTTTCTCATGCGCCATTACGGTGGGATCTACATCGACCTCGACAATGGGTGTGAGACTAATCTGGAGCCCTTGAGATACYACCCAGCTTGGACGACAGATGGCGGACATGGTGCGCTCAGCAATAACATCCTCGGCGCGGAACCAAATCATCCTTACTGGATCGCGATGACGGAGTCCATCATCTCGCATGCATGGAACTACCCTTTGCCATATCTCACCATCAGCTACGCCACTGGACAGTGGTTTCTGACGAAAACATGGGAGGAGTATCATCAAAAGCTACCTCCGAGTGGAGCACGTCTGACCAGAGTACTGATGGATGGCCGTCCAGGAAAACCGCCATGGGTGTTTTTCAACCACACCCGTGGTGGGACCTGGGATAATTGGGACAATCGTCTGTTTGGTTGGATCGGGGACCATTTGGGACTGGTGGCATTGATGGTACTATCAACGTGTATTCTGTGCGGCCTGGCGGTGTCTTCATGCTCATCCGCGATGAGGAGAAGACAGAGGGCGAGCTATGGATTGGTGAAGAACATGCAGTGACGAACTTCAAACTCTTCTGATGCCGGCGTCTGGCACGATAAGACGGTCTGTATTGGTAGAGCGATGCGCCTGAAAAGACCCGGCATCGACTCCGACTAGAGCAGACATTCATCAACCACGCCAGAAAGACTTCTGACTTTTCCTGCTAATTGGACGGCCAAATGAACACTCGTTTGCTGGGCGGGTGTGAATCAATGATTAAGACGCATAATGGTCCAAGAGATTCACAAATGTTCGGATTGCTTATATGTACTAGATCAAAGGCGAGTCTATTGAACATTCGTCTCTTGCCAAACCCGAAGTTGAGTTCTTGGCCCCGCTTGGCTGTAGATTGTGAGTAACTCACATGATCTTCACGCCATGGATCTAGCTCCTGAGCTCTATTGGACGGCCATTAAACCCGCATCACAATGCATGTATGCTCCATACATTGGCGGTTAGACGAAGCAGGCGGGTCGGCGGGGTACGGCGAATTTGGGTGGAGCATTTCTTCGCCGCAATTGAATCCAAAACCTTTATCACGACTATCGCTATGGATCCACTCACTGCGTTGAGTTTAGTAGCCAACATCATAGCAATCGTCGACGTGTCTGCGAAACTGGTACATACCACCTGGCAACTGGCCCGCACAGGCGCCAAAATTGAGCACATCGAGGTTGAAGAACAAACAAAGCTGGTCGAAAACCAAGTAGCAAGTCTCAGACCTGGATTGAACGTCAAAGACGCCGATCTATCGCGGGATGACCAGCAATTGATACAATTGTGTGAGCAAAGCAGGAGTGTCTCGGGCCAGCTCCTCAAGATGCTTCGAAGCTGCAAAGCCCGCAACGGAGGTGGCAAAGTCTCACTTGATGCTTTCATCCTCGCTATTAAGAGTGAATGGAAGGATGAGGCAATCAAAGACCTGCAGGAAAGGCTAGAAAGAATCGACATCAAAGTACACAGGCTCCTTGCACATCAGTATCAGAGCAGGATCCTGATCAAGGTAGAAAGCCTGGAACGAAAGTTCCAGACATTGGGAACGAGTCGTGCTTCTGAGTTTCGAGAGATTGAAAAGGCGATCAAGGACCTTGGAATGTCTGTCACGGGGCACGGTAAGTCTGACGTCCAGCAAATGTTAAAAGCCGCCGGAAGGGGAGGCTTGGCAAAGGAGTTTGCCATTCAAGCTGGGATACTAGAGCAGCTCAGATTCGAAGAGGTTGATCGTCGGTTTGAGGAACTGGAGCAGCGACCCAGCCATGATAAATCATATTTGTGGCTCGACAAAAGCTATAATGGAGCCAGGAAAGCTGGACGAGATCCCGCCAACTTCGAAACGTGGCTGACCTCGTCTGAGAAGCTCTATTGGATCTCTGGAGTCCCAGGTTCTGGCAAATCAACGCTGATGAAGTATCTCTATTCGAGCCACAGGACCAAGGAGTTGCTTGCAGACTGGACGGGAAGCAAAAGACTTCTCATTGCAGCGTACTTCTTCTGGGAGGTGGGCAAGGTTGCTTTACTGAGAACGCAGGAAGGGTTACTACGAACTCTTCTGTTCCAGATTCTGAGGCAATGCCCTGAATTGATTTCCAAAGTGTACGCCGATCTCTGGCTACTCTTTAGCGATGCGACAGCCAATAGTCAAGATTCCTTGACCACCTTTGCAGGCTCTCAAGTTTCGCTATCGGTGCGCCATCTACTTGAGAAGATGAAAGAGTGTTGCTATTGCATCGCTCATCGTGGCCATTGTCTCTTTCTCGTCATCGATGGCTTGGACGAGTATGGCGGCAAGCCSGGCGACATTATCCAATTGATGAGTATACTCACGGAATTACCAAGTGTGAAGATCTGTGTATCCAGTCGACCGGACAATGCATTCATGGACGCATACAGTAGTATGACCAGCAAGGTATTCATGGAACACTTCAACGAGCCAGACATAACGGCCTTTGTCCGCGATCGACTCGAGAGTCACGCTCTATTCGAGCAAGATGAAGATAGAGATACTCTAGGTGCTGATCTCATCAACCGGGTGGTAGACAACTCAAATGGAGTGTTCCTGTGGGTTCGTCTTGTAGTGGACGATTTGGAAGAAGGATTGACAGATCGCAATACCATCCTGCAGCTACAGAGACGGCTCGATCGACTACCAACGGAGCTGGAAAACTTTTACGACCATATGCTGAACCGTGTACATGGAGATTACCGGGCAGACTCAGCCAGCATGTTGTTGGCAACGTATCATGCACATGACTTGCTCTCTCCCTTGGCATTGTGGTTCATCAGCGAAGGATCCATGGAGCTAGGAGACGACTACCAGACAAAGCCCATCGACTCCCGGACGAACCACAAACGACGCAATCAGATGGACTTCAGGCTGCAGAGTCATAGCAGAGGTCTTTTGGTAACCCAGGACTTGCCGCTAGCTTCTGCCCGTGCTGTAGCGCTTCCTTCAAGTTCACTTTTTGGGCAAAAGGTGAACTTCTTGCATCGCACGGTACGAGAGTTCCTCGATCGAGCGCACGTCAAAGAACGTCTCCACGACTGGAGACCAGATGATTTCGAAGTAGACAAGCTTATATGTCAGGCTATCCGCGCTGAGATAAGAGGTTCTCCCACCGATCCTGGATACTTCACCCCTGACGGTCCAATATCAGGCTTGATCGGCATCTTTGACTTCCATTGCAAGAAGTTGCATGCAGATATGTCACGAAGGACCGTAGCCGAAGGCTTGCAAACTAGCCTCACGGCGATCTTGTTATCTCAGTACCAGGTCAATAGACATTCTCTGAAATCTGCGACTATCGCCGATATCAAGATGCATGTGGATTGTTCTCGAAGGGCGCAGTCGATGCCGATAAGAGCAGGAACGTTTCGTTCAGCACAAAGCTTGGAGCTGTCGTTGAGGAAAGAGAAACCCAACTGGAGGARGCGGCTGTTCGGGAGCTAGTAATTTGCAGCGACCTCGGGACATACGATAATCTTTAGAATGCAGCCTTGTTACTCCAGTAGAAAGATTTCTTCTTCCAAGCTATCGAGTTCTCCTTCCATGATACCGTGCACGTAACACTCGCCAACATTCTGATATCCCGACCCTGTCGGCCTCAGCAGCACGGGAACCTTGAATCCTTGTATGATGCATACGATATCGTGGAAAGCCGCAGCCGAGGGAAGGAGACAAAATCTCCCAGCAGTAGTTTTTCCAAACCTCCTGTCGTGGGATGGTAGGCAAGCCGCATAGAAAAGACGAATGTCGTGGGTCTCCGGGGTTTCTGGGTCCTCGAGGAAGTCCATAAAACCTCGCGTTCGGTTCACAACCTCAGACGATGCGACTTTCTGGTGACTGTCCCAGATGTGATTTGATCCTTTTGCTTGTATAGTTTCCGCGAATTGGACTATCAGCTCATCTGAGCTGTTGTTGGGCATGTCGGTTGTCTCGGTGCCACATGCGAACTTGTACCAACGGAGAAGCTCAAATAAATTGTCTCCCGTCAGATCATATTGGTCGCAAATGCGACGCGGCGCGAGGTAGCTCTTCACGACTGCTACGGTGTCTACACGAGCTCCACGACATCGTCCTTTGCGGGATTCATCCACCACAAAATCATAGCTACGAAGTGCGGAGGTAGCGAGTCTCGAGTTGGGATGTGCCAATATCATACGCTGCTTCGGGCCAAATTCTGGAAGCCAGGTTGGATAGCCAGATCTTCCCTCGCTGTTTGGGAGTCCAGAAAGTGAGAGATTGATGGGCGCCTTGAAGTAGTCTCCTAGTGCTGTGGAGATTGACTGCAGCACCTGCTGTTCACCTTCTGCGTAGTCAACTCGAGGTAGTGCGTGCTCCCTACGATCACTATTGCTCAGTGCAAGCAGAGGAAAGACAAAGGACGCTGTGTGAGTTTCCTCGAAATTGCAGCCCTGTATCGCGAGTAGACCTTCGGCGAAGGATAGCCTGGAGTTGTGATATCGCTGACGCAAAAGGTCTGCAATCAGAAGGTTCTCAGCTTGCGATGATTTCATCCCTGCATGCACTCCATACATAACCATCGAATAGACGGCGCTGCAAAAGGCGTTCCATTCCAGATCCACCGATGTACAGCGTAGAAAGATCTGCTTAGATAACACGAAGTCTGGAAAAGACAGCATTCTGCACTCATGTAAGTATTGATCATTGAGCGCTTTTTGGTCTCGTGTAAGACGTACCTCCCAAAGTATTCCGAATCAAGCAATGAACAGATCTCTATGATCGCTTGTTGTTCAAGAACGTCATTCTGCATTGGGACCGCGCTGCCAAACAGCCTTCTCAAAAGTGCCAATGGATTGATAAGTGAGCTTAGGTCACGGCTCGAGTTGCGTCCAAAAAGCGCAAAGACGAACTTGCGATAAAGTACCTCGTATCGCCGCAGGTCATCTGCAGTAATGACAGTGGTACCCTGCAACAGACCCACCCCATCATCGGCTGCACTTTCAGGCTGCAAGCTTTTTGAAATTCCAGCGATTGCAGCCAAGAAGTTGGCAGTATCTCTCCTCAAGTCAACTTCGGGCCACGCGATGGTGATGGTAGCCCGGAGGATTACTTTCCTATTGAGTGTCGACTGGGTGTAGATGTCCTGCATGTCCTCTGGGCCTAGGCAGATCATGTCGATCCAGAAATGCCGAACAGCAAATTCGTTTTTCTCCCGCAGTGAAGAAATGATGCCAACGAGCTTGGGCGACACTGTGAGAGGTTTGCCATTGCAGAGTATCGTCTCGGTTTCTAATTCRTCGCGAGCATACGATATCAGAGCGAATTCTGGACTGTCAGCGAGACGCACAGTTTTCAAGCTAATGCTGATAGAATCTGAAGACCATAGAGGCGGACTGATCTCAATGAGACGTATMTTCTGCATATCATCTGGGTTCGCCATCTCAATGGATGCTTTGGAGTTGGTGTTGATCGCAAGACGGGATTGCTATGCAACACCTTATGCTCAGCGCGTCGCGAAGCTTTTGCCCTTCATACACATACGGTATAATGATGGCAGAAGAGCTGAGCCATCCATGGACGGAGAGCCAGGTGATGTCCAGGTGGGCGGCAAAGCACAAAGGGGATTACGATCGCTTACGTCATTGTCCCCAACCCTTCACTCGGGCACACCTGCATTCATCTCTCCATGTACACTTGCATTATCAACAGCAAATGAACACAATAACAAACACACGTCTCATCTACGTTGTGCTTACCGTTCTGACCCTCGCTTTTGCATTGAAATATCATCAAACCAGTCAGGAGTCCTTGAAAATGTCCAAAGCGCTAAATGGTTCGCAAGTCCCCACCTCACATTGAACTGGAAGGGTTGATGGATGCACCTCTATCAGCGGCGTGTCCTTGCTCATCTCTCCTTCGAAGCTGGACCTCAAAGCCACAGGCTGGCTTCCATGTTGACACGCTATGATGGTCTCGAGGAGAGATGAGACTGGACATATGCTTGACCCTTCCAATCCATTGCGCGAATCACTATCTAACACATTCCAAGTCTTCAAGCAGCCCCTGGCAATCCACAGTACATCTMCGATGACCGGATTCCGACGTAATGGATACTGTGAGGTACCGCCGGGTGATTTCGGAAACCACAGTGTTGCCGCCGAAGTCGTGAGTTGAGTCAATCCCGAATAGTACTTCTGAGCTGAGATACTCATGATACAGACGGAGGAATTCCTCGACTTCACAGCCAGACAAGGGAATGATCTTCGACCTATTCCTGGTATGAAAGCCGGTTGCAAATGGTATTCCGCTTTCTCCATTTACACTTCTCCGCTCCACGACTGACGGATTGGACAATAGGTGCCTTTGTGCAAGCCGCTGGTTGGAAGCCTTTGAAGCTCGAGGCCGCGAACCTGCAGGTGACAAGATTGTGCCCAAAGTCTTCTTGAATGCTACGAGTGAGAAGGCGTTGGGAAAAATCAACTTGGAGGATTTGAAGGGTTTCGCTGTTGATAAGAAGGAGTAAGCTTCGAATAGCGATTGGATTGGTTGTCGGGATGGCTGCGATTGGTGAGAAGTCAGAAACGGCTATGCAAGATCGGAAATGCAAATAGCGGGTATCGTATTGCAGAATAACTCATGCATCTCCTAACGACCCGTTATCCTTTGCAATGACTCAGCTTAAGCCTTCACGAGCTCTTCTCGACAGTCGAACTACTGATCAATCGAAGACGCCTCCTTTCCCATCTCTCCCTCGAGCTGGCYCTGGATCTGCTCTTCCACACCTGCAGCTTCGGCCTGGTCGATCGCCTGGGCGGGACGCAGCAAGAGCTTCACGTCCATCATCTCTGACCAAGCCATTTGCCTTATATCGTCATCGTCAAAGCCTTCCATCTCGAACTTCTTGTAAATCCGATTACCTTTTTCGTCGTACTCTTTCTCACCTCGAGTTGAGACACGCACACTCCACGCATCCTCGCCGTTGGAATCGAGACATCCGATAGTGGTGACAATTTTTGGCTGCCATCCCGTAGCATCTGAGCACGCCATTTCGGTGAAGACCACAAAGTCGCCGACCTGGGCGTCCGCTTCTGTTAGCGAAGCAAGAGTGGTGAGATCCTTAGGTAGAGCCGGAAAGCCATCATCTTCGTCCTTCACATCCTCGGCACCTAACAGAGCACCGTCCTGCCAATCCTCCCCATCGTCCCAATACTCTTCATCGTCGTCCACAGGATCGTCGTAGTTCAGCGCGTCTCCGCCTCCGTCTTGATTGTACTTATCGTACACCTCCACTAACTCTCCGCCATTGTTCTTTCTTTTCTTGTTCCTGCCTCCCTGCCCACCTCTGCTTGCGTTCCGCTTCTTGACATTCTGACTCCAATACTGCGGATCCCACTTCTGCTGGAACGGAAATGGTGGTTCGCTGAGCTCAACACCTTCGTCGAGGCATTCTACGGCGCTGATCATGACCCTCTCCCTCCACGCTTCTGAGTCTTCATCCTCAATCTCCTCCTCCGCGACTGCGACTTCAGCAGCAACCTTCTTCATTCGACTGGCGAGCTTTTCCTGCAGAGCATCCTTATCAGCCTGCGTTTTCGGCGCCCTCAAACCTAGGGATCCGTAGATAAGGCGATGAGCCGCGCTAACCCGTTTTGGGCCCTCTGTGGGCTCTTCAGCGTTTGACATGTCCTGGCGGCGCTTCGCCGCCGCTGCAGACAGTGATGAAAGTGCTGGAGAATCTTTTGCAGCAGCTGTGGGCGTAGAGACAGTGGCTGGGTAGACTGTAACTGGCTCCGTGGCGATTGCTATCTCCTCCGGGCGATCATCGTCATCTTCTAAGAGCGGAGACGATGCAATGCTCTTATTTTTGGGCTTCCTCACTTGAGGTGGGTGCATGTTGGCGGGCACAGCGATTTTTGATTCTGTGGACACGTCAATGCCGCCGCCGTTGATGTCACTGATCAACYGTTGACGCTTCTTCTCCAGCTCCCGTGCGACCGAATCTTGATCTTTTGAAGCCTCGGTGCTCGTTTGAGAACCACTCGCCTCTACATGAGGGACTGGAGGGAGTGTTCCAGTTCGTAGCCACTCCTGCATCTGCTGCAGCGTTGTCGATTCTGGAAGTTCACCCACCTTCTTAAGATGTTTCAGTCGAGCAGCTTCGCGCCGGCGGATGTTGCGCTCTTTTGTTTTTTTCGCGGCACCTTGTACAGCGGGTGGTGGTGCTGGTGGTGCGGTCTCGCTCGTTTCAATTCCGCTCCAAGTGATGTCACTGCCGGAAGAATCGCTTGAGCTGTCGCTGTCGCTATCGCTATCATCGTCCTCTCCCTCGTTCTTGCCACTTTCATCACTTTCGCTGCTGGACGATCCGCTTGAACTATCGGAATCGCTGTCGTCAGAAGAATCGCGCGAAGAAGGATTGATTACTTGTTCTGTTTCTTCTTCAAGGCCGGACTCGGAAGCATCGCTCGAGCTGCCGGTATCGTCTGAGTCGACCGAGTTGTTTGCCCATACTTTAGCACGAGCAGCTAGCAAAAGCTTCTTCTGCTCGGGAAATCTATGCTGCATCTCTTCGGCGCTGATTGGGACACTCTTCRTGGTCTCCTTTGTAGCCTCCATGAGTCGAAGAAAGCATTCACTTAGACCCAAGCCATCCTTGAATTCGATGATTGTAAACGCGTTTGGGGCAGCTTTGAGTATAGCCCTGTGATCAACACGTTCGATGCTCCAATCAACTGTAGACCAGCAGACTGCAACGTCCTTCTTCCCGATTGTAAAGACTTTGTCGCTACCAGGTACACGGACGGGATCCTCGCCGCAAGTCAAGTTGAAATGCTGCTCATCCGCATCCCAAACGAGGACCAAATACTTCTTGCGCAAACAGCATTGGCTAGAGTAGATCGCTCGAATAGGGACACGCCATTTTGTAACATGGTCCCAGTCCGCCTCTTCGACTTCTGCATCTCCATCATCGTCTGAATCCTCCAGCTCGTCTTCMGATTGGTCGTCCTCCGCATCTTCGAAATCCCCATCATCCTCGTCATCTTCGTCTTCGTCTTCATCATCCTCATTTATCACTTCCTCAAACCTCACCATCGCTCCCTCATCATCATCTTCCTCCGCCGCCGGCTCAAGCCTCGCCCTCTTCCTCGCCGGCGGAATATCCACCTCAGGTCTACGCATCCTCTTCAGCAACGGCTTCCCAAACGGTACGCCATCCAACAACTTCCTCCCATCAGCGGTAATCTGTGCCCTTCCACCAATCGTCCGGGCTCTCGCTTCAGCAAACAGCAGTGGCTTGATGACCACCTCATCGTCCTCTTTGAAGACTTCCCCGACTTTGGTGTAGTGTTGGGCTTCGTATCCTCCTAGAGTGACAGTGTAGTCTTCCAATCCCCAAGTGTTCCCCTCTAGAGGAAAGCGTACGTTGACGTTTTCGAGGAATTGCGCGATGGTGGAGGAGAGTTGAGTGGGTGGGAAGGACCAGAGGACAGAGACAGAGGGCAGCTCATTACGCTCGATGAGCAGGCGGATCCGCATGTTGAGCGAGGTTTGGTGCCGCGCGGGCGTGAGAATATCAGATGTTGTGGTGAAAGCAAACGAGTCGATCGTTTGAAGATTGAAGGTAGAGCTGGGGCTAACGGAATTGGCTCCGCGGCAAGAACTGCTCCACTGTCACATGAATGACGATATTATTGACATCACATCTACTTTACTGTATGACCATCTACTTGGACGCGACGGATCGGGGGCGCTACGACGGGTCGTTGTCAAATTGTGGGTGATAGTCAATGTTTGTGAGCGCAAAATGCTCGAGCTCGGGCCAAAGTTTCAGACTTTCTCAGCCTTGCTCCCATCGACATCTATCCAGATTTTGATGTAGCCGAGAGACGGGAAGACTGAATGTCATGTGATTTTGTATTTTTTGATTGCACAATCCAAAGGATCCGCAGCAGGAGAAACATGCTAGTTTCCCTCAGCAGCAGCACCCTGCGCCGCCCTCCTGCGCGTCAAGACCTCCTTGACGACCGTTTTCACCTCATCAGAATTTCTCACCGTGTTTTGCTCCAAGAAACCTTGCATTCCTCGCTTGAACAGGTCCAAATCGTCCTGCTTCGTCGCAAACGGCAGCATTTCCATTTTCAAGATGTTCGTCATTTCCCCATCTAGCGCATCGATCCTGGCGTTCACCGCATCAAGACCTTGAACCAGCGCCCGCTCTCCCTTTTCCAATCCCTTATCCTCACTGTGTTCAAACAGTGGTCCAAGTTGGTTCAATGCGATGAATACTGTGAATGCCAGTTTCCTCAATAGGACTATGAATTGGAAGGGGAGGAATTCCGCTCTTAAACCAGTCCATCGGAGGAGAGTGTTGAATTTGGTAAGTACGCCGAGAAACTCTGGTCGGGTGGCAGACATCACTTCGAATACAAACATGGCGAACATGATGTAGAATCTCCAGAAGACACCGGATTGAAGATAACCAGCCCACGCTATGAGGAGCAGGATTCCGGCAGATCCGACGTAGTAGGCAGTAAGTTGGTAGAGACCTGCCACGATGTAGTCGCGGGTAATCTTGCAGTTTTGCCATCCAAGGATATCGGGACCGAAGCGATCGTATGCGAATCTCTTAGTGGGATCAGAGAGAACATCAGACATGGCTTTGAGTTTGGTGAAGAGGGCAGCCGTGTCTTGGCCGACAGCCTTGTCAGGGTGGAGTGAGGCAGCGCTGTAGAACTAGAATTAGCAGACTTGGTGGTAGTTGAGAAAGGGAGGACGAACAGTCGACGCCAGCGACTTCCTACCGCTTGCTTCGAGGCGTCCAACGGAACCTTGAGCACATGGTAGAAATTTGAGGATTGTTGAATCTGGTGTTCCGCATCGATGATGGTATAGAGAAGGTAGAGCAGGATCACAGCCGTGTGGATCCGCTTCCGGTCGCGGATGAAACGGGGTGAGTTGGGAGCTGGATGAGGATCACCAGCTCGAATGAAGATGCGGTATAAGACGGGTTGAGCATAGGCGGTGACCTGCGCGGGTAGGAACCACCAGAGGCCTAGATTGAGGAGTTGACTGGCCATGTTCTTCCTGTTTTGTGATGATGAACAACGGTGGATGTTGTTTCTGGGGTCCGGGCTGTCCGCTGTATTCGGCTTCAGTCCTAGAAGGTGTGAGAGGTCGGAGATGGCTTTCCTTCTGATGCGAACGGCCTTGCAACGGAAGCCAATCGTAGAATGCAGATGTCAGTGTCTAGCGTCTAGGGTTCCGTTTTGTCCCTCCTGACGTCCAGATGCGAGATGGTCGCCAAGCATGAGCGCAATGTTGATTCGTGTCTCGATGCGGATATGTACCGAGAATCCGCCGATCGCATCTCGCTTGATTCGCCCCAGGAGCCGCAAGCGCGACTGCCGAAGCTTGTGATCCCAGCTCATCGTGCAGATCTCCAAAAAAGTTTCTCTCCACCTCACTTGACCGCGGCGCATTGGATAGTGGCCTTGGTTAAGATGGCCAAATCCAGCAGCAAGACCGATGCGGCAAGCAGCAAGAAGGTAAGAAGTTATTTCAAACTCGGTATACATTCAACTGACCATATGGCTACTTTAGAAGTCCTCCAAGTCGCAGAAATCACCACCTTCCTCACCCTTCCACACGCTCACAACCTCACTCTACGTCTCCCTCTCGCCGTGTAGCAACAACTTCCCGATCGAAGGACTCTGTGCCGAACACATTTCACCTCATCTTCTCACCTACTATGCGCCATTCAACGGTGTTCTCTTAGCCTTCTCGAACCCACGAATCTCCGAAACCCCGGACGAAGCGCCCTCTTCCGACACTGTCCTCGCAAAAAGCATCAACGAATATGCTGTCACATATGTCTGGCTAACAGCAGACTTCTTGGTCTTCCGCCCGGAAAAGGGGACGGTATTGGAGGGTGCTGTCAATGTGGTCAATGAGGGAATGGTGGGCTTGATCTGTTACAACTACTTCAACGTGGCCGTGCCGAGGGAGCAGCTACCAAAGGGATTGATGTGGGACGGAGAGGGGTGGTTGGCGGGAGAAGAAAGAGTAGAGGTCGGAAGGAAGGTCAAGGCGAAGGTACTGGACTTCGAAGCGAGCGGGACGGAGGGACTGAGCATCAGCGCTACGTTGGCTGAGCCATGGTGAGGAGGGTGCGGAAAATTGTTGGAGCATGATACCCCGCATGGATATGAGTGAGGCATGCATACATCTATTATGTTGAGAAAGGCTTGGGACGACTGCGATGGAGAGAAATCCAGCAGACAATTCGGAAAGGCCAACGTGCCGAATGATGGCGCTTTGCAATTCGCATCAGCGACCAATTGAGATGCTTCTGCTTGAGGGAACCCATTGGAACTGGCGAGGCGCTGGTCAGCAGGCAGGGCCGCAGCACAGGTGGCTAGAGCTTCGGCCCGGGAGGACGTCAGAATTGATGTTCTGAGGTCTAACGCTCCGAATCCAGCTTCTCACGCCGAGAGCCTGGGAAGTGATCAGACCTTCTCTCGGATGTAATAACAGTGGATAAACCATGTATAATAGGCCGTGATCTTTCGGCGCTTCCGCTCTGGACCATGGTTCAATACATTCAAACTCCACCACGAAGCCAATCCTCAACACGAATCTCGAGTTCGCTCGAAATTCTGCTCTTCTCTTGCTTCATCACCATATACAAGGTTCAAGCTACGGGCCACTACTGGCAATTCGAACGTCTCTATTCCCGCCATGAACCCCATCAGCAGAGCATGAGGAGTGAGCATGAAGTCGACAAAGATGCCGCTTCGAGGGCAGAATTTGTGAACAAGACATGGCTGCGGGAGTCACGGTGGCACAAAGTACGCTTATGGAAGCGCAGGAAGAGCAAGAGCGGAAGTCATCCAGGAGCGGAAGAAAGAGGAGAGGAGAGATGCGACGCGACGGGAAGTCCCTACCCGCAGTTGATGGCTGGAAGTCGCGTCGCGAATAGCGCAGACTTGCAAATTGAGCGAAAGAAGTGAAAGGCCGAGTTGTCGGAGGAGAAGAGACTCACGAGAAGTTCCTAGTCGACCCTGGTCGCTACCTTGTGCGGCCCGAAGAGCATAGGCTCGCACGTGAGAGGAAGATGGAGGAGATTTGTGCTGCCGAACAGAGGAGGAGACACGACAAGGAAGGTGAGGCTGGTCTGTGAGGTTCCTTCAAACACGATCCTGAGAGTATGCCAGACATGCCTTCGCGAAATTCATGTCGAAAGATTTGATTCGCGAAACTCAAAGCGCCTGAGGTTTTCAGCACATCAAGTCTTGTTCAATCCTGCATATCTCTGTCCGCATGCATGGACCTCTGGCTTCAGCTCTTCTGTTCCCGTCATAGCGAATTTCATCCTCGACTCGCAGTACCTTGCTCAACCGGCACCGAAGCACAAAAGCATCTTCCAATGGCCTCTGCATCCGCCAAAGTATATCCAACAAACCCTTCTCGAGCCGCAATCTCACGCGCAGTAGCTTGAGCACGGTCAGTGAAATCTTTGATGTCCAATGCCTCCCCCATGGTCGATACACGCCCTCCAAAAATCGACTGTTGAGTTTGCGCGACTCGCACCGCGTTTCCCAGATACTGCCTGTCTCTGTCCAAGTGACTTTCTGGATGATTGGGACCATWCACCACTTTGATGCTGCGACCCGCAGAAATAGACCTGATGGATAGAATAGATATGCATGGTTGCGGAGGCCCTCTGGAGTACTGTCTCGGTCCAGCGTATCCACGGCCTTGCTGGAACATTCTGAAACTCATGTTCTTGAAAATGACATCGTTTTCAGCCTTTTGGAGTATCTTCGCGGTGAGCCAGACAATTTCAAAAGTGCCACATCGTCTGGGATCCATTAATCTGCGAATTGGTGGCCTATGAGGACGTCTCCTACGTGTARTCTCCTGTCACTTGTAAGCGAGCGTTCTCTTGCACAATGAAAGACGTTGAACCTAGCCATAGCATGTGCAATGCAAGCAGTTCAGACTGACGTGAACATTAGAGACAACGTTCACATAAAACTCCGCATCCGCGAATATGATTGGCAACGACTCAGAGCGGAGCTGCGTGGAAGCTCTGGCAATCGCGGGCGGTATGAAGACGGCCAGGTCGTACACTCTGTTTTCGCCGACGACCACGAATGAGTAGATCTCGTTGCGGATCTCGGCAGCAAGATCCAGGAAGCGGAAGACTTGTTGGGATGAGTCGGGGTGGTCTTGAGAGGCGGTGCGGTCAGTCATCTTGCAGGCGGGTTGGAATTATCGGCCGGTTTCGAACTGGATTGGAGTGCTAGAAGCTGATGAGCTGAATTCTGGTGGCGAGAAGTACTGCTCTTTTGAACGATCGGGCTGATTGCTGTCGTATCACACACCAGGTCTTCGAGACGTCTGGAAGCTGCTACTCTAGTACTCCCGACCGACGAAGCTCGCCAGAGCACTAGAACAAACATGTGGCCGTGATATCGATGCAAACACGAAGAGCAACATCCTCTCCAAATCCATAGGTAACTAGACATATGTGTTCTAGCAAGAACAGCTGTCTAGCTATCTCGGGCGCGTCGCGACCGCAGGAACAGCTTCTGTCCGTGCGAGGCAGTCATCGTCACCGCCGACACCGCCGGTGACGTACTCCCCTCAGATCTGATCTGAAAAGGCCGCAAGTACTTCGGCAGCCGGAGTACCTGTAGTATATAAACAAATTCAACTTACTTAGCTTCAATAGTACAGTGTGTTATCCTTCCATTGGGTCGTGACAAATATCTTCAAAGGCTCTTAAAGCTGCTGTATACAAAAAGCAACACTTGGCTCCTATGATTAGACAAGGTTCTTATCCGCTTCGATAACGGGAGTATGGTTTCTTTTGCTAGTTGGGTATAACCGATGGTCACCCACTTTTTGGCAAATCAATGGGTGGAGAGTTTACTTTTGGGACTGCCCTTGTCCTGGTTTTTTTCCCGACTGGAGTACAATTACCTAACACAACAGATTAAGAGCTTGCCTGCTAAGTTCTCGGCTCTTCCAGTCACTATTACTTGAGGTAGAGAGCGTTGAACCATGTGACCAACATAGCACTTTTGCGGCCCAATCAGGTTTTGCTTGCCAACGTGGGGAATTAGCTACCGAACTCATCCACCTGCCTATTATTCGATTATCCAATGAAGGTCTGTCAAGATCCGCACTMTACTAATAGTAGAAAGTCTCGCCGTACATCCACGGTGGGATGACCCGCTGCACTAGCAGCTGAACTTGAAGTGAACGAAGCTATTCCGCGTGAGATATGTTACCAGTCCTACAATCTCAAAGCTACCGTGATGTCCGCTGGAATTATCTTCTTTGGATCGAACGCGAATCATGCGACTCCCGTCGAAGCATCAATGCCGCCTGGTGCCAGGCTCAGGCTAGACGTATGCGAAAACAGGCAGCTTTCGAAAGACTAGCGAGGGATGTTAACACTTATCCAGTCACGGTCTTTAAAGATCAGAAGGTCTCAATAGCCATATCCTTGCTTCACTTGGCTGGAATTGGCTTGCGAGATGCACGATGATCAGATTTGAATCAACGCTCCTGAGCCCTTGCACAGACATCATTCCACTCAAAAGCTGTTTTGTCGACTTCGCCTTACCTCGTTCCTTCAATACGAAGTGAAAAGCCTGTCTCAAAAGGTCCAAGTGCCCAGAGTATGAGCATGGCATACGCCAAGAGATGGAGATCCGAGATTGGCCACCCACTAATGCTTCATTTCTGCCAAGCTTTTCCATGACTTACGCTGCACTTCCTCATTGGGACAGCATACCCAAGAGCCTGGCGATAGAGTATACGTGTCGTATCAGTCATGAAAGCATCGTGGGGTAGGGTTCCTACGGTCGGTCCTCAAAGTTTGACGGATGCAGGCGGGATCTTTGAGGACAGCCCATCGGAATGATTATATATGTCTCCTGCTCCTCTGCATATTCCATCTTCCCTTGACATCTCAGTCCAGAATCATTTCCCGACATACCACACGACAACAAGTCCTCAAACAAAATGTCGACCAACCAGCACGGAAAGGCCAACACTGACCGCGAATTTGCATCAGGCGAGTCTTCAACTAAACTCGGCGATCTCACCAATAATTTTCGCAAGATCTGGTCCGCTTTCATGACTGGAGAAGACACCAATCAACCAAGTGCCGAGATGCGCACAACATCGACAGGCTTTCATGATCTGAGCAGACTCTTCACGTTGCCATCGGTCCAGCCAGACCCCACAGACCCTCCAAAGGAGAACGAGAAGAAGAATACCCCGGCTATCTCGGACCCTTTCACAAACCTGTCCGCACGCCTGGCAAAAAACAAGCAAGAAGTATCCGCACGCCAAGACCAGCCCGTGTCGCGTGATACGATTGTGACTCAGGCTCAAAACTCAAGCTTTCGCTTCCTCGACCTTCCAGGAGAGACCAGGAATTCCATTTATGCAATGGCTGTTGATAAAAATATGCACAGTCTTGGCTATTTCCGCGTACCCTCCATCGCGAGAGCCTCGAAACAACTTCGAGACGAGTTCTTGGCATTTTTCTTCGCGGAAACGGAATTCGATGTCCATTTTACAATCCGACACTCGGCCGACGGTGACTATGCTGGCTTGGTCCGGCTATTCGATGAGCAGTCGCTTTGCTATTCCGAGGAGCTAGATACACCCAGAGAGCCAGCGTCTGACCCGCTGTGCCTATATCCAAGCGTGAGAGATTTCATCCGACGGTCAGGAGATAGTGCTCTGTTCAAGAACATCAGCTTCGTCGTCACAAGCGGATTGTGGGACGATGACGKGGATGGAAATTTGACGAGGTACCGATTGGTCGATGGGGGCCCGTGTTCAATGACGTTCAAGGTTGATGCGAAGTTCAAGACGACTGTCGTGATCTCGGCGGTCGATACTGAAGAAGAAGCTTTGAGTCACGAGTTCTTTGTCGACAGTCAGATGCAGCCCGCAAAGGCAAGGGTGGAGGAGATTGCTGCTCGAGAGGGATTCAAAGGCTTCACTTTGAGCGACATTGAATCGGTCGCTGAATGCTTTGCTTCCGCGACAGCCCTTGGGGCGCGATCGTGATGGGAGCGGTATTTGATAGTTAACTTAGTCAGGCTACAAGAGTCAGTACGTAGATCCGGTAATGTCTAAAAGTTTAAAGTTGATCAAATTCTTCGAAGCCAAATGTTCGACTCCCGGGCGAAGGAAGAGCGAGTGCGGAGAAGCCACTCCCGGCTCCGTCAAGATCGAAGAAGCCACTCCCGGCTCCGTCAAGATCGAAGAAGCCACTCCCGGCTCCGTCAAGATCGAAGAAGNCCGTCAAGATCGAAGAAGCCACTCCCGGCTCCGTCAAGATCGAAGAAGCCACTCCCGGCTCCGTCAAGATCGAAGAAGCCACTCCCGGCTCCGTCGAGATCAAAGAAGCCACTCAGGTCCCCGCTCCATCAAGACCTCGCAGTTGCCCCAGTCCATTCCCTGATACATCACTCTACCTACAACTGTCAAGATGGCGCTGTCACTGAGCGCAAATTGAAGCCACACGTCCCCTTCGAATCTTTCAATTTTTCAATTGCGGATGGCGAACAATTCAGAATACCGATATGATGATGAGAACATATGCAATTGCCTTGCTGTATCATTCATGGTCATTTGGAAAACATGTAACAAAGAACTGCCTCAAGATGCATGGCGCTGGAATATGTGGACGGTCCTCCAATCCTCGCATGTCACAAACACGATCATCCCTTCCAATGTTCCTCTACCTTGAGTTCGGACTTCTATTTGAACCCCAGTGCCAATAGTATGATCTATTGACTCATCGAAAAGGCTTGAACACGGCATTCAGCCAGAGCTGTCGAAATGAGAAATCACGAACAAGAGCAACGCTATGAACTGCTTTCTTGATTGATTGGAGGGCTATTCTGCTAGTGGTAAGGACGCTAGCGGCTTACAATCGTCGAGCCTATAGATAGCGAGGCCTTGGGATATTGTGGGGATGACTGAGGATGTCATGTCCCGATGGTACAATTCTCACATCGGCAGCTTTGCACTCAGCTTTGGGCTTTGTTTCAATCCATACCCTCAAAGTGGGCGGCATTGATAGCCTCAAGCGCCTCGCGCTGATCTTCTTCAGAAACGCCCTGCCACTGCAGGGGTATCAGCTCGCTCTGCAGCGCGAGATTGGCATTCTTCAGCGTAGACGCCAATTGCACCCAGAGAAGGCGTTGTTGGGTGTGCGAGAGATATGACGCCCGCGCCAAGCACTCCGACCAGTGCTCGCTTGGCTCCTCCATCTCTCCGACGAGAACGACCATATTTGTCTTCTTGAGGTTCTCGGCATCGAAAGGAGCAGCGCCCTGCTCCCGCCACTCGTCCAGGATGTTGTCGAACAGAGCACACGGAGCGACCTCAATACCGTGCACTTTGAATGAACGATCGAGTTCGTAGATCTTGTCGATCGTGGACTGCTTGAGGAGAACTTTCGACTCATTTGGCTGGCTCCATGCCATCTCCCGAAAGTGGTTGAGGTGCAGACGGGCTGCCTCCGGTCCGAGCAGCTCGCGGAGCTTGTGATAGGTGCGACGTTCCTTGGTTTCGAAGTCGAGCTGCTGGCCTTGAGCCTCGCTCTTCAGCTTTTCGACGTCGGCGGCGAATTGTGGTGTCTTGAGGTAGGCTTGGATGGCCTGGTCGGCGAAGTAGGCGTTCTTCTTGTCGTCCATGATGGTGCGCGTGGTGTTTGTAGATGTGAGGTGAAGTTCGTTCCACGATGTAAGTGGTGACTGTCTCAGAAGTTACGTGCAGCTCTGTAGAAAGTCACCGACACATTTGGAGCCGATGATGCCTGGACCCTGAACTCTAATCTGTACACGCGAGTCATGTCGCGGCGAAGTGAATGAAAAGCCCTGAGCTTCGCACCTTGCCACTCATTAGTTGGCTGATATGGTCTTACTCCAGCCGAACTTTCACATGCAGCAAAGTTACGTGATCTACGCGCCTCTTGTCACCTTCACGGGTCTCACATTTCTTGGCAAACGTAATGATAGAATCAACAAAGCTTCTAGAAAAGTTCGCTCCACCCACACCGAACCTTCGCGAGTGTAGATGTCGCAGAAATCTGAATAGGTCAGCAGAGCGCGTCAAAATCTTTACATCGCGTGGTATTGTCGGAGTCCAACATCGTCAGCCCGCGTTCAACTTTGAATTCTCATGATGAGGTTTTTCTTACTTCACTTCCGCACCCGCCACAAGGTGCAAGCACTAGATCGAGAGATTTCACAAGGTACTAGCTAGTTATTACAAAACTATTGCACGACATCGATCAATGCAGCATCACTTCCACAGGCGCTGCTTGCACGATTACATAAGCGTGGACAGACTGYAAATGGTCTAGACCGCTGTTTGAGGGTGAAGGATAGGAGTAAGAATTGAGCAGAGACGACAGACGATCGAAGAGAGAGAAATCAGTGGGTAATCAGAATAGGAACAGGGACAGGGACGACAGAAGATGAGTAGAATGACTCTCAGCATTCCTGTTTCATCTAGTCCTTCAATCCGCTTTCCACAATCAATCGGCCAATAATGGTAGTCATCATCAACAGCAATACTCATAAACCCTTCCCCATCCTCTCCCCAATCCCGATATCGTTCTCACAACGCCTCTCCCGCCAAAAAATCCCCCCGAACACAAACCAACCCAGCCCCACCACCTCCCTTACCCGCCCATTCATCCAGCAGCGCCTCCGTCTGCGCACAAACCTTCTCCAAAGCAGCCTCGCTCGCCTTTCCCAAACTCATCAGTACCGCTCCATTGACGCCCTCAGCCACCTCTGCCCTGCCGGCTTCTTCAAACATCTTCGCCATGGGACTTTCCCTCACATCACTATATGCCAAGGCCCCAAAAGCATCGTTCAATATGCGCTGGATTTCAGGATCGGGGTCCTGGCCGAAATCTTGTTGTAGGGAGGTTCCGTATTGCAGGATTTGTGATTCGAGTGTGCTGCGGTGGATGTGGTGGAATTTGCTTTTGGAAGTGGTGGAATCGAGAGAGGCGGTGGTGTCGAGCATGTCTTGGTCATTATCTCGATCGAGTTCTTGGTGGTGGTGTTGTTGTTGTTGTTGTTCTTGTTCGGCGTGGAGCTGATTGTCGAGATCCATCTGTGTGTCCTGTTCTTGCTCCTCGTCCTCTCCGCCATGCTCGTCGTCATTCTGATCTTCCTCCACCTCGGAAGACATCTCACTCACCCTCTTCATCATCTCCACAAACTTCCGACATCTCAATCGAAACCACACCCCTCTTAACCTCTGCTCGTCGAACAATCTCGGGTAATAACTCTGTTGTAACTTCATTGCGCGATCAATATCCCCTTCCAGAATACTCTTCCGAATCTTCTGCCGATTCACAGCATGCACATCCTCCTCTTCCATTTCTTGTATGCCTCTCCCTCGCCCTCTCTCGTTTTCTGGTAGTAAACTCTCCTCCCGATCCGTATACTCCCGATTGAACGCTCTCGCAGTCTCCACATATCCTTCATGAGCAAGATACTGCCCAACGAGATTCCGCACCAACTGTCCCTCATCGTCCGGAGGATGCAATTCTTTGACGTCGACCTTCTTGATATCCTCCATGATCTTCTCCCTCTCCCTCCGCACCAAACCGTCGATGTCAAACACAAATTCTCCCCTTCCAAAATTGACCCTGACATGCTCCCCCGGCTTCTTCATGCCCACTGAAGGAAACAACTTCCCATCACTCTTCAATCCGGTGAATGCCGTCCCCAGTAACACTCCATTCTTGGTGAAGAAGGCCTCTCCCTTCCTAAAATTGACTCCACAACCAATCGTGTCCGTGCCACCGAATCTCGGCCCATACGCTTTCCCACTGGCGGTGCAAGCAAAGATGAAGCCATCGTCACCATGATATGCCCAGCTTTCATTCTCCCAGCCCGGTAGACGATTCAGATTTGCCTTTTTGGATGAAAACCCCACGCCAATCAAACAATCCTTACTGCGAGACAGAATTGTGACTTCAAAGTAATAGATGCCCACTTCTTTCGGGATGGGATTGTCGGAGCGGATACTGGCAGCTTCATCGGTCGTTTTCGTGATGCCGTTGAAACGGACTTCAGTCCCCGATAAAAGGACTTCGAGGGTGGAGATTCGGTCGGAGTGGGACCATTGTGTGGGAAGGGGATGAAGCGTTGGATCAATCGGAGGGACTCGTTCGATAACGTCGGAGAGGAGCGGGTTGGAAGGGATATTGGAGGGGACTTTGCCGGGATGGGGCGGGTGAGGAGGGAATTGTTGACTGTTGCTGAGTTYCCGAACTTCTCGAGCTTGTCGTTCGTGGGCGGAGCGGAGACGGGACACATGGCGAGAGGTGCGGAGATAAGATGGCGTGAAGAAGGGCGGCATTTCGTCGTAGCTCTCCATTCTGACAATATTCTCTGCTGGAGCGGTAATCGGGCTGGGCGGAGTGGAGGTGGAGGTGGAGGTGATGTACTGTTGCTGTTGCTGCAGTCGCCGCTGCCTTCCGGAGACGGCGCTGGCGTAGGTTCCGCGACTTCCGCCGATCAGATCGCTCATCGATCTGCTCCTTCTTCCTCTGTTCCTTTCTGAAATTCAATCGTGAATTGGGTTAGTTGTCGTAACCAGATCGGGCGTATCGGTGTGGCAGACTCGAGTACCTATCGAAGGAGGAGCTCGGTGAAGATGATGGAAGTAAGTGGAGCTTGAGAACACCCGAAATTGGCCTAATAACTGCTTTTTTGGTGGAAGGTCGTCACACAAGTTATGCACAAGCAGCTTCATTCACGGGAGGTTGTGTATGTGGATTGATCAACCAGACATCAAATGACGAGCTCACGAGGTGCTGGCGTCGCTAGCTTGAATGCATGCATCCCCGCATCCTCCCGGCCTGCCATGTCGACGGTGGAGACACGGCATGATATCAAGACTGCAACATTATTCAAGCACATGCAAACAATGTATGTTTTGTGAGGGAAGGATGAGATAGCAGTGGCCCTTCCTTCCAACTCTGTCGAAATTGCAGTTCCTGATCTCTCCATACTATCCTCAGAGCATCGTCCTGTTGTGCTCTTCGATCCATGTCTGTTGATACAATAAACACATCCCAAACGCCTCGCTGGTAGATCAAGCRTCTTCAAACATTGCGTTCCCATGTCCCTCTCACACGGCAATCCCCGGCGAACTCCCCATCGTCATCATCGTATTACCCTCCCTCTCTCCGCGACTACTTCCCCTCTCACTTCCCACCCGGCTGCTTTCCACAACGCTCTTATCCTCGACACTTCCTTCATTACTCTTTCCCTCCTTGGGCGGTGCCTTCCAACTAGCCAGATCCCAAATCGTGCCCGTGAAGCTCTTGAGTGTCAACCCCTTCCTCTCCCACTTCCGACATGGCTTGCCTGTGCGATCCAGCGCGCGCAGGCCGGCATTGATGGCGCCTGTGTTGGCTTTGGGACCGAGACGGTGAGCAGGGATGGCGGCACCGTTGGGCCGAGAAGCAGCGGTTGTGGATGAAGTTGTATGGTCGATTGTACCATCCGCTCTGCTGAAAGCATTAGTATGAAACATTATCGACAGGGAGGGGTGAACATACAGTCTCGGCTTCTTCTTAGGCCCTGGACGGGCGCGCTCGCGCATCATCGTGTTGGGATTGATGGAGGGAGGTGCTCGTTTCCGTCTTCGGTCGACTTTTGGTGCTGCTGTTGCTGCGGCATCTTGACTAGGTACAGGAGTCGCATTCGCTTCTGACTTGGTCTCTGCTGATGACGGGGATGGCTGTTGAGTTGGTGGCTGGACCACTTCTTCCTTGGTGGTGACGGGTGGTGTGGATTGGAAGCGTGACAGGAGGGAGGAAGGCAATGAGAGGGTCACCATGCGACTCTTCTTCCCCTTGATGGTCGGCGTCGGCGACATTGTCTTGTGATGGATAATGTAGGAGGAGTTGTGTCGATGGATTTGTCCGTCCGGCAGAGAAAATCGCGCCCGGTGTCGATTTCGTGTCGGTCAATCCGTCCAATCGCGCGTCTGTTTCTGGTGGTGGTGTTGAACGCTTTTCTTCTCATCCGCCGTCGTGATGATGGTGGTGTTGCGATATAGAGCGGTGATGGTGTGAAGGCTCGTGGAAGGGTTGATGGAAAGAGAATTGCCCCGAGTTGGGGGCATGCTGAATTGGCTCATCACGACCGGCTTGACCAACAAAGGCGGCGGCTTGTTCCAACCGCATGCTTTTGCGAGATGACCTCAAACTCCCGTGCGTGGGTGAGAAAGGGCGCCCGTGCTTCCATCGTCCGGAATCTCGACAGATGTATGAGAGAGACACGACTTTTGGCTATTGGATGTATATACACCCTCTACGAGACATATATACTGCTCATAACACTTGTATATAGACTGTGTGATATTCTACATAGGAGAGCCACTTTCACAACCCTCCATGGCACCTTCATCGCCGCAAACCGTGAGCATCTGCTTCCTTTGATCGCAAACTTCTGTCACAAGCTCTAATCACGCTAACCGCTTTCGGCTCCATCCTCATCGCCGACAACGTGGAAGGTGGTCCATGGTATGCAGCAAAAACATCCAGTTTATTTGTATCGTCAGCAGCAATGCACCCATGCATCAAACCTTGCATCGTTGTATTGAAGTAATCAGGAGTGCATAAGGAGTAGATGGCGCTGATGAGTGGGTAGATACCTACCTTACTCAGTGATTCCCATCATCAGCCGAGGAATCCGCCTTTCCCTCTTCTCCCGCCACATGTCACCAATCATCCTTTGCCCCAAGCAGCTGAGCGAAAAGGTACCATGATCAGCTAACACCATCAGACGGGGAACATGATCTCATACCGGCCCATTCTTGGCAGATTCCCCTCGATGCCCRTGAGCCATCAGAACAACATGGATCGCTTGCCAGACGAGCTTGTAATTCGTATCTTCAACGTACGCCCGGCATTGTTGACATTCGCCATTCCATCCGTGCTGATGACCCTCAGTTCCTCGATGTGGCAGATATCGTCAACATCCAACTCGTCTCCTCCCGCTATTTAGCTCTCGGCCGTGATGACACCGTCTGGAAAGAGGAATGTTTCTCCCATTCCCGATCCGAAGCCCGAAGACGTCGACAGCATCTCTTGGAAATTCAAGATGCAAGACTGGCCGAGTTACGGTTCGCCGTGACTGCTCTTCCTGGTGTCGAGAGCATGCAGGCGGCGAGAGTGACGGAAAGCGTGCAGAGAAGCCGGGCATTGGTCAACTGGGACCCCGGATATCCCACCGAGAAGCTGGACTTTTACCAAGAGTACATGTCAAGACACGCTCCCGTTCAAATCGGCTGGTTGAATCTACCCAATGGAGGGGCGCGAGAAGCAACAGGAGTGGGAATCTTACACTCATCCACTGCCCGACACGCTGTCGCTCCCCTCGATGATGGCAGTATTTGTATCTGGGACGTCTCCGCTCGGACGACATCATCACCCGGCGGCGGCGGCGGACTGCTCGGTCAGAGTGCTCCGGGTCTGCTTTCCGCTCTACCAGGCAAGGAAAGCCGGGCAATCATGACGGAAACCGGAGCGGTGGAATGCGTGTCCATCGACAGCAGCAGTCGGAAAGGCTACTTTGCAGTCCTCGACCAACTCCACGAGATCAATCTCGATACGCTCCAACTACTCTCTTCCAAGAAGTATCCTTGGCCCATCACGGCGCTGTCATCGTCTGACCCTCAAAATCCCTTGGCAATTGGAACCAACAATACCATCCATCTCTACGATCCTCGAGATCCAATCTTCGCCTCATCAAACACATCTACAGGCGAACTCATCGGAGGTTCTCCCTACTCCCACGCAATCTTGCCCCAACCCGGCCCTCTCTCAATCCTCAACACCCTCGACGGAGACTCGCTCTATGTAGCTGGGCGCTTCACCTCCATCCTCCACTTCTCCCGCAGATTCTTCCCCCGACTCCTCGGAACAACCTTCAGCGGCGCCCGTATCGCCGCTCTCGCTCTCTTCCCACATCCCTTCATCCCACGAGAACTCGATCTCGTCCGCAACCCCGCCCTCACCATTTCAGAATACACGACCGCGAAGTCTCTCCCCGGTAGCACACTTCTCGCAGCAGCAGAATACAAAGGTAAAGGAAGTCTCGAACTCTACTCTCTCTCCACCGGCAACAAATTCTACCATAACCGACAGACGGCCTCGGCGTCCAAGCTTCTGTCGATAGCAAACCATGGAGGAAAAATCGTCATTTCCGATGGCGATGGGAATCTCCGCTGGTTTGAACGAGATGGATCGTCCCACATCCGGACCTTTAACATTCAAGACTCCACCCCCAAACCCTCCGCCTCCGCTCCGACAGGAGGCGGGATATGGCATAACGACAACAACATCCCAGGCCAAGGAGACATTGTCCAGAAAATACTACCGCTCCCGCATTCCTCCTCTCCTTCGGTGGACGAAAGACCGGATATCGGTACCGACAATCTCCTTCTCTGGACAGGAGATGGCAGGCTCGGCATTCTGGGTTTCGGACACAGGGATCCTTTGGGTGAGAACCGAGGAATTGTGGAGGGAGAGGTGAAGAGTACGGCTCAGAAAGCCAAAGAGGACGCCGAGAGGAGTTATGAAGGGGCTATGAGAAGGGCGCTGGAGAGGAACGCTGATGAGGTGCGCTTTGTGAGGGGTTTGGGGATGGGGTATTAGATTACCTTAGACTCGTATCTCTCTTGAAGCATAGGAGGTAGCTCGCTACCGCCTCCCTTCCAATTTGCCCTCGAGAGTGGAGAGCTAGTTGTAAAGTCTTCCTGGTAGTCCCATGAGGGGTTTGGTAGTAATAGTCGGACGGCAAAGCCGCATTAAGAGAGAGAGGGGTAAGTGGCATAGACACGATGTCCAGAAGGCTGAATGTATGACAGGAATAACCCACTCGCTGTAGTGCTATTGCGATCAGAACTCCTTACTGTCCGGACAACGTATCCTCTCCAATTCATCATCTTGAGACCGATCCGTGTAATTTGCCTCTTAGAAAATCCTCAAGTAAAGCAGGTGCTTGGAGCAAGTGTGACGTAGAGTCTGCGTAGTAATTCAAATCGTTCCTTCCTGCTTTCGGCATCCCATACCTAGCACATACCTTGCTCGGAATTACTTGCCACTTCGGAATGTGGATATAATGCTTCTCTCCTTGCTCGCATCGCGGATAATTCACACTTGTCCGTGCACTCTCTGCACAAGATCGGTGGACGCACGTCGATGGTGACGGTGCAGAGATTTGAGGTTCTTCGTATATTGATTAACTTGCATCGTAAATGGATGTTGTCGGCKGCGCTCTTTTGAGCGGTGGTGGATGGTGGAGGAAAAGGGGGAAAGGCTATTTTCCTCTTTCGAGTCAACCTTGAAAATGGCAGTACCACCCTGGCGTCATCCGAGAGCATCTCTCGTCTCCGCAGGATATTACAAGCGCTCACAGGCCTATTGAAAAACGATAGCAGCTGCAATAACTCAAATGTCTCTCTGTTGCCTCGATTATAAAGGGTATCTATCGAACACGTACCAAAAATCTCCGCCATCAWTCAGGTCCCTCATCATTCTTCTTTGGCGCAGACTTACTCAAGCTCGAACTGGGGGCATCTTCCAACGTCAATCCCAATCCCTTCGATGCAACTGAGCTCCCAGGACTGGTAGGAAGCATACTCTCAGGCTCCTCCACGATCCTCTGGGCAATCACAGGCTCCTCAACCTCTGCACTGTCGAATGTAGATTTGACGACCTGTTTCGAAGCCTTTGGGCCCTTGGAGCTTGGACTTGTAGGCGCCAGGCCTCGGTGTCCCTCTGTATATCCACCTCCACTGCTAACCTTCTTCTTTGCCTGCGGTGATGCAGGTGGCGTAGAGTCGCCCCTTTTTGGCAGCGCGTAGTTGGGGTTGATGATTCTAGCAACGAGATTCCTCTCATCCACTGCATCGCTGTCTTCGCCGTCACTGCCCTCGAAGAAGGAGTCGTCCCAGACAGCACTCTCCCTCCGATCAGGAGTGGTCACGGAAGAGAGGCCTCTGGAGCTCGCGCTTTGATCTGCTCCCTCCCTGACAACGTCGAGATCCGCCAACTCGTCTCTCGCTTCTCTTGTTTCGCTGTTCGTTCGCGGAGGAACGACCATGTCTGTCTGTTCTTTGACCCGCTCTCCGTCCTTTGGAACAGGCGCATCCATAGGTTTTGCCCGCTCGCGAGCAGGCTCCTCTTCATCTCGTGTTCTTGCGGCATGCGTGTCTGCGAAATGTGTATCACATAGGTGCTTTACCACGGGCCACCCGTATGCATTGGCAAACATTCTCCGTACAATCATGTTGTTGTGGGCATCTGGTTCTAACCGAACCAAGACTTTCCTCCAACTGAGATCACGGTGATAGGCGCGTGCGATCTTCTCTTCTACCTTCATGCCGCTGGAATCATTGGACGAAGTTGCAGTGTCCACACTACGGACAGAGTCGGTTGAGGAGGTCGTTGGGCGCTGGTTGGAGTTTACATTTAACTTGCTGGTGGAGCGTCTTATGGGCGGGCGCGGGATGTCTTCGGGGTGGTAGACACGGTCGTGGAATATGGTTCGCGCGCGTGTGCTAGGGTCTGTAATCCACTGTTTGCTGGGGAGAGGTGGATGAAGGATGTCCCCAGCTGACTCAAAGATGGAAGTTTTGGGTGGTGCCTGCACTTCGCCCGTTCCGGAGTTGTAGATACTATCTCCTCRCGTCGCGCCCGTGCGATGAGACTTTGTGGAATGATGAGACTGGACGTGAGGGAGCTGTGGGCGCATCGTTGGGTTCGATGTCGTACCGCCTTGCTGCCCTTCGGGGACATCTTCGGTGCTTGTGTTTTCGGATTGATAGACTGTCTGACCACGCCGCAGAGCTTTACTGGTCTTCTTTGACGTCTGCGGAGGACTGGGTCGGAAGAAACCAATGAAAGTATCGAGCATGCCCTTCTCCTGCTGTGGTTGTGGGGAACCAGATTTACTGGCAGTGCTTCCTTGCTGAGATGATGCTGCATCGTCGTAGCTGACACGAYTCGTGGAGAGTTTGTTATCAWCGGCGGTCTCGTTGTCTCCAGGCAATGGTACTGCATCGCCCTGTCCATGTTTAGTCTGATCGTTCCCATCGTCCTCTGACTCCCACTGCTGCTGCTCTGCGCGAACCTTGGTCGAAGCGTTCGCACCTGTGAGCTCTGCCCAACCCCATTCCGCAACAGTGCCGATCAAGCCGTTTTCTCTCCGCGCTTTATCGACCTTGCCTAGGCCTCTCCAGTCGAGGAACAGGAGACAGCTTGTTCGCAATGGCACGATTCCGTCGTTGACGACATTCGAGTAGAGGGTACGGTTACGGAACAGCTTCAAGACTTGATGCGCTGGGCCGGTTGGGAGGACCCTCAATAATGGCTTTGCGCTGGGATCTTCCTGCTTATTGCCATCCTGATCTTTCTGCACGGTAGAAGCGCCAAAGCCGTTCATCATTACATTCCAGCCTTTGCTGGCAAGCGTAGGAGGTCGCCACGTCAAGCCAAGATCCTGTCCAGTCCGACCGACCAAACCGAAGTCTAGAGCAAACTTGACATACATAGGATTCTCATTGCTGAGTCCAAGCATGGGTGATGCCATACAGACGAAATTGATAGGCTGAATCTGATGAAAGAAGGTTGGGCTGTGTTTATGGATGTATGCAATCGCATATGTCTGGATCAATCCACCAAGACTGTGGCCAATGAATGATATGCTGGTGAACTTGTAAGGAAGCTTGTCCGGATCCAAGGACTGTTGCTTTGGCGGACTGTGCACACTGCTCCCTTGATGCACTGGCTTTCCATTTCGCTTAGCCTTGTCAGTATCGCTGCTGAAGGTGTCGGTGACCTTCCGCGTGAGCGACTTCTTGACAGGAAGAAATGGCTGATCCGGATATGTGAAGCGCAGGATGTACTTAGCAAGCCTTTTGCCCAAATACTGGATGCCATTCTCTGTGCGGACAGCGTTTCCGGAGAAGCCACGCACAATGGTCTCTTCCTCATCGTCAGATTCGTCTGCGTCGTTGTTGAGTTCCTCCTGTCCGCCGGAAACCTGCGCGGTTGACGTTTCCTTGGAGTCAACCTTTTCGTCTCCTTTACTCTTTTCGCGATATGCCTGCCTTCGCTTTCGTGCGTCTAAACGAGCCTGCGCCACGGTTGCATCAATGCTTTCCTTCAAAAAGAGCATATCAGCACCAAGATTGCTGTGTAGACCGTGCGTGACGATGACCAGGTGCACATTTCTCCTCTTCTTAGGCTTCTTGTCTTCTGATTCTTGAGCATCGCACTTCTTCTCATCTTCCCATTGCGGCAAAGTTGGCTTGTTCCACAGTGTCTCGGTATCTTCCACAACCAGCCTCACAGCTTTAGAGTAGACCCCCTGCGTCTGAACATGCCCTTTCCTCTGTGCCTCTTTGCGATCTTTCTCCGACTGCAGATCCTTGACCTGTCCTGGCCCGCCTTGACCGTGACCCGCGACTGCCGCAAAGCCCAACTCCAAGCTCCTCTCGTCCCGTCCTACGAGCACTTCAAAGTTGACCGAGGCAGAATTGGAGAACAGGATCTGAGACGCAATTTCGATGATCCACGTCACACTTCCTCTGGTTTCGTTGTCAGGGTTCTGACCAGGGTGCATACTCTTCCTCCGACCCAAGTCGGCTCCGGTCTCTCTGATGTTGTCCGGCACAAGCAGTTTGGAGGACCAGCTGCCACCAGCCTTGACCATGGGCTCATACTCCGGTGTGCCATCTCGTTTCGGATTCTCAACCTTCTGATGAGGGTTAAAGGTCGCTGGATATGCCGAGACGTGAAGGGTATACGGGCCATGAACCCAGGCGGCGCGGAGGGGAATCGCCGAGGTATTCTTGACTCTGAGATGGAGATGTGACRGCGTGGGGAGGATGCGATCACTGCTTGGCGTGTAGGTGAGTGTGTAGCGGACCACCTCTCCGATTTTGACCGCACCGCTTTGGTGGATGAGCAGCATGGTGGCTCGTCCCGAGGTTGTTGTCGCTGTCGCTTTCTTCACAACGCAAGAAGCGCTTTATTTCCTTGATCAACAGGCTGGCATGAAAGAGGAGTCGATGTTCAGGATTTCTATCATGGTGATCCGAGGGTACGACGACAGTGAGGTACGGACTCTGGCGGCACACAGCACAACATCTCACAACCCCGTATGGACATGACATGCACACGAGACGACGAAGTTACTAGCGTGCTGCAACTAGGTTCAAGCTCTGCACGTGGCTTGACATCACCGTCAATCACATCACTACTCCGWTCTCTTCTGCACACCCATCACGTTATCGCTGCCTCCTCGGACTGTTTCCAGGCCGTATGGAGCATTCTATAATCTATGCTACGACGGTAATCTGATCATGTTGATGAAAGTGAGCCTATGCTACTGCTTCCGGCGCATGGCGAACACTCCCAAGTGATCCCGGCGGTACGATATGCACGTTTAAGCAATTCCCGGTAACGGGAGCGAGAGTGAGTCCGAGCCCGAGATATACAGGTTCACGTGAAAATCATGAGATGGTTTGCGTTGGTGCTGTGAATAGTGAATTAATCCTGGCAAAGCTGATTTTCTAGCTTAATGTCGCGAGAAAGCGCCTCCTACTTCGCGCCAGAGTTATCCTGCATCGAAATCTTCAACGCTTGTTGCAACTCCTCATCATCGTCCTCGTCAGCTGGCGGCGCTCTTCCAGCACTAACCTTTTGCCTACTCGCCTGCTCCAAAAGACTCTGTTTCTTAACATACTCCATCACGATTTCCTCTTCGGTCTTCTCCTGCTGTGTCTTCTCCCCAGCGCCCTGTTGACTTTCAAACTCCTCCTGCGTTGTACCCGCAAGATGACCAGGATCATAAGCAGGAGGCTGATCTGGCTGATCGGGTAGCGTCTGTAGAGACATTGGGGGGCTGTTTTCAACCTCGCTAGCATCATCCCAACCTCGTTGCTCCCGCAGACTATGCGCGAGGGCACGCTCGAGCTCGGAATCGTAAAGCTTCCTCTCGTGTTCATGACGTTCGGCATCGGCAGCACTCTGCTCCATGGCCTGCTTCATCTCGGGATCGTCCATGTGATCTCCACGAGCTGCCCGGTTCCGCTGCACTTCAGCCATGCTTGCGATGATGGCTTGCTCTACCTCTGCGTCCCTTGCRGCATCTCCCTCAGATGTTTGTTGCACAGACTGCCTGATGGCTTCATTAATCGCCAGTTGATCYGCGGTCTCAGCGTCAAGGGAGATGTGAACTTGCCCAGGCGTCGTGTTCTGGGGACGTCCTGCAACATCCACAGTGACACCGGAAGCGCCACCTTTGATAGGAGCCTTCTCATCTCTCGCCTTCCTCGAGCCTAGCCACGCTTCCTTCTTCCGCATCTGCTCTGCGAGAATCTCCCTGACCATCTCATCTGGATTGCGCTTCTTCTTCATATTGTTCTGCAGCACAGTCCACCGCATAATGATATCTTGGCGCTCCTCCAGACTGGACTTTTGATACTCGTCAAATCCCTGGGCTGTTCGCGCAGATATGATGTAGTTTTGCACCGTCGACCCGAATTGCTTCTGGATTTCCTTGTATACTCCTTGCATGGTGTATCCTGGAATACCATAAATGGCCGCACCAGGCTTGAGAACGACCCCTCCGATACCCTTGCCGATTCCTTTGAAGAAACCTGCAGCTCCCTCCTTCTGCGCTCCCTTCATGGGTTGTGTGACAAGACCTGAGATTCCGTCGTACATACCAAAGCCAAACTCTTTGGTAGCCGCCTTGATACCAGRTCTGAGGTCAGTCACCTTCTCTCCCTTGCGCACGGTGTCGTCGCCATAGAGCTTCGGGGCGTTGTGGAAGCCTTTTGCGAGGCCAAGTGTAAAGTCCATCGGTGACTTTAGTCCAGCACCGATGATTCGACTAACACCCTGAGAAGTGTCTGACGCTGTTTCAAACATCTGCTTCCCGTTGAAGGWGCCCTTCTTGGATGGTGGCTGGCTTCCGCCCTGGCTAGTAGAGGGCGAGCTCTCGGACTTTGGGGAGAGTGGCCCAGCATTGAGTTTGGAGAGCGAATCCTGCAGATTAAAGGTTGATCCCGTTCGGCTCGATGCAGGCGACGCGGTCTTGTCGCCGCCTGGCAATGTCGCATCGCTCATTGTACGAGGGGTCATCGATGGAGATTCACCTTCTGACAGCCCTGTGCTGCGAGATTTCAAGGAACCTCCAGAGGCGTCTTTGTTCGCAGCCTTCTTCGCTTTTGAGGCCTTCTGAGCATCCGGGTGAATTTTCAGCGCCTTCAGCGTCGGTACAGGAAGATCTGCAACACTCAACATCATGCCGCTCATGGTTCCTACCAACGCAGATGCACCGCCAGTGATTGGATCCCAAGGGCCATCATCGACTTCGTAATCTCTGGGGCGGAAAAGCTTGAGCGTGTTGAAATCGAGTAGTCCTTCTTGAGATAGAGTGCATGCTGCCATGGCACTGAGTCGGGCTTGAGTGCGCTTGATCGTCCAGACAGCTGGTCGTGAAGGCGCAAGAGAACATCTCATTTTGTCCACATCAAGGAATTGATGGAAACTTTGCGCGCCGAGATCGCTTCCTCGCTCAGTTGCAATGCTTGCAGCCATCTCAGCAGCTTGCTCAAGAGTTTTTGGCTCCAGACATTTTTTGATGCCCTCAGCAAGATTCTCGGCCGTCAACTCTTTGTTCGGGATAGGGTCAGGACCGGCTCCGGCTCTGGCGACCATGGCACCCCAAAAGGGTTGATCGCYAAAGAACGGCACGACGAGAGTCGGTCTACCGGCTGTTATACCAGCTGCAGTTGTGCCTGCGCCCCCGTGGTGGACGACGCAGGAAACGTGCTTGAACAGCCAGTCATGAGGAACATTTCCAAGCATGAAGACGTCTTCGGGCTTCCCAAGCTCATCGGCTCCAACACCGCCCCATCCTTTGGAAACAAGAGCTCGCTGTCCGCTCTGCTTCACCGCATCGAATATGAGCTTAGTCATTGCGGTGGGATCGTCCAGCACAATAGACCCAAATCCAATATAGACCGGGGGCGGGCCGGCGTCCAAAAATGCCTTCAAATCAGGTTCAGGAGTGTAATTTGATGCCAGATCCAGGAAGAAGAATCCAGATATGTTGATGTTTGCACCCCAATCATTGGGCTTCGAAATGAGTGCCGGTGACCAGCAGTAAGTGTGCGGAATCTTGCATCGCTGCAGCATTCCAGGACCTCCGGTCAGACTGATCTGCTCCAGCCCAAGACTTCTCTGGCGCCATCGATTGATGATGTCTCCGAGACCTTGCCAGGTGAGCATGTCAATCAGTACATAGGATATGTAGTTGGTTAGATTGGCATCCGCATTCGATGATTGGATGTTGGCCAGAGGGTGAGGAAATGCTTGTGTGGGTGAGTAAGGCATGGTGAACATGATGTGCAAAGGAATGCCCAGCTTTTCCGCGCAATGGATATGGGCAAAGCTGGGAGGGTTTGCGATGATGCAGTCYGCAACGAATGGCTTGTGGAGGTGGTCTCGCTGTCCAGGACCCTGGGTCGTCCAGTCTTCGATGCTCGTGTCAGTTGCAGCCATACCCGTACCATTTCCAGTCTCGAAACACGATCGCCAGCAGCCCTGAAGGTATTCGTTGACTTCCTTCCGCCGTGAGCCTACATCACCAGCTCGGAGAGCATCGAATCCTGGCATCAGTCCTGGATTTTTTACCATGAAAGCCATCAAAGCTTGTGGATCTCCTCCAATGTTAAAGAACTCCAGTCCATTCTCCGTGACGAATTCGTTAAAGTTGGGATGTGTTGCCAGTCTGACGCGATGGCCGTAGGTATCTTTCAACACCTTTCCGAGAGCTACAAAGGGCTGCACGTCACCTGCATCGGGTGTTAGCCCGACGATGCCACTTGAGGAATAACTGCACGATACCTCTCGATCCAACGACCTGGATGACAACGTTCATCGGAGGTGGTGGAGCCACACCCTCTTCACCACCCAGCGATGGCGGGATGTACGCAGGCGGTGGCGGTCCATCATACGCTGCTGCTTCTTGCAATTGCTTCAGGCTAGGCACCAGCAACTGTGATAGACGCTGCGTGCTCTGGTCGATTCGAATGTTGACTCGTCCATCATCTCCAACGCTGGCYGATGTACCAAATCCATCTTGTTCCTGGCGTAGTTCTCCATATGCCTCTCCATACGGCGGTGGAGGTATATCCTCCTCTGTCTGTGTGGTATTTGTGGGCTGCAGTTGAGGTAAGCTCACATCCTCTCCCATGTGCCGTCTCTCTGCTTCGCTCGTTCCGCTGGTGTCGTGTTCCCCTGCCACTGCCGCCTGTGCTTGATCAAGCATTACCTGCGGGACTGGGAGTTGTGATTGTCCTCCGCCTTCCACTGGCCGCTTCTGGTCCGACATGGTGTGCGATTATGGAGTTGGGAGGCTGGAAGGAAGCTCTACGAAGGTGATGGAGCAAGCGAAGAGAGTGATTTGGTCTGGAGAAGAAGAAATGGCCTACCAGATGGTATTTGGAAAGCTCGCCGAGAGCTGCTTGTACTACGCGTGTTGATCGTGTTTGAAGATGCGAGGGCGCGAAAGCAAGATTGAAGCAGAGCTATGCGGGGTACGTCATGAATCGAGACTCAGCCACGAAGGCCCACCACGAGCAAGCAATACACGTGCTTGGGGGAATGTCACAAGAAGTGGTAGAATTACAGGGTCTATGACTGAAGAATGTTGCTCTTGAAGTTCCATGTTGTGGCTATAGTCGTGTACAGAGCAGAACGGTGAGGAACCAAGGACCCCTTGGGATTCACACTGCTGTTCACGCGCACTTTCAAAATGGTTAGAATTTGAGACAACCACGCAACCAGTGCCATCTGCCGTTAATTATTGTGACAGATATACAGCAGTCCGTAATCTCCAACGGATGAATGTATACACAGCCCTCACAGGCATGCCATTATATCCGAATGAGCAAAAGATACTACCCCAACCCTAACCCTACGTCCAGAGCTACGAGGCCGTCTGTGCGAGCGAGGTGATCTGTGTGTAGCAGCGTGGGTCTACGAGGAGTGGGGCATTGATCTCTGTCATTTTCTTTGTACTGCGCTCAGTGTATATCATTGCTGAGAGATGCTCCCTCAAATGACAGCCTCCATCACAGAAGAATGAAGAACGAAGAAGCTTCTTCCACTGGCATGTGAACTGCTCGATCTTTCGTGGTTCCTGGTTCGCAACCAAAAGGAGAAAAGTATCAATGGTGATCGACAAGTGCCCGTGGCCGGGGCGCGTGAAACACAAACCCTGCAGGTGACGTCGGCCAGTGAGATCATCATGGCGAGCTTGGAGCTCACGCGACAGCTTCATTAACGTCAAACGGGCAGCTTCCGTGTTCTCTTTATCATCAAGCCCAACAGCAATCATCTCTGACAAACCACTCATACCACTCCAAACATACCATCCAAAGCCCATTGAACACCCACGCATCCTCCTACCGAAACCAACCAGATCAAGATGCGCGGAAACGACTCCCAAGTCAAGGTCCACTACAAGGGCAGCAGCGACGACTTCATCGTCTTTGTCGATTCGGCCAAGGCTGTTCAGGACTGGAAGGGTGATAGCACTATTCCATTGGCGCAGGTGGTCAGTGGCTGGAATGTCTACGTGACTGGCGGGTGAGTCCAATGCCTACGTTCCTACCAATTGGAGAGTCGTCTCTCAGCTTTGTGGTGTGCGAGCACATGTCTGGAGAGGTCCTTGAAGGCCCCAGAAGACGCCAACCTGTAGAGACCGCGAAGAACAATTACTGATACAAATGCTCTGATAGACACGGCAACCAGGGCATTCTTGGCGCGGCTTCCAAGGGCGCCCTCGAGAGCGAGTTTGGTTCAAGCAAAGACGACGATGTTGTAAAGCAGATACTTGAGAAGGGCAACATTGTTGAGAGTGCAGTGAGTTACAACATCCATACACATGTGTCTGGTGAGGAGGAAGTCGACTGATCATTATTTTTCATAAGAACTCCGGCCGCGACGGCGTCAAAAACATATCCCAGGGAGGCTCTGTTGCTCACTAGATGAAGCGCGATGGAGTGGACGAGTACGACGGGAAGAAGAGCTCATGGAGGCTTCATGGAGGACGTGCATTTACGATCAGATATGAGGAAATGAAGCAATACCATCATGAGTCGTCAGAAGCTGCCATTGTCTTTGTGGTGACAGTGATATCCCTCGCGGTAAGTCGACCATTTATTAGAAAGAATAACTTGCTTCACTTGACGAACAGGTCTCGACGGGTTCGATTCCCTCCGCGAAGTTCGGCATGACGCTGCTTCTGAGTAGGAATGCCATGGTACCTAGGTAGTAGGAATGTCCATGGTACCTACCAGGAGGATGTACCACGTCGCGAGCAATCATTGACGTTTAGATGCCAACGTCAAATCAATTTGTCGAGTCGTCTCCTCGAGTCTCCAAGTAAGATCTCGCAGGTAAAGAAGTGTTTGCTGCGTTTGTCTCGAGCCTGTCCGCTGTCTCAAATCTGGTTTGCGCTCTTCTACTTCCCACCTTCTTCCACCTTCCAGCTTCACCGCGACAGCACCACAACAGCACAATCATCAGCGCAACATCGGGCCCGACACCGACATTGCGCTTCTCCCACCACCTTTCATCATCACCGCGCTTCCTCCACAAGCCATCTCTGCGCTTCCATCTCCAACTACAAAGCCGGCTCGTCCGCGCGTCAGTCAGGTAAGACAGAAACTTCACCCCCCAGGGCATCCACCACCGCAGCACAGCAGAAGATGGCAGGCGCCTTGAATCAGCGCGACATCTCGCGCAAGGGACTCCTCATCGTCTTCGCTTTCGTCTTCCGCAACGTCGGTCACGAAATTCCCGCAGAGCTTGTGGGTCAGGTATTCGAGTATCTTCACCCGCCCAAGGTCAATCAGTGGACCGCGTCAGTTCCCAGCACATACCAGACTTCCCACCCGGCCCTGCAGCCGCCAAAGAATGGCCGATGCATGATCGAGGAGATTCCCACCGAGATGCGACGCAAGCTGCTCGGCTACTTCCTCCCCGACAAGGATGTCATCATCCGTCCTCTCTGCAAGCAGCATGCGCCGTGGAAGAGCCCGACGCGCAAGCCGCAGCACAACACGGTGAGCGATCTCATGCTATTGAGCAAGAGATTCATGGAGGATGTCACTGCCTGCGTCTACAGCGAGCGCTTCTTCGGCATTCATGTCCATGAGGGCATCTCCTCCGGCGGCATCGAGTTCCTCGACACCGGTCGGCAGCCACTTCACTACAAGGCGAGCATCTTCGACGACCGCTTCGAGCGCTTCAATGATGGTGAGTTCGGGTTCAACCGGCTGAAGAAGATCGAAATCACCATTCACCCGTCGATTGAGCATGGACACCACAACGCCATGACGACCTACTACATCAATCACGCTCTCGTGCGCATGCTTGAGCGCAGCGGCGAGAAGGATCGCATTGTCTCCCTCACCATCAACTTCGCAGAGTCGGCCCCTGGACGCGCACACGCCGGCCGCACTCGCCGGCAGATTTTGCGCGGCGAGCACGCTTGGTGGAACCACGACTTGGTGAGTCCAAAGCAACTTCATGTGATCAGTATTGGCCGACTGACATCATGTCTAGAATGAACCTCGCTCGACCAGCATCCATGGCATCACTGACGTCGAGCTTGCTCTGCGTCCATTTGCCATGCTTACCACCGTCCACGATGTGCGTATTTACCTTCCTACCAAAGTCAAGAAGCACGCCAAGACGGTCTCCTTCACGAGTGCGTTAGAGCATAGCATGAAGAGCAACACCGCTTTTGGTACACTTGGTCCGAACGACGAGCTGGAGCGCCAGGCTGAAGCGATGAGAGATGAGATTGAGTCGTACATCGTCCGCAATAGATACGGCATGGGGTACGACCACAAGGAGGCCAAAGTCTCAAGACTGACGGATCAAGAGTGTAACGAGGTGGATGCAGATTTTGATGATGATGTCATCTGCAAGGGATCGAAGGATTGGGAGGGCGACGATGAGGTGGAGCCTACAGCCTTTACGGGCCCCGGCCGTACTCTCGGAGGGAGCAACAGGGCCATGGCCACGAACACGGTCACCATCAACACGATGCAGTTTTCAAACAAGAAAGTCGATGGTACTGTCAGCCGCCGTATTGCTTCCGTGGACGATAACGTCCAGGGCGACTCTACTCCAGCACCAAAGCGATCCATTCGCGCAGGCGTGTCTTCTCTCGGCGTCGACAGCCTTGGGATTACCGACGATGAGGAGAGCGCGAGCAAGACCCTCAAGCGCGATTCCGAGGATTCCCCTGGCGGTGTGCGTGTGCAGCCTGGAGGAGACGGTGGATGCAGCGGAGATGACTCTCTTGACCTCGCCGCTCTCCATCGCGACCGCGAGGTGCGCAGAGCACGTGCTAGCAAGTGGGACTAGCGTTCCCTACTATTTGCGGTGGTTGAACGTTTCCTGTCTCTCTTGAGTTGAGGTCAAGTTGGGAGAAAATCGGGACCGACATGATATCGCCAACAATGGGGAGAACGGGGATCAATGTGGCTTTGGGAACTCCTGAAACGCACGCCTGATCCTCTAGCAACGCTCGAAGAAATATGGGAATGATTGAGAAGGTTGGGATTTCGTATGCTGCTATACGGTGGTGGGTTGTTCAAAACGCTGCTGCGAACAAGTATGTACAACACTCCTCTTTCACGTTGCTCCTTTTCACATCCTTCTCGTTTGCATTTCTTTCGCTCCATCCCTCGTGTGCGGCTTTCCTCCGCAGAGACTGTGTTGCAYCACAAGGTCGAATTATACTGTCAAGAAAGGTTGGGACTCTGCAAAAGGCGGATCTGCTGAACACTATCGCCAGCAAGTGATCATGGTCGACCTGCCGGTAAGACACCTTGGCAAAATCGTCACTTCGAAGCTCACTCCTCCGCCTTGAAGTATATCGGAAAAGTCATCGCAAGCTACTAGCGACCAGTCAACTGTTGCATGTCGTTGAGAGACATAAGCTGCTTTCGAAGAGGCTCCTGGACAAGTCGCCTCTCGATATACACCATCGTGTCATACACCACTGCCTTTCTTCACCATTTCCTCGCAATATCCCTACCCCCAACCACATTGAATACCCAGCTGATTCCAATCATCAGCGTACGCCTCCAACTTCTAGGCCAATGCCAGATGCTACCACTTCTCCACGCTAGCCACGCAGATTGTCCAGTCCACTCCTCCTGACCGCCAATGATTCCGTCCTGGCCTCCAAGATATGCCAGATTTGCCTTTTGTCTGTATTCAAAAGGCTTCACAGGCTGGCCGTCTTGGTTCAACTGTTTCGCCAAATACTCGGCTTTTTGAACAGCCACCTCCGCAAGCATTGGCAGGGAGTACCCTTCGATATCCGCAGAGTCACCCATCGCATAGACGTCCTCGATGATCTGATCATCGCTTCCCAGGACTTCCAGCCTACGATTCGTGAGTACTCTCGGCAACTTATCGCTCTTCTTCACATCCAGACTTTCAACCAGAGGATTCGCGCCATTTCCGGTAGCCCACAACAACATTCCACATTTGATCTCTCCCAATTCTTTTGTGTGCATCGCCCCAGGCTCAACTTTCTCAATATGACTCTCTGTCTGAATTTTGATCCCACGCTTCTCCAGTTTCTCCAGGGCATATTCTCCCAATCTCTCATCAAAACTCGACAGAATCGTTGGCGCAACGTCATGGATTTCAATACTGAACTTCCCGTCCAGATGTTCATACAGGAATCGCATATCTTCATGCCAGAGATCGTATAACTCCGCTGCTGCTTCGATCCCGATGGGTCCGCCACCTACAATGATGATTCGGAGAATGTCCCGCAATTGCTTATCGCTCAAGCCTGGGATGGATGCTGCATCTAGCATTTCCAAGATCCGCTGTTGAATCTTTCGAGCATCGTCCGTTGTTCGAAGGAAGTTGGCATGCTCCATTGCACCAGGCGTCCCGAACGTTTGATTGATACATCCTGGACAAATGACGAGTTTATCATATCGAATCTCAAATCGCTCCGCTTTGCTGAAATCATTCCCGGCGAGGTTCGCTAGAGCGGGTTTGCAGTACACGAGTTTCTTCTCGAAATCGACACTCTCAACTGTGGCTTTGTGGTATTGGAGCTCTGGGAGGCGGTTTCTTCGGCGAACAGGCTCTTCTGCAAGTCGAAAGTCGAAGTGCCCGGCGGCGGCGCTGGCTAAAAGAGGTGTGTACTGTACCGTCCTAAGCGGAGCGATGACTTTGACGTTATATTTGGACATAAGAAGGCCGTGGGCCAATGTGAATCCTGCCCAGCCGTTGCCTATGATGGCTATAGTTGGTTTGTTTGCCATTTTTGCTGGATCTGGTGCTGTCGAATCCATGGACTCGAATGAGAAGAATTGCAGGAGATGTCTTCGGAAGGGATACGTTCGTTGTATGGCTTGGTTTGGAGATGCTCAAGATAGAGATTTGATCCCTAGATTGCTTTTGCGAGATGCGAGATTGTGGGATTTATTTTTTTGATGAAGATAAGGTAACGTTCAAGATCATGATGTCACCAACTCCGGTTGGCTTGTGGACATGGATGGCGCTTGGATAGCGGAAAGGAGATTACTTTCAACATCATCCTTCTTGCGATCAAAAATACGCGTCTAAAATTCCTCGTGCCAGCGTTGAGGATGGTTGATGATGAAGTCTGAGCATGAGCATGGATTGTGCCAGCTCGGAATGTCTTACCAGGGCAGCGTTTCCCGAAGAGGAATGCGAGACTAGGATCGTAGCCAATCAACTTGGCGGACTCAACAGGGTGTGCAGGCATGCATTAATCGTCCGGTGAGTAACGTACGAGCGATAGCCGGTGTACCACCTGATGTCAATGACGGCGCTTCAAGCTCCCTCAGGTGGAATTGCTGGGGAGATACATCTTTACTCAAAGGTAGTTACAAACATGTCGTTGCATAGTGGTGGCTGCAAGTCATGCATGGCGAAGATCAGTCCTACATCGATCATAGGGACCCTCTCGCGATCTTGGAGACGGCCTCCTTCGACCACAGCCTGAGCACAGTCGATGATTCCACTTGCATCAAGCAATCCTAGCAGTTCCGGTCGTTTTGCAAGCTCTCCAGTCACGTCAAAGGCCAAGTTGATAGGGCCCCCGTAGTGGGAGACTGCCGCTTGCAAATGTCCCAACAAGTCAGGAGCCGAAGCATCGATTGCGTACTTCGCTCCTTGATCTACAGCTCGGCCGCAGAAGGGTCGTACAGCCTTTTGAAAGTCTTCGGGAGGTGATGCATCTTCCGCTCGGCAGGTCACGAGAAGTATAGTAGACGGTAGAGATATACGGAGGAGCTGCAGGAGTGCATTGCCGAGTGCAGTCTCGCCTCCCAGGATTAAGACCGTGTTAACGTCACCAACGTCGTCGTCTGGCTCCAGACTGGTGAGTGAGATGCCAAGTTCGTGATGTAGAATGCTCAGGCCGGCARTGAAGGGGTAGATCATCGCGGCGGCATTTTCAAAGCTCAGATGAGGGGGCATTGGGCATATATCGGAGACATGAACGGTGGCCTGGCCGGCGGAGGTCTGCTGCGGTTCTCGCATGTAAACCAGAACGTTCTTGTTTGCACCATATTCCTCTCCAGCCCCTCCAGCAAGACCATCGACGATACCAACTGCTGCGACGAGTGTTGAAGAAGATTGATTAGTATGTCGGAGATGAGCTGCGGCCTTGAGATTCACAACTACCTCGTCGTGGCCTACAGTGGTGGTATTGCTTGGTGTTGAGGTAGCCATTGACTTGATCTGCTCGGCCACTGACAGTCGAGAGTGATGAGTGAGATTGTCCAAACGTGCACAAGCGGAAGTCGCGTCATGGCATATATATAGCGCTAGCTTTAGGCAGCAGGATCAATGTAAGCTTCAGCTCGACCGCATTTACCGCACGCTCGGGTTTTCATCAAAAGACTTTTGAAAACCGAATCACTGGCTGAATCAATCTTCTGTATGATGCTAACTGATGTCTGAAGATGATCATAGAGCATCGGAGGAACGTGATCAGCGTATAGGAAGGACTGGAGTCTTCGATGACAGAAATCCGCAAACGCCGGCAGTCTCAAGAAGCCTCCTTCCTTGCCTTGGAGGTTTGGCGTCACGTCACGGAAGTCACCAGTCGTAGATTTGCTTGCTACCAGTTATACTTCAACGCCCTCATAGATGCAACCGACAGATGTGACAACACAGCCGACTATCACAGCCTCACGATGTCTTCACCAGATCCCTCGCCAAGTGAGAAATTGACGTATGTTTTGCGCAACATTTGAAATAAGCATCCACCGCTAACATCACACAGTAGCGATGTCTTCCAGATGATGCAAAGGATCACCGATACACAYGACTTGAGTCTGGCAATGCAGGCCACGGTGCACTTGGAGACTGCCAGCAGAGCTCTTTCTAAGGTCTGCGGTCTGATGGGAATGCGTAAAACTCTCATGCTGACACAATCTGCAGGCATTTGTTGACGAGAAAATGCGGATTGCGTGTTGCCATGCCGCAGAAGCTCTGACACACCGCGCCAAAGAGCTGCTTCTAGAGGCTCAAGAGGCAGCATCCCACGATCAAGAGGCACGTTCGGGCGCTGAGGCTCTGACCCTTGTGGTTCTTCCAGGGATCACAGCTGCTATTGATGCCATCAAGAGCTTTGCCGAAAGTCGCAACAATTGGGAGCATATTCGCCAGCAGCTACGAGGGGTTGCAGACATCGCCCAAGATGCTGACACACCCGAAATCGACATTTGGGAAGTGCTAGGCTATCAAGAGGATCATTGATCTAGTACTTTACTTTGCGTCTCAAGGGCTTTGGAAGACCGGTTTGTAGAAGGCCTGGTTTGCGCTTTCGAAGCAAGAACGATAGCTTGCCTACTTCTAGACGTTAACCGTCCATCGTGGGTCTCAAACGAGCCTTTCATTCACTTGATCTCATTCAAGTCTTGTATGTCCTGTAGCAAACGAAAGTAGCGATGCTGTTTGCTCCGTTCAATACTTCAGCTCTGCCGTATCTGCCCTGTGGATGAGAGATCGGAGAATCACGCCGTGAAACGAACGATGACCACACCTCAAACAGCAGGCACCGAAAAACTTGAATGTTTCCGCCGTGGATCTCCGATTAGGATAGAATACAGCGAAGACGAGATCGCCCGCTTACTGGAAACTGCCGACATCCTCAGTATGGATATGGCGGAAAACTTGCTGATGACATCGGAGAATGCAAGACGCCTGGTGTCAAGAGTGAGCGGCTCGTTACGCAACAATGGTTCATGCTGATAAGGTACATAGGCCTTCGAAAGCGGCGACGAGGATGGAAAACTGTGCCGCAAAGCCTCTACGTGTATATCCCATATCGAGCGACTCCTCCAAAAGACTCAGGATGCTCCCTTCCAGAAAATGGAGAGAGAAGATGCTCGGAGCGAGCGGCATCATGCCGAGACTATTGCGAGGGCATCGATGGTGGATGTCACTCGTGCTGTTGAGGTTATCAGGAAGTTTGCTCAAGGCAGGGTATTGTGGAAGAACATGAACAAAGAGCCGCAGGCCATCATGGGAGCTAGCAGGCAAAATTGAGGCGCTGGCCTGATCTCTTGTATGATAAGACACAATATACGATCTCCCAATGAAGAGTATCAAGACAAAAACCGGAACAGTGGTCGGATCCGAGCAGAGCATTGTCTGAAGGATAGCAGGGTCATTCAAGAGTCATTTGCATTCGCCAATGGTGCCGAACACTCTCGATATGGTTGACACTCTTGGAGCGCTCCATGAATACATTGCATACCTCGAGCTGCTAGAATCACCTTCACCGGTGACACCCATCGGGTACCCGCTCGTGACTTCCGAATCCGATGTCTCTTGCCATTGAAGTTGTTCTTGCTCTGTTGCCTTCCTTCCACGCTGCGGAGTCTACTCAATCTCAGCTTGTTGTCATCTCTACTTCTTTCACTTCATCCAACAACCACATTACTCCATACTCCATCCATTCCAGCAACTATCACCTTCCACTGCAGCATCCGTCGAGCTCGCAAAAGCCCAAGCAAACAACGTCCGAACCAAATATGTCTCCTTCCGCTATCGCTATGGGAAACGCGGAACCTCCACGGGTCGAAAATACGCCTCACCAGATGTCCGAGACTGAGGACGTCCACGACACCAACACTTCCAGTGATGCAAAATTGCAATACATAATAAAGACGACCCGGGACTACATCAACGCCCTGGAGTCTACCCTCGAGGTATTTGTACATCGACGGCTGTTAAATTTCTTGTACTCATTCATTCTGTAGGTATTTGAGGGCAGGGAGAATTCTTGCGCGTTTACCGAGGTGCGAAACGCACTGACATCTGAATGCCGCCGCAAGCTATCCAACATGTCAGATGTCCCGTGGGATGAACCCATTGGGGGACTCTTTCAAGGTGTTCAAAGTGCCCAGTCACTCCCTCTTTGTTGTCGAACTCCCCAGTTTGTCAAGGAAGAACACTTGATATTCATCAAGCGTTGCAAAGCCATTACCCGGAAGATGGAGATGGAGATGGAGATGACGTTGAAGAAAAGGAGGGCCAGAAGAGAGACGATGCTCTCAAAAGAGAGATGGCGGACATCCGTCGGAAATCGATGGGAAAGCATAACTAGAAGAGCAGCAGAATGGAAGTCAAGTTGGTAAAGGAAGAGCAACAGATCCATCTTTGAGATTAGCACATCCATTGGAAGTCGAAGTAGACTGGGGGAAGGCGTCGTTAGCCAACACAGTTGATTATCCTCTCGTCTCAGGCCTTCCTCTTGACCAAGCCCTTGAAGAAGTCAAAGCTATTGGAATCGCTCTGCAATTCCCATCGTCTCCCAGTAGGCCGATCCTCAAATCCCAGCTCTTCAGCAACCAACAGTCCCCAATCACTTGTGATGCCCCTGATCTTCGCCCTCGCACCGCCCTCGACCTCCAGCGTGACAATCTGACCAGAATGTAGCCAAGTAGCATAGTACATGTCTTCAAATCTCTTATCCCAGCCCGTACGACAGAATCTTGCATACAACGCCTCGAACTCCACGAGAATGCTCGCCAGTAACTTTTCCAAAGTCGGAGGTTGGAGGTGAGCCTTTTGAGCGAGATGCTGAAGGGAGGTGGTAGGTGCAGCGTTCAAGACGTTGAGTCCAATTCCTACGATCAGTGTGTAGTCGCCACCACTATAAGAAGAATTGACCAATACGCCGCTGATCTTCACGTATCTCTCCTCTTCACCTGGCTTTGTAGTGGGATCCAAAGCGTAGACATCATTGGGCCACTTAAGTTTGATGGGAAGTTTACTGTAGCCTTTATCGTAGTTTTGGATTCCGGCTACAATAGCTAGTGCCGCGAGATATTGAACGAAGACCACAGGCGCGGAGTTCGATAGGGATAAGCTGTGCTTGAGGATGGTGCTGAAGACTAGACTTCCAGGTGGTGCGATCCAGACATTTGTTCCGCGACCACGGCCGACGAGCTGAGTTGTTGCCGTGGCGGTTGTGCCTATTGGGAGGTGGGAAAGCCAGGTGGGATTTTTGTCGAGGATCGATTGTGTGCTTGTTATGACTTCCCCGTAGAGGAGAACGCGGCCGTAATCGCCTGAGATTTCGGGGTGGAGAGATTGATAGTGTTTGAGGTTGGCGTAGAATGCGTGGTGGTTGAAATGAGGTGTTGATTTGGGATCCGGGAGGGAGGTCGTATGAGGGAGGATGCGCTTGATGACGGCGTTATAGTCGAGGATTCTATCCGGTTCGCTGGAATCAGTTTCTGTTTTGGGACTCTGTGCTGAGGGAGCAGAAGAGACAGCGTTCTTGATAGGATTGGGGATAACGTCGGTAATGGCTTGGGTGATACCAGCCATACTCCACTCATTCGTCTTCTCCAGACGAAAGGTGTCTTGCTCGCCTTTGATGCAACTTTCGCCATCTTCATTGATGATGATGCCCGCCTCTTGCCACGATTGTAAAAGTTCAGCAACTTCGCCATTGAGTGCAGATGAGAGATGCAAACGAGAGAGTGACGGTACCGATTGATTGTCCTGACTAACTGTCAGGCCTAGTTTTGTTAAGCATGCTTTCATGAAATCGGTTCTCTTCGTATCATCAGCAAGGAGGGCATCCACGATGTCGCCGTAGTGAGGATTGGATGGCTCGTCACGGTTGAGGTTGATACCGGCGAATCTGCGTACAGTCAGCTTTGGAAGCGATGATGAATGTATTGGAATCACGCACTCGGGATGTGGTCCCGTAAGAATTGCAGCACCATCTCCTACCTTGCAATACACCACTGCAGCTTTACCCTTCCCTGCATCGACGGCAAGATCATCACCAAAGCTTGCCAGGACTTCCACACCTTCATACTTGTCCGCATCCACGAACGCACCTCCACCATTATAGTATGAGTTGAAGTCCTGACATTGAATCACATCGCCCAACGCTTGCTGGGCCACTTTCAAGTCAACGACTCTTGCGCCAGCCTCACTAGCGTAGACGAAGCCTGGAAATGCCAGACCTCTAACAACACCAGGAAAGAACGCCAATTCTCTCTCACCCACAACCTCCATGCCCTTCTTTCCGACCTCAAATTCACACTTGGAACTCCCGTAATATCCGCCGGCGMAAAGTCCAAGATATTTGCCACCCATGGAGACATACTGACGGATCCTGCGGTTCCCTTCGCCGTTCAACGTGCGACAGTATCCCATATCAGCACCGCCAGGCATGACCAGCATAGCACAAGAAGCCGGCCAGGGTTCCTTCAATATTTGATCGGAAGTTACGGTAAGAACGGCGTAGTGCGGTCCAAGAAGACGACGAAGTGACCAGGTGGCATGACGGACCGAAGAAAGAGATGCACCTGCTCCAGAATAGACCAGGATATTGATGCGTTTTGTAGGAGGCATGATGTATTTGTGAGGGTCACGTGGGGTTGATAATCTTTTCGAGTGGCGTGCAGGTTGAAACTCTTTCCTTCAATATTTCATCAAATTCTGCCGGTTTCGAGATGGCAAACGAGGAAGCGAAGAAAGAAGTTGTCGAGCAGGCTCCGGTTGTTGAAGAAGAGGACGATGATGAGCCGGATGAGTGGTGCGTCCCGTCTTCGCAAGCTATGATCCCAGTCTGCGCTTCCCGGGCTAATTCAATGGTTGCGTAGGGACAAGAGAATCTTTAGCACTGGCTGTGCAGGTACGATGGCCTCCCGCAATGTTCCCGCGAGTGTCAATAATAGGCTGAACCTGTCCAGAGGAGAACACGGCGCTGAATGACTGCTTTCGCGAGAAGCTAGACTGGCGGGCCTGCAAGGAACAGGTGAGTTCTAGACGATGCACCTACCCTTTGCACTCAGATTTTAGTGATGAGTCTTCAAGCCATGGATACTGACTTTTGACGATCTTGCAGATGGATCTGTTCAAGCAGTGCTGGAAGCAGCGGGGAAATGATCAAAGGACAGAGTCCAAGGACGCCGAGTGAGGGATCGGATGATCTCAAGATGTTTCTGATTTCGAGTAGATGTATGTCTAGATGGTGGACATGGCTTGTATTACATCAATGTCTCCTCTCCAGTCGTTGCACACGGAAATATTCGTGGTTTGAATAATGAGCATGAGGATGAGAAGTCGGGATGAATGTCCAACCATCTATATTGATCAGGCCCCTTCAATATTTGATGAGTCCCAAGTCAGGGATCTCGCAACATGAAGCTGTGAAGAGAGGTACATCATTTCAACACCATCCTCGCCATTCCCCATCATGGCACTTCCCCGCAGAGCAGGCGTAAGTCTTGCTGCTTTCATCTCCGCGCCATTATATAGGAGAAGCGCGACCCGGTTCCTCGCCATCCGCAATGCATCCTCCGCGCCGCCATCGCCGCCGCCCGCGACAGCAGCAGCAAACACCGCACAAGTAGCWCACGATCTCTCACCTTCTGACGAATCACAACCCCTCCGCTCACTCACAGATGGTCTGGAAGACCCACCGCCGGTCCTCGACGAGCATGAAAAGCAGGTGGATTGGACGAGGAGCTACCACGGACTTTCCGCAAGTCCATTTACTGCAGAGCAAGCACAAATTCTGCAGGCTCCTCTTGACTATGACGATATTGAGATCAAGCCTGATGGAATCGTATATCTACCTGAGATCAAATACAGACGTGTCTTGAACCGCGCTTTTGGTCCTGGAGGATGGGGATTGGCGCCGAGAGGGGAAACCATCGTCACCGCAAAGGTAGTGACGAGGGAATATGGCTTGGTTTGCGGTGGACGGTAGGCATGACCTGGAGAACTGCTTTGCATGATGGGGTTACTGACATTTCATAGACTGGTTTCGATTGCCCGCGGCGAACAACAATATTTCGACCCAGACGGCATTCCAACAGCAACAGAAGGCTGCAAATCCAATGCTCTGATGCGCTGCTGTAAGGATCTTGGCATTGCCAGTGAACTCTGGGATCCACGCTTCCTCAAGAAGTTCTTGGCTGCAAGTGGGAAGGAAACGTTCGTTGAACATCAAGTCACGAAGAAGAGGAGAAAGCATTGGATGCGAAAGGATGATGAAGTGAAATATCCGTTCAAGGATGTTGGCATGCAGGGTAGCAATGGTAGCAGTGGCACTGCACAGGTCGCCTCCAAGGCGAATGCTGCTAAGAGCGGAGGTACTGGCATTCCGGCGAAGGCGAACAGTGCGGCGGTGTTTGCTGCAGCAAAAGCAAAGGCTGCTGCTACGGCTGCCGCGAAGGAGTGATGGAGGGCAGAGGGTGATCCTAGTGATGGCCAAGCTACGATGCGGCGAAGACTGTACAGTATTGTATAAAATGGCTCAAAAGCCACACATTGAGCTCGATTGGCATGAAGATTGTAGATCAGAATATGTAACTCTTCTCGGGCACTACGACGCCGCCCCACGCTCWCGGGCGGGTCTGATACGAAAGGCGATTCTAGTCTTATACATTTACTACACGTTGTAATCTGAACGAGAAGTTGGATCCTTTATACATGTATACACCTTCTCATTGCCATCTATGGTACAAACCACCTACTGCGGACTAGTGTGCATATGTAAGCCACCCGACGCTCTCTTAGCCGCAACTTTGAGCGCCTACCAAAAAGCAAAACAATGACCACCCAAATGCTTGCAATCCAGCACACAACGAAACATCAAAAAACAAGAAACGCAGACTTGAACTGCGAACCTCTCGTTCTCCCGCGCAGGCTTGAACTGCGAACCTCTCGATAACCGTCCTTCAAAGGACTAACAGTCGAACGCGCTAGCCAATTGCGCCACGGAAGAAGCGGGTGTGTCCCGAATCTTGTGATCTACTATAATCTTCAGCGCAGCATTCACGAGGCTGACGCTGTGAAGGACAGCCCAACTACACTTCATCTCCTTCTACCGCCTCACAGCATCCACGCAATGCACTGCATTCAGTTTCCTACTCGATGCTGATGAAAGCTCGAAGTGTCTCTTACACTGGTCACTTCTCTTTCTCGCCAAACCGGCGTTCCGCTGACATTCCATCATAGAATGAGGTCAGCAATCCTCATTCCTGAGGTCGCTATGCGAACTGCACCGGAGGAATGATTGTTTCAGGACTCTGGGCCAAAGACTTTGCAATCATGCATCATCTTCAGCAGATTCAATCGCYCGCCGTCGTCCAACATATCATCTCTGGCAACTCACACGCCTTCAGCCAGGATGATACGCAATCGGGCCGGGCATCGCCGCCCATCAATCTCCCCGGGCAGTCCGATGATTGAGAACCTCACTCCAACGACACAACGACGCCCACTATCAAGGAGAAACCGATCAAGATCAAGGAGTATCCGGCCTTCAACGACTACTACAGTCACTTCATGGGAAGAGACTAGGCGCAGGCTATGGTCCTACGCTACGCCTTTCCTTCTGTATCTTTTCTATGCGCTTGCTGTGGTTTTTGCTCTCGGTTCTACGGCTGCACTCTCGCTAAAAGGTCCCGAGAATGTGAACCGCAAGCCTTATTATCAACGAGTACCCGACATCTGTAATGTCTCGACTCACAACTGCACATCATCCATCTTGTGCGACGATCCTACTGGTATTGCTACAGTTGCGAATTGGACAAATACCGCCAAAGAACTGATGGCAGCTCGGAGGAGCTTGATTGAACTGTCATACGGAGTTACATTGCTTGTTGCGGATACTGRAGTCTGGCAGGATGTCATCGCTGAGGGACCGGAGATCTACCAACTGGCACTCAGTTACTCTGAAGCCCAGGTCGCTGCAGAGGATCAAATTGATGAGATGATCTACAGCCACACATCTTTCATGGACTCAATTACGTATGACGTCAAGGTACTCAGCGACAACGTCAATCGGATGCTGCAGAATTACGGGAGCATCAGTCACTCGTTCCTAGAACTTTGGTACTCTTCCATTCAATGGATACCGCTGTATACCCCGACAGGTCGTATGAATCACGACTTCCTCCAGTTCGTGAATCGACAAAGTGCGGAACTCGTGCCCCTCATCAACAAAACTCAGAGTCTGTTAGACACCTTGAGGATTACCAAGAACGCTCGCATAGCCTTAACGACGAAAACGAGGGCGGCTTGGAAGGCTTGGGAACGAGATTGTCTAGAAGTGACTTATGGTATCACAAGACTTCAAGGCGCACGCCAGACCGTCAAGAACAAGCCAAAGTGCCGCCAGTACAACTACATGGTCATGGAGCGCATTATGAAGCAAGATCTTGGAGACTTCCTTGACGTTGCCAATGCACAAGTAAGCACACATATGACCTCGTACAAGTATCTTCACGGGAAGTACAGAACGATCCAATCATATCTTACGAAGGGTATTCTGAGACTCGAAACCACGGAATTGGGAACATATCGAGCAGCCTTCGGCCTCGTCAATGGGTCAGTCAGCAACGCATTGACCGCAATTGAAGTCGCCTTACGGGATGGAAGATACGATCCGCGATTTTCATGAAGCCAGACTGACCGTATCTTGTCAACAAATTCGGCAGGATGACGGGGATCTGGTGCTGGCAAGACGTGAGACATGGGTCGTAAACATGCTTTGCCATCAAGTAGGTTCATTATCAGCTACGAAGATGCTGCAGATCGATCATATCCTTTTTTCTAGATTTGAAAGCCACACCATCGAATACAAGATATCTCTGTGCTTACACCAAGGCGTCTGGCGAGCTCATCAGTGAGAGCCCTGGAGCACACAGTGGGAACACTGGCTATTTTTCGTACCCGTTCATACCAGAGCGTGCGCATGAAACCTCTCCAGCATCCGGGGAATCAATCAATCTGACTTCTAGTTGCTTACCTGAACCTCCCCAGCTTCATTCATCATAATTCCGCTGCCGGCTTCCTTCATCCCGAAGATGAGAACGAGTAGAGACCTCGACGAAGAACCCGACGTGTGTCAGTAAATGGCAACGGCAGTCCCTTGAAGCGTGAAACATAGGATCGAAGACTATGTGAACACGCAGATTGATCATCWCGATGAGCTCATCAAGCTGTCCAGCAAGGTGGTTGAGACTTTGAAAAGACGAATGCCGCTCGACTCAAGCTGGTAGGAAATGTCGAGAGGCTGTGGACGATGTGGGATGAATGCCCGGTGGCGATGTCTGATGGCAAGGGGCTGTGGGTGAAGAGGAACATGCCGGTGAGAAAGAAGCCTCTGTGTACCTAGTAGTCCATAGGATTTGGAAGCTATGCGTTTCGTGCTCGCTGCAGTGAATGAAAAATTCATCTCCCAGCCATTGTGATGGTATTTTTTTCTCGCCTATTGTCAAAAAACTACCGTCTTGCCTACAAAACCTCCATCTCCTTGACTTCCTTCTACCACGAACGCCGACTTCCATTCTCACATTCACCAACCTTCACCTGTATCCCAAAGAAATCATCCACAGCCATGTCTTCCATGTCGATCAACGACCACATCCAAGCCGTCGAAGCTGCTACCACCGGCCAGGCCGACTTTCTCAAGAGCATCAAGACCGTCTACGTCTCGCCAACCAAGACGTCCCTCGCGGACTTCACCCTCATCTGCAGCTCACCATACTTCCAGCACCACATCGAGCATGTGATCTTTATTCCCCGCGTGGGATGTGGAGCTAGTCAAGCATGGTACGAAGAGAAGATGTGCAACGACTTCGAGAAAACCATCTCTCACTCCGACTTGAGTGCTGAGGAGATGCAACACGCTTTCGAGATCTTCGACCAAGTCACCATGGAGTATGAGTTCGGCATCGAGGACTTCGACGATCCCGATTCCATGGGCTGCATGGTCATGGCTATCAGCCAGGAGCTTCGGGAAGGCCTCAAGCAGTTGCCAAAGCTCAACGCCATGTCCATCCAGAACCTCATCAACCACCCAGGAGTCAACGCCATGCCATTGTGGTTCAGCGAGTCTTTGCTTGAGGAGTACGCTCTCAAGGGCCTTGCTGGTGTTCGCGAGACCGCCGCTGGAGTGGCCGTCACTGACTATCTGCGCGAGGTCCACGTCGGCGTTGTGCGTTGCGACACCATCTTCGGCGCACTTTCGCCAATGCTGGAGAGCCTCAAGATGCTGGGCAAGATCAAGAGCTTGACTCTCGGCGATCGCAAATTCAGCTCTCTGCACCAAGGTCAGATTGACACCGACGTCGAATTCGAGGATCTCGAAGCCGTCTTTGGCAATCTGACCAAGCTCAGCGTCAGCTCCGGCACCTTCTCCTCCCATGGCGCGATCGCCGATTTCTGGCAGAACGTCGCCCACTGTGCCACCAACCTGGAAGAGCTGGTGATCTTCGAAGACTCTGCATACGAGGAAGAAGACGAGACCAGCGTAACATCGACTGTCCTCACTGTGGGCAACTTCGCCAATCTCGCCAAGCTGCACCTGTACGACAACCAGAAGAAGTGCGGGATCGTCAATGCTCAGGACTTCCTGGATTTCACGCAGAGACATCGCGATGAGCTCCGCGAAGTCGTCCTGCAGGGCATCATGCTCGCCATGTGCAATGAAGATGAAGAACTCCTCGACACCATGTACCATTGCCTATGGCAGATCAAGGAGCAGATGCAGCTGAGCAAGTTCGAGATGCAGCTCTACCGTCGCGATGAGCACGATGATTTCGGCGAATGCACCAACGGCGGCTTTGAAGCTTGCGACGAATCCTGCGAGAGCTACATCATGCCTTTCCAATACCTCCACCGCTGCGAGATCGCTCACTTGGCACAGCAGCTCAACGTCTTCCAGCATGCGAGAGGCTGGAACTTTGGCGACTATGTCATGAATCCCGACTCTGCGATTGGTAGCCTTTTGAAGGCGTGCGAAGGACAAGTCGGCGGGGGCAGAGATGCAGACGTGGTCGAGAGTGAGAGCGAGTCTGCGGTTGAGAACGGATGGGAGTCTCCGGTTGGAGGCGATGATGGATATGACATGGACATGGAGTGGGACAGCGATGAGACCATGTATTGAGTGAGGAAGGCAGGGTAATCCAGCAGCGAGCGAGCGATGTGGCAGGAAGTCGACATCAGCAGAGCATCCAGGCTTCCAAGTTTCTGTGATGGCCAGTATGTATCTTGCGAGGCGGCTTCTCAGATAGCAATGCCTCTAACGAGTCCGCGATGTCAAAGTGACCTTGATCTCATCCTCGTTCCCTCTTCTTCTCTCTTCCCCTCTTCTCTCTTCCCATTTTCTCATCTCAATTTGAACATCATCCACCCTCACTTTCCCAACTCCTTCTGAAAAGCAGCCCTCTTCTCCGCCAGCTTCTGCAACACCTCCTCCTTCTTCCTCCCCATATGCTCCTTCCGATGTTGGTAGTAAAACCAGACCACCGGCGGTGTGATCAACAGTAATCCCAATGCGGTCCAATACAAGCCATCATCCTCTGGTGGCTCTTTGGCAGCTTGAGGAGCTACGGCATTCTGCGTTACTTGTTGTACAACTTGTCGATGCTGTTGGGCTTCGGCCGCGGGAGCCGGTATTGAGGTCTCGACCGGTTGGCTGGCATATCCTCTCGTGTTGACTTGAGGAATCACGCGACATCTTAGCTGAGGAACGATCGTACGACGAAGGGCAAACATCTTGAGGCTTATTGATTGTGACGATGAGGTGGGAAAGTGCGCCTCTGAGATCCAAAAAGTGGCCGGACTCCGGTCCGCTAGATGTCCGAGATGACGACGTCGATATCAACTTCTTCCCCTGATGTGCTACCATCCTACCACACACTTACAGCCGTATTCATTGTGCATTGGGCAATTTATGCAACTAAAGCTGGATGTGCAGTCACTGAGACAAGACTGGCAAAAAGACAAGCAGAACGTGGCATTCTTGTACATTGAAGGTATCACGCCGCAATGCCCAGATTCTCCCCCTGACTTGGCTTGCTTGTATGAACGTTACACTGCGGCYTCGTCTCCTTCTTGAGCGAGAGGTCWCCCGCGTCTAGCAAGCAATCGAGGTCCTGCAGAGATGTCCACCTATCAAGTTCAACGTGCGGACATGTGGCAACTCAGTTCTCGGCCCCTCAGGACGACAGACATTACATGGCTGTCCATCGAACCACGCGCAATTACGGCCATCGCTAATTTTTCGTAATATCCTGCAACGATATCCCTCTCCCTCCTCATATTAACCCATATCCCTTCACTACGGCGAGGCTTGCTGAGCATCTCTAGAATATCTATCCTTGATCCAGCAGCCGTAAGGAACTCTTTGTCTTATCGGAGATATCAGGATCGTCTTCGAGGCCCTGGTAGATGAGCGCTCAGTGGGAGGGAGCCGGTGGTAAAGGTTTTCGTAGCGTCCTTTGCCAAAGGAAAGGACCTCCAGCGACTTCAGCACAAGGCGAGACATCATTGCGAGGAAAGGATGTCTTTGCAGGCGGTGCGTGTGAGTGTCGTAGAGTGAATGTTGGAAGGTAAATATCGAGGGCGATTTTAGAGCCTGAATCTTGAAGAGTGAATCTTGAAGAGTAAATCTTGAAGAGCGAATGATGGAGATGAGGGTATTGCTGCTGAAGTGTTCGAAGTGAAAGGGTCAAAACACTCTGGCGTCTTCCGGCCCAGACACACTTAAGGACAGTGGAGGGAGACGGCCGTATTTCAGGTACGGTTCTGAATGCTACTCACGGGCGACGAGATGGCGCCCATCTTGGACAGAGCTTCCATCTCAGCCGCTCACTTACAATGCATTGCGGCGAGAACAAGTCATCGTATCGACGCTCGACGCAGTCGTCCAGAAGTCCCTCATCATACACTCTCCTCCCATATTCGACTACTCATCATCGACAAATCCGCCTGCCAGTCTCCCCAGAATAGGAACTTCCCATCGTTCCAACGTACTGCCTTCCCTCCACGCTCCATATGCCAAGTATCCCATCATCCCCAAATCAGCCATGAACAGGATCCAGCTCAGCCAACGGGACCAGCTGAATATAATATGTACGAAGAACATGAACCCAAAGAGCAACGCAGATTGCCAGGCGTGAAAGCGCACATAATCCGATTTATGCTCAAACAGCAAAAGCACCACTCCAGCAGCCGGAGGGAGTAGAAGATACGCCAGTGGTGCCTCAACATGTAGAGGAAGTCCCAAGCTGGTTGTGAACATATCTGCATCCCCATGTAGATCCCGTGTTTGGTAGTTGGACTGTGGGATAATGTAGTCGTTGTACCGGTCGTTGTTCAGCGGTCTCGCTTCCAAATCTTCATAACCTTGCTCCTCATCGTCGGCATATCTTGAAGGTGAGGGAAGGCGTTGATTTCGTGCTGCGGCCCAGGGATCGGTCGTGTCTGATGATGTGATTGCCGAGATATTCCGCGCTGGATTCGCGGGTCGGGGACGCGGTGAGACTGGCGGAGAGCGGAGTGGTGGTGGAGATTTGGCACGAATGGACTCTGGCGGCGAGTATTGATACGGGGCGAAGTTCATGGCCATCTTGTGTGTTGGATGGTGTTGTTGTCAATCTGGTGAAGCCAACTTTACAGGTAGATCTAGAGGATAGAAGCGGAAGCTCGACGCGTCGTCGGGTTTCAGGCTAAATTCACCTCCAGATGTCTTTTCTACCTAGGTAACGACTACGAGATACAGACCTCTAGAAAACCAGTTTGTTGCCGTCATCAAGTACAGCTGGCATGCTCTCTCTTCTCGCCTATTCAAAGAAATACTGGACCGACGGCAATGCAGTCTCGTGGAAGCTCCCAGGTTCATTCGCCCAGGACCTTGGCGGCGGATCTGGCACCTGCGTGTTTCTCATCTTGCCTTCGCTCCTTCTCCTTCTCCTTCTCGACAACCTTCATCGAGCCTCATATTGCGACATCTCTGTTGAGAACGACACAAGATACAGTACTCCAAGCCTTGTAAGCGTTCATCAGCAGACGCGCATGTCATATGAAGAAGGGGTCTGCCATGACGTTATCTCTCCAGACATCATTGAGATCACATCAGCATCCCGGTCCCACCTAGGCGATGGTTGCCCTCAATGCTTCRTAATCTCCTAACGCCGCTTCCCTTCTCTGCTTCACTTACCTCACATCTCCCCCGCACCTTCTTCTCACAGAAAACAATCTCTTTACAGCCAACCAAACACTTTTCAACCACCAAACCCAACAACATGAGAGTTCTATTGACAGGAGGCTCCGGCTTCATCGCCGCCCATGTGCTTGAGTACCTTCTCGAGCACAAGCATTCCGTCGTCACAACAGTCCGCTCTCAGGCAAAGGCAGACAAAATCGCTCAAGCACACCCCAATGCCGGAAAAGACCAGCTTGATTTTGCCATTGTCGAGGACATTGCTCAAGAAGGAGCTTTTGACAAGGCTGTTATCTCTGACCCGCCGTTCGAGGCCGTCATTCACACTGCATCGCCGTTTCACTTCAACGTTACGGACATCCAGAAGGAGCTGCTCGATCCCGCAGTCATTGGCACCACTGGAATCCTGAAATCCATCAAAAAGAGCGCTCCAAGCGTGAAGCGTGTGGTGATTACGAGCTCGTTCGCCAGMATCGTCAACCCCAATCTAGGTACCGCTCCAGGCAAGACCTACAGTGAAGCGGACTGGGATCCCATCACACACGAACAGGTATTACCTCCCTTTCCAGGGGTGCCACCCTATACTGACGAAGCGTAATAGGCCCTCAAGGAGCCATCCGCCGGTTATAGAGCCTCCAAGACCTACGCCGAGAGGGCAGCTTGGGACTTTGTCGAGAAGGAGAAGCCAAACTTCACCCTCGCAACCATGTGCCCACCTCTTGTACTTGGACCAATCGTTCACTACCTCAACTCCCTCGATTCACTCAACACATCAAACCAGCGCATTCGTGACGCAATGCTCGGAAAGTTCAAAGAGGAGGTACCACCTACGGGCACTTTCATATGGGTCGACGTTCGCGATCTTGCTCTGGCCCACGTCTTGGCTATTGAAAAGGAGGGAGCAGCGAACAAGCGGTTCTTCATCACTGCAGGATACTTCACCAACAAGGGAATCTTGGAGGTTGTTGCAAAGAGTCAGCCGGAGGTTATGACCAAGGATACCAAGACCAAGAGTGGTGACTTTCCTGAGGAAGGCATCTATGGATTTGACAACTCTCGGTCCAAGGAGGTGCTGGGACTGCAATATAGGCCGTTCGAACAAGCTATTGTGGWTACTGTCAAGAGCTTGAAGGCTGTTGGCGCATGATGGATCGACCGACATGTACTAGCGATAGAAGGATCAGTCTAGAATTCAATGATACCACGAGCGACTATGACCGACCCCCGTACTACCGCCAAAACAGTAGGTGCTGACGGAGGTCCTGACAGAGATTGTATCTTAGTGGAGGCCGAGACAGCATTGGCTATCTGTTGGCATGCACATGCGAGGACGCATGCCGAGCAAGATTGAGCAAGTTGTTCTGTTTATGTATAGCTAACAAGTCCCAGCATTCTCGAATCACTGCTCACAGCTCTTCGCCCAATCGCTCTCCACGCCTTCTTTTGTCTTACGGTCAATAGGCAGCCCAGACCGAACCGAATGGTCGGCAAGTCGGAGCTACCTACTGGACGTCAATTCCCGCCGCTCATGCCATATCGATCATCTTAATGCCGCCGCATTACAAACATTGATCACTAAGTAACACTCTTGTATTCAGGCAGCACAGCCCGGTTCCGACATAACCCCTTGTCGCTATCTGACGACCTTCCTCATGGGGCTATCCAAGGCTTGGCGGGTGGAGCTAGCCAAAGGCTCGGCACTCTACTTCAACATCCTCTGCGTTCAACTTCCATCCGAAACCACTTCAGGTTGACGAGAAACGCTCAAACTCGACGGGCAGGAGTACATGCATCAACGCAATGAAGACATCGCCACCAAAACATGTCCACAGTCTTCACTACGAATCTCACGACGGCGTCCCGGACAGCACTTGCAGAAGCCAAGCCTGACGACTTTTCTTCCAAGCAATTGGCTAGGCCAATGATCTGCTCCTGCGACAATCTACTAGAAGTCCGTCTTACCGTACAGCGGAGATGTGTCTACGATAAGAAGGTAGAATCGAGTCTCCACCACAGCATGGCAGCCACGAAATCGACGCGATCGTGGTGGTCCCCGAGCTACTGCCTCGCCACTGAAGTAAAATTTGTATAATAGCTAGGCAGAGTACCAATTTCGCGTTCTTGGTCGTCTACGACGTTTTTCTGTCTCTGTACTCTGGCCTCACTGTACATCATGCGCGGTTTCACAGCAGCGGCAGCGTTGCTGCCTTTCGCTTCGGCGGCCATGTACTCTGCGGATGAATATCGATCTGGCGAGGTCATGAAGATCATGATGGAGGCTAAAGAGGTACAAATCACATTTCATGGACTGAAATGCACAATTCTGACCTTCTCAGTCTGCTTGGGCCACCCACAGAGCTGCCGGCGACTACGACGACAGGAAATGGGCAGGTTTCGGCAAGAAACGATCCAACAAAGACCGCATCCGCTGTGTCAATGGCAAGGCTGAAGCTGTCAAGGGCGATGCCAGCCAAACCTATGGATGCAAGGACATCGATATGTACGACTTTCTAACGCACACTGAGTTGGGCGCAGAGCCTACCTCCGAGGGCTCTGGTTCTTGGGGTTGGTCTCACGGTAAACGGGACTTCATAGCCATTGGACAGACAGACGGAACTGCTTTTGCGGAAGTCAGCAAGCAGGGGAAGCTCATCTATTTGGGACGTCTGCCTGCTCAAGCGGACCCTGTGATTTGGCGTGAGATAAAGGTCCTGCGTGATTACTTGGTGGTTGGATCCGAGGGTGTTGGCCATGGTGTGCAGGTGAGATTGAGCTTGGAGAGACAGGTTGATGTGATCGCACTCGCTGACTCTGATCAGATCTTCGACATGAAGAAGCTACTGAAGATCAACCCAAAAGCTCCAAAGACCTTCAACACTTCTACCGATCTGACAGGATTGTTCATTGGTGAGTACAACCCTCCAGTACGATGCGAGTGGCTAGAAGCTAATCTATCGATAGACGGCCTCCCTGCTGGACGCTCCCATAATGTCGTTGTCAACGAAGAAAAGGGCTATGCCGTGGCTGTTGGCGCAGCTCCTCGCAACACTTCATGTGGAGGAGGTCTCATCTTTATTGATATGAGCGATGCATCGAACCCTACTACACCAGGATGTGCAYCACAGGATGGTGGGTTGCTAAACAATAAAGTTCACGCACAATCGCTGACAATTCACAACAGGCTACGTCCACGACGCTCAATGTATTGTGTACAGAGGTCCTGACGCCAAGTACTACGGTCGTGATATCTGCTATGGTTACAATGAGGATACTCTCACCATCTACGACGTAACGAACAAGAACGGTCCTAACGCTACCTCCATCATCTCTCGCACTCCTTACACAGGTTCTTCTTACACCCATCAAGGATGGGTCCTCAACCCAATGTGGCAATCACACCTCATTCTCGACGATGAACTCGACGAGGGCTTCATCGACCCTAACCGCACCGATCCCGAGTCTCCCGCCAAGGACGGATTCCCAGTTTGTAAGTGATATACTTGAAATGCACACACTTAGACACGCACAAGCTAATCATCAAAAAGCCTACATCTTCGACATCTCATCCCTCGAGAAGCCAGTCAACACGGGATTCTACAAGTCCAAAGTCCGATCTGTCGACCACAATCAATTCGTATACAATGGTCTTGCCTATCAGTCAAACTACCAAGCCGGTCTGCGTATCCTGGATGTTTCCTCGATTCGTCGCGATCCTACTGGCAAGAGTGTCGAGGAGGTTGCTTTCTTCGACGTTTACCCCGAAGATGATGATCAGCCCGGTGGCGGAGTTGCGGATTGGTCGTTTGGAACTTGGAGTCATTATACTTTTCCAAGCGGCTGGATTGTGATTAATACGATTGATCGCGGTGCGTTTGTTGTGAAGATGAATAAGTTTGCTGCGCTTGGGAAGGGAAGATTCTGGTAGAGAACTACCTATGTAACAAAGTGAATGATCCATGGAGCACCAGTGCCCGAAATTAAGTCTATCTTCGAGACTGTAGTACCTGTTCGTTGAAGCATCTTATAACGTGGAAAATTGAAAGTAGTAAGAAAGCTACACCCTGATATCCCGAGGTCACACTCTAAGCCTTCACAATCAGCAAAGCTATTCCAGACCATGMAAGGATAGCATAAGCAGGAAGCTCCTGTAACAGAGACATGCCGGTCCACCGCACTCCCTTGTTCCCCTCCTTTGCTCTCCAAACACCCGTCGCAGCATCCTGCTGCATCAATTTGTGTCTCTCGGGCACCGTGGGCGGCATCATCGCATATAAGATAGGTATTAGAAAAGAAAAGTACTCTTCCCAGCCAAATCCAGGGGAAAGCGAACTCCTCAACAAGAATAGCGTCGAGGATCCAGATTGTTGCATGTCCATGCGCAGGCGGATCGTGAAGCACAAGATGGCATTCAGCAGCACTAGCGTGTTGCAGAAATACCTCTCGTCCAGAAGTACCGTCTTCAATCTATATCCAAGCGAAGCTCGAGCATGTACATCGCGTTCCGCCATCGGGGAATCGATGCTTCCTGAGCTTACAAACTTCAATTTTCCTCCTCGTCTCTTCTTTCCAGAGAATAGTTCGGAGATGATGGATCCCGCGATCACGGGTCCCAGCCAGAATGCACCAACTGCTTTCTGGCGCAACGTATGGAAAGAGACGGCTTTCGAATCGGAAATCTCTCTGCACAAGTAGAGGGACCGATTGACAAGATTCCATCCCAGTTGAATCTTGAGCATTTCCGTCGTGGGTGCCAGGATGACTGCGTCTCCAAACACTAGACACCAGGGTAGGACGACGAAACCAAGCGGACGTACCACATAGTTGAAGAAGGGTCCGATGCAATAAACGAAGCCTTGGAAGCGTTGTATTGGCGAGAATCCCCATAGTCGACGCTTGTCGAGACAGAAACCCAATTGCAGAGCATTCTGGATGGTTCCGACAGCCCATCTCCGTCGTTGTTCAATATGCGCCTCAATCGAATCTGGCATCAGTCCCCATTGCAGTTTCTCATTGACGAGGATCGATTTCCATCCGGCGCCATTAAGTTTCATGCTACAGAGGATGTCCTCGCAAAGAGATGAGTCGGGAAATCCGCCAATGTCGTCGATAGCAGCTCTTCGGGCAAGGAAGCCCGAGCCACTACACCAAACACCACTGAAGCAGTCTCGCAGCGGGTCTTCCAAGGCGAATTGAATCTCAGTACTTTGGAAGAGGGGATCGTTGGTTGGGATGTTGTAGAATCCTTGTGGAGGCAGTGCCATGCCGACACGAGCATCTTTCGTGGCGTGACCGAGTAGTGCTCGCAACCAGTCTCGTTCGGGGATCATATCGCAATCCAGAAGGGCGAACCACTCCGAAGCTCCCCATGCAAAAGTAGCTGTCCATTCCAGGGTGCTGTTAATGTTACCAGCTTTGGCCTTGTGGTCAGCACCCGGAACTTTGATGCGGGAGTAATAGTAGAGGTTCGAGTATTCCGATCGCAGACTTTCCACCATCTCTCGCAACTCAAAGTCTGCTCCATCATCCGCAATGATGATCCGACAGCGTGTCCGTGGGTAATCAATCACGCAAGCGGCGCGAACGGTATCCATAATGATGTCTCTCGATTCTTTACATGCAGTGATGATGATATCCACGGTTGGAACCTCGGTGCCTTCTAGACGGAGTTTCCGGGTATTAGGTCGTTTTCGCATGTATGGCAATCGCCAGACTGTATCCAGGGTAGAGAACACAACATTGMACAGTCGGAAGAAAGTCCCCAACAACAGCCAGAATCCGGTCCAGTAAGTTGCATCTGGAGAGAGGGACAGCTTTCGCAAGCCATCCAGAGTGAGGAACGCGGGTGGCAATAAGCTCAACACGTAGACCAATGTGGCCAGTTCCCGATCCCAGAGTTCCCAAAGTCGTTGCGAGGAAGGGAGTTGTAAATGATGTCTGCTGCTCGAGCCGGCAGATTTGCGGAAGAAGGGTGAGTGGAATCCTGAACTCTGCTTCTCGGACAGCACAATCGCATCTGTATAGTCGAATGGCTTCGCAAACATCTTGGACGACGTTCGAAATTGGCGGTGAATTCAYAAGTCGAGAAGCTACGGATGTGAGCTGATATCGTCTTCGACATTGAATCTCGAACATCCAGCCGTTTCGATCCCAACAACAGAAGTATCGCCTCGCAACGGTCGTTGTGAAAACAAAAGGCAGTGTGTGTTGGGAGCCGTTGTGATAGGCCTTCTCTCGTTGTCCGCCAAGTTCAACGGTCCACGCCTGCGACCTATCGGCTTAGCTCTTCAATTACAAACGATGAGCGCTGTCTCGTTACGATGACGATAACCTTGGCATTGCTGTGCGAGACGACTGTATTGCATGTGTTGCTGTGCTGTGTACCTAGAGGCTGGTCATCGACCTATCGGAGATCTCATTCCAAACCACCTCGTTCCTGTCTCTGAGCAGTCACCACATCAACCCTCACCTAGTGATTGCTTCTCACTAGTCGTAACACGTGTGTTGAATGTCGAGGGAGGTGGCTGCTCTGCGTCAACCTCTGTGTACTTCGCTCAAGAATTCGTCGACACCATCTCTCCACCGAGACGCACAACAAACATACGACAATGACAGACGGAGTCCGGGAAGAATGGATTGACGGCCTACGCGGTGTTGCAGCCTGCATCGTGGCAGTGTTCCATTACACCGTACTGGACTGGGCCGTCCTATACAGATCTTACTGGGATAGTCCCAGCTCAGAAAATCAGCAYTGGCTTCAGATCCCACCTATTCGGGTATTCTTCTCAGGTCCAGCGATGGTACGGCTCTTCTTTGTCATGTCAGGCTATTCTCTCGCAGTTGCAGTCAGGAGCAATTGCGAGGATGGACGGCCTGATGTGACGTTCTATCGAAGATTGACGTCCGGCGTCTTCCGGAGGACGTTTCGACTGTACATTCCCCTGATTTGCTGGGCGGCGGTGTCTCACACTTTGTTCTATTTCAACTTGTATCCCTGGAATTTGCTGGAAGAGAGCTGTCCAAATGCGATTCCTTTGACGGCTCCTTGGGCGCATCTGAAGTGCTGGATGGCGTACGTTACAGATAACCTGAACTGCGTGGATCCCATCTGGAATCTGGGTCTTAACAACAGTGAGTTGACCGAGAGACGCCGCATATGACACGCATACTAACGCTCAGGATTAGCACTTTGGTCCATACCATTCGAACTTCGATCCTCTTTCGCGGTCTACCTGGTCCTTTTGGGCATCGCCTCTGTCCGACCTCTCGCACGTCTAGCCGTCGTCTTGCTCTTGACTCTCTACCATATTTGGGAGGGGACGTTCGAGATGGCAGGCTTCATGGCAGGCCTTTCCATCGCCGAGATCAAAAGATATCAGCGACGACTCCGTCAAAACGCTATCCCAGTAACAGAGAAGCAGTCTCTGAAGACAGCCTCGCCACTAAGCATATCACACCACACGGACAAAGTCACCTTTTTCTCCACCGTTGGCCTGCTTGCAGGAATCGGTCTCCTGTCTCTTCCCTTCCGCGAACTCAACGACCTCCAAAGCCTACCTCCAGATTACTGGTTCCAGAGATATATCCAGCCTCCTCATTGGAATACACCGGCAAAGTATGGCAACTGCTGCTACACCATCGGCGCACTCCTCTTCTTCGCCTCTCTCCACGGACTTCCAAACTTGCGCCGGGTTCTTAGCGCAAAACCTCTGCAGATACTTGGCAAATGGTCGTTCTCCATTTTCCTCGTTCACTCTACAATCTTCAATACGACAAGAAACGCGCTGTTGTTTGCCTGGTGCTGGGTCTTGGGTGGCCACAATTACTACCTCATCCTGGCGGACGGAACCATGCCTCATGTCCTCCTTCGAGCGCAGATCTTGACCGCAGTTGTGTCGGCAATATTGGTGCTGTTCGTCGCGAGTCGTATGACGATAATCGACCAAAAGGCTAGGACTTGGGCCTTCCAGATAGAGAAGATGCTTTCCGAGGGGTGATGGAATCATTGTCTCACGGCTGACCTGTTCATCGGTGTCAGTAGACACGGCGTATCGTTCTTTTTGTTGTTTTGATTAGCGAAATTCGCAAAGCCCGTGTACAGGCATCACGTCAGTACGTAGAACTTGGCGGTCACAAAGAATGTTCTCATTTTACATCAGCGAGCAAACCTCGAACGCCGTCCAGAATCACAAAGGGCTTTCGCACCGTACTGCTCTCTCATCCACTGACCAGAGTTCGCAATGTTTTGTCAGACTGTCGGGTGTGAGTGGCCATCTATTTACGGCCACCACCACTGCCGAAGATGCCTGGATGGCAATTTCGAGTATGATTCGGGAGGCCACGGACAGAACGTAGGTGTTCTCTGATCGTAGAGACTGCAGCCCATCCATGTTACTGACGCTGCATAGTATGGTGAGCAGATTGCGCAGACGAGACATCCCGATCCCGCGCCACTCCATGCCCATCCCTCGAGCTCATGCTACGGGTATGGCAGACCTCTTGCCCAGGCCCCTCCGTACAGTACATATCCTCATAGCCAATACACACAGCGGTCGAGGGATCAGCAGGGCGTGGCGCCTGGAAGCTCATGCCACCAGGCTTATCGGCGGAAACCYCCTAGGTATGGACAGTCCATCTCTTCGAGATCCGCCGCTCCACATGGCAGGGAATTGCAGCACGCAGGAAATGGTTCGCGAGCAGCTCCCGTTCGGGACATGGCTCGCATAACGCCAGGAGAGTCTCGGCAGATGCCCCGAGATCGCCATCAGCGCTATCCACCCATGGATCCTAGCAGCCAGAGCTCTCCGCAACATGGTCGGCAGCGGTACACTGATCAGCGGCCCTATCAGTACCAAAGAGTAGACGGGAGCAGAAGTGAGCGGCGCCAGGCTTGGGTCGAGGAAGGGTTCAACGAGCGCGCCAAACGGGTCGAAATTCCTGTCCCAGGTAGAGCACGGGAGGCTCTGCCTTCAATCCAGCAGAGTTTCGTCGCAGCCTCCGATCGGTACATCAAGCCAGATCCGGACGAAGAAGACTCTAAACAGCACATCAAGCCTGATCCGGATGAACAGGACTCTAAACAGAACATCAAGCCTGATCCCGATGCAGGGCATGAGTCCACGCTATCCCCTCAAACGCGGCTCAAGCCTGCCTCCGTTCAAGAGCCAGCGTATCCTTCTCCTGCTCAACAAGCCAGTCCTACCTCCCGCCCGTGGCATGGTCCGTGGGATCCTGTGAAGGAAGGTTATATACCACAGCCTCCAAGGGTTCAGCCTCCAGTGTTCTTCAGAGAACTGAAGTGGCAGGAATGGGATTCGCAGCGGTACACCAAATCCATCATGGACCAGCCAAGGCAGGATGAACAGCAATCAAACATGCTACCAGGCTTGCAGCGGGGTATGGACTTACGACGGGCTCTGCCTGCGACTTTCCCAACAACGGACTCTCAACAATATCCGATTCAATCGCTTGCAGAAGACAGCATACAGGCCAACAACAGTCAGCCCTTTGGAAAATTTCCAAACAAGCCAAACAAGGCGCAGCGTCACGGTCTTTCGCGCAGAGAAATGAAGAGACTCAATATGCCCCAGGCCTTCCGGAATCCGAATCCTACGGGCAGGTAGGTGTGCTCACGGTGAATGGCATCAGCACAGAACCATTGTGCATCAGCCTGTCAATATTCGACAGGACCGGTCGGTAAATGCATGGGGCATTTTACTATGCCATGTGCCAGCTGCGCGACCCGAGCGATGGGCCACCAAGCAGCAGAGTGTCGCTTCTCGATGCAAAGTTGAAGATGAGACCTGATGATGAGGCGCTGCGTGAGGGAATTGGCTCGGTTCCGGCTGGTGGCCAGACTGTCACTCACTGATGGTTCTTGCTTGGAGGATTGATGATATGGCTTGCCTGGAGAGTTGAAAGATGGTGTCGAGTACCTTGATATTCGCATGATGTGAAAGTAAGGTAGACGTCCCGACGGCTCGATCCTCGAGGGTTGGATTTAGATAAGCTTTTGCCACGTGCGTGCAGGGACGCCTCCTCCGTCACTCCTTACAATTTCCCGCTCGTCGCAACTATGGTATGCCACTCTTCCTTTGATCTCATTTTCGAGTGATCCATATCAACCCCCACAATGGTCGAGGCCGGGCAGCAGCAGCCCGAGGATGAAGCCCCTCGGCGGCGGTCGAGCGTCTTCGAGATTCTCTCCCTGCCGGAGATACAAATGCCTTCGATCAACCGTACGACGAACAAGAACAAGCAGCTCCACCAATACCAGACTGTGAACAATAGGCCGCGATGGCTGCTCCATCTACAGGCTGAGATCTGGCGATTCCTCATGGGCATCGGCATGTTTCTACATCGTCTTGCTCCCCCGCGACCACCCAAGCCCAATTTCTACCGTACCATCGACAGCACAATAGCCGGGATCAAGGGCCAGATTACACTCCACTTCTATGTCCCTAGCGATTTCAACTCCCAGAAGAAGACATTTACAGCCCGTCCAGGGGTGTTTGGCGATGAGGAAGCTGGAACACTGCCAGAAAGAGGAAGTGCAATCAGAAGGTCAATAGGCTCCATCAGTGGCGCTATGCGGCGGCGGAGCTCACGTGGTCGGCGATGGGGTGGATATCCTGTGGTTATAAACTTCCATGGGGGAGGATTCACGCTCGGCTCTCCGTACGACGATGCACGATGGTGTGGGACTGTCGTACAGCAGTTGAATGCCATCGTGGTATCAGTGGATTACAGGCTGGCTCCTGAACATCCCTTCCCAACAGCAGTAGAGGACGGTGTAGATGCTGTTATCWGGATCCACAAGCATGCCGCAGAATTTGGTATTGATACAGACAAGATCGTGCTCTCTGGCTTTTCCTCTGGCGCCAATATGGCATTTACCGTTCCTCTACGGCTGTATGATGAGCAGACGGGTTTCAGGCGCGAGGAAGGAGATGTTGTGGTGAAAGAAGGTGCAAATGCAGGCAAGACATTGGACACTGTGCAGGAAGATAGTGAGACAGCACAGAAGGATGGTAAACATGCCCGCGACTCTTCTGCATCGCACTCCGGGTCAAGCTCCTCCACCAAAGTCCCACCCGAGGGCGAGATACTAGATCCGAGAGACCCACCGCCTTCCAAGCCTCCAAACCCTACCAAAACAACGTCCATGGTTCATACGGCTGCAATTCCTGAACTACCCGAGATCAAGATCCGCTGCATCGTCCCTTGGTATCCTTCTCTAGACTACACGCGTACTCGTGAGGAGCGCCGAGCAACTTGCGTCCGCGCTGATCAAGAACTGCCCTCGCTGTTTACGAACCTCTTCGACGACTCCTACCTCCACCCACCCAAAGATGTCTCCCTCGACTCCCCGTACCTCTCCCCCGGCGTAGCAGCTACAGATCTCCTACGGAATGMATTACCCACGGAGATCATCATGCACACGTGCGAATGGGACATGCTGCTCGATGAAGGACAGGCTTTCTACCAGCGGCTCTCCTCCAAAGAGATTGGGAAGCATGTGAACTATACCATGGTTCCAGGCGTACCACATGGATGGGATAAAGCACCCAATCCGTGGAAACCCACACCCGGAGTGAAGGAGCACTATCTCAAAGCTTGCAAGGCGATGAAAGCCGTGCTTGGGCAAAGAGATGGGAGAGATCCGAGTGAAGGTCCGAATGCTGATGCCCCGCGTCAATCGAGTATGGTCAGATAGAATTCGCTTACTTGTTGGATTTGGATTGCATGGGGCAGAGGTGTCATTGGTGAAATTTTGATGCGTGGCGAGGCGTTGGGGAGCTGTAAGATTGGTCAATATAGAGATGATACTCACGGGACTTGCGAATGATGCAGGGATGAGAATGTAGGAGTAGAATGTTGGTAGTTCACCTGGTATTGGACATATTTTGCATTGTGGTCCTCTGGACTGAGCCTTCGGCGTGGACTATGGCCAACCTCCAATCCSAACCCCAACACATCCCGACCCTACGATCTTGGAAACTGCGCGCTGTCCTATAAACTCGCCGGACACCCCAATTCCCAGAAGACTTTGAACAGTYGCCTTCCCCTTTCGCTCGTCATATTGAGAGCGAAGTGTGGTCCTTCTCAGGCACGACGACCATTCCAGTGTGGGGATGGTGCATTCACTTCCAGTGCTGCCGAAACCACATTCGTTGATTCAGCGGTGTCTGCAAGGTCCAACGGAACCCAGGCTACCGCTTTTGGCGCACATGAGACAGATCTTGACGTCGGTCCCCCAGGTGTCGGCTTCCGCCTGGAATCTCTTGGCGATGGTACCCTCAGTCTCCAACTGATTAATGACACATCCACGGGTCCCGGTCTTGCTGCCTTCGCACAGCGGTATGTCCTTCGGGAGCTGTAGCTGTAAGTGCTTGGCCGCTTTGATGGATACGAAGAGAGGTCTATTGTATACCTCCGACAGTGGCCACAGACGCGAGCGTCTGAGTTGACGCACCAATGCGAGGACTCGCTTGGTCTGAGCATCGCAGCCACACCGACCTTTGAAGCTACTATCTACCCCGTCACCATTGCTAACTTCGGGTGAGATGACGTCGTCGATGGCCTTTCCGATCTTCTGGATTAATCGACTGCGCAGAACCTCAAGTTTGACTGCAAAGGATTTGTTAGTCTGCTGACTTGATCAATCGTGTGCGAGACTTACGAAAGACCGGAACCATGTGCTCTGGACCTCCGACCCCCCAAGCTGCTGGGGCCGCAGCATCCATAACGATGGCATGACCGACGCGATCGAACAGTTCAGCATGATCGAACGCGTACGCCACTGCCATGAGTCCTATCCTGCCCTGCATTCTGCTCTGGGGGAGTGCCTTGCTGATCCACAGATATGTTGCTGGTCCAAGAGCAGACACTGTATCGTACTTGTCCGCAAGTTCTGCCAGATGCTCAAGCTCCTTGTAGTTCGGGACTTTGGCCATGATATCTGGGCTGATGTGCATGACCTTACACATGGTGATCATGGCCTGCGGGTCATCTTCCGGCAGTGAAATCTCGACAGTACCGTTCTCGGCAAGTGCTTTGCCCTCTTTGAAGTGAGGCCCGAACATCGCTCTGAAGACGGAGGATCCCAACTGGAGTACGTGTGAGGACGTGCGGAGGCGAATTCTGTGCAACATTAGCAAAATCGGCGGCATGTCTACTACCCTATGCTACCTACTTCTTGCTTGCATCGTCACGGTCGTTGCACACGAGTACAACGTCTCCCCGAGGCGCGATGTCGGTAGTTGGATTCTCAATTGCTATTGCTGAATGAGTAAGTTGGTGAAGGAAAGAGTTGTTGTTCGGCGGAACTTATCGAAGCGAGGTTGGTGCTTTTTAATGCTTCAATGTCTCACTTCACTTCACTTCACTTCACTTGACCAAGATCGAGCCTGGCAGCGCTGGCCTGGTAGGTCTTGCACATGATACGGTAGACGAGACCATCGATGTGGAGGGCTTCGCCATAAATATCTACCTGGAACGCCCACATTTGGTCAACAACGCGCTCGCTCCAGCTACACGCACTCCCGGAGCCTCATGAAAGCTCACCAATGCCGGCATTTGTCGCCTTCCAAGGCCCGCATATGTGCCTGCCCTCCTGACAGGTCACAGTCTCAATCGTTCAATGACTTTGCTCCCCTCAGAATCCTTCTAGACCCGAGACCCACTCCGTTGTTCAGCTCGCCATCAGAATGAAACGCACTTCTCCCACTCCACTTTGCCCTGGCCTCTTCCCTTAACTGCCTTGGAGCTGAAAGCACTTAGATTTGACGTGGCTTGAAGTATGTGCATTTATTTACAACGAAATTTGGGTCGTGAGCAGGATCGCTCAAACAGAGAMGTGAGAACGAGAGAAGTCACAAAGTGAAGGCTTTGGACCAGTATCCTGCCAAAGGAACCGTGCGCCAACGCGGGGTGCAGTCTGACCCTTGCAGACACAGCAAGCTCCACAGTGGCGAGCCTACAGGTCGGTGGTAGCGCTGCCAGGTTTTCCAAGACCGGGAGGGAGGGATCGTATTGAGGAGATCATCGCCTGACACATGCCCGATAAGTCTCCAGTCTGGCACACTTCTTCGCAGCCTCGGATCTATCTCGTAGCCACTGGAACTGAGCAGCATATCCTCAGAAGGTAGGTCCAAGGGATGTGAGACTAAGCTTTCGAGTTTAGGGAGAAGTGGGGAACTCTTGAGCATGGCATTGATCCATTCATCTGAGTTGAGGAGCTGATCCCAATCACCCCAATCATGCAAATATCCTACATGTTTCTCCGGTAGGAATGCACCTGGAAGATTGAAACGCCTTGTGGCCCTTGACATTTTTCTTCCGGCCACAAAGCTCTAAAAGGTATTTGGTCTCGAACAGGCCGGCGATGCCACGTAGCTGACCTCGCGAATGTTCCTGCTCAGTATGGGATGTTTGCGCACTTCTTTGAAACGCTGTAGCGATTCTGTCGTTGGCTGGAGATATAGCGTGGTACAAATATCGGGGAGAACAGTCCTGGGGCTGCAAGAAGCGTTGGTTGACGCGCATCATATCGAGATGCTGTTCAGAGTGGTCCTCGCTCAACACGAACTCCAGAATCTTTAACAGTGTCTCGTCCGGGAGCTGTGGTTACTAACATAAGGCATGGCTGGATCGCTTGCCACTGCGTTCTGCCGAAGTCAGCCGCGCTGGATAGGCATTCTGAGCGTCAGTTATCACGGACTCAGGCATATTGATCAGAAGGTGTCCAGTGGTTCGTAAAGCATGCGATGGGTATCGGCTGGCAATAGACTTCCATCTCGGCACAAAATGAGAGTTTGCAGTGGCCTTTCACCCCTCGTGCATACCAGCCGGACTCCAATACTCAACCTCCTCACCCTGCTCATCCACCCAAACCATGCCGTCGGCCACGAGATCATCTATAACAGCCACGGCTCGTGCCTGTTCCCAGTCCAGATTCGCTCTCAGCATGCCGACTGTGACGAACCCCATGATCTGAATGACCTCAAGCACCCTGCTCTGATCGGGATTCAGTTCCTTCGGCACAGAACGGATAAACTTGCCACTTCCCAATTTCATGATTGTGAACATGCCGCCCAGTGGCTCGAGACTCTGCAATGCACGCTCGACATCATCGTCTGTGACCTCCATTCCTCCACCCRCTAAGCCTCGCCCGCCTGCAATTCGCTTTCTTGCTTCAGACAGAGCAATGAGACCTCCATTTTCACCACGACTCTCCCTACACACTTCGACAAGGCGTACACCGAGCTCAAAGTAGAAGTCATTCACACTTGTCCCCAACATCTTCGCCCACACGCTGCCGCCCGCTTTCCCATCATGCGCCGTTTTGTTTGCGGCGTTGCTGCCTGCTARCGGATCCACGCCAATCGCATGACACATTCGCGCAAACTCTGCGCGAAAGGACGGGTTACTGCGAATGTCCTTTGCGTGCGTGAGAGAGAAATTGTGCAGTGCTGCTTGGAACACTGCGAGCTGGTTGGCGAGCGCATCGGCATGGGAAAGACGGAGCGCGGCACCATGCGCGGCATATTTGTCTGATGATATGGCAGCATTTGAAAAGGCGCTCAGCCCGACTCCACGACGGGACGACGACATTCTCAGCGGTGCATGCAATGATGATGTCCGGAGGGGTGCCCTTTGGTGAGGTGAAGTACTCGATAGTCGGCATGTCTTTCCGCCAAGCCCKATCCTTAGCGTCACACTTCGCTCCATCTTGAAATCGTTTTCGCTTTTCGAGATTTGTTCTTGCACGCCCAACGACCACCCCGACCTTCCTTCATCACCACACCGAGGACCATTATCGCCATGGCACCAAAGTCCGCTCAGCAGTATGTGCCCGCCATCGCCTCTGGGTGAAGAAGCGCAGCACAGTCGGTCCACAATCGCAATGCAAAAATTACTGCTCTGTCGCACTCGTGCGCAGACAGAAAAGACACTCCACCCTGCCTCAATCCTGCGCGGCGTCATCCCATGTGGATGGCTCGTCAGAATATGAGGTGGATAGGCCGGTGCAGTTCATGACAAGATCGTAAGATTGAGTCTGAACAGCACGGCACACATCGCCCACTCTAGGAGTGTCAGCGGAGAATGCATGAGCGCCAGCAGACCACTGTGCCGCACTTCTTCGCTCGGGGATTCAATCCCTTGCACGCGCGGACCGACTGACATGAACCTTCAGGTCTGTCCCTACCAAGGACCAGATTCTCGTCCCGGAGACCCTCCTCAAGAAGCGCAAGTCGCAGGAGAAGGAGCGCGCCGAGGCCGCTGAGAAGCGTGATGCTCGCAAGAAGGTACACATCATCCCCTCATCCGCCCTCCCTCCTTGTACTCTGATGAAAGAATATCCAACAACACCTCGACTAGCCTACGGGCGGTGCTGTCGTCTAGTTAACCATCTTTCGGGACTGACTGTGCTGTGACAATTTCACTCTTCACAAGATCATGGGCATTGAAAAGCATTTGCTGACTCTATCACCCACAGGAGAACAAGAGCAAGCGCGAGACCATCTTCAAGCGTGCCGAGTCGTACGTGAAGGAGTACCGCGACCTTGAGCGTGAGAAGATCCGCCTTGGCCGTGTCGCCAAGTCCGAGGGTAGCTACTACGTGCCCGCCGAGCCCAAGTTGGTCTTCGTCGTCCGCATCAAGGGTATCAACAAGATCGACCCAAAGAAGCGCAAGACCCTCCAGCTCCTCCGTCTTCTCCAGATCAACAACGGTGTCTTCATCCGCTTGACCAAGGCCACCTCGGAGATGTTGAAGATCGTCGAGCCATTCGTCGCCTACGGTTACCCCAACCTCAAGTCTGTCCGTGAGCTCATCTACAAGCGCGGATACGCCAAGACCGCTGAGAAGCACCGCATTCCTCTCACCGACAACGCCATCATCGAGGAGCACCTCGGAAAGCACGGCATTGTCTGCATGGAAGACTTGATCCACGAGATTTACACCGTTGGACCCAACTTCAAGCAGGCCTCCAACTTCCTCTGGCCATTCAAGCTCAGCAACCCTACCGGTGGCTTCCGTCCTCGCAAGTTCAAGCACTTCGTTGAGGGTGGTGACCTTGGTAACCGTGAGGAGTACATCAACGCTCTGATCCGCCAGATGAACTAGACTCCTTATCGGAGATACGAGTGTTGTTTCATGAGTGGTGTCTACAGCGGCTTCTGGGTTTGGGCAAATGGGAAAACGGACCAAGTCGGTTCCGATTGCAAGGCGAATGGCGTCTGTACTGAGCTACGAATTCGAAACGTTGATGTGTATGCCACTCGTGTTCAGCCTCGCCAAAAGTTGAACTGTCTTTTCCATTCAATGTGCACCTAAGTCTGTGGTCTCCTCTATGCTTACCAGCAATGTGATTTGGAATGTACATGCTGATGGTGTTTTCAAGTGGTGGCACATTGCGGCTCGATGTTCTTGGAGTATGCAAAGGGCGGATTCACACAAACCAAAGTCTGGCAGATTGCTTGRACACGGTGATGGTGCCATGATTCTGGACTGGCAATCACTGATCGAAGTTATGAACGTTGCTGGACAATCGCCATAGCTAAGTATATGACACTCGTGAGAGCATCCTCATCGCTGTGCGGCTACCCCAACCCTAACCCCAACCCTCAACTCTGCGAATGTCGGCATACCACCTCGCCGATCAACAAGACCACCCGATCCTCGCTTCTGCCACACCAATCAACACCGAGATATTGACAACAGTCACTCGCGTTTGTGGCTCGGATTTTATTTCTCGCCGCCATCGCACTTGGCGGGACTCTCGACTGTCGTTCCATCAAGAGTCGCAAGCTCGAAGCTTGAGCGAGCAAGACTTTTCTAATGCCTGCACATTTGATGGCTGGGCGTCTTGGATCATGGTGCTTAACAGCGGCTGATCGATTAAGCTGTCTTGAAAAAGGTTCTACCGGCGGCCTTTGACGGCTATTGTATGCATAACATCTGCCTGAATTCGTGCATTCGGCTGTACCACATGGTATTGCCGATCCCCACAGCGCGTGGCAATGTGCTAATAATTGACGGGCTTCCCCTCCTTTGTGGAGTTTTAGTGTGACGCGGTGGTATGCTCGCCGACGCTCAGAGGATCGCGGTGAACACGAGGTATAACAAGGCCTTCCCGCTCGGGGACTTTCGTTCTTCACTCGTTCGTCGCTGCCCATCTTAGCGGGCAATCACCAACCCCATCGCCACCATCATGGCAGACATCTCAAGCATTGAGAAGCGAGATGTTCTCCACAACGAAGATGTACACGACTCAGATCTCGGTGCTGCGAAAGAGCAAGACCTGTATCATGGAACACTCACTCCCGAGGAGAAGATCATCGAGAAGCAGTTGCGACGAAAGATTGACACTCTGATTATGCCTCTGGTCGTCATGGTGTAAGTAGACCAAGGGCAAAGGGTGGATGGGGTCGGGTGCTATCATACGCCTTGGTCCACGTCGGAATGATTGAAGATATCGCTGACACTGCTCTTCCCGTCTAGATATTTGATGAATTATATCGATAGGAACAACTATGCTGCAGCCAGATTGCAAGGCCTGGAAGACAGTCTAGGCCTCAACGATACCCAATATCAACTAGGCTTGAGTATTTTGTTTGTTGGATACGTGAGTCCAGCTTACACCAGTGCTCGAAACCTCCTCGACTGACAGTTGAAAGGTTCTTATGCAAGTACCGTCCAACTTGCTTCTCAACCACTGTGGCAGACCCGCGTACTACCTTGGATTCTTCATCTGTGTGTGGGGATTGGTTTCCGCCTTGACCTCACAAGTCTCAACTCCAGCTGGGATCATTGTTTGTCGATTCATTCTGGGCGTTGTCGAAGCCCCTTTCTTCCCGGGTGTACTCTTCTACCTCTCCAAGTGGTACACCAAAGAGGAACTCAATCTACGGATGTCCATTTTTTTCTCTGGATCCTTGATTTCTGGGGCCTTTGGGAATTTGATCGCTGCTGGAATCCTCAGCGGACTTGACAATGTTCGAGGCTATCGTGCATGGCAATGGCTGTACAGTCAGTGAATCTGTTGCGGCACTGTCTCACGTTAACGCTAACAACCAAACAGTTATCGAAGGTGTGACCACGATTGGACTAGGTATCATCGTTATCTTTTTCCTCCCCGACTTTCCAACCACTTGGCGTCTGCTTTCACCAGAGATGCGAGCTGTGGCAATACGCAGAATGGCGCTTGACGCGAGGGAGGCTGATGTCGATGTTGGTGGAGGCATGTCTCAGATCGCAGGAATGAAAGCTGCCGTAAGTCAAGAACAGCGATGCCGCCCAAGACTATATTGACAATATTAACCCTCCTGTCCTAGTTTCTCGACCCAAAGACGTACATACTCGCTCTGGCCTACCATGGCATCACGGGCGCCGCTGGATTCCAAAACTTCTACCCGACATTGACTCGCAGTTTATATCCCAACCTTACTGGAACGACACTCAGGATCCGATCGCTATTGCTCTGTGCACCCCCATATGTCTTCACTGTCATATGGTCCCTATCGCACGGATTCGCCTCTGACAAGGTCGGCAATCGCTTCTGGTTCTACATGTACCCTATCCCGATTGTGATTGCGGGAGCATTAGTATTCATGTTCACAGAATCATTCGGCGGCCGCTACTTTAGCCTGTTTATGCTCAATGCGATTTTCGTAATGAACGGGACAATCTATGCATGGATCGCCAACGCCATCCCACGGCCACCAGCTAAACGTGCTGCATCTCTAGCCTTCATGAACAGCATCGGAAATGCAGCCTCAATCTGGACCCCATTTACCTATGGGGAGAATGATGCACCGCACTATATCAAGGCCATGGGGATCAACATTGGACTTGTCAGTATTGCTGGAATCTGTGGCATCATTATGAAATTTTACTTGGAGTATCAGAACAGACAGCTCGACAGAATGGAGAATGAGGACCACGAGCTCACCGAGCGGGACATTAGGAAATTGCAAAAGACTGCCGAAATGGAGGGTATCAGTTTCCAAGCAGCGAGAGCTCTGCAGAAGGGATATAGGTATATTATCTAGGCAAGCTTGATACCCACGACATGCCAATCACGTTGCTGCCTGTGAGCGCGATCTGCACCCGTGCATCTCATTGCTTGTTGTTCGTCAAGCCTTAGACGACGGCTGGACAGTTGGCTTGATAGGCTGCACAAACTTTGCCTTCACGCCTCTCATCAGACCATCAGCCAGGAGCTTCTTCACAGTCGGTGTGCTGTTATGTTCCTCAAAAGCCTTGCGACCAGTATATCGCTCGAAGAAATGAAACACATTGCGATCATCACCATCTCTGGCCAAGCAATAATAAATGATTCCAGGCTCCGACGCTGATAGTCTCGTGGTCTCTGCATATACCGATTCCAGGGTATCGGCGTGCTCTGGGTGAGCATACACCTGAGAAGGTCAGRCAAGTGGCTGCCGTATAGTTTCTTATACGTACTGTGCCGAACACACAGAACTCATCTTCGGGCACTGGCGGCATCTCCGTCATGAAACCTTCGCGTTGGTACTCTGCTGTGCTCCGTTCCGCCATGTTAATAGGGTACCTTAGTTGGCAAGGGAGTTGAAGCGGTGAGGCAGTGGAGTGGGTATCTGTTTCTGTGGGTCGACGAACCTATTTGGCACAATGGCATCCCATGTCTTTCTTTGATCACTATCACGACAGAGATTCCTCTAGGTAGCGGTTTGCAAGTCCTTTTCTTCCACTGACCCATCTCGCTTCAGAATTGAGAAATCCAGCGATGGTTGACATCGTCCTGCTGGAAGTGGAAGGTCCGATTGGCGGGTGATGATTCGTTACACCTTCCACGAGCTTGCCCACGAGACGAGCAAGGCATCCCTTCGCTTGCAAATGCACACTGCAGCCGAACAAGACCGCGAGCCACCCCGGCCATGCGTGTGCCACACAAAGGCCGAAGCTCAGCATATTTGAACGTAAGTCCCGCTGCAATGGAGGATTGCTCGTGGATTGACTGTCCAGTGCTCTCACAATGCTGTTTCTAGCCGTTCTCGTGTTCGCTGCTTATGCACGTTGCACACCTACCACATTTGACTACGTGGTGGTCGGCGGAGGGACTGCAGGACTCACCGTGGCAGCTCGTCTCAGTGAAGACGTCAATACTGCAGTTGTGGTCCTCGAAGCTGGCGAAGACCGCACTGAAGACATCAACGTCCTGGCTCCTGGACTGCTGACATCGCTATACAGTGATCCAAAGTACGACTGGAATTACCATACAACTCCTCAAGACARTGCGAATGGTCACGTATTGGCGCATCCTCGTGGCAAGCAGCTTGGAGGCTCTTCGGCTATCAACTTTCTCTGGTGGACCCATGCTTCTCAGAAGGACATCAACAATTGGGGCTTGCTGGGCAATAAGAACTGGAGCTGGTCTGCCCTGGATCCGTTCTTTGAAAAGTCGGAAAGCTACGTGAGACCTTCAGCGAAAACAGCTGCATCGCTGGACACTGGCTACATCGACCCTGATGAGCATGGCGAGAGTGGTCCTATCTGCACCACCTTTGCTGACATCCAGGGAGAGCTCGATGAGGCCTGGCCGAGAACATACAACACGCTCGGCCTTTCTGTCCCGTCCGATCCACGGGATGGACTCGCTCTCGGAGGCTACACGAATTTGCTTAATTTCGAGCTGCCCACAAGGAGTCGAAGCTATGCTGCAACGACCTACTTGAAGGATGCCCAGCTGCGGCAAAACTTCAAAGTCATCACCGGAGCGCATGTTCAGCGGATCCAAATCGACGCTTCATGCGACAAGCCCAAGGTAACGGGTGTCACGTACATCGTGAACGGCGTAGAATACAACGTCGATGCCCGAAAGGAAATCATTCTCAGCGCTGGCGCATTTGGTTCCCCACAGTTGCTCGAGCTATCTGGGATTGGTGACCCCAAGGTGCTACACAGGCACAATATTCCAGAAGTCTTCAGCAATATCAACGTGGGAGAGAATCTGCAAGATCACGCCTACGTTCCTCTGGGGTACAAAGTTCGTCCGGGCATCTTTACGCTCGACGACTTTGCAAATGAGACCATCTTCAATGAAGCATACGATCAATACGTCAGCAATCGGAGCGGATCACTTGCGACGATCAGTGCCATGTCTGCTCTTCTTTCTATGGAGCARATCAAGGGTCTCGAATATCCTGGAATGAATGGCACGATTGAAAAGCAATGCCCTCATCATAAATCTTCCCACAACTCGTTGCAGCACTCTCTCCTCTGCTCGGACCTCCAACATGAAGCAGTGGTACAAGAATTCGCCACTCCTGGTGGAATGTCTCCGCAGCTCTCCAATGACAGCGCAAAAGTCTTTCTCGCAAGCGTGCCAGGAAACTTCTTCACCATCACGGCTGTTCTTCAGCATCCTTTTTCGCGCGGGAGTGTTCACATCATATCGTCGAATGCTTCGCAATATCCACGGATCGACCCGAACTACCTGTCCAATTCACTGGACATCAAGATTCTCGCTGCGGCAGCACTCCATCTACAAGAGGTCGTGAGAACGCAACCCTTGTCGAACTTGCTTGTTGATAATGGCACTGCGTTCCAACCTGGTTACTATGAGCTGAACGTTGATAATGTGGAAGCTTGGACGCGGGACAATCTACAAAGCGAGTTCCATCCTTGTGGAACTTGCGCCATGTTACCGCGGAAGGATGGAGGTGTTGTGGATGAGCGATTCAATGTCTACGGCGTTGAAGGCTTGAGGGTCGTCGATGCCAGCATCTTCCCACTAATCCCGAGGGCAAATCTGCAGAGTCTGGTTTACGCAGTGGCTGAGAGGGCTGCTGAGTTCATCAGAGAGGACGACATCGAGTAAAGTAGCGGAGAAAAGGCTTCTCGACCGGGCTAACAAAGTGGATTCGTCGATCGGTCCAAAAGGATGGAAGAGGTTTCCTTACTTGGCGGCATCAAATCGATTGTCAGTCAGGAAGGAGATTGCGGATGCTCTTCCACCAACGCACAACAACGCTGCTGTGCCCTTCGRCATTGTCATCTTGGATATGCCACAGTGATCTATCCTGTTTTCAGCCCTTATTCCACAGCCACGTGGAGAGGCCGAGGCGTGGTTGTTTTGGATGGTCAGTGCTCGGGTTGTTCTACACGATCTACAGCCATTGTCTAGCGGCCGGAGTCACGCAGCCAATACGATCAAAGACGATGAACTACTACCCCGGGATCGCGCTGCAGGGCAATCTGATCACAATGAAGATTGATTGTATGGCGATTGGCCTCGGTGATCGCGTGCCCCGTCTCGTTATCTCTTGGTTTWCTGATCTGTGCCCCTGAGTCATTGGGTTGATAAGCACAGCCGACCGCCATTTCATCTCCCTCGGTGCAGACTCCTTCAGGTTCAACATCAAGGAACAAAGAATACTGTACGAGTATGCGGCCTCACCGGTTCGTGGCATACTCGTTTACAACAATGAGTCTTCGGTATGAGTGTCAGATAAGAGCACGTCCATCTGCGAGTCAGGCAAGTTCAACACCTAACCACAATGTGACTTTCCAGTCCTGTTCCGAGCCTGCCGTCAAATGCGATATGTATGGACATTTGATTGTTCGTGATTTGGAGCGATAAATCACGACTGCCCGCYGGGCACACTTAAGCCGTTGGCAAGAAGTCCACCTCACCCTCCTTCCGATGTGGGCTACACCGACAGCCTTTGACCTGACGTTCGCTTGAGGGAATACATTCGGGCAAAGCAAAAGAAGCGACTACTGAGTCGCCAAGCGAAGACCACAGGTCGACGGAAGGATTCTATCGGCACCTTGAGGTTGCACAGGACTCGTCGTTGGCGCATAAAAGATGAGGGTGCGGCAGGCGACTCGGTCGTTGATGGGATCTGCCATGCGAGTCCTTCATTGCTGTACAAGTGCTGACAACACAACGAACAATAGCTCAGGCAATCTTCCGCCGTTGCGCTGAGCTTGGCAACGATGACTTTGCCGGTGCTTTTCGTGGCCAGATTCAATGAAGAGTCTCGTGTGACCAGTGGATCATAAACCCATATCATTCAGTATACTTTATTACGAAGTTGTTTGAGCATACGTCGGAAGCCTCGCCATCCGGCGTGGGATGTTACATGATCGACACCCACGTGCACATTAAGCTACTGCAAGAGGATGCGCGAAAAGTAAGTACTTACTTCAATAGGATTGTTGGAGCCTGGACGTAGCTGAACTTAAGCTCAGCTGCTCCCCTCTGGCACATCAAGTGCTTGWCACAACAAAGTTGAACGTCAGCAGAACACAACAGAATGGACCATGCTTCAAACACGTTGTCGGAGGATGTCACTCCACCGTCAGAAAATCAAGCGGCATGGATGCACAAAGAGAATACCAAGCCACTCATAGTAAGACTCATTGAAGTATTGCATGCCACACTGCTAAACACAATACAGGTAGCCAACGCGAAGATKCCTGTCCCAGGTGTCAACGATATTGTGATCAAGAACGCCGCCGTAGCAATCAACCCTGCCGATTGGAAGATTCAAGACTACCCCTCATGGCTACGAGCATGGCCATTTGTGCTTGGCGAAGACGTCGCCGGCGTCGTCCACGAAGTCGGCAAGAATGTTGAGAAATTCAAGAAAGGCGATCGTGTCATAGCGTGCGTCGCTCATCCATCGGGACCTTGTAACAACTAACGAAGCACACAGCCATCTCGATCAGCTGCTTACACAGGATTCGCAGGATGGCGGCTTTCAACTTTACTCTAAGACCCCAACTGATCGTGCAGCAAAGATCCCGGATGAGCTCTCCTTCACCGATGCCTCAGTCATCCCCTTGGCCCTCAACACAGCCGGGCATGGTTTGTATGGCACTGATGAGGGCTTCCTTGCACTTCCTTGGCCAAGTTTGAATGTATCTCCAATCGGCAAGACGATTCTCGTATGGGGAGGTTCTTCTTCCGTCGGTGCCATAACAATTCAGCTCGCAGTTGGATCTGGCGTCAAAGTCGTGACAGTGGCCAGTAAAAGCAACCACAATCTCGTCAAATCGCTCGGAGCTTGCGAAGCGGTCGATTACAAAGGTCCTAGCGTGGTTCAAAATGTTCTGGAGGCTATAAACCTTGCTGGTGGGACCTTCGCGGGCATATACGACGCCATATCAGACGAAAACTCGTTCCAGCATGTGCTTGCTATCGCCGAGAAGCTTCATGTCAAAAACATCGCGATTGTCAACCCGCCACCCCAGGTGAATGTGCCCGAACATGTCAAATTTGGAAATGTAATCGCCGTGAATGATGTCACTGGGCCACTGTGGGAAAGCTATGTTGGTCCTGCGCTCGAACGAGGGAAGCTGAAGGCAGCGCCGGAAGCTCTTGTTATTGGAAAAGGACTTGATTGCGTTCAGATGGGTATGGATAGGAGTAAGGCTGGTGTCAGTGCTAAGAAGATTGTGGTTGAGCTGTGATTTCATTTCGAGCTTATATGAGATGATTTTATGGATGGCTCTTTTTTTGCACGTACTTCCACCGATGTGAAGCGCAGTAAGTTGAGGCTCTCTCTGTGCCCATTCAACTAGGGACCTGCGAACCTCACTSATCTATTGGAAAAGACTCACTGATGCTCTTCACCTTTAGAACGTTGTGAGCCAGAGATTGGGCATTTGCTTTCCGACAGGAAATGTAAGGATCCCAGCTTTTATCTGCCTCTCGAGATAGTATACAACCACTAAAGGAGTCATCTCGTCAGACTCGTAATATGGTTCAGCATCGTGGAGTAAGTTGGTCGTGAAGTATTCCCTCGTGCGGGAAATGTCCAGTCACGAGTTCAATCCATTCATATGGTTGACCGGTTGCCCTTCGACCAAATTCATGAAGTTCCGGAATGCTCGTGAGCGGTGAGCAGCAACAGCTAGTCCAGGCTCAACATAGTTGTCAATAGGAGCGTCGAGGTCAATCTAGCCGCGATGCTCGAGAATACCTGCCACGAGCGTCACGTTCGCTTTGGGGTTTCCAGCGTTTCATTCCCCTTTGAGACGTCATCTCGAAATCCCCAGTCAAGTCAGAGCGTAACGCTCTTACTGAGCTCAGCTGTCTTCGTCCGGTCGGAGTATATGGGACTGTAGCATGACTTAACAGCTGAACGTTCTCGTTCGGATCAGCACCATTCATTCAACTAGCATACGCTCCAGCATGCATTCGGGAGTAATCCGGATCCGGATAGTTGTCGTGACTGAAGGTAGAGCGAATCGCTCTCGCTAATATCAGCGACGCGTTCCTATCGGAAACACCACAGCATGTACAAATGCTAGGGGGAGGGAGAGTGTGCAGATCATCGGCTTAACCGGGTATTAGCCGGGAAATCGCGGCCGGTCCCGCTTGGCCGTGACCCAAAAAAGTTCATAGGGCTGAATGTTTGGCTTAAGAAGTCGCGTCCTTCTGCCTCGCGACCACCTCTACAACATCATCGCAGCTTCCCGCGCAACATTGCACGCACCAAAATCAACCAATCAAGCAATCAAAATTCAGCTAAGTATATTCACAATGCCTCCAAAGGCGAATACGAAGGCAGCGCGGAAGGCGCCACCGAAGAAAGCCGCCGCCGCAAAGAAGGCACCACCACCTCCTCCCGCGCCTGTCGCCGAAAAACCATCACGCAAGCGCAAGGCAGACGATGCGCCTGCCGCTGTAGCGCCCGTCAAAAAGGCCAAAATCGCCGGCAAAGGCGCAGTATTGCAAGAACCTCCATCACAGCGCCTACACGTCTACGTTTTCGGCGAAGGAACAGCAGGCGAACTGGGACTCGGCACGGCAAAGAATGCAGTCGACGTCAAGCGCCCGCGCCTGAATCCCAATCTCAGTGCGGAATCAGTCGGCGTAGTTGAGATCGCGGCTGGCGGCATGCACTGTATCGCACTCACACATGACAACAAGATCCTCACCTGGGGCGTCAACGACCAAGGCACACTCGGCAGAGACACTACTTGGGATGGCGGGCTCAAAGACATGGACGAAATGGCGGACGACAGTGACTCTGAGTCTGGCGATGATAACGGTTTGAACCCAAATGTAAGCATCTCTCATCTCTCACGTCATCCCAACCCTCTGAAGTACCCTCTAACATCATCACAGGAGTGCACGCCCGGCGAGGTCGACTGGTCACAGACTGAGCTCGCACCAGACACGCGCTTTGTGCAGGTCGCTGCGGGCGATTCCTCATCATTCGTACTCACCGACGACGGCAAAGTCTACGGCTGGGGCACATTCCGCAGCAACGATGGCATCTTTGGCTTCACACCCGAAATTAAGGTTGCCACGCGGCCTGTCCTTGTACAAAACCTCAAGCAAGTCACCTCCATTAAAGCTGGTGCGAATCACGCGCTCGCCATGCAAGCCAACGGCGCAGTCTTCGCATGGGGTTCCGGTCAACAGAACCAGCTCGGTCGTCGTATCATAGAACGGACGAAGACAGAGGGACTTCTTCCACGCGAGTTTGGACTCCCCAAAGGCCCAAAGAAGGGCATTACATCTATCGAGACTGGCACATACCACAGCTTCGCCATTTCAAAAACAGGCGACGTATGGTCATGGGGTCTCAACAACTTTGGCGAGACTGGAATCATGGACAACGCTGGAGAGGACGACGCAGTGATCATGAACCCGCGTGTTGTCGAATCACTCAAGGGCAAGAACATTACCAGTATCACAGGAGGCGGACATCACAGTATCGCTGCCACTGCTGATGGAGAATGTCTCGCATGGGGTCGCATCGACGGCCACCAAATTGGTATTTCAGACGATGATATCGCCAAGCTGCCCGCCTCTGCCACCATCCAGGACGATCACGGACGCGCCCGCATAGTTGCACAACCCACAAAGGTCAACATCGACGGACATGTAACACACGTCGCATCCGCATCTGACCACAACATTGTTGTCACAAAGGAAGGACAGGCTTGGAGTTGGGGATTCTCGGCAAATTACCAGACAGGACTGGGGACCGATGATGATGTGGAGGTCGCAACTCGGATTGCGAATACAGCTATCGTGGAGAAGAAGGTTACAGGAGCAACGACAGGAGGACAGTTTTCAGTGGTGGTGGTGCCGGCTTAATTTGGGGATTGTTGTTTGATGAGGAAGGTGACTTTGACTCCCCGAAAGGGTTGAGTTGGTCACTTCTTCCTAGGAAGCGGCTTTGACTCCCCTTTGGGTCCGAGTTGGCTGCTCCTTTGATATGACATAGCTTTGACTCGCTTCTTCGGCTTGAGTTGGCTTAATAAACGTCTGTTCCGTTCGTTCGTTTCCTCTAGCAGACCCATTATGGCGCCCTTGCTGCCCCGTTTGGTGCGCTCCTTGCCGCAAAGCTAGTTCAATGTCCTCTGCAGGACGTAAGCAGGACATGCGAGGGTGTTCCGTTCAAATCTGGCCCCAAGACCTCGCATGCAATGTTTTCAGACGACTTGACTGACTGCAGTAGGCACATGATCAAACGGCAGGCAGGGAATGACCGTGAAATACAACACGACTACCATAAATTAGGTCCTGTCAGTATCTTACATCCACGTTTTGATAATCCATCTTGACACCTCAAATGCCTCCACGAGCGGATACAAGACGGAACACAATGTGCCACCCAAGAGGAAGGTTCTGGAAGATACGTCGCCGACAATACATACCGCTATGTCTCATGATTGCAGAGGCAGCCTGCTGATGCAGCGCTCCAGCAAGTAGTCTGGAAACTGTCGTTTCGATGTGATTTTAAAGTGAGGTTCTCCTCGAGATGGTTGTCACTGGATGCGGCATCTAGACTATCTTTGGCAGCATCTTGTCTACCATTGGGTCGAACGACAGTCGCTGGAGGTGGAGGGATTAAGGTACCGGATCGCTGGTGGACGGAACTGCTGCTAGATGTATCAATTCAGAGAAGGGGAGTAATCAGAGAAGTTGAAATAGACTTGCAGCGATGGAAAATGGATAGCAAAGGTTTGGATTAGATGGAGTGCGAGACAAGTAAAGCGATGTGAGATATGGGAGGCGTTGTAACCATGCAGTAACCCTGCACAGTCTGCACAACAGCGGGATAATTCGCCAGCGCCGTCAACACAGGCATAAAACTCGTTCGTCGGACCGACGAAAGTCAAAGGACGTGTTGTCTTTCGAAGCAGATGGAGTGCAATGGCAGCTGGTAGTATATGAAGGAGTGCGTTCTTGATGCTTCAGAGACTCACTTCCTTTTCCGAGGTACGGCCAATTGATGCTCAGTCTTCGATGGAGCTGCAGCGATAATGAGACTGAGATGGCTCATCTGAGGAGGTCAAAGCGGTTGGGCGATGGTGGTTATGGCCTAACAGGATGCCCATCACCATTCAGCTCCACGCGAACGTCAAGGGGCATCGTCTGTATATAATGTGATGTGGCAGGACGTCTTCTTGGATGGTTTAGCTCCTCGAGAGGGACGCCATTTGAGACTCCACACTTTATGCCTTTCACTGCCAATTCTGTACAACGACAGTGCAGCTCTACAGGCATGGACTCCAGATTTATGACAGGACATATGATAGCCCTCTCTCCAGTAAGAGCAGAACTGCCTCGTATACCAGATGAGCATTCCAACGTCCCAAGTGAGCAAGATTCTTCCTCCTCTTCCCCAATCCGCACCCGCACCTCCCCCCGCCCAAAACGACACCGTCATCCCGTCATCCCACCCTCCCGCACTTCGCAAGCACTTCGGCAGTCCGCTCCGGAGCTACATAAACAATTTGAATCCTGACACTTCCAATTAGCGCAGTTTGCAGCCTTCCAACGAGTTGAGCAAAGACTATTCAAAGACCACTAGGGTTGCTGCGAAAAAACGATAACTCTCGTAGAGGGTTTCTTTCCCGGCTTGGCCGGGTTTTCTTTTGTCTTTTTGTTTTGGATGAGAGTTCGAACTGGGGTGTTTGGGGAATCCCCATTCACTCTTTTGTTGCCAAGGATTGGAAGGCAAGGCGTAATAAGGGGTCCAGCGTTGATCCAGGTTGCCCGTGATTCTGCGGAAGGTCCACAAGGGATGGCCTGGATCTTTTGCTGTGATGGATGAGATCGAGCCAAGGAGATGACGGTGGTCGAAGCGCCTTTTGCGACTCTTGCATCCAGTCCTATACTGCTAAGACAGTGGTAGGCACAGCCTTCAACGTGATCTTAGACTTTCATTTGAGCGGACTTGTCTTTGTCTTTCTATGCTGGAGCGTCTCATTGAGAATCCGCAGCTGCAGCGGCTGATATAGCAGTTTGGAGCGCAGTCCGTGTCGGAAGACGACTGTAAAGGATTCAATTCTCTTCCGAAATGGCGCATCGCAAGCGCTCTTACCATCTACTAACAACGGATCGCGCAATGCTCGAAGACCACCTTACATCTCAGGTCCAAGTCCCATCGGCTCAACGATCGCTGTGCCGTCACAGAGCATCCTTCTTCGCGAGTCTCGTCATATTCCGATGCTTTCCCTTTGCTGCCCTCAAAGGCCGATCCCTCAGCCATCGGTCCGCACACAGGTCAAAGTGAGGGTCGCCATCGACAACAGCATCAACATGAGCACCGAAAGCGAAACAAGTGCCTCTTGTGTATACGTGTAGAGGAGATCAAGGACGTGAAGTCAATTGTGCATGCCAGGATTGTGGAGATCTCGGGTCGGGTCCTCCACGTGGCAGGGAACATGGCAGGGGTAAGGTAGCGACAACGACGTCTTCACAGATGTGCATCTTCTTACTTGACAATCTTATGGACGACTGAATCAGTCTATACTCTTCAGAGTCATGGGAAAGTCGATTGACATCTTCTTGAAATGCATCAATCGCACAGAGTCAATCGCACGGAAGAAGGTTGAAGTTTGGACGCGTTGGAGCTCTCTACGAAGCTCCTCTTGTTCTCTCTCTTTCGTCAAACATTGATCGTGGTGTGTAATAGATGTATCGACAACATCACAAGGCTACCAGGAGACTACGGCGGGGCCGACACTACGTTCTACCTATCTTTCCAAAAAGCCAAGCGCCCACGATTCATGTCTTCAGCCCAATGTCTCACATTTCAATGGATCATGAATGACATCACAGAAACACTTCTAGAACTCCCCTCATTGCGATGCACCTTATTACACATTTCCCCTCCAAATTCCCATACCACCGGCGTGATATCCTTCAATTCTCCCCTCTCTTCAAGCAAGAATGACGCCCAAAAACTTCATCATAACTGGCGCAGGCCGTGGAATCGGACGTGGACTCTCTCGCCTCCTCCTCAACGACGGCCACCGCGTCTTCCTGATCGACAACAACACCACCGAATTGGGCCACACGGTCGAGAATCTCAGTGTAAAACATGACCGAGGCAAAGACTTTGAAGCCAAGACCTGCAATCTTCGAAAACCAGCCGAAATCATCACCGCCATAGCAGCCGCGAGCAAACTCTTTCAAGGAAAATTGGACGTTTTGGTGAATAATGCCGCCTACACCGAAGCGGTTGGAAAGGCATCATTAGAGCAGCTGTCCCTGGACGACTGGAATGCGAGTTTAGAAGTCAACTTAACAGCGCCGATGTTGGTTACGAAGGCTTGTTTGACCATGCTGGAGCATGCTCCCGAAGGAGGCGCGGTGATTAATATTTCCTCCACTCGAGCTTTCATGTCGGAACAACACAATGAACCTTATTCGGCTACCAAAGCTGGACTGCTGGGTTTGACGCAAAGTATGGCGGTCAGTCTGGCGGAGAAGGATATTCGGGTCAATGCGATCCTACCCGGCTGGATTAATGTCAGTGATGAGTGTAAAGAGGCGGATGAGAAGGATCAGGATTGGGAAGAGGGTTTGACGAGGGAGGATCATAGATGGCATCCTGCGGGGAGGGTGGGAAAGGTGGATGATATTTGGAGAGCGGTCATGTTTCTTGTTGATAGTGAGTTTGTTACAGGGACGGAGGTTGTTGTTGACGGAGGGGTTACGAGGAAGATGATTTATCCTGAATGAGGACGATGTTGAGATGTTGGTTGTACTGGTGGGCGCTATCAAGGTCTGAATTTGAAATATTGCGGCGGTGTTGGTGGTGGAATGGTAGTTTTGGTACAATAGCTGTGGTAGTATGTCTTAATCGTGTATCATCATGCTCACAAACCCGACGGTTCTGTCTCCGCTCATCAAGCTCGTTGTGTATTCGCAGTACTGGCTGACGGTCTCTTGAGACAGCATGGTACCATGTTCGCGACGATGCTCCAGCGTTTCTCCCACAGCTTTCATGCCGTACTGATACCAWCCATCTACTCCTTCGACCCACCCATAACCACCTGAAACACCAAGAACAACGCCAATGCCCACCAGTACCTGCCACAAGATTAGCAATCGCTTCGCCGGAACCTTCCTCGGCACATTCATACTTTTGCAAGAAAGACTTCTCTGGCTCCTTGGCCTCCTCTCCATCGGCACTAATAACCACGGGCTTATTCAACGAGGGCACAGGCCCCCTCTGCATCTGCACCACCTCGACCGCAAACCCTTCCTTTCCAACAAAACTCTTTCCTTTCCCTTGGCTCACAGGCTCCTTTCCAACCTTCCAGCCCACATGGTATAATTCCCCATCCGGTCTCACGTGTAAGAGTAATGTCTTCAACTTCTCTGCGGAGAGATTCTCAGCAGCCGTGGCAATCCCCGACCATTCTCCCGATTTATGGTGGAAACCTATGCGAACAATCTCTGAATTTGAAGGGATTGAGGGTGGAGTGAAGGATTTAATGGAGGCGTTTGTGGGGGTGTATGTGATTTGGGCAAGCGTTTGAGGTTTGGTTGTTAGGAGAGGCCAGGCGARGATGTCGACCTGTCGGGAGGGAACATCGACGGCGAGGGCGAGGGTCGAGAAAAAGGTCAGCGCGAGGTTGAGGTAAAGCATTTTGGGCGGTGGTGGATGGGCGAGGTGATGGTGTTGAATGGCGACGCGAATGGGAGACGTGATGGAAGGCTCGGAAGATACGTCGAGGGCTTGGCATATGTCGGCGTTTCGGACGAGAATATGCCGTGCTTGGGTGTTGGGTGGCATCAGTGAGGGTGCAGATTCTTCGAGCGAGTCGATTTCAACATCATTGCTGCATCACTTGGGCCTTTGAAACCGTTGACGCCCGATTTTCCTCTCATTGGACACCTCATTGGAGCTCTACGGGGTCAATTGGTGATGCCATCGGGCATTGGACATGAATTTTTTGGCGGGTAAATACGACGACCAACTCCCCTGCAGCCCCAGCTCTCAGCTCCCCGCCATGACCCACCTGCTATGACGAAGATTCGCGGACAGCTCAGGTCTTCCATTGCAGGGTCCGGGTTATTTTTCATCACTGTGCGGTGAGTGAGGAAGAGCACAAGAATCTTCTCAACAAAATTCCATCCAATCTTCTCATCTTTTTTATCACAATCATCTTTCCTTACCTCACTTGCAACATATTCCTCAAAATACAACAAGAGGGCGAATAATCCTGATATCAAGCTCAATCCCCCATTGAAAGCTATACACAACAACAATAACAACACCAGCCGCAATCATGTCCAACCAATATGGCTCCATGCCATTCCGCAACCCCAACCGACAGCAATCTCGACAAATGTCCGTCGACCCTCACAATGAGCTCAACGTCGAGAAGAACCACTACATTGGCATTGATGTCGGCACGGGAAGTGCTCGTGCTTGTATCATGAACGACAAGGGCGACATTGTCGGTCTGGCCAGTGAGAACATTGGCCTGTGGCAGCCAGAGACCGGTTACTACGTGTGTTGATATCCAGTCCTTTTTTGGAGTATCCTCTCTAACATGATTGCAGGAACAATCGACAACCAACATCTGGCGATGCATCTGCTCGTCCATCCAGCGAGCCATGTCCCAGCACAACATCGATCCCAACACCATTCGCGGCATTGGCTTTGATGCCACTTGCTCCTTGACCGTCTTCAACTCCGAGACCGACGAGCCCGTCTGTGTCACGGGTCCGAAATTCAACAATCAAGACGGCAATGACCGCAATGTCATCCTCTGGCTGGACCACCGACCTGTTGAGGAGACCAAGAAGATCAATGCCACCAACCACAACCTGCTGAGATATGTCGGTGGACAGATGAGCATTGAGATGGAGATCCCAAAGGTTCTCTGGTTGAAGAACAACATGCCCAAGGAGTTGTTTGACAAGTGCAAGTTCTACGATCTTGGAGATGCTCTCACGCACATGGCTACGGGGAGTGACGCCCGATCATTCTGCAGCACTGTCTGTAAGCAGGGATACGTTCCTGTCGGCGTCGACGGCAGTGTCAAGGGTTGGCAGGAAGACTTCCTCAACGAGATTGGCTTGAGTGATATCTGTGAGGATAACTTCAAGCGAATGGGCGGTGTTGACAAAGTGGTACGATCATATCCCTCAAGGCATGAACTTGGCTAACACTTCCTCCTCCCATCTAGAACGGCCGCTACCTCACCGCCGGTGAGCTTGTCGGCACTCTCTCTGAAAAGGCTGGAGCCGATATGGGCCTCCCAGCAGGTATTGCAGTCGGCAGTGGTGTCATTGACGCCTACGCAGGCTGGATCGGAACTGTAGGAGCCAAAGTCAACCTCCGCGGAGACAGCCACCTAGACGCCGACAAGCCCAAGAACGACGTCTCCCAAGCCTTTACCCGATTGGCAGCGGTAGCAGGAACATCCACCTGCCATCTCGCCATGTCCGAGAAGCCGGTGTTTGTGAATGGAGTGTGGGGACCATACCGTGACGTTCTCATCCCCGACTACTGGCTCGCAGAGGGAGGGCAGTCGGCAACCGGAGAACTGCTCAAGCATGTTGTGGAAACGCACCCAGCCTTCCAAGAAGCCATGTCGGTAGCGGAGACGTTCAACGCCAACATCTACGATTACCTCAACGAGCATCTTGCAGAAATGCAAGAGAAGATCAACGCCCCAAGCATCTCCTACCTTGGCCGACACTTTTTCTTCTACGGCGACTTATTCGGCAACCGTTCCCCCGTCGCGAACCCCGACATGAAGGGCTCGGTGATTGGACTCAGCAATGATAAATCCATCGATGGACTGGCCCTGCATTACTACGGCACGATGGAATTCATCGCGTTGCAAACGCATCAAATCATCGAACAGATGAACGCTGCGGGACACGTCATCTCGAGTATCTTCATGAGTGGTTCGCAATGTCAGAACCCCGTCCTCATGTCTCTGATGGCCACGGCTTGCGACATGCCGGTCTTGATCCCACGGTACGTGCACGCGGCCGTGGTGCACGGCGCGGCGATGTTGGGTGTCAAGGCCGCGAGCACGGACAAGGATGGCAAGAGCGAGCCGCTTTGGGACATCATGGACCGGATGAGCAAGCCTGGAAAGGCCGTCTATCCCAACAAGGATGAGACGGAGAAGAAGTTATTGCAGGCCAAGTATAAGGTGTTTTTGGAGCAGTGTGAGCAGCAGCAGGGATACCGGAAAGATATCGATGCTGTGGTGGAGGGTTGGAAGAGATGAGCTGTTCCTCTCCGTGTTGGGTTAGGAAATGAATGATTATGATATAGAGAGAGATGAATTTATATGGGGTTTCTTATGTTGATACTTACCTGCCTCCCCTTGACATGACATATACTGCTTGACAATGTTCCCTTCCGTTTTACGCACGTAAACGTCGTAGTATATCTTTCATCAAGACAAGGATGCTAAGATGATTGGATGCAACCGAGGCTAGAGGTCCCATCTCCTCAACTTTTACCCGGAGCGGGCATTCATCTCACCATGCCCTGGATAGATAGAAACGTTCTCTCATCAAACTCCAGAATAATTCGAGCCGTCTGACTTATCGGTTCCAACACTTTCCTCCCGATATCTTTCTTTCGCAGAAGACTTAGATACATTTGAAGAGAGAGGAGTCCATAGAAATGGCATCAGAACCCTACTCCCTCACGCCCTCGACAGCGAATCCCCCTCGCAACAGCACAATTCTCATCACTGGCGGCGCGAGGTAAGACTCTCCTCAAATCAGATCTCCGATCAAAAATGTATAAACAGACGGAAGACACACATCAAAGTACATGACTAAATCGACCTTTACCATCCCAGCGGTATAGGCCTAGCAACAGCCCTCTACCTCCATTCCCCCGAATATTCCAACAACATCATCGTCCTGGACCGAGCACCTCACCCTCCCCCAAACGCGGAACAATTGACCACATCCCCGAGATTCCTCTACTGTCAATGCGATGTCCTGTCCTGGCCCTCTCAACGCACAGCGTTCCAAACCGGAGAACTCAAATTCGGGCGAATCGATTGCGTCTTCATCAATGCCGGCGTCGCAGAAATCGGAGATCAGATCTGGACCGACTCCTTCACTTCGGCGGGAGAGCTGGCCGAACCGGATCGCAAAACCATTGATGTGGACATTCGAGCCGTGGGGGATAGTCTCAAACTCGCCATGTTTCATTTACGGAAGTCGGGCGGGGGAAGTGGGAAGGGGAGGGGAGGAAGTATCGTCATGACGGCGAGTCTGGCGGGGTATTTGGCTTCGGCGGGCGCTCCGCTGTATTCCGCTGCGAAACATGGGGTGGTGGGGTATTTGCGGGCTTTGAAGGGGGATTGCAAGGCGCAGGGGATTGCGATTAGTGTGATTGCGCCGGGGATCACGTTGACGGGGATTGTGTTGGGGAGGAAGGAGGGGCAGAGTTTGGAGGAGTGGGGGAGGGAGATGGGTGGGTTGGGAGTTCCTATCAATTCCGCCGAGACGATTGGGTTGTGTGTGGGGAATTTGATGGGGTTGGGGGAGAGGGCGAATGGGAGGGGGATTCTTATTCAAGGGGAGACGTGTGTGGATGTTGAGGCCGGGATTGCAACGAGTCGCGAGCGATGGATGGGGAAGGAGATGTTGCGTCTGTTTCGCGGGGGAAGAAATGCCCCGTTGTTTCCCAATAAGCTGTGAAAGCAATGTCTTGAGGTATTATCATATCTTGTGGATGAGAGATGTCCAAACCTACCTGTACCTGACTACCTACCTACGTAGCTGTAGCTGTAGCTGCAAGGTACCTAGTACTAGTAGCTGTGAYTGTTATGTTTGCCTCACAAGACCTAGGCAGCAATCACACGCGTACGCCCTGAGCTGTCCAAAGAAGGTGCAAGGTCCAGAATCAGCGTCATGAGAACACTGTAACAACAACAACGACAACGACATCAACACCAACAACACCACCACCATGTCCAGCACTCCAGGCGTCACCATCTCGCCAACCGGCCAAAAGATCTTCATTCCGCTGGAGAACAATCCCGCTGTCTTCAGCGATCTGGTGCATCGTCTCGGAGTTTCCTCCCAACTCACCTTCCACGACGTCTACTCCCTCGACCTCATCCAAAGCATTCCCCGCCCGGCCCACGCTCTCATCTTGATCGCCCCGGCCCCCGTCTACTACGCGGTCCGCAGCAAATACGACGGATACCCTTCCACCCCGCCCATCACCTACAACGCCAGCGGACCGGCGAAACCCGTCATCTGGTTCAAACAGACCATCGGACACGCCTGCGGCCTTTACTCCCTCATCCACGCCGTCGGGAACGGTTCCGCCAAAGCCCACATCCACCGCGACTCCCTCCTCGACCGGCTCTTGCACTCCGCAATTCCCTTGAAGAGAAAGGAGCGGGCGGAGGTGTTGTACAATTCACAAGAATTGGAGGAGGCGCATATGGCGAGTGCGAGGATGGGGGATTCCCGCGCCCCGTCCAGTCAGGAGCCGGTGGGATATCATTTCATTACCTTTGTCAAGGGCGACGATGGGCACTTGTGGGAGTTGGAGGGTAGTTGGGATCCCCTTGATCGCGGCGAGTTGGGAGCGGATGAGGATGTGTTGAGTGCTAAGGCGCTGGAGGTGGGGGTGGGAAAGTACATGCGCGAGGCGGAAGTGGTGGGTAATGCCGAACTGTCCATTGTGGCTTTGGCGACGGGGGAATGATCTACAATCGTCTCGGGGGTATTGATTGGTAATGATAAATCCCCTAAGGACCTGTGACCGGTGAAAGAAAGATGAAGGCAAGTCGGTCGAAGCGGAGTGGTGTCCGAGAGAAGAAGATGCAGCTTTTCCCCACTTTTTGTACGAGGATTGGCGAGGTGGATGCTTACCTTAGGGTTGTTGAGCTCTCATTTCCCACACGGAATCCTTCGACCAACATCCCACACATCCACCTCGGTCAGAATCAACTTGCGTTGAAAGTCCTTCCTTCCTTCATCAGCAGAGTCGGCGTAAAAAGTATCATCATATCCAGTCTCCTCTCATCACCACCATCCCACCACATCACAATGACCCCAAAAATCTCATATCATCCAAACCACATTTCCGGCCATTCTTCCCGTCCTTCAAGGCATCCTTCAACCCTTCAGACTTCACGCCATCTCGACCCCTATTCCCATCTCAGGTACTCCACCTCAGAAAAGAAAAAAAAAAAGCCCTATCCACCGCCACACCCGTTGCCATGAACCAACCATCACACTATCCTGACCACTCACAATCTTCCATCTTGCCCATCCCTTCGCATGCCACACGCCACACGGCTCACCTTGACCGGTCGGTCTTGTCCCTTACGTCCTCTTCCACGCGAACAAAATGTTTCCACGTGCTGTGATAGCCATGCAGTGGAGATGAAGCAATCGTGCCGAACTCCGCTTCCACCGGTGAGAGAAGGGAAGCGAAGAGCAATGCGAAGCGAAGCATGCGGACCCCGTTGCTGTCTCTGCTCTATATACTTTGGTCTYGCAGATGCCACCGCGGATGTCTGTTTTCACCTCTTCCCTCTTCCATCCTTCTGTGTACACAGAGACTCTATTTTTGCGTGACTTTCGTGTCCGCGTCCTTTCATTGAATGCCAGCATAACAACACTCTTTAACCAACATCTCCCCTGACGCCTTCATTCATTCATTCGATATCCTTATTACGATAACAAGCAAGATGCTCTCCCTCGGCTTCCTAACAGCTGCTCTGCTAGCCTCCACCACAACCGCCCAATTCAACCCCCAATCCAAAACAAATGTCGCAGTCTACTGGGGTCAAGGCACCGACCAACTCCGCCTGATCGAACATTGCAAACGTCCCGCAGTGGACATTATCAACATAGGTTTCATTAACCAATTTCCCGGCCAGGGACAAAGTGGTGATGAACTTCCCGGTTCCAACTTTGGTAAGCAATCCCTCTCTCCAACGCAATGTCCCTCTCATACCCCCATCTAACATGCACATCTCTAGGAAACGCCTGCTGGGCAGACGTCTACACCAACCGCGCCGGCAAACCCTCCAAACTCTTCTCCCAATGCCCCACCATCGGCCCGGACATCATCGCCTGCCAACAAACCTACGGCAAGAAAATCTTCCTCTCCCTAGGCGGCGGCGCCAAACCCACCAACCAATACCTCCCCTCAGACGCCTCAGGCCTCGCCTTTGCCGATTTCCTCTGGTCCTCTTTCGGCCCCGTAAACTCCTCCTGGACCGGTCCCCGACCTTTCGGAAACGCAACCATCGACGGCTTCGACTTCGACATAGAATCCGACATTTCCACGCCCCTCCCTTCCAACGTCCCCAGCGATTACATGACACGCGGATACGTCTCCATGGTCAATTACTTCAAAAATACCCTCTTCCCACAAGACCCTTCCAAATCCTACTACCTCAGCGCCGCTCCACAATGTATCGTCCCAGACGCCCATTTCGCCACCGTAATGAACAACGCCTGGTTCGATTTCATGTTCATTCAATTCTACAATACCCCACGCTGTTCCGCTCGAGCAGGAATTAATCGTTCCAAAGGCATAGGACAATATGATATTTCCTTTGAAAGATGGACTACATATGCCACGACTCTGAATCCCAATATCAAATTTTTCATCGGTTTGCCCGGTGCCGCGGCTTCGGCTGTACAGGGGGATTATTTAAATCCTGGGGAGGCGCAATTTATTATTAAGAAGTTTTTTGGCAGGGCCAAGTTTGGGGGGGTTATGGTTTGGGAGGCTACGAGTGATTATCGGAATACGGTTTGTGGGAGGCCGTTTGGGGGGATGATGAAGGCTATTCTTAATGCTGTTAATCAGGGGAAGACGGTGGATACTGGGGCTTGTGGGGGGAATATTGCGAAACGGAGGGCGAGTAGGGCGGAGAGGTGGTTGGGGATTGGTGGTGGGGAGGAGGAGGTTTAGTGCTTGTTTTTTGTATAGTGATGTTGGATAGTCTGATTTCACCATCTGCTGGAATGGATGATCTTGCTCATCTCGTTGTTGAATGCTTGTCTTTGACAATCTTCATTATCGTGAGTTCTAAGAAATTGTCAAGCAATGGCATGGGATATCCTTTCTTCTCCCCAATGTACAACGTCCAACCCCAGAGGATAGACGGGACAAATACCAATCCTGTCTTCCTCTCAATCATCTTTTCCCAAAGATCCTCAAGACTCATTACCCATCATCCCATCGAGAAGACCCGACCAAAACTCCTCCTACCATGAAACCCTATCTCTACAGATCTATCCCTTACAACCCCATCACAGCAACAAACAAACACAATCCCCCAACTCCAAACTTGAAACCAAATCGCCCACTCCCCGCTCCCTCATATGCTACAATCCCCGAAGGCGTCCCCGATGAAGTAGCACTCTTCGTGAATGCCACACTCCCATACGCCGAAGACACAGCCGGAATAACAGTCGGAGTCACGCGAGATGTGGTGGAAGGAACTCCATATCCCAGTCCCGGCGCTGTGAAAGTACTTCCCGATTCYGTGATTGTGTGAGTGGTGATGAGGACTTGCGGAACGGTGATTGTAGTTATGATGGCAGAAGTTATGCTTGAGGAAGGAATCGTCGAGCCGTCTGAGGGATATGTGGCTGGGAGGGTTATGTCGTGCGAGTAGGTGATTGTTGTGCAGGGGATATTCGCTGCTGGTGCTGGTGTTGATGTAGATGTAGATCCCGGGTGGGAAGAGTTTTCTGGCGAGACTTCTGTACTGCTGGATTTGTCTGGCAGGGTAGCAGTGGTAATTCTCTCGGTGAGGGTGGATTGGAGCGTGATGGTGGATCGAGGGGTTATGGTTGAGATTAGGGATTCCGTTGCTGGTGCTGGTTTGTATGCTGCGGGCGTGATGGTCGATGGACAGCCTGTGATGATTGCGGGGTTTTCGGGAATGTAAGGGGCACAAAGACCCATGAGATAGGAGACGCCGTTGGTGGCATTGTCGGCGGATTGGCTCCAGGAGGAGAGACAGCCATAGACTTTGTTGATGAAGTCGGGGTGTTTGCAATCTGGGAGATGGTTAGCAGGGCCGCAAAGGGGAGATCTTGTGAGCACTTACAGCACTGCGAGTCGGAGTTGGAGGAGCAATCCGTCAGATACATCCAGGTATTCAAGCAACGTGGAAGGAGTGCTGGAGAGCTGGGTTCGGGCCCCGAGTAGGCTGGTGCTGATGGAGAGCTACTTTGGACTGTGGAAGATGGTGCTGATGCAAAACTACTCTGGACTGGATAAGATGATACCGAAGCAGAGCCACTTTCATTCGAAGAATATGACGCTGGTACAGAGCTCGTCCCTACTGGAGAAGATTCTTTGCCCGGAGAAGTGATCCTTGCGGTTGTGGTCGATATGGCGTACGACTTTGTAAGTGTGGTGATACTTCCACTGCTAGTGAGTGTCTCGCAACTCGTGCTGTATATCGTRCCAGTAGTGTAAGAGCTGTAGGATTCAATAGAGGTTACTCCAGCGGTCGTTGATGAGCTCTTAACAGTCGTTGATGAGCTTTGGGTGTATGCAGGAACTTTGTAGGTTAGACTGGTGTTGGTTGCCGGAATTGATGCACCAGTGCCATGGCTCGAATATGTTGGGATTCCTATCACAGGGACTGACGGTGATGAAGTAGTCTTGTCTGTTGCCGCTGAAGTCTCGCTGGTTGAAGTCGTGCTTGGTGTGGAGGAAGTGGAGTCTGAAGCTGGGCCTTCCACAGGAGAAGTCTCTCGACTGGTGGCGGAGCTTGATGTGCTTTCAGAAGTAGTAGAGCAAGATGCGCCATAACCTGAGACACACGATGAAGTGGTTCCCCCCGAAGCCGTTTCGCTGGTCGACGATATAGTGCTTGATGTAGTCTCGCTGGTCGATGATACAGCACTCGATGTGGTATCATAGCTCAACGAAGCATCGGTAGTAGACCCATAAATAGGCGCGGTCTCTGTCGTAGTTACAGATGTGKACTCCGCGGATGTGTCGCTTTTGCTGCTGGAAGGCGATGTGTATGGTGTGGTATCTGTGGTGATTTCAACCTCACTCGAAGTAGAGCTAGTCGTTGCGTATGTCGGCGGCGAACTAGATCCATATGCAGGTATACTTTCGGTTTTGGATGCCACAGGAGCAGTACTGGAAGGCGCACCGCAGTTGAAGCCAATGCTGTGAACTCCAATGTTGCATCCTTTACCTTTGAAGCTTTCCACGGGCTTGAAAGTGACCGATTTGGCTCCGYCGCACTGTGAGTTTTGGATGACTGTGCCGCCAGATTTACATGAGTGGTATTCTTTGCAAACAGTCTTGTCCGGCATCTCATAATGACATTCAATGTCTGCATCCTCGCTTGAGGATACCTCATACTTGTCAATGGACATGTGATCTTCACCATCGCATCCGATGGAGGGCTCGTCGTCGAGGTTCGCGGAGATGCACTTTGATTGGAACGATCTCTTGGTCAAGAGATCTCGCTTCCCAAAGGAGTTCCGACAAGACCATTTGGAGAATTTGTTACTTCCGTAATTATCGAATGAACCTGAAGCCAAGTCTTTCCAGTCATAGCCTTTCGTTTGGTCTGGCGAACATTTGTTGTCTGTGTTATCGGGAGTGCTGTAGTGGGAATCCCCTCCCCAGCCTCCATATCCAAAAGTGGCCGTGGCCGTATGGAAGAGCAGGCCAGTGACGATAAAGGCGGATTTGGTGAGCATAATGAATGTTGATACTCTTGCTGTGGATAACCGACTTGAATCTGTATTGCAGATGTAACGAGAGACAGTGGCCAGCCACCTAGAATTACAGAAGAACGAGAGAATGGGATAACGAAAAAATGCCACAAATGAATGGGGGAGAAATCTGACGCTCCTCTATTGATATAGCAGGTAGCTTTACGACCCGGGYGATGCTTCCACGAGCGAGGCGTCTCTCTCACACTCCCGTCCTGGATGCTGGCCGGTCTCATGCTGGCACTCTAGAGGACGTGCGTCGCGCCGTCGCCATGGTAGGAACGCTGGCGGCAATGTTGGACTCGCTCTGCATGTTTAGGAATAGAAGATGCGGCGTCCAGAGAATGCGATGCTATGCAGGCCATGTCAGGCCCAACCCTGGTACGAAAGCATGCCTTGTTTCAGCAGGCTGTAGTCTGCAACACGATACGGGCGTATTGATGTCAAGAGCTTGCTCGCTCGTGCCATTCGGCGCCAATGAAGCACTTGCTCGAAGGGTTGCGGAGCAAGATTGAGAGCGGCTCGATGTTGATTTGCTGTCTGCCGTTGAGTGGGCGGCAAGCTTTCCGAGGACTCAACCCCAGCAGACCGTTTCCGCGGCCAACATGCAGAGAACGATTTTGAATCAGAGAGAATAAGTCGGGTGTGTAGCAGAGAACGAGAGGAACATGCAGCGGCAAGAGAATAGAATGTGGAGAAGGGCGTCGAGTCGAGAGATGTGATTGGTCGAGCAGCATCACTCTGCAACACCAGCGCTTCGGAGCCGACATTCTACACTTCTGGACTCACATATTAGAGTAAGCGCTCAATGCATGCTAGTATAGGTAACATCATGGATGATAACCCTGCGCATCACGGGGAAATCTGCTACTCTGCATTCGGGACGCCGCCTGATTAATAGCTTCATATGCGGCTACGAGCTGAGAATGATCCATACGACGCGTCGTCAAGGTCGCCTGAGCTCATGAGTTGACTGACCGGCTTCAAGGCAAGCGCAGATTTACTGACTTCGGACATGTGGTTGACGGGAGCGATTGTTTCCTTCTTCTTGGGTCGATCAGTAATACACAGATACTCCGCAAGGCATGACTTTCGGTGAACATGCGGCCTCTGATCGCAAATGGTGCGGCGCAAGAGTTGTTGAAGTACGAGCTCCGAAATTCTCAATTGGACGCGATTGTAATGGCAGCGTCCTGGGCCTGGGCCTGGGCCTGGATAGCTCCGACCACTATTCGTGCTGGACCTCTGCTCGCTTCTTGGTGTTGACCATATTACGGTCGGCGTGCCAAACCGATCAAGGGTGCAATCCATCCACGATATCATGATATTAAGTTAGTGTGCTCTGCATCGTGTCGACGGTCGACTCGCACGGTCGAGGCTGGAGATGGAGGCGGTGGTGCTGAGACTGGAAGAGGAGGCGGAACGCGTGAAGAAAGACGTGTCTCGTCCCAGCACAGACCACTTTCGGCCTCTGTAGTTTGATCTTGCCTTGCCGGCAAAACAACGACCACTTTCCTTTACCACAACATCACACTCTTTTCGTGCTGTGTAAACATTGGATACAAGCTCATTTATGCCGCGTACCAAGTCGGGATCCTGGCTGACATTCAGCTATCGCTACGACGAGCTGAAGAGGTCTGCAATGATGATCCAATTCCAGTCCATATCGTATCCGGCCTCAAATTACTTGGACGGGTTTGCTGCCGCCCGCATGATCTTCTGAGGATCTCAGGTGGCATGTTGTGGAAGGAATGCTTGGGAAACACTTGGATTTCGGTGCCTCTGTCCGGGTGAGGCCACCATCTCTTGCGTCCGGTCATCAGTCCTCGAGTGCGACCGGTGTCGTCTGCAATTGCCTGCGAAGCTCGTCAAGATATATAAAGGACGTGATGATACCTGGAGGTATGCATGCTTGGTATACACCCTTGACATACACGCTTCGATTCTCGCCCGGTCATCTGCGAGTCAAGGACTGCGTAGCAAGCTGTCCCGAAGGGCTTTGCTGCTGCAGAACGCACTCACGCACGCCCATTGTGGGCAGTGCCATGCCAAACAATCGCAACAGTGAGAGTATTGATTCTCGACAATCTGAGAAACGCAAACGACGGGAGCTCGTGTAAAAGTGGGGTCCATCGAGCAACGTCATACGCTTGTACAGCGAGCGTATTGTGCTCTTCTCTTTTCCATTCAGTTTTCTCACATATCAACACTTTTTCTCTTCTATCTTACATCTCAAAATGTCACCTTCGCTCCCAGCAACACAAAAGGCCCTCAAATGCTTCGGCCCCAAGTCGGCCAAAGTCGTCAATGATGCTCCCATCCCAACATGTCCTGATGACTACATCTTGGTGAAAGTCGAAGCAGTGGCTTTGAACCCAACTGATTGGAAGCATATCGACCTGATCGCAAAGCCGGACTACCATCATACCGTCGGCTGCGATTAMGCCGGGACTCTAGTCTCCATTGGATCATCTGTTACCAAGAAGTTCAAGGTAGGCGATCGGATTACTGGCTTTGCACATGGAAGCAAACATGAAGATCCAGAATCCGGCTGTTTCGCCGAGTACGCAAAGGCCAAGGGTGATATAACAGTGAGTAGTGCTTGTAAGCACCCAGGCGCCGATCTGCATGTACTAAACTTGTGCAGATCAATATCCCGGACGGCATCAGTTTCGAAGAGGCCGTCACATGGCCCACAGGAATCAATACAGTAGGTCAAGGCATGTATTCTCATGATGGCCTCCAACTTCCCTGGCCGAACAGTCCTTCCACAGAAAAGTTGCCGGTCCTGATTTACGGAGCATCAACAAATACTGGTCTTTGGGCTGTCCAGTATGCGAAGCTCAGCGGCCTACGGGTATTGGCGACGTGCTCCGAGAAGAACTTCGAGGCTGTGAAAGAACTAGGTGCAGACGAGCTCTTCGACTACCGGGATGAAAAGTGTGGCGAGAAGATCAAGGAGGCTACAAAGGGCCAGCTTAAGTACGCCTTCGATTGTGTGTCTGAGGGAAACAGTAAAGATGTGAGTCCATCATTCCAGAGGAACTCTTCAACGAACTTGCAACTGATCGACGCGGAAACATAGATCTGTGCAGCAGCCCTTAGCAGCGAGGCGGGAGCACGATACGGCGCTCTGCTTCCCGTCGAGTTCCCTCGCAGTGATGTCAAGACTACCTTCACACTCGGATACTCCGTCAATGGCGAAGAGTTTTCGTTCTTTGGCAACAAGATCGAAGCCAAGCCGCAGGATTTCGAGTTTGGTAGGAAGTGGTGGTCGTTGGCAGAAGATCTGCTTCGGGATGAGAAGATCAAGGGTACCCCGACTGTGAGATCCGGAGGACTGCAGGGTGTTCTTGAGGGTTTCGAAGATTTGAAGAATGGGAGAGTTAGTCGGCAGAAGCTGGTTTACCGTGTACAGGATACGGCTTGATGGTGAGGCGGAATTTGATGATCAGGGTTAGGGTTGGGGTACTGCCAATGGCCATCTTACAGAGTATACGACCTACTTCGAAGTCTGCAGCGCACTTGTCACGAAAGGGAGGTTATGGGTATTCAAATTCGTCCCAGGGTAAATCATGCCATGGTAAACTACTGGAACTTTTGAGTCAATACGAGCATTCAATCGGCCGTCATCTACGCCGATGACCACGCATGCCCATAACCCTCCATACCCACAGAAGCACGCAATACAACAGAGATCCTCCAAACAAACATCAAAAATCATCGTAACCGCCCAGACTGCACTCATAACTCAATAACATAAAAGGAATCCCACGCTAAAACATCTCCACTCCGCCACTCCATCGCTCTCTGGCCCTTTCTACCAATCCGCGAAAGCAGGGATTTCCCCAGCAGATTGACCCATCGGACCATGTTGCTGCCGAGCAGCACTGTGCTCCGCATCATCAAGAAGATGCTTGAACTTGCCCACAAAGCCCTCGTAACGTCGCATGTGGTCAATATCGTGCGCATCAAGACCCATGCCGCCAGCAATAGAGTTCGACGCTTCGGACAGTTGCAAACGCTCAATTTTGGCCAATCTGGTACCTTGCACACTCTTGGTGGCCGCACGAAGAAGGTCGTCGAGTTGTTGACGATTGAGAGCTTCATCGATGGCGTTCATGCGAGCGACGAGTTGGGGATGGGATTCTTCGGATTCCGGGTGGCGATCAATGCCGCGAGCGAAGCAGACGACTTCGAGTTCGCTGCGGGTCATGATGCTGCGAGGGTTGAAGAGAGAGTCCTCGGTGATGATGGCATTGCTGCCATCGGTGACAGTCAGAGTAGTCTTGGGTGAGGCTTTCTTCTTGGGAGCGGGAACTTTCTTGCCTGCCGGGGTGCGGGTTTCATCCGTGCGCTTCACACGTTTCTTGGGCGGCGCATTGTTCTTAGGCGAAGAAGCGTTCTTGCTCATTGGGGAATTCTCCTCCTCGTCCGTGTCGTACAGAAGGCCTCCAACTCGAACCAACTTACGCTTCCGCTGGGAATGGGCAGTGGCACGGCGCTTGAGGGTGGCAGTAGCCCGAGCAGGACTATCAAGTTCGCCGTCGAGAGATCCGTGGTCCAATTCGGGATCGGAACGATCATTCTCACTCTCACCGTCGGCATCGTCGACTTCTTCATCATCGGTGAAGTCGGCTTCCTCCTCGTCGCTCTCCAGGTCATCAATGGCCTCACTCTCTTCATCAGAGTCGTAATTGTTCTTTCCCTTTTGCCCGGACCGGCTTGATGGTTTGCCGTTCAGGTCGACACCCATGATCTTCTTGTAGATCTCTTTCTCCCTCCGATTCTTCTCCATCTCCCAGTCGCGCTCGATGCGCATGTGGTTCAGAATTCGGAGGCGTTCTTTCTTGGCGCGCTCGCGATTGATGATGCGCTCATCACGGATCCGCAGGCGTTCTTTCTTCTCCGCGATCCTCTTCAATTGAAAAACGACCTTGATCTGGTTCGCCTCTGCAATGGCACGCTTTCTCTCCATAGTCTTGGCTTTTCTGCGCGCCTCCAGCTCCGTCGCCTTGTTGGCGGCAGCAATACGTGCAGCTTTTGCAGCCTTGATCCGCTCCTCGCGCATCTTCCGACGTCCAGTCTGATCATGATCAAGCTCAATGGGAGGAAGTTCGGTGCCGGCGAGGATAGCTTCGTAACGCTCACGACAAGCCTTGTGAGTGTACTTCTTCTTTCCTCCAAGTTGGCCAGCGAAGAAGGAAGAGACGTCCTTCCACATCTTCTGCTTCATTCTCTCGATATGACTGTTGAGCTTCGTCTCCATGGCCTGTATGATTGGGATGAGTTTGCCATCCTGAGAAGAGTTAGCTACGTCATACTCCACAGACTGTCGTCGACGTACCTCGCCCTCATGCCAATCGCTCAGCTCATCATCAAGCTTCTCATCTTCCTCGTCCTCGAGAACTTTGCGCAAGCGGAGATAACGACTGCCGATCGTCTTGCCGACATAGCGAATGCGACCTTCCYCGACGAGTTTGGCAGCGACGTATTCATCAGAGTGACCCAATTGCTTGAGCTCGATGATGCGGCCATCATCAGAGTCATAGTTCGCGGTAACTGGCTTGGCAGTCGGCGCAATACCGCCAGCAACGCGCATAGAACGCCTCTTGCTTTTGCTCGTGGCGAACTCCTTGGTTTGTGGATTGTAGTACTGTTTGAACAGGTTAGAGACCTTTGCAATAGAGGGGTGATGGCACAACCGCACGGAGAGCGGAGACTTACGTCAAGGTCTCGATCGGAGACTTCGGATGGATCCACGTCATCGCCATCGCTCAAAGCGGCGACCTCGAGTCCATCTGCAATGCGCTGATCGCGGCCTGTGAGGAAATATCAGTGTGCACTCTCCCCAGCGGTCGTCTGTATTGACAGTAGAACATCCTCCCGCCTAGCAACGTCGCACGTATTCAAAATGAGACCTACCAGTGTCGCCTTGAACCGGCTCATCATCCCAGAACATTTCCATCGTGTCGACCGTGGTGTGCACAGCCAGGTGCGGGCGGAAGAAGTTCACTTGTGTCGTCCAATGGCAGTGCCTTGTTTGCTCGTGCTGAAGCGACTGTGGGTTGGCTGAAGCCAGAGGATGTTTTGGACAGCTTTGCGGCCACAAGAAAGCCTAGGCGGGGTGGTGCGAGTCGCGGCGAAACCCCGGAACGTTCAGCTGAAAACGCTTTGGTAATTTGTGACTCTCGAAGATGGATGTTATTGTTGGAGGTAAGGTGAGCAGATCATTGGCACAGTGCTTCGTGTGTTGACGGAGATGAGTGTGAAGAGGGTGAGTCAAAGGGCGTTTGGAGACGAGAGATGGCAATGCTTTCCTTGTGAACAAACAAGCGCAGCATGATAACCATGAACAAAGTGGCAAGAAGATGCCCACTTACAGGGGGAAATCACATTAGCCAGTCGCTCCTACGGATTTTGTTCGATGGCCAGCGGTGCGATATCGTGAAACTTCTCACAAGCGATGCACTTCCGCCCGCGTCAGAACAATCGATAGAGGACGTCTCGAAAGTGTGTGGAACCACCGAGCCGCTTCGTCCTACGACATTGCATCCTGATAGCCAGATCATCCGGAGACCCGATGCTTCAAATGGGCGGAGAAGCGGCTCAATGCCCTTACCACTGTTGGGTTGAATTTGAACAGCAATGGGTCTGAGATGGCTCATAGATGTTCATCATCCCTTCTCATACGACTCTACGCTTTGTAGGCGTACAAGAGGCGTAATACACACCAAACATAGCATGCAACACGCCGATAGTACTCGCATTGCGAAGATGTAGTTGCTCCATTCTCTCCTCGTAAAGTTCCGCCCATGCTGACGGACAGCAGGCAAGATGAATGACATGGTCCCTCAGAACGAGACGTGATCCATTATACTCGCGACTAAATTGATGGCACAGTGGCCGATGATGTTGTCGAGAGCTTTCAAGCAAGCGAGAGGGTCAGGAGAGAGAGGTGAAGTCTGGCCGCCAAGATCCCAGCGGCCCCACTCCTCCTTGCGACCCCGGCCATCGTTCGTGCTCCCACCAAGTTTGCCCGCCTTCAAGTGACGTATGAAGGCAACATCTGACAGCTCAAGGTAAAGCAGGCTAACAAGATAACAGCGCTGGTGGCGCTGTAAAGACCACTCATTGTCGTTGAGGTAGGTCGCTTCTTTCCTTCATTGTTCTTGCAACAAAAACTCAACAACCTCAACATGTCATCCTACTTCACCCTGCCGTCGTTTGCGCGAGCAAAGAAGAACCAGGAAGAGCTGCAAAAGAGCAACCCACAGAATCCAGTGCTCAAAGACGAAGACGAGAAGTTCCTCGAGAGACAGATATCGACCGACGAAGCCGCGACAATCGCTGMCGCTATACCAGTAACGAAAATCGACGACAATGGTGAAGAAAAGCCCGCGTCCCAACGCGAGCTGGACAGCAATGCATCAGACCAAGTCGTGATTCCTGCAACTCAGCCAGAAGCAGGCTCTGAAGTGAAGAAGGAGGCGAAGAAGAACAAAGCATTCGAGCTACCGAGTCAAGAAGAGGCCGAAGCCGCAACCCGATCATGGAACGCGCAGGCCAACGTGGATGAAAAGGGCGATACCACAAATGAAAAACGTACTTGGGCATCCTACCTGCCATCATCTCTCCACAAGGGAGATGTCCCAACCAAGGAAGAGGAGCAGGGACAAAAGCAGACCTGGGCAATGTATGCTTCACAATACGTCCCATCTTCCGCTACAACCATGCCAAACTTGCCTACGATCCCTTCCATCCCTCCTATTTCTTCGTGGTACAAATCCAAAGACAAGGACGCCAAGCAAGAGCCTGTTCTCAAGGAAGACGGAACTGTCGACGAAGCTGCCACGAAAGAGAAGCAGGAGAAGGAGGTGTCTGTCCTGCTCGACAACCTCAACATGGCCAGCATCAACAACACCGTCTTCGCGGTGTCGAGCGAGACACACAAAATCTATGAGCGTTTCGCTTTGGTATTGAAGGATACCATCAATGGTGGCCCAACAGCATACGAAGACATGGAGAAGTTGATGAAGGACGCTGGCCCTACCTTGGAGAAGCAGTTCAACTCAATGCCGCCATTTGTGCAGACTCTGGTCAAATCATTACCCGCCAAGCTGGGCACGATGACAATAGGCCCAGAGCTTCTTGCTGCCGCAGGTGGGAAGCCAGGGAATGATATGAAAGTCCAGATGGATGCGAAGAACAAGTCGACCGCACCATCAAAGGAGACCGACGCAAAGAAGAAGAAGAGAACGATCCCTGGATTGAAAAGCTTGATCTCCAAAGAAGGTGCAGTGGCAACCATCTTGCGCAACACCGTACAATTCCTCACCACTCGATTCCCATTCCTGGCCTCAACAACCAATGTGGTCATGTCACTCTCGGTATTCAGTAGGTGAATCTCGTTCTCATGATACGRTTTGCTGCTAACATCTCTAGTCCTCATGTTCGTCTTCTGGTACTGTCACAAACGTGGTCGTGAAGCTCGGCTCGCAAAAGAAACCGAAAGCGAGAAAGACGGCGCGGTTGACGGTGCCGACGATGACGAGATTGTCGAAGTAGAGTCTACTGACGAGGAAGATGTGTATTCGAAGAAGACTGAAGAGCTGCTCAACCAGGCAGATCCAGCTTCTRTGCCTCTTCCCGAACCGAAGGAAGAGGAAAAGAAAGCCGTGTGATGTGGCGATGGGGACCTCTGTTCATGATGAATTCATATTAGACGATAGCTTTGAAGGACGAGATGAGTCTGGCGAATACAGTAGCATATATACCCGACAGAACAATGAAAGACAGTGCTTTCCATGAACCATGCATGATGGGACGGTGGCGGGGGAATGCATAGCACGTGAAAATGACGTGTGAGAATATCGCGTGGAGCGTAGTGGATGCGGTGATTGCGCCTCGAACGATCTCCCAGCTCTTCCTTGGTGTAATAAACCTGGAACCCCTCGCCAAACACACGACGCTTCTGATCTCAAACCTACGCCTGACCTACTTTCCGAAACCGCGCCTGTTCCTCAAGCCATCTCACTTGACCTTCCCTCGATCTGTGCCTCCAACCCAAGACCCTTGACTACGTTCGCCCCACTCTACTTCTCCCCGAGATTCAAAAGATACCGCGACGAGCAACAACAAACATGTCTTCCGAAGAGGGCTCCGCGGTGCCAGCACAGCAGTAAGTCGCAGTGGTGGTCGAAGCATGCCGCGCAAGAGACGAGTCAACTGACCTCGACGTTACAGGAAGGGATCATGSACAGGATTTCTCAAGCAACTCGCGAGCTTCAATGGCGACCTCAGCACGATGACTGCCCCGGCCTGGATCGTATCGAACACGTCCCTCACCGAGTTCTCTGCATACTGGGCAGAAATGCCAGGCCTGCTTGTCGCACCCGCTTCCGAAAAAGATCCCAAGAAGCGTATGGCGTTGGTATTGAAGTGGTTTCTCAGCACACTGAAGCAGCAATACGCCAGCCGGAACGAGAAGTTGGGAAGTGAAAAGAAGCCTATCAACCCGTTCCTAGGAGAACTTTTTGTGGGAAAGTGGGAGGATGCATCAGGCGAGACCAAGCTCGTAAGCGAGCAGGTTTCACACCACCCTCCAGTGACTGCATACAGCATCTGGAACAACAAGCACGGAGTTCGTCTGCAGGGATACAACGCTCAAAAGGCCAGCTTTGGCCGGACCATCAACGTTCGCCAGGTCGGCCACTGCATTTTGCACATTGATGAGTTCAACGAGGACTACATCATCACTCTCCCTGCTCTACATATCGAAGGTCTGATTCGAGGCTCGCCTTACGTCGAGCTCAACAAGAGCAGCTACATTGTATCGTCATCGGGCTACAGTGCGCGCGTTGATTACTCCGGAGCTGGCTGGGTCTCTGGTGCTAAGAACTCATTGAGTGCCATCGTATACCCACACGGCAAGGAGAAGAGCAAGAGCAGTGTCATCTACACCGCTGAGGGTAGCTGGACCGACAACTTTGTCATCAAGGATGCGAACAAGAACCCCGTTGAGACCTACGATGCGAAAAAGGAGCCAAAGACTCCTCTCCAGGTGGCACCTATCGAAAGCCAGGATCCACTCGAGTCAAGGAGGGCATGGCAGAACGTGAGCAAGGCAATTGCCGCTGGAGACATGAATCTACTGTCAGTTGAAAAGTCAAAGATTGAGGAGTACCAGCGCAACCTACGAAAGAAGGAGTCGAGCGAGGGACGAGAATGGCAGCGCACTTTCTTCACCAAGGCTAACAGCCTTCCTGCTTTCGAGAAGCTGATCAAAGAGGTACCCCACGGAAGCCTGGTAAGTGCCTACGAAGAGATCTAGCTCTGGAGCCTTACTGACAAAACTCTTACAGGAGCAAGATCAAACCGGCGGGATCTGGGTGTTTGACGAGAAGGCAGCCGACAAGCGGGCGCCTTTCAACCCGTTGAGCGAGCAATTGAAGGACGGCTGGAAATGAGTGGCTTGATTTTCATGGACAAGCTGATGCATGGCATCTATTGGAAGCATTTTACAGCAAGTGATGGGAGCATCTCGATGAGTCTCCTGATTGGGCAGATGACATGAGCGTAGCTGTTTCCGCCAGCAGAGCGGTAGTGAATATACCTGGCATACCCTGTTTTGACCATCTCTCGCAAGACGTTATGCCTTCTGAATCCTCTATTGTACTCTTGAAATCACCATCACATGATATTGGACTGAGTGTGTACATGTATGCGTGAGCACCAGGGGTTCAAAGCCCATGCAACGGTATCGCACCTGCCAAAAGTTGTGCCATCTCCACATCGCACATTTCTGGCCAGACCAGTGCAAGCTGGTGCTCGACTTCATCCAAACTCCCTTTGACTCGCATCATCTCTTTGCTGACTAGACGGATGCCGCTTCCAATGTATCAATGAGCTYGAATTTCGACGACAATACCCTCAAGAACCACCCCCCGCCGCGAAGAAGCACGAGGGCACTGCGAAACTCCGAGCAGCAACAGCAGCAGGTCCCTCGGCGCGGTCCTGCGCCCATCACCACCAATTCACTGCCGGCGCGCAGCGAGTCGTCACCCTTTTCGCCGCCGACACATTCCACCCCAAGCTTCACGTCCGCTGGCTCGAGTGCTATCGGCCCCGGCATCTCACGTCTTGCGCGGCACTCGCCATCACTCTCATCCACCGTCGGATCCCCAGCTTCCTCGACCGGATCGCACGGGGGGCTTGCCAGCTTGCTCACCACCCAGCTACATATCCTATTATCAACACTCAAGGAGGGATCGTCGCTGGAGACGCAGAGACTGAAGATCAAAAAGCTTCTAGATGATAGCGGCATGGAGATGTTCTCACAATTCTTCGGCCGGCTTCTCCAGACCAATGCGGCCACCATCTTCTCTGGCGCGCCCAAGAACAGAGATAGCTATCCCGTCCTAGTAGCGGAGGTGGAAAAGCTTGCGGAGGATCCTGAACAGGCCGACAAGATAGCACAGTCACTCGAGGGTGATTTTGAACTTGCGGGCTTTATCCAGCACTTTTCCCTCGAGCCAACTGCTAAAGCTTCACTCTTGACCTCACTTCGAACGCTGGCTTCCAAGCCCGAGCTGCGCGCAAAAGGTATGCATCTGATGATTTCCATCCTTCCATGCCTTTCACACAACGCTAACACGTGCTCCTCTCCAAGCCGACGCACAGCTCTCCGCAAGCTTCCAATCCTTCATCACGACAGTTGTGGACACTGAGCACGACATCTCACCGCTCGTGCTCGCTGCAATTGTGGAACGCCTCATCAAATCTCCAACGAGCGACGACTCACAGCGCGAGAATTTATTCTACGCGATCCGAGTGCGCTACATCACACACCTCAACACGCGAGTACCGCCACCCGTCGAATCGGCCATGTTCCTCGACGAGCTATTGGCGCCGACGCCAGAGAACCGGCTTGCAAAGCATGTGGAACAGCTAGGACCAAAAGTGACGGCGAGTGCAGAGGCGTGCAAGGACATGCTGGCTGGTGTGGAGACTRGAGATATTTCCTTCTCACAAATCGCCAATGCACTGCTGCTGATGGTCATGGCTCAAGATGGAAATGCATTTGACCCGGGCGTGTTTGTGGAGGCAGTGAGGCAGCACCGAGCGGGGCAGAAAATCGACTGGACGGATGTGGTGGCCGGATTCGACAAGGAAAGCCTCAGGGTGACGAAGAAGCAGTTCCTCTCGCTCTATAACGCGCTTCTGCCGCTTGCCAGAGAGTATGCAAACTTCGACATCCAGACGTTGTGGGGCTCCACGCGATGGACATACGAAGAGACACAGCTGAGCTTCGTGGTCGCCTTCCTTTCAACCACACCAGAAGAGCTGGATGTCATGCAAATTCCGAATCTGCGTCAAGCCTTTGACCTGACCGACTTTGCGGATGCATCAGACAGCGTGCGTGCATTCGCCGAGCAAGCCATCAAGCACCCTTTGGTATCGCGGGATGCGATTGAGTCGCTGTTCAACATGATCTTCCGATCTCAGGAGACCTACAACCTCGCACAGTCGCTTGGGATTCCAAACACCGTCATCAACCAGAACATGACGATCTTTGTGTGTGCTGCGTCCGCCGTGCCAAAACCATGGGTAGCGTTGCAAGATCAAGCACTGAAGCAGCTCTTCTACCCATTTCTGTTAAAGCAACACGACAATTACGACTTCGTAATGCATTCCTTATGGCAGCACGATAGGAACTGGCTTGCCCTGAGGATGCTCGAGTTCTACAATTCAGACCCGATGTTGCTTTCCTTCATCTTCGACCACGCGTTGGAGCACGGATGGCTGGAAATATTGCTTGATACTACTCAGCCTAGCGGCTTCGCGGTGGATCTAGCAATGTACGCTCACGGAAAGGGACACTGCAATCTGGATGAATGGGCCCAGCAGCACATTTCGCTATATGGCCTGGTCAACTTTGCCCGCGCAGTGGCGGACTTCCTCAAAAGCAAAATGGATGATGAAGCTCTGGTGCAGCGCGAGAGCTCTGCACCATCGACACCCGGATTGGATGTTAAGACCGTCCATACCCTGCTGCGACTGATCACCGATGCTGTTCCGGAGGAAAACCTTGGGCCCATGTCCAGGACGTGCATGGCATTGTACCCACGACTCTTCAACTACGGCCAGGACCCCAGGCGTGACTCCGTCATTGACTCTAACGGTCAGCAAGGCAACCACCTTTCCGAGGACGCGACCAGGGAGATGGAAGAGCGTTACAAGAAAATGTATGGTGGCAACATCACCCCAGATACACTTGTCGCCGATCTAAACCGGCTCAAGATTTCGGAAGAACCCAAGGACCAGGAGCTCTTTGCGGCGATGCTGTATGGCTTGTTTGAAGAGTACAATTGCTTCGGTGAATACCCAAACGAAGCTCTCGCTACCACGGCCGTGCTATTTGGCGGACTTGTGTCCTACCATGTTCTCTCCGGCCTGGCTGAGCAAGCTGCTCTTAACATGATCATCGAAGCAGTATCAGAGTACGGCCCTGAGGATCCAATGTACAGATTCGGGCTCCAAGCGTTGCTTCATGTGCTACCCAGGATTAAAGAGTGGCCGCGCGTAGTCGAGCAGATCCTCAGCATCCCGAGCTTACGAGGCACCGCTGCGATCCCTGCGGCTGAGCAAGCCCTAAAAGAACTGGCGCAGAATGCTGCACTCAACGGTGATGGCGCGAATGGCATCACCAACGGCGTTCTTGATGATGAGTTCTTGGACGACTCCACCCCTCTTCCCTTCTCTGCCATCCGGGTCGACCCACCATCCGAGGAGGGATTCTACGAGGACCCTGATGAGGATGTTTCTGACAAGGTCATGTTCCACCTCAACAACGTGTCCAAGCGCAACTTTGACGACAAGTTCAAAGAGATCGAAGAGCAGCTCGAAGACAAATACACCCAGTGGTTCGCGCATTACCTGGTGGAAGATCTGGCCAAGTCTCAGCCGAACTTTCAATGGCTCTATTTGCAAATCCTCACCAAGCTCAACAGGAAGGAGCTGTGGACTGAAATCATGCGAGAGACGTACATCAGCTGTGCCAAGATGCTCAACTCGCAGTCGACCATGGACAATCAGCACGAACGGGCGACGATGAAGAACCTTGCTGGCTGGCTCGGCTCGATCACCTTGGCGCGGGATAGGCCCATCCTCCACCGCAATCTTTCCTTCAAGGACCTTCTCATTGAGGGATACGATAGTCAACGCTTGTTGGTGGCGATTCCCTTCGCGTGCAAAGCTCTTTTCCACGCCGCTCACTCGAAGATCTTCAGGCCACCCAATCCTTGGATCACGGAGCTGCTTGGCCTTTTCAGTGAACTGTACCACTTCATGGATTTGAAGTTGAACATGAAGTTTGAGATTGAAATGCTGTGCCGTGAGTTTGGCGTCGACATCAAAAAAGTCGAGCCGCTGGAGATTATCCGTGGCCGACCGACGCTCGAACAGATCGCCATGCAGCAGTACATTCCCGAAGGTGACCCCAACGCCTTTGGCGACATGGCACTCATGGGTCTCTCAAAGCGCGGACCCAACGAGCGGTTCTCCCCGGATGCCGTTATTCAAGCAGTGCCAGATCTTGGCAATGTGCTTCAAATTCCACAGGCTGTTGGCAACATCGGTCAGCAGCAACTCCGCAGCATCTTTGTCAACGCGGCGCAACAAGCAATCTATGAGATCATCGCTCCCGTTGTCGAACGATCTGTCACGATAGCATCGATCTCCACCTCCGAGCTCATCCAGAAGGACTTTGTCACAGAGGCTGATGAAGCGATCATGAAGGCTAGTTCCCATATCATGGTCAAGGCTCTGGCTGGCAGTCTTGCACTCGTTACCTGCAAGGAGCCTCTCCGCATGAGCATCACGAACAACATCCGCATTCTCGCCTCTCATAAGTTGTCTGAGCAGCTTCCGGAGGGTCAGATTCTTATGTTCGTTAATGACAACATTGACACGGTCTGCAGTCTTGTTGAGCGTGCGGCCGAAGAGCACTCCCTATCCGAGATTAACCTGCAGCTCGAGCAGGCTCTGGATGTTCGCAGGGCGCACCACGAGCTAAGGCCAAACGAGCCGTTTGCTGCAAATGGAACCCCGAACCGCTGGTCAACTCTGATTGCCGAGCCGTTCCGACAGGATGTGGCAGGACTGACCAGACCACAGCTGGCTTTGTATGAGGACTTTGGTCGTCAAGCACGGCAGGTCCCGTCGACACATACCACCAACGGATCTCAAGACAGCAATCGCCAGTTGCCCGATGTGCTTTCAGAAGGCTACCTGCCCACTCTGCCGACACCCGCGGAAGCTCCAGCAATGCCACGACCAGCCCAACAGCAGCGTCCTCAGGGCATGCAATCTGCCCAAAACCAGCATATCAACGGCTACCTCGACAGTGGCAACGTTCTTCAGCGAATCTTTGCGTTCATGGACGAACTCCAGCAGAGCTCTCGAGAGGCCACTGAAGAGCACATCAGTGATATTGGAGAAGGTGCTCCAATTCGTCGCATTTATGGACAGTTGGTTGGATTGATCGAGGCAGCCCCTCCTTCGCAGCAAGACACTCTCGCCCACCTTGCCGGGAGCCAATGTTTCGCTGTCATTTACGCAGATGTTCAGAAGCGTCTGGAGATTGAGGTCTTTGTGCGCCTCCTGATGCAGCTTTGCAGAATGTCTGTGCCAGCTGGCCGCCATCTCACCATGGAGCTCGCCACTAACGATGGCGACCGAACCTTCAATGCCGCAGCAATAACATCTCTGCACAATGAGGGACTAATGGACATGCAGCACATCGACGCTCACATATCCAGAGCGCTAAGGCAGAGACGCACTGTTGCTCTGCCCTTCCTGCGGGACATCATCGACGAAATGCTATTGGGAGAAAATCCAGTAGCCATGCGTACTGACTTCGTTCTTTCGTACGAAGCACTCGCACAGTGGCTTTCTGAAGACCCATCCCTTCACATTGGACACGACATCATGACGAAGCTTCAGATTCCAGCCAACCAGATCAATGGTATGCCGAGCCCGGAGTCCGAGCACTCCAAGAGCGACGAACGCGAGTACCTGTTCGAGGAGTGGATCCGCCTGCAGCGCAAGGACCTGCCCCAGCGCTCATATCTCGCATTCGCCCAGCAGATGCATCATGGTGGCATCATAAGTAGCCCCGAGGATGCCATGGGCTTCTTCCGATCGTGCCTAGAGATGTCTTGTGACCAATTTGATCGCATCAGCAGTGTGCCATACGCCGCCCAGGATGCGGCATACGTGGCCATCGATGCGCTTGCCAAACTCRTCGTTGTTATGGTGGTGCACCAGAGCCCCGAAAACGGCGAGGTGCAAGCTAACAAGGCCAAATCTCTCGAAGGGATCGTTCGGTTGGTGATTCTGGTGATGAACGAGCACCACAACAAGCAAGGCGATCGTTGGAACGGTCGGGTATACTTTCGACTATTCTCCACGCTACTGTGCGAAATCCACGATCACCGCGAGCTTCTCACGCCCAAGCAATTGAAGGACATGAACGAAGTCTTTGCTACGGCATTGTTGATAATGCAGCCGCGTTACTTCTCCGGTTTCATGTATCCATGGCTGGGTTTGCTCAGTCACCGCTTGCTGGTTCCAGCCTTCCTCGCCAACGGCAAGGAGGACGGCGGCTGGGTGGTCTTCACCAAGCTGCTCACTGCACTCTTCATCAACCTTGGGGAGTTGTTGTCCATGCCCGAGGCGCCACCGGTCGCGCAAGACTTCTACCGCGGCGTGCTGCGCTTCTTCACAATGATGCACCATGACTTCCCAGAATACCTGATTGAGAATCACATGCATCTCAATGCGAACATTCCACCACAGTGCCTGCAGCTTCAGAACATCGTCAACAGCGCAGTAACTCGGGTCGTATTCAACGACCAGCCGGATCCGTTCACACCAGGTCTCAAGATCAACAGGCTTGAGGCTGTGCGAATCGAACCGAGCATCTCCCCTTCTGTTACCGGACCTTTGGAAGATGCCAACATTATCAATGAGATGGATCGCTTCACTAATGGTGACGGGACCGACCAGGACTGGATCAACGTTCTGGCTGCCCTGGAGCGACCAGATGGCGCCCTAATCGCAAACGGCATTGTGTTGTACATTGCTAGCTTCTGTTGTGCGTCCTCATCGGTCTTCTCCTCAGCGACGGCGTCAGCTAAGCTTCTGGGCGATCTCCTTCGTGAGACTCGCCCTGAGCTGCGCTACCRCATCATCTCAGCCATGGCCAATCAAGTCCGCTACGTCAATGCGCACACTCAATACTACTCCACCGCGCTCCACCACTTCTTTGCCACCGGCTCGCAGGAAGTACAAGAACAAATCATGCGCGTGCTGTGCGAACGACTGATGGTTCCTCGTCCACATCCGTGGGGTCTGATCGTCATGATGCTCGAGATGGTCAAGAACGAGAGCTACAACATTTGGAGCCTGCCGTGGATCAAGACGGCGCCTCAAGTTGAATCGATGCTCCTCAATCTGGCGCACTCGCAGGATCATCGGCAGACGAGGAGCCCAATCGGGGGCATGATGTAGTGCGGATGCTTCCCAAAGGACCAATTCGGAGAGGGAGAAATACCAGGCGAAATTGTCCATGGTAGAAATTGCTGGAGGATTGGTCTGAGGGCTTGGGACTCGTTCAATTATGAGAATGAGTTTCTCCCTGCTCTCTCACTATCATCAACGACGACATCCACTCCTTCAAGACTGGTCACATACCAATACTGAAATCGACACATCACACACAACGGCGTACCGGGCGGAAGTCTGTGAGAAAGCGGTAAAAGTTTCCATGTGTATGTATGTATTACATGATGCAGCGGACGGAACCTTCATTTTGACAAGGAGGAATTCCTGGCGCAGGATCACGGGGTTAATGAGTGTTGCATTTGCGTTCTCTCTTCTCTACAGAGGATGTGTGTAATATTCTCGGGCATTGGGCGGCGTGCATCATGACTTCGGACGGCACGAAATGGGTTGATGATGGGCGAATGGGAACTGTAGATTAGTGCATAATGGTATGGAGGCGTAATGCATTTTGACTGTCTCACGTCTCATGAGTGTCATCACTGCATAGTTAAGGATGTATTGATGGATGATGTCGGTCGTGATGTGGTCCATATATCGACGCCGCTCTTGCGATGTGCACCTCAGTGCGCAACGTAACTGGGAAAGAAAGCACACTTGCTGCATGTAACGTTCGTGAAGCAATTGATGCACATCACGTAAAGYGCTCTCTTTTGACGCTCGTGACTGTCTTGGGAAGCCCTGAAGGCCTCATCACTCTACATGAAAGGAGGCCAGCTGGCTCAAGGTTCCCTCTCGGGTCACCCTGAGTAGTAGAAGCAAAGTGTCTTACTTCCTCATAGATGCCTGCCTTCCTCGCCTGCCATTTTCACCTGTCTATGCATCCCAAATTCATGCAAAGCCCTCAAGCTTCCATCAATTCGCAGGTATAGCCTCATCCTGGCACCCAGCATTCTCCTCCCTCGCATCGCGCTCCAACACTTCCACAACCGCGCTGTTGAACTCAGGGTTTTCGCTCAATACTTGGTCGAGAACTTCTGGATGGTGCTTGTGCAGCTTAAAGTAACTTTCCGCCACGTGCTTGATGATCCAAGCTCCCAGCTGCCTTTGCGCTTGACTTTCCACGGGTGGCACACTGTTGAACATGAGCACCAGGCCTAAGAGCGAGAGTTCTGGAAGCGGGTAGAGTGCCTGCAGCTTCTCTAGAATGTATTGCTGAAGGACTTCGTGGGAGATTTTGGAGGCGGTGATGAATGCTAGGCCCAGAAAGTTGGCGTGTTTTTCTTTGAGTGTCTTTCCGAGGGGACCGAAAGGGTGTGGGTGAGTCTTGGGGTGAAGGAATTCAGGGCCCAATTCTTTGGTGAGGAAGTATGGAAGTAGACGATTCACCTCTTTGAAAGTGAGTTTGTGTTGGAGAGAAATCGTGTCGTATTCCAGGGGGATGATTTCGCAGTTGTGTTGGGAGCTGAAGTTGCAGCGAATGCTCAGGAACTGGCAGTCCGCGAGGCTGGATTTGGGAATGAGGAGTTGGGATTCGAGGTCTGTTTCCGAGAACACAATCTTGACTTGTGTAGGGCTGAGATGTGTCAGTTTGAATCGCAACACAATACAAGAGACAATGCTTACACTTGCTGCGTGGTTTTGCGGTGCTTCTTCCCTTCGCTGAAAATTTTGCCTCTGATTGGGTCTGGGGCGGCTTTTCGGTTTGAGGCTTTTACCACAAAGTCAGGTTCGCCCTCGCTCTCCACGATACTGATTTTATGCCGACCATTTGTACCTTTGCTGGACTTCTTGCTGTCATTTGGCTTTGAAGGAAGCTCGTGGGCCGAGGTGGCTTTAACCATARCCTCAGACTTGTCGTTAGTCTCCGAATCACTATCGACTGCTAGTCTTCGGCCGTTTCTTCTGAGAGACTTCTTAGCAACGGGCGAGTCGTCTGGCGTGCTGGGTCCCTTGTGGCGGTAGACCACCGCAGGCATCGGACGACGTGGCGCAGATGGATCATCGACGATAACACAGTCATTTTCGTCGTCATCCTTGGTTTTTCTCGGTGCTTTGGCTTTCATGCCTGATTTCCGAAGGTCTCCATCACTGTCGTACTCGTCTGCAAACGACCTCTTCTTCGGGATCATTCCCTTGGGAGCTCTTCCATTCGCCTTTTGCGGAGTTGCCTTGAAATTGCTTTTTTGGTGCCAGAAGGACGACCGTCCTTTGTCTCTCCGAGCCTTATCTTCTTTCCTTGCCTCTGATTGATTCACCATATAGTTGTGCCAGTACTGATGGTTCTCCAGGAACGTAACGTCCTGGCGAAATGCCGTTCGGCGCTGCTTCTCCATTGTCACTTCTTCACTGTCGTTCTGCTGTACATCTCGCTGCTCAAATGGCTCGAGACCTTGGAGATAGTCGTGATTCGGATCCCATTCCTTCACAGAGTTCCGATCGACCCAGATGCTATGGTATGTTAGCGCTAGCCTGAACTGTACGCAGCTTTTATGCGTACTACATGTGTCTTCCCAGCAGCACTGCTGGTAAGGCCCGTTCTTCAGAAATGGTTTCCATGAAACGTGGCGGCGCGGTGCTCTTGTCGCATATCACCACCGGCCACTTCTTCTTCTTATACGACGCGATCCAAGTGCTCCCAGTAGCGATCTCCCGCGCTGGTCGACGGGATCCCGCCATTGCGTTGGTTGTTGTGCAGAGGAAAGATGGTGGCGTTGTGTAAAAGGAGTGATGTCTTGCTATGCTGGAAGAAATGAAAGTATTGAAAGGAAGACATTGAAGTACCGGTGAAGCGGCGCAAGGCAACAACAGGCCCCCGGCTCTCTTGAGTGAAGTKATTGCACATCTTCACATGTGAAAAAATAGAAGCTCGCAGCGGAGCACTGATAAGGAAAAACGAGAAATGTCGTCAAATGGGAATCTACAGCGAGCACGCTCAACTTCTGAGATGTGCATGGTCGGCAGCTGATGGTCTGGTAGCCCGGACGCTGATAGCTGCATCAGTGTCGTTGTCGATTGTCACATGCGAATTCTGGTGAGGTCTGATATAGAGAGGTGGACCGTGCGTAATTAGGGCTTCATGCCGAGAACCGGGAACCACCTTTCCTATACCTTACCATTGGAGCTCTACCTCTACCTACTTCTTCCAGGTTGACACTGAAGCCCCGGCACACTCTATACCAACAACTCCACGATCGCGTGCACACATCCAAACATCGTAATCGTACGAAATGTTTTCCGCCATCGCGAACCTCCAGCCACGGCAACTGGCCGCCCAAGCTCTCAACTTCGCGCTCGTACTCTCAACAGCTTTCATGCTCTGGAAAGGCCTATCCGTCGTCAGCGATTCATCTTCACCCATCGTTGTTGTGCTATCAGGCAGTATGGAGCCCGCATTTCAACGTGGAGATCTCTTGTTCCTCTGGAATCGAGGCATGGACACACAAGTTGGAGAAGTCGTGGTATACAATGTGCGCGGAAAGGATATCCCGATTGTGCACAGAGTTGTCAGGAGATTTGGCGGAGGGTGAGTGTGGCTCGTTTGGGCTTAGAGAAGTTGATGCTGAYATACGATAGGAGCGCACYGCTACAGCTCCTCACCAAGGGAGACAACAACGGCGCGGATGACACGGAGCTCTACGCGCAGGGCCAGAACTTCCTCGACCGGAGTAAGGATGTTGTTGGTAGCGTGGTGGGATTCGTGCCTTTTGTCGGCTATGTGACAATTCTTCTCAGCGAACACCCTTGGCTAAAGACTGTGATGTTGGTCTTCATGGCGCTCACGGTGGTGTTACAAAGGGAATAGAATCCGAGATTTTATCAGCGAGGAGTTCAGGCGCAACATTTGAAAAGCTGCATGTAAAGGAGCGGTCGTGTGTAGGAATTATGGTTCAGGGCATGTTCAGTATGCAGTTGCCCTTCATGCTGACTGCGGGCACACAGTCTTTAAAAGCGGCAGCAGCCTCACAGGAAGTGTGTGCCTCGCGGTAGCCTTCTCCCACAACCAGAGGATCAAGTCAGAATTCACTTGACGAGCATTTCCAATGGCTCGCAGGTACTGGATGCAAGCTTAGAACAGCGATCATCGGATTGAAGTAATCCCCTACTGCCTCACAAGAAGCTGGACACATATTGCTTTCGCATCGCAGGAACGGAATCTGGAACCGGGGTACTGGCTATCATTCTGGCAGAGGGATACGCAGGCTGGATAGAAATAACCGGGGCGGCGCAAAGGTGATAGATCACTCTGTGGACATCCAAAATGCAGATTCTATGTCAAGCCAGCCAGCCAGGACTTCGATCTCGATCTCGACCTCAGCACTCTTCAACACCTCTTCCTTTACACGCTCCCACACCAAGCCGTTTCTCTAGAGGGAAGACCCTCCGCTATGCTAGACGATAAGGTGTCGAATCAAACAATGGAAATGCTTGCCTGTTCAGAAATAAATATCTCATCACACACAATGTACAAACTTTACCTCATGTGTTTAAGCATTGGCCAGAGATTAAGCCTTGAGATATGCTTCTATCGTACAGAGTTTGACATCCAGTAGTTTCCGCTGTTAGGMCGCCCAATACGATCTCGTGTTAAGCTCGACAAGCAAGACCACACAAGTTCCATCTCTTGAGAAAAAAACAAACATCTTCCTGCACAGATATAGCATTTCAATATTCTCATTCTCATACAAATATACCCCCTCCATAAAAACAAAAGAGCGAGCGAGCGCAGGCCGTATCAGAACATCAAAAAGAAAAGCAACATGTACGCTACCCAAAACTCCCCGGGCCAGAAGACAACAACAAACCCTGCACAACCCACCCAAACAATGTGCCGTGATGTCCATCATTCGTCCTCGACTGTGCCTCACATCAACCGACCTTGACAGATTGACTTTCCGACCTGTCAATACCCGCATACCGAAAGTAAACATCTTGATCCCGTACCTAACAGGCTTTCAGATAGTTACTCGGCACCAGTCCAGGACCCGTCTTGCCAGGAATCTCTGCCTCCCACCATCCGTCGTCTTGATGTCTCGTGACGGCAAGAATGTCTCCTTTGCCGAATGAGAGTTCTTCAGGAATGGCGGCTTGGTACATGTACATTGCGCGAGCTGTGAGATATATCGTTAGTAACCAGACCTATTGATCCTCAATTGTGAAGCAAGACTCACCATAATGTAGAATAGCCCTGCCGTCCTTTGTAAAACTCCTTTGTGTTCCCTGACTCTGGCTTCTAACCCTAGWAGCAGGTGAGATTTGCGACCCGCCATCTGGATAGTATTGGCTTTGTGGCCTTCCCCCACGCTGCGAGCCACCATAGGTGGAGGAGGGGGCAGGTGCAAGCTGCATCGCCATTCCTCCTGCCGCGGCGAGATCGGATCCGCGACTGCTGGGAGGTCTTTGGCTCGCTCCACTGGTGGCTGGGCGAGCGCTGTAGGCCGGGTTTGGGCTCGCAGCGCGCTGGAATGCAGGAGATGCGCCACGTCCTGCAGTATGGCCGCCGTAGTTGCCAGAAGGTGGATGATTTGGCTTGATCGGGCTGGAGGACTGGGCGCGTGGTCGAGGCGCAGCAGCCGGTCCACCATATGGATTCGGAGATGCGGCACGGTAATTTGGTTGAGCTCGAGATTCCGCAGGTCGAGGACTGATGGCTCGCGGTGGCGCAGGAGAGCTTGCTCGTGGAGGCTCCTGTCTACCCATGCTGCTTCCGGGTCGTGACATTGGTGCGCCTCCCCCATTGAACATGGTTTGTTTCTGACCGACGTATTGCGCCGTGGTTTTTAGCATGTCTTTCTTCGAATGTGCGGGCTGAGGAGCACCTAGTCTGCTCACGGGTTGATCATATGAGGGTGGTGGCGTACCCCGGTACCCATTGTTATTGGAGAAGGGCGTCTGCGCAGCGCTTTCTCTACCCCCTCGCTGTGAGGCTGGTGTTCCGGGTACAGGTGTGGCCATACCATAGTGACGATCGGCTGATTCACGGGTCGAGGCGTGCTTTCCAACCCCTTTCAACTCTGCCAACGCTCGTGCAATTGGATCGAGCTCACCCGGCGCGTCTCTTCCTGGGGGCTTCTTTCGCAAGTCTGGGTGCGCCACTTCAAACACATTGTTTCCAATTCCAAGCTGGTAGTCCGCACGAGGGTCGACATCCGGATCCGGACTGGCTGTGGGCTGCTTGTTCCATGTACTGGCTCTACTTGGGTTGCCAAAAGTCTGCTTGGTTGGACTTGTGCCTGCGCTGTTGGCTTGGCGAGCAGACGCTGGAGTCCAGGTGTTCCTGCCGCTAGGCGCAGGCGCGTTGGATTGCTGGAGTGGCTCTTTGCTCTTTTGGCTCTTCCTCCGGAAGGGTGATTGGAAGAAGCCACTCTTCTTCTTCTGCACCTGCTTGTCTTCCGGTGGCCCGGCTGAAACATTGGAGAAGCTAGAGACGCCAGAGATATTCGAWCCGTTGTAGTTCTTGGTAGGCGATGCGTTGCGGCTAGCGGGATCTATACTAGAGTACGATGTCGGCTGGGAATAGTCGCTGTGCTCCTGGCTGTCACGGCTTCCCGGTCGGACRGGTGATGGGATGGAGCTGCGTTCGGACGGAGCATCCATTCTGCAGAACTGCGTCATACCATCTGTGGGATAAGGGTTATGTGGTATGGGCTGCTGCTCTGTGTATGGAATCGAGTGGGCGGAAGAGTGGCTAACCTGACTCATTGAGAGTGGAGGAGGTGCTGCGCTGCCATGCGAGCTCCGGGCATGCGCCATGAAGGAGTCCTCGCCCTGCAAGGATGTGCGGCTCTTCGGAATACCCATCTCTTCTCTCAAGCTTGAATCTGGGTCATTGTGCGATTCAAAAGTGCTGGGCTGAGGAGACGAGGTCCGGAAGGTAGGATTCATCGTTCGCTGGAACTGCGCGACAGAGTAGGCGTCGTCGTCGACGGATCCATGGTTGGAAATGACATCGTCAATATCGCCACGACAAAAGTTGATGTACTTTGGTGGATCGGGGATTTCCTGGCCAGTACCAGAGTCCTTGATGAAGCTGCAAATGTCCTTTTCCACCTCGCAGTCCTCCAAAGACAGACGCACTTTCTCACACGACTGGTCGTCACTAACGCAGACAGTCGATGCGATGTTGGCAAAACTCCAGAGACTGCTCTTGAAGAAATCTAGGCGTTCCTCTTCCAGATCCTGGAACTTGTCACAAGCGGCCTTCCATTCGCGGTTCCAGCGGCCGGTCGTTTCCTCTAGGATCTTGACAGCCGTCTCATACTCGCTGCTGTTGGCCGACATTTGAATTTGCGTCTTCTCCAGCTTGGCCTTGTTCTTGCGCTCTTCTTGACCCATGACCATGTGGCCCTGAGCAAGGTAGCCTTTTATCTTGAGACAGTCCTGCTCAAACTTGTCGCGTGCCTTGAAGACCGTTGCTGTTTGTTGATTCTTGGTCTTGAGTAGCTTTTCAATACCACCCTGCACAATCTTCCTGCGTTCCTTGATTCCACCGTTGAAAGCCACCAGTGGTTCCTCGAGCTCACTTTTCATCTGACCAGCAATGGTGCCATGGGCCCTGCCCATCGACTCCGTCTCGGTGCGAAGCACATCTAATGACATGCGCAACGTTCCCGTCTCTAATGACCCGAGTGGTTTCTTGGCTAGACTGAGCAGCGCTCGGGCGTATTCGTCCTCGATCTTGGCTCGCGCAGTGTAAAAGGCCTTGAGTTCATCGCTTGTTTGTTTCGAGTTGTGCATGCGGTCCATCAGGGGGGCGACACCGGCGTCATCTTTGCCCCAGAAGTTGTTTGCGACTGTTGGCAGCATTAGTATGGTGATGGAGCAGGACTTCGTCGTCTTCCCACATACAAGACAGTGAGACGCTGGGCCCATCCGAGGCCGAGCCCGCTCTGGACGGCATGGCGCCCGCGAGCGATGGTAAGAGATGGTCCTCGTGGGCGGGGGATGATGATGATGCAGATTCTACTGCGATATGGCTATGTCAAAGCGATAGAATGTGAAAAAGTGTGGTATGTGATTGTCGGGTGTGCTGCTCAGTCCAACGGCCAACGTTGGACTCTGGAGAATGTGAAGCCGAGCGAGCGCGTCCAAACGCCCAAACAGCCCGCCCTCTCGGCCTCACAACAGATCGGCCAGTCGCCCAGCAACGCAAGCGAATCATCGAAACGCCACTCGATATGGCGCGGGACCTCACCTTGTTCACACTCTGCAACCGCCGTCATCGTCTAAAGTATTTCTGCCATCGACGTGATCACGGACTGACAAGGACTGGTCGGATGCTCTTGCTTCATGACGATTCAGAGCGACGAGTCCCGCCAACATCGAGAGTCGGGCGGAGTACTCCGTACCCTGAAGTTCTGCCAAGACTTGAGATGGACAAAGCAGCCTGAGGCCATGATTGAGGTACCTCACCTTACTGTACCTTTGACATGCAGTGCAATGCAATGCGGCATCCCGAACCGGACCAAATATCCGTCAACCGCTCGCTGCAGTCATGACAGAGCTGGCGGTGGCCTCAATCTGGAGTCTTCCGAATGGCGTATTCGAGGACTCTGTCCACAGAATGAATGTCGCGGCAGGCGGCCTCACGGATGATATTCGCCGCAGACCGCAGCAGTCACACCACAGCGGCTAGCTGCACTACAACTTCAAACGTGAATCTGCATCTGCCTTGAGCTGGCTCGGATTTCAAGCAATCCAACATCGAACAGCTGCGGAGKATCGGGTTCTCCGTCAGGATTGTGGGAGTCAAGCCAATGGACTCGCATCTCTGCTTACCACGAGCCTCAACAAACTTGACACAACATGACGTCTTTATGAATCGTCAATCGTCCCCGCCAGAGTGCATTGACAGATGCGATAAGTAGGCGATGGATCATTCTGCCTGGCTGGTCCGCATGATTCGCTGCGTTGCCTTCAGAAGTTGGGTAAGCTCGAGCTCACCTTCTTCTCCTCATCATACCTTACCTTTCTGACCCTGATTGATATCCTAAACTCTGTCATCTAATGTTCCAAGGTTCACATCGACACCACTGCCAGATACAGAGCGCCAAGATGGATTATTACTACCCACTCTCTGTGTGCGATCTGTCCCTCGACCATGACCATCATCCTTGGGATTTATGTCATCCACTGTGTACATCTTCTCACTCCCGCCCCCACTTTGAGTGCCCAATCGTCCAGAAACCGCCTTTCAAGCGCTCTTGCTTCGATTCGGAAATGTTTAGATCTAAACCGCGCTACGACCCCGAGGCATTTCTCGCAGAATCGCCGGACCGCGCGAATCGTAGGGGGAGGCAACTAATCGACAACATGAATGCATTTCGAGAGACCCTACAGGACAGAAACGCCGACAATTTGCACTTCATCCATAACCAGAACATTCCGTCTGCGATCCCTCCAGAACGATTGAATGCGTTGAGAAGGGAGAAGCCGGTGATGCCGGCGTCTGCAAGGCGATCGGGGCGACATGCACGCGCACCAAGCGCGGAAGGCGTGGATGAGTTGGTCCAGCATTTGCGCGACATGGACTTGAACATCTCGCAATTGCAGATGCTGGTCGATCGAGAGGTGGAACTCTGGCGTCTCCATCCAGACAAGGTTTCCACTTACCTAAATGCTTTGAATAGCGTACTAGAGGCTCAACGAAACTCCAATGCCGAGCCAGAGAAGTGCTCTGCCGATGTCCCCATACCATCGGAGGCTGCTAACAGGAGAGAGCATTACGGTCGAGTCGGAGTACCGCCTTCTGCGCACAAACACACGTCTCCTGAAATCTTGCATGAGCTTCACGAGCACGAAACGGATCGCAAGCCTGTGCCAATTAGAACAACAGGTGTGCAGCAACCTGTTGCTGGAAGTTCTCAGCAAGCGATGGTTGAAGCTTGGGAATATGAGCAGACTTTATTTGAGTTCAATGCTCAGATGGGCGCTGCGGCTCCACAACGGTTGCAGCAACAGACAGCAATACAAGACATGCTTGCAGCTCAAGCTTTCTCTACGGAGAATCCCAATGCAGAATTGGCGCAGGATCGGGACTCTCAATATTCTGAGGTGACTGCTGCCAGTTCTTTCTCAAGATCGCACCGGGATTCTAAACATGAATCACAAGATCAAGATAATTTCGCAGCAAGAATCATGTCTGGTCTATTTGGAGATGCCCCAAGCGTGCAAAAGACACTTTCAGAGCTTCGAGATATGCTGGTCAATCATCCAGCAGCCCCCCATTCACGGTCGGATCATCTTGCCCCACGCGCGCCCGCGTCACTTGCTCCATCCAGCGAGGTCCGTGGCAGTCACGAGAATCAAGTCGACATTCACGGTGCTGTGTTGTCGGACGAAGAGCTCGCGACTGAGGAACACATCCGCGATCTATTGTCTTCTTCGCAGTACGACCGGCAAGAGAAATCGCGTACTTCGGGGCTGAGACGCAAGAGTTTRGCACTCACGGAAGTTGGGAAGAAAGTTGCTCATGGCCTCTCGAACATGGCTCGGTCTTTGAGAAGTCGTCACAAGAGCATGAAACTGAAGGCGGAAGCTTCTCACGACGGAGCTGCCCTGGCTATCAATAGCACGGACGACGTTCAATCCAAACGTGAGGGAAAGCGTCCTGTACGGCAAACAAGCTCGAGAGAGGCTCCGGCAAGCCTCTTGTCCCCTCACGATGAAGACAAACTCATCCGTGAGGTCCTAGAGCAACAGCGCCTTATGGCTGCAGCCGCTGCGAGAGCTCTCAAGGACTTTCAAGGAAGTTTCCTCACGGAATGCGTGTGCTGTGGTGACGAGAAGAACACGGGGCTGTCATTTCCGTCGCGCCCACCAACGGACGCCTGCGAGCATGCACCAAAGACGTGTCTGGAATGTTTGGACTGCTGGCTTGCTTCTGAGCTGGCGGGCAAGGGCTGCAAGGCATTACGTTGTCCCGACTGCTTGAAAGAGATGGAATACGAGGATGTTCGACGAGGAGCATCGGAGAAGACGAGGGAGGGTTATGATGGACGACTGTTCCTGATGGCTTTGAGCGAGGAGCCTGAATTCGCTTGGTGTTTGGTATGTACGATTCAATGGATATTTGAGCTGATGCTGACTGAAAGGTAGGCTCCGAACTGCAATTCTGGCCAACTCAATGAGGACAATGAAAACTACATGGAGTGTGCAAGTTGCCAATACCAGCAATGTCTCAAGCACAAAATCCCTTGGCATAGAGGAGAGACTTGCGAGGTGTACGAGCAACGAGTCAAATTCGTGGATGAATGTGAATTGGCCACGCAGGCTATGATTAATGGTGTGAGCCAGATCTGTATTGGAGAGGGATGTGGATGGAGGATTCAGAAGAGGGATGGGTAAGTTGAGTGGTTCTGTGGTGTGGCTTGCGATTGATTGATTGACTGGCTGACCTGGTTGATAGATGCGACCATATGACTTGCACGAGATGCGGATCCCAGTTCTGTTATCAGTGTCGGGCGGATCATAAGGAGATTAGGAGGGTGGGCAATTCGGCGCATGCTACATATTGCAAGTTCCACAGCGGGAATTTGAATGTGTCTTGGCCTTTCAATGCTCATGCTTGAGCTAGTATGAGGGTCTTGTCGAAAGTGAGCAACATGCGAGGAATTAAAAATTCTAAATCGTGTTAATAMTTTCACTTCATTGCCACATGAGGAGGGAATCGATCTTTTGATCAATGCTGAACATGAGCAAAGAATCCAGTCTCGGACACAGTGATGAAACGCGACAAATGGTAGTCTCAACCTTGCATGAAGACAAGAGGGAGAGGTATCAAGCATGCTGGACGGAATTGGAATATCTACATCTACTTTCCCAAAAGACGGGGCTCTCAAAGTCCAATCATCTCTCTACAACTTCGCCTTTCCACTCGCAATATTTTCCCAGTCTCCTCTTCCATACGGCACATATCCGTCAGCACCCGGCGGTGCCCAGAAGAACAAGTCATTGCCACCATCCTTCTCGTGCACACCCAGCTTATCCGGATCAACACCTTCCTGCCTCAAGCCAACTTTGTTCTGCTTGTGATTGTGAATATGCGAGCTGGCCTTTTGCACTCTCAAGAACACCGGCACAGCATAGCGAGGTAGGTTTGCTCGGCAATGCTTCAAAATATCCTTGCGCCAAGCGTCTTGCTCTGCCAAAGCAAGGTCGGATAGATGCAGAGCAGCACATCCCGCACGGCCCTCATAACCTGGTACAGTCACTCCGTAGACGTTAGCTTCGGCGACTCCCTGGAAACGACCCATTGCTTCTGCGACTTCTGCCGTCGACACATTTTCGCTCTTCCAGCGATATGTATCGCCTAGCCGGTCCATAAAGTACCAATGGCCATCTGTACTTCTTCGGAGGGCGTCTCCGCTGCGGTAGTATAGATCTCCTTTCTTGAAGACATTTGTAGCGAATTTCTTGTTGGTGGCTTCTGGATTCCTCCAATAGCCGCCAAATTCCTCTTTGCTTTCAACGGCAACCAACATCTCGCCACCCACTTCATAGGGCGTGCGTTCTGCGAAGCCTGTTTTGGGATCTCTCCAGATGTCTCCGGTGTCGGCGTCCACGCGAACGGGGATGTACTTGTTCTTGAAGAACATCCTTCCGATGAGACCGTGGTGCCCTACGCAGTTGTTGAAGTACTGATTCCGAGAGTAGACAATCAGACTGAACACGCCTTCGCTTGAGTTGAAGAACTCGGCGATCTCGGGAATGTTGAATCTTGACTGCAGTTTTGACCACACGTCCGGTCTCAGTCCGTTGCCATATGCTACTCGGAGCTTGTGGTCTCGTTCGAGGGGGTGCGGAGGCGCAGCAAGAAGGTAGCGAGCTGTCTCACCGACATAAATAAACATCGTTGCTTCACTGTCATGGATATCGGGCCAGAAGTTCTTGACGGAGAATCTAGGCGCAATGGCACAGCCAACCCCTCCCAGAAGAGCTGTGGCTGTTGTGATGATACCTGTTCCATGATACAACGGCATTGGAGAATACCAGCAGTCTACCCCTGGTTTGCTATTGAATGGCGGTTCGAAGTGGGATCCCAGGAGCCAGGTACGATCAATTAGAAATGGACATCCCTTGGGCAGACCAGTCGTACCTGAAAAGCAAAGGATTAGCGAATTCTAGAGCTAATCTGATGTGGACGAAGACCTAGCGTAGCTCAAGTAACACCTTCGAGCCACCCTGTATGCCTGCTACTCTCTCAACTCACCCGATGTGTAGATTAAGCAGAATGGCATTTTGCCTGTCATACCACTACGAAGGCTGTCCGGTGGAACGATCGCGTTACGCGAGGCAATTTGTCGTTTTAACGTGGTATCGAGCGTGACTATCTTCATCCCAGCGGCTTCAATCTCTGTAGCACTCGCTTGAAGTCGTTGTTGGCAACCAGAGTCGTCGTCGACGATGATGAGTTTGCTTTCACAAACCGCCAGACAATGCATCAGAGCCTTGCCCTCCAAGTTGTAGTTAATCAAGGCCGGCCCAGCACCGATGCTGAGCGTGGCAAACATAATCATGATGAATTCCGCCGAGTTTGTCAGGTACATAGCAACCAAGTCGCCGGGTTTGACGCCTTGATCCAGCATCCATTGGGCATAGCGGGCTGTTTGATCATGGAGTTCCTGGAACGTGTAGCTGGCTTCGCGGGTCCAAATAGCTCGAACATCTGGCTGACGAGCACATGTCTCGGCAAGTATGTACCAAGGTGATACTCTGTCATTCTCAACTGTTCACTGTCAGGTCGAATTCCGCCTGATGAAATCTCCTAGGACATTACCAGCTTTGGTGTAGACTGTCTCGGCCTTCTTCGCTTTGAGAAACATGCGGACGTCTCGGGAAAGCTGATATTTGCCATTGAGATACGCCGCTCCCGCAGCAGCAGCTGCTGCCACTATACCTTTTTATTAGCGGCACTCCGCCATATCACATGCAACAAGTGATCTTACCTAAAGCCATTGTTGGGGCCGCTGACGGTGAGGAGGCAGTGTTGCACGATGCGGACCGCCGACTTGACGCAGCTCAGATATCCCTCAAGAGTGGCATGGGAATCAGAAATCGGTATTAGATAATGTCTGATATAAGCTTGGGCATGTAGTAAGAAGAGAAACCTTGCCGATCACGTATGTTGCAAGTCAACACCAGCAGCGAGTCGTGAGGCGTGTGGGGCTTGGAGTGGATATCCGAGGTGCTCGGCGAAGTAGAATAGACGGGGTTCGACCGACGCGACGGTAGATATAGTCGGGTTCGGCCATATTGGTATATGATTATCAATCTTTATCCGAATGATAATGAGGAAAACCACGGAGTCTACTGATTACAAGTACCTAGTAGTGGGAGGGTAAAGCATGAAGTCAGCACAGGGGAAGTCTAAGATGTCCATGGATCCCAAACTAGACATCCGAAAAACAGTTTGCACGGGTCGGTCAGAGGTGAAGAGCTCCTAATAAACATCACCATGTTGCATTGCTGAATCGTGTCTTCGTCATTGAGATATTTCGAGGCGCAAGCACTTCGACTGCTCATGCAATCCTGCTTTCCATAGACGAAGCTCGCCAAAGCAGAGCCGACGTAAAGAAATGTTTCGAGGAAGGCCAAATGTGGTTCGGCGCATTGAAGAGCCACGCAGAGCAAGCAACGATGATGGTGGCAGTGGAAACCTGCAACACCAGCGCTCTCCACCGTGCTGGATTTTCCATATCAAACCTCCGCTCAAGATCGGTCTATAGGACTCATTCAACCAAACCTTTCCTTGGCTAAACCCCTCAACATCTCCATAGTCTTGTCTTCCTTCATCCGGTGTGCAGCCATCCTCTCCTCCCTCTCTGCAGCTCGCGCCCGCAGAGTCTCCTCCTTCCGAATCTCTCTCTCGTTCTTGACCTTCTCATTAGCCTTGATCTTCGCCTTGATCCCATCATCGCCGCCCATGAGTTCGCCCTCGCCAACTTCCTCCGTTCCTGCTTCCTTTGCATCTCCAAATGCACGATTCGCAGCCGTAGTCTCACGCCGCTTTTCCATCTGACGTTCCCTCGATCCAGGATCAGCACGCGGTGCAAGCTCTTCTAGTCTTTCCTTTTGTACGTTGCGATCCTGTTTCCTCTCGTAGCGAAGGTCCGCGATCTGGGCAGATCGATCCTCTTTGACCATTTCCTGTCGATGCTGTAGGTCTTGTATGCTGGGGATTGAAGGTCCTAGGCGTTGCTCGCGGCCGGGAAGAGCAGGTCCATAGCCATCATCGTCATCTTCCTCATCCTCATCCTCGCCAGTTGGCACTGACTGTGTTGCTGCCTCTCTTGGTACATCCCGAGTGGGAAGCTTGCGCAATGTATCCTTGGGTCGCGACTGGTATCGTTCATCCGCCCTCGCTTTCATCTCAGGATCATACCATCCCTCCGAAAGCTCCTTGCGATTCCACTTCCCGAGAAAGCTCTTYCATCTGCCTTTGACCTCATCTTCCGTCAGATCGTCAATGAAGATCTGTTTTTGGACATCTAGGTACTCGGAGAATAGCCCTTTGTAATCCGCAAGATCGTCCTTCTTCAGAGGCTCTCTCTTGAATGGCAGGCGCACTACGACTTGAGATTCGCGATGACGGTGATGGTGGTGATGATGGTGCTTGCGGTGCGGCGACCTCGAACGGTGGCGCTTTACATCGCTTTGGCGTCTGTCGTGAGGAGATCGCGATCGCTTCCTGGTGCTATTGTGATCCCGATGGGAAGAAGATGTTGTGTGGTCCATTGTTGTGGATTAAACAGGTTCATGTGACAGGGCGCTAGCAAGACGATCACAACAAATACGAGGTAAGGTAGCTTCCCAAGCTTTCTACTTCCTAGGTAGTTGTAACACAATTTGATATACAAAGCATGCTCTCAAGACAGCTGCTCATGATTATAAAAGTGTAGTCTTGCTCATTTCACGTGCAGCGTAATCATTCGTGCCTCCTAGGAGGTAGTAGGGCGCCTCGACGTCCGTAGCTGCCGCCCATGCACGGTATTCGAAGCCAGGCCAGCCATGCGAGTCATTGAATTATTGCTCATCCTTCACGCAGTTTGCAGACAGCCGCGCATCTTCATTCACTTATTCAAACAATCATCTGAGCGACACCTTGCCCACCCAGTGTCTTACTGCTCTGGAACTCCTGGCCCTTGAAACCTGCCAGCGCATAGAAGAACGCAGCTATGAGCAGTACCACGGCCACTGCAATCAGCGATGTCGTTTGCGCGGCAATAGATATCCACTGGATCGCAGACATGGCGAAGTAAATACCGGCGCGCATGTAGTTGGTCTCGAATCGTCGGATGAAGCCATCGAATGCAKGCGATGTTGGGCAGATTCGGAGGAGGATGGGTATCTCAATGAAGATAATCACAAAGGCAGAGATGCTGTTGCAACTGGTTAGCGGGGACGCCGGGCGCGTTCTGCCTTTGGGATGCCTCACAAGCAGATGACACTGAAGAGGATCACAATGTTGAAGTGGAAGATGTTGGCGATTCCCAGAGCGAAGCATAGGAGTACGCAGAGGATTCCGGTCCTGTGGGTTCACGTTAGATTGTTCCCATTTCGGTGCGATTTATCCAGCGTCAATCTGCATACCATTGGCCGTAAATGCCTAGAATGTGCCTGTCAGCGCATGTCCAACTTGAAGCTATTGTCCCAACCTACTGAAGTTCCGCGACCTGAATTCGTCTGCGATGGTCATGATTGCGAATCTAGCAGCTCTCTCTCCAGCCCTTTGATATTTAACGCTCAAGTGTGTATGGCGTGTTCGTGGTCGCAGACAGGAGGGTTGGCTGTTGAAGCTGTCTTCGGAATCGCTGACGTCGAATGGGGTGGGTTTCGAGGTTGCGTAGCAGCGGTGGACGCAAAGATGACTTTCACGTTCGATTCAACCTGAATGCCGGTGGCAATGGTGCGAGGCGCAGTCGAGAACTGAGGTTGCCTAGAGTGAGTCGGATGTAAACAGCTTGCGACGCAACGCCCAGAGAAGGCATGGTACGAGTCTCCAACGGCCAAGGGGTCCACGTGAGAATTGTTCGAGCTTGCAATTAATTATCACGAAATAACTTCCACAAAACAAGGCCAAAATTGCCAGCAGTCTTGAGCCAGAAAGCACAAAGTAAATATTTCGAGGTCTGCACAAGATTTCAAGACCTGGAGAGCGCCACGAACGGACGGGAGCGATGTGAAACGGAAAAACTGCATACTACATGGACACGATAGGAGGGCATGTGTTTGCAAGACTTCGATTACCAGGTCGCCAGCACATGTATAGGGGGCAGGAAGCAGATGGTAACCACCAGCCACGCCATCTCGAATGCGACTAAACCTGTCTCTTGAAGGGAGATCATGGTGCGTGATCCGAGATGACACATCTCCATTGATGGTTTACTTTTGGGGCTTCTTCGGGCTCGAAGACCGCCCATGTCTGCCATTCTGCGGGGCGCCTTTTCGCGCAACGACCGCTGTGGCTTACCATGAATGTGGGTGAAGAAATGATCGGTATGCCACTCTTCTGGTTGTGTCGTGGAAGCTGTAATCTGGTGATATGCACACGAGGTATTGCGCGCGAGAAATATCAAGATTCGTCCTTGTACTGCACTCCTTACACTTGTCATCTGCTTCGGCAGCAGTCTTGTCCGAGAGAAAGGTGATTTGTCTTTCGCAGCTTTTGCTGACCGCCACCGTTTGATCTCTCGCGCATGGAACCCCAAAATTCCGCGCTCGGCATCACGAACATGCCTCCGGCTATCATCAAGTCATGGTATCTGCATCTCTTGCCAGCACGCCCTCTGCGATTCCTCTTCCATCATGCAGCCGGGTAGACCAGTCGGAAGACGTCGTTGAAGATGTAGTAGCTGCCACTACCATTGGGCAAGAGCTGGAATGTCTGCACATAGCTCATTGGCCGTCTCTCTTCCTCGACCTAGGTGATAGCCGTATGTCAGATCTCAACACCTTCTCTCAAACATATCAAGAGCATACTCACCAACAGAGCACCGCTCACAATGACCAAGATTCCGCCGGTTGTGTTGCTAGGCTGCGCATCGAGGGTGGAAACCTGGTGCTCAACCTTCTGGAATGGTAGACCTTGCAGCTTCTCTACAATCTGGACCTGGCCCTGACATGCTGAAGACTCAAATGTGAGCATAGAGTCGGGTTGCTGCGGGGTACATTAGTGCTTTGTGACCGTCGTGGCTGTTGTCGCAAGAGTCGCATACGTAGAGGGCACTGAGCTGGGAGCGGTCGGCATCGAAGGTCTTGTAGTAGAACTCCACGAACTGCTCTGCAGAGACATTAGATAGGCGTCGTGGGCTGCCATGTGGTCCAGTACATACTCGCGATGTTCTCGAAGTCTGGAAGATGCTCCGTTAGTCGCCAATATATTGGGCACGCGAGGGGTGCAGTGACTTACCCGACATGTTGGCTGCTGGTATTAGCGAGGTTCGTTGAAAGGATGTGCAGTAGATGATGTTTGATGTTTGGTTAAGTTAGACTCAGTTGTCGGAAGTTGCGTTCAGCTGTGGAAGGAGCGCCCCGCGTGGATGCCTCAGGAATCAAAAATGGTCCTTGCTTTCTCCAACTTCACACGATGCTGGCCATCAATGATCATCCACCATAGGGATTGCCGTTTCACTTAACTTGTTGCTGACCCTTGCGAGCGTCATTCTGAACCAGGAGGCTCAATTTGATACTGACATCGATCATTCACGTGTTTGACAAGTGCGCCTCACAAAGAACATCCACGGCCGGTCGCATGTTCATTGTCTCGAACATTACCACAAGCGAGTCAATATGGTCGGAAAGAAATCAGGACGTGCGCTTTTGCGCGRAGAAGGTATGCGTGGCGCCAAATCTGTTTCTGACATCGCCATCCGAGACAAGATTCTTCAGCCATTCTATCCTCCCTTTCCATCCGGGAAAGGCATCGTGCATGCCATACACATGCTGATCATCTCATAGGCCTGCAACGCACCGACAATTCGTTGCAATTCTCAAACTGGCCTATGGTGCAGATGATCAATCAGAAAAACTACTACACGTGAGCTCATCCCGAACACGTCTTGCGTCTTTTGATTTCCCTACATTCTTCGCGTTGCTTCCTTTTGACTCCGCTGCGATATTTGGTCATGGTGGCCCGGCAAATTCTCGACGGGCTAAGAAAGGGCAAAAAGGTCGTATATGCTCTCAATGTGCAATATGTCAAGAGGTACCACGACTGACCTTTCCATCCTCTGCCCCACACTGCGCGAGACCATGCAACTTGACTCCCACCTGACTTCGTAGCAACCACTGACTTTGAAGACAAACAGCGAATTTCTCAAACGTGATGACCAAGTTCTTGCACTTCGACTACAGCAGGAAGAGAGACTCGACCGCCGCAAAAAGGCTGCTGTTGACTTGGATCGCGCACGAGCTCAAAATGGCCAAGAAGGCCCGTATCCAGATGTCGACCCTGACATGGATGAGGATGTTGCCATGGATGATGTGGACGGCGAAAACTATGGATCGAAGACCATCATCATTCATGTTGGAAGTCAGAATTTGCGACTTGGGCTTGCCACAGATGCTTTGCCGAAGACTGTGCCTATGGTCATTGCGAGGAGAGCTGATAAAACAGAAGCTGAGGATTCAGAGCCTGKACCAAAACGTGTGAAACTGGACGAGGATGCACCATCGGAGGAGTGGTTTGGTGAAGAGGTATCAGCTCACGTGTTCGATTCCAAACTCAGACTGCTGACCTTTTGCAGTTTTCAAAAGAATACGACAGTATGGCGACTGCTTTCAAGTCCAACAGAAGACAGAACAAACGCCGTGTGCTGCCCAATTCACGCGAGCTGGTCACGAAATGGAACAGCACTACACAACCAGATATCATCTCGGAACACAATGACCCTCTGCGGGTCGACTGGACTGAGCTGCCAGCAAATCCTGCGAACGCTCCAAACTACATTGTTGGAGCTGCCGCGCTTCGCATCCCSGAAAACTCCAAGCCTAAATATCGCTTAAGTTGGCCTGTGCGTTATGGCTGGCTGAATGAGAGAGACTACACCAGTCGAACCACATTACTCCGAGACTTCTTCCTCATCATCGAGGAAAGTATCAAAAACGAGCTCGAATTGCCACACAAGAAGGACTGGAGCCAGTACAGCTGCGTGTTTCTCATTCCAGATCTTTACGAAAAGACACTAGTTGCAACGATCCTGCAAGAGCTCATTCGAGACTTTGGCTTTGCGCGAATATCTTTCATGCAGGAGTCCTTGGCTGCAACATTTGGCGCAGGGTTCAGCACGGCGTGTATCGTTGATGTTGGCGCTCAGAAGACGACAGTGTGCTGCATCGAAGACGGCATGTGCTTCGAGGAGTCTCGGGTGAATCTCAAGTTTGGCGGCTACGATGTGACACAGACATTTGTGAAGATGATGCTCTACGATCATTTCAACTACAGCGAGTTTAACCTCATGCGTCGACACGACTTCCTCTTGGCCGAAGAGCTAAAGGCGAAATTCACGTCCTTGCACGATGACAACATTACTGTCCAGCTGCACGACTTCCATCTCCGTGCCCACGGACAGGAAACTCGCAAATACCAATTCAAGATATACGATGAAGGGTACTTGGCGCCGCAGGTAAGATCTTCCGTCTCTAGTCTCATTAGTTGCAGCACTAACGACGTACAGGGCTTCTTCAAACCCGAGATCTTCGACAACTCCGAGAAGCTCGCAGGACGCCGCAAGCTAATCGGCCGGTCTGTAGACTTGTATGACGGAACACCAAATGATCCCATGTCGGCCGCTCAGAAACAAGTCTACGAACACGTTCATCGTCACATGCCGTCCGCCGTGGTGGAGCCCCCGAGCAAGCCAAACGTACACCCCGGCACCCCACTTTCAGCACCATCTACTGCTGTCACAGCTACCCCAAGTAAGCCGCGACTACTTCCAATTCCAGGTCACGTCAACGGCGATAACGATGCTACGCCACGTTCATCAGTCGCCGGATCGCCTCCTCCAGAAGACTCCGGCACACCTCTTCCCAACGGCGAGGCTGGCGAAGACCAGGAAATGGGCAACGCTTCCTCTCAGCCATCGTACGACATTGAGATTGCCGAACGCACCGTGCCTGTTATGAACTTGCATGGCGCGATTCTGGTTTCCATCGACAATGCCGCTAATGGTGATGAGCGCAAGAAGCGCGACTTCCTTGGCAGTATCATGCTCATCGGCGGCGGCTCCAAAACTCCTAATCTGCAGAGTTATCTMGAACTGCAGCTACGTGCTGCCATGCCACAGTATCCAAAGGAGATTCTTGTGGCCCCACCCCCGAGAGATCTGGATCCCTCGGTCATTGCGTGGAAGGGCGGGAGTGTATTCGGGAAGTTGAGGATGACGAACGATAGTTGGATATCACCGCTGGAGTACGATCGGCTGGGAAGCAGGATTCTCAATTACAAGTGCATGTGGCATTGGTAAAGTATGATATGGGGGTGTTTGAATCAGGCTAATAGCCAGGGAGTGTCTCACATCAACAGCTACCGTATCCCGGTCCCACAAAGCACCAAGTACCCATCAATTCATGTGTTGTCACACCGTTGGCCTTAGCTGACCATAAAGTCCTGCTCCGCCAGCATCATCGGTAATTCGCGCTCGCTCGGATACGCCACCAAGTTTGGCAAGATTTCAATCACATCGCACTCTTCGACTCTGCCCCCTGTCTCAACAAACTCCCCGCATTTGAGGTGCGTTTCGCCGGTCATTGTCCATTCAAACTCGTCCGCAACGCCTTGTTGGAACGATGGTTCTCTAAAGCCCCAAAATTTGCCCTCTTTGATCGGCGGCTGTGAGATATACATTTTGCGCCACGAAGCTTCGGGATGCTTCAAGGCAGGGGTGCCAAAACACTTTCGTAGCTCGAGTAACGTTCCTCCTCCGTATTCTGTCCCGTCATCAACCGCGGTCAAACTGGAGATCTCGAAGACCAACGGATTGATCTGGCCGTTTTGCAGGAGGCTTTGGGAACGGATGCCCTGTGGCGGCGTGTCAGGCACGATGTAGTCACAATCAACTATTTTTGGCCATTTGCGAAAGGGAAGGTGGAGTTTGTCATCGTATAGCCAGCAGAACTCAGCTTTCGTCGGAGCAAGGAACAGCATCTGTTGAAGTGTGGTGCTCTTGGTGATGACGTCCTTCCATTTGCGCGAAACTCGTTGGGCCAGTAGTAGGTCCCTCATCGGCAGGTACTTCAAGATATTCTCGARGAGCTCGGTAGTGAGAAAGACGGCCGCCATGGTACTGTTTCGGGACGCCGAGCGTGTGACTCGGTCGCTCACAATGATGACCTTGGCTCGCTTCTGTGACACGTCGTCAGCGTCTGTGACTTGTGAGATCTACGGGTAACTCACCTGACTGCCGCGAAATGCATCTCCACTGGCTGCTTGGCGCTTGGATGGAGGCATCGTGGTTGATTTGAGGGTGGTGTTGAGAGAGTGTTGTTTGTGAGAGTGTCTTGAGTTGGAGAGTGTGTGAGTCGAGCAATTGTTGAGAGTTTGTGTGTGATGCTTGAGATGTTGTGTGGTGCTGAGGGAGGTGTCGACTGTCGAGAGTCACGTTGAGAGTATGTTTCGAAGTGTGTGTGGCGGACGTTGAAAATGATGTTTCGACGGCGTTGGGTGTCTGGTTTTGAGAGTGATGATGAGAGTGATGATGAGAGTGATGATGAGAGTGATGATGAGAGTAATGGTGAGAGTGATGATGAGAGTGATCGCTTCAGTGCACGTCGATAATGTTGCCTGCAAGTGGTGATGTTGAGAGAGAATCCGAGCTTGAGGTGAGGTCGCGTTTGTGGTCGATGCAGTGAAGTAAAGCAAAGAGGTCACAATACTCAACATCAACAGAACTTTATCTGACGGTGTCAAAGTGAAGCTTCACATCAATGCAACACATGCCAAATTCAAGACCGCCAGATCACCTGACCACAAAAATCGATGGGAACAATTTCAAACAATCGAGCATGGACGGTACATCATTCATCAGCAAAGACCAACAGGAAATGTACCCACTTAGCTAAAAGGAGCGTCTAGTGCCATTGTGGTAGCACGCCCTACCTACGACTTCTCAAAATCGACACAGCTTTGCTTTTGTCTTTCCAACACCGGGTACGCCAACATTCCCAACAATTACATATGTACCATTCTTGAACTTCGACTAGGAAGTCGTCAGCTCATCCGCCTGCTTGACGATAACATCGCCCTCGTCAGGCGCTGCGCCGCCTAGGTAAGCGGTTTGCTTCTCTTGCGATCCATCAGGCTGTGTAGTCTTCATAGTAGTCTCTCCTGTCTGTACAGCCTCATCGCGCCCCTCATACTTCGCGGGTCCTGCGCCAGCAGCAGCAAGAGCGGCTTCAAGCTCCGCCTGAGAACCAAGGTGCTCACCAGCAGCAGTGCCAGGTGTGTCGGAGTTACTGATTGTAGTGGCAAGCTCCTGTGGGGAGAGAGGAGACATGGGTGGAGCCGCAGCATCGGTATTTTCAAGGCCATTTGAAGAAAGAGTCTTCTCGAGTTCGTGGACTGTGGTCTGAGGCTCCTTATTCTCCTTGTCGTGGACATGAATTTCATCCTCTTCGTCAATAGTCCAGACTGTGATCAGAGGCGACATGGCGAATGTCAAGGAGGATTTTCTGTCAGATACAGGAGCGGCGGCAGGCTTGCGTCTTGGTGGACCCTTGGCGCGACCCTTGCGTGCGTCGGTGAGCGGCACTCTCTCCGCTTCCTCCTGGACTTCAGGCTCTGCCGCCTTGGGTGGTGGACCTTGAGGTCCGAGCTTGAGACGGTTGTTGAGGTCGTTCATGAACCCTGCCTTGATAGAAGAGAGCTTCTCCCCGGCAGGCCTGGCAGGTACTGCTGGTTTGGCCTTGGGCGCAGGTGGAGATGTAACAGTCTCGTCGATCGAGCGTCTCTGCTCAGATTGACTCATACGGGCAGGGCGCGCAGGGATAGCCGGTTTGGCCTTTTCGGGTGATCTTTCATGGCCATGTTCGGCTTCAGAGGAGCTCACCTCCTGTCCAAGCCTGCTTTGTCGCTGCGGGCGCGATGGCACTGCCGGTCGATCATCTGTAGGACTGATAACCTCGTCTTCCTGAGGACCAGCAACGGTCGTTTCTAATCGTACGCTCTCGGGTGTGTCCTCCCACACATCAGAACTGGGGAAACGGTGGGCCCCAGGTCTCTCATGATGCAAATCATGCACAGCCTTGAACTGCGGCTTCATGAAGGTCTTACTGTCGCTGAGCATATCATGCGGGTTCTGATTGATGCGTTTTGCTTCCTGCTCCGGGGTCTCGAAGGTTGATGTTGATGGTTTTGACGAATCGACAGGCTCAGGCTCAGGCTGCTGACGTTCCAAATCAGGAGTAGAAACGGTGGTTGAATAATGCAGCGAGGCAGGTGTATCTTCCCAAACATCTTGACTCGGGAAATGATGATGGGCCAGATCGGGCCTCTTCTTCAACACCTTCTTGCGCACATCGCCCTCCTCTTCATCCTCGGGGAACAATGGCTCGTACTCCTCGATTTCCTCCAGTGGAGTGCCAACGCCGGCATGATGCTGCTCCTCGTGCGAGGCGTATCGGTGCAAAGATCCACCGGTGTAGTTCACAGCCGCTGCTCCATGCACGCTACTGGGTCTGCTAGACGGGCGACTGCTGTTCCGGCGTCCCGAGTGACCGTGATCGCTGTCGTAGAAATCGTCCGGATGAGGCTCAAAATCTACAGCCGCGTGCATGAAAGCGCTGCTTGGCCGTTTTACAATCTCGTCAGAAGCCAAGATTGGTGTCCCATCGGTGTTTTCGTGCTCGTGCTCGTCATCAGTATCACCGCGTAGAGCTTTACTGCGTCGTCTTGGAGATGCATGCGGCTCGTCGTCCATGGCGTCTTCTGGGCGGAGGCGATTCTTGTCCGCGAAAAAGCCAACTTTGCCGCGAGCGGCCGCAGACTCGCTGCTGGAGGCTCTTTTCTTCCGCTCATTGGCGTCGGCGTTCTGCGGCGTTCCCACGCGAGAGTTGTACTCTTCGGTGGCCTCAAAGGCATCGTCTTCGTCGGGCGTTCCCGGTGCTGCAGCGTCTTTCAAATTGTCAGTAGGGTAGCGTGAAAGTGACTGCATGAAACCTACCAGAGAAATCGCCATGGATCAGCCTGTTCAGCTGATCATCGCTCAACGCAGTCTCAGGCTTGGGAAGATGCTGGTGGTGGTAACCCTCCTTGACTGCTTCTTGAGGGTGTTTCCTGATCCACTCCTGCTCAAACTGATCCTGGTGATCTTGATCATGACGTATACCATAGCTGTCGGGTGGGCCATACTCGTGCCTGGAGCTCTTTTTCCTGTGGTGGTTCTTGTTCGAACCGTCGTTGAAGAATCCAATGCCCGGAGCATGWTGAGACATGGCAGTCGCAGGTGAGGGAGCCTGAGCGTCACCAGCCCAGCGATTTAGCGGGATCTGCTGTCCAATCTCCGGAATGCCATGCTCGTGGTCATCTCCTCCATGAACGCTACCCGGACGGGAGGTAGTGCGCTCCAGCGGCTGCAGGCTTGTCGAGGAGCGGTTGAAGCTGGCCTTGGCACGGAGGCTCTGGTCGATTGATGGTGGACGACGGGGCTCATTACTGGCCACACGACGCATGGGCGAAGATGTACCATCCTGGGGAGGTAGCTTATGGACATCGTCCGCAGGTCTAGCGCGTCCAATGCCTGCCGCTGCGGCCTGCGTTGAATCGGTACTCGTCACGGTATGAATCTGCCTCTTCGCGGTTGATTGAGGCACCGAGGCACGCGGCTGGTGCATTGGCAAATCGACCGAGACATTCGTAGTCTGCGCTGCGTCGCCAGATACTCCATGTGCTTCTGCGGGAAGCTGATCAAAGCTGGAGTATTCATCGCCCTCATGACCAATATCTGGCAAGCTCACGCTTGGTGGACGGCGGGGCAGCTCTTCGCTCGTGCGTCCCCTGCGGACCTGGGGTTTGCTTCCCAAAGAAGTGGGCGGGAAGTTCAAAGGCGATCGAGTGCCGCGATCGGGAGAGGGATCCGTGTTGCGAATCGGACGAGGCGGAATCAATGGCGTCTCGTTTTTGGCTTGACTCCGCTGCGGGCGAGGCGGAATGTGTGGTGTAGACATGCTGTCAAGGGTCGAGTCGAGGTGCTGAAGACTGAAGACTGCAGGATCTTGTTAGTGGGCGTGTTCCCGCCAATTGCAAAAGCTATACAGCGGAATTGCGAGGGCAAAGCGAGGGCAGCAAAACTACGGTTGGAGCTTCCAAGACGGTTGCAAGGCCTTTCCATCCATACCGTCCCAGCTGCAGCACACCGCCATTGAGGCCTAAATGCCCGAAATTCACTCAATGCACGCGCCTGTTTTGGCGGCATGCAGACTCTGAGCAGAGATCGCCGTGCTGGTCGGGCTTACATTTGTTGGGGTTTGGTACACACCAGAGTGTTGAGTTTGTATTCGAGAATAAGGATGAAGGCTGACTGAAAACGGGAGGTGGATGAGTGGTGACACAAAGAAGAAAGCAGGTCAGCAAGTGTCAATCCCAAGTGATCAAGTGATGCTCAAGCCTCCAACAGGTTGTACCTGGAAATGACCTAAAGGGAAGTACAGCACAGTCTCCCCTCGCCCAGACCCAGCCAATTAGAAGCCCCCTGATAAAATCGCGCAAGCCGACGGTACCAGCATCTCGATTTGTCCCTCACTCTGTAAAGTATTGCTCACGCGCCGCAGCCGACCTAACTCTCCACCATCGTCCATCAAACACATGTCTGCGGGAGCAACGGCAGGTGTCCTCATCGGCATTGAGATGTCCTGGCCAAAGGACGAGCAGTTCGCTGCGGAATGACATGCGAGTCACCTCATAGGCTCATGGTCAAACTCTGCTCCGCGGGGCTTTGGCGACGACATTTTCACCCCGCGCAGTCGTTTGCAGGTCACGATCCCCCCGTTGCACCGCCAAGCAGAACGTTCACCGCCAAGCTGGCAGGGTTGTTGCAAAGCATCGCATGGCCCAATGGGGGAGGTTGTCGTCAATGGCTGCATTTTTGGGGCAGCACAAGTGCTCTCTCGCAATCGTCATTATGGCTGAATGCGGGACTCCAAGATCGAGGAGCTCTTATCTTCTGTCACGCGATTGTGATGGCAAGCATCGTGCGCCAATCTCTGAGGAGCCCGTCATCAATCTGGTCTCTAGCTGCGCTGGAGCGGGTCTCCAATGCACACCAAGTCCCATACCAAGTCTCGATTCTGGCCGCCGCGTCACCTTTTTCTTTGCCGTGCTTCGTTGCGATTCTACACTCCATGTCGCGAAGGATCTGGTGGCATGAGTTTGCTCATGGCTTGGCCACTTGAAGACTTCGTTTGTACTTTGCTGCACTCGGTTTCCGATGTGCTCCTCGCGTTCTACCAGCTAACAGAGATGATATCGGGATGCTCAACCCAGTCCGATGGCTGATCCGGCTCAAAATTCATTCGCCCGACGATCTAGGTGACGAGACCTTCTATTGATGTCCTTCTGCTGTTCGTTAAATGCACGAAGGTCCGAGAAGACAAAGTTCTGAGGCTCAGCGTATCTCGATGCCGTGAGCGCCATTCCTATGATCCTGCTCTGGCAAGCTTGTCAGAGTAGTATGAGTGAATACTGGCGAGCATTCGCACAAGTGGTCTACACCCGATCTCAAGGTGTTCTCCTCTAGCCGCAAGCTTCGAGCCATGATCGCCTGTCACTTGTGGCGTTTTCCAAGTCCGCTTCGGAGGACGAAGTACCTACAGCAGTAGGCATAGTACCGTCATTTTGATTTCAGCTTCAATTGGCACAAAGTCCGGGGGACCCTCCAAATGTTCAAGCGACGACCGCGAGCAGCGTGTTGATATCGGGCCTGACTCAGTGTGTATGTTACCATGATGTAAGCCTGATCTTACATCACACTGTTCTGACTTGTGATCTGGCGCTGTAAATGAGTTGACGTTGAATGTCCACAGAACATACCAAAGTGGATACCTGTTGGTYGGAATAAGGTTTCCCAAGCGTTGTCACATGAAAGAGCCTCCGTGTGGCAGGGGTGCTGATGATGCGAAGCAGATGTCATAGAGCACGTMTMGTTACTTTGCCAATCGAAGCATCTTGGACATTTTCTGAAAGCGCGTACAATGTCACAATATCACCGCTCGCTTTTTCTCCTTTCAGTCGCTTCATGGTTTCCTTGAGTAGGTGCGACTTCCGAACGTACCTACCTACTCTATGGTGGCCGTTAGGCAGGTACGTTCGAGAGTTCGTCATTTTGCATGGTTTACTTCGCGAAACTCCAAGAGACACGATTCTATCAGCCTGCACTACGGTCAGCTACAGCTACGGGAAACCTTAGCCAAAAGCGCTTGCGGATGGCACAATCAAGCCGAGATCTAAATTGTGCGCAGAGCTCGAGTGGTGTGCCAATGCGAGCCTATTTTCCTCCAAAGTAAATGCGGACTGTAGGCTTCTCTTCATTACGTCTTTTTACTTTAGGTAGATAGATCGGAGCGAATTCTCTTGCCTGTTTCTAAAAAGGGCGGAGGTCGAGGAGTGAAAAAGGAGACAAATGATGAATTCCTATGTAAGACTGTTGGTTCATCTATACACAAATTTTGCAGAAAGGAGGAGAGGTGTACTAGATGCCTAGGTATACTTCGCGATCTCGCCGAAGTTCTAGACCGATATGCTAAGCAGCGCTGCACTCAATACGACAAACCCAGATTCTGTGAGGAGAGCCGCCCAGACGAAAGGGCCAGACATAGCGTAGAAGCGCATAGATGGCTCCTCGAGCTTACTATGTCAGCCGCATGCTTGCTCAATAGCACAACAAGCGATTCCATGAAATCGTAAGCCTTGTCGATGAAGCATTTTGCCTCGATGATCAAGAAGCAATATTCGCCACGATCGCAGTGTCTTGCAAGATCTTCTGGTGTTCCTCAATGCTCATGTCCCGGACAGATCTGAGTAGCTCAAATAGTTGGCCCAGCGTAAAGGGCCCTGGATGAGTTTTGTACCGAGACCTGTAGTATTTCCCATTCATCGAACCGTCTTCAACATGGACCACCACGCAGAGGACAAATGTAGTTGTCGCGATGACAATCTTACTCCAAGACTGGTCGGCCGGATAGTCTTTACCCGATCGCCCTGCATAGCCCATGATAGTGCCCCAGTCTTTTGCAAACTTCGCCATTCCTGTGCTGAGATAGAACACCATCTTCTGCATGTTCATGCTCTTCTTGGTCACTACTCTCCTGAACTCAAATGGTCGGATAAGAAGCTTCTTCGACTTCAGGCCGTTGATGAGCGGTCCAAATGTCTCGACGTGGTCTGGTGGAGCAACGGTCTGAAGGTTTTTTCTGACGCCCATGATGCGTAGAAGTGATGGAGCGATGGTGAAGATGTCGTTGAAAGCTCGGTTCACTCGCTGAGACCTGAAGATATCCGCCACTTCGAGGTTGGACATGATGTGCTGAAGAAGCTCGGGCATGGCGAAGACTCTGTTGGCGGCCGACGGCGGAGCAGCCCAGTTGCTGCTTGAGGATGTCATATTCTGAATTGATCTGTATCTTGGAGGTCTGCTCGAGGTAGCGTGTGATGATGTGGATTCAAGGGTCGACCGGAATCAGTCAATAGGGTGTGCGTTGTTTGGAAGCGGAGGAGGGATGGTGATTGATGAGAGCGGATTTAAGTAGCTGGCGATGCGGCGGTGCGACTCGTATCTTGGACGGCCAACGCTTTTAGCATGTGAATGCGCTCAGCGATCACCCTCTCGGCCTTGGCGGCTGCTCGCCTTACAGCGAGAATTTAGAACACTGATTTGTCTTGAGACACAGGTGCTGCTTGCTACTGAATACCAATCCTGCTCATCTGTAAGCCAATGAAGACTTGTTCTCGAGTTGAAGAGAGTTGGGCCAAAGACCAAGGACAGAAGCAAACGTCTAGGACGAAATGATGAATCAGCTTCCCATCCACCGACCTATCTCCTACTCAGATCCCTGAACGCGCTAGTCAAGGGGTTCCTTGGCTTGTCAGAGGGTTCTTGCTTGCCCTACGAATGTAGATAGGCAGGCGCAAGTCTCGGAAGGTGCGCATGAGAAGGAGGTAGCCACCGACTCAAATCCGCGTTTGTTATTTGCCTTCTATTTCTTCTCAAACGTTACATGTATTTGCCTTCTATTTCTTCTCAAACGCCAACAAAATGCACAGTATCAGCAAAAAGCGCAAGCTCAATCCACCTCGCGCTACTAGGAATATGGGCAGCAATCTCGCGAATGGTCTCTTGTCAGGCCTCACACAAGCTACATCGACACCGACTGTCACGGGTCAGTCCTCTTCAGTTCAAAGGGTCTTCTGCATTCCAGAATTACTTGAAGCTATCCTCGAAGTCGTGCCTCCGCTGGAGCTGTTCAAACTACAGCTGGTCAATCACGAATTCCACAACAACATCATGGGCTCGAGGTCCTTACAAGACTTGCGGCTCGAGGCGGCACTCAAGCCCTTGCCCCCCTTMACCCCGGAAGGCGAAACAATTTATGATTCTCTCGACCATCTCTTACACACATCCTTCTCTCCACTCGCAGAGAGACTTCGGCGCCAGCATTTTGTCCTTGGTCCATTCAGCTTCGTTATGCTCGCGAATGGAGGTGGAAAGCAGGCCAACGGCAACAAGCAAGTACCGGAGCTCCAGTTCGTCCTAGACTATAGCTGCCGCATTAAGCTTTCTCCCGACGGTTCTGCGCGTTCTGAAACCCCAAGCGATAAGCTTGGGCTTCAGATATGGAAAACGCACGCGAAGGCCAGAGCCAACCACAAGAGTGGCCAGTTCATTGGATACATGGGTAAGAACAAGCTCCATCCGCCCGACCAGACCTGKAGCTGCATGAACATGACCACCGACCGCAAGCCCTTCGACATCGCCGTGTGGGTTTTTGCGGATAGTGGGGACTTCTACAAGCACGTTGTGCGATTTGGAACAGGCCGCAGAACTATGCGAGATCTCTTTGATATCTTGACGGATGTTCTAGATCGCAGCATGGAGAGGCATGAGAACGAGGCTCAAATCGCCACCTGGAACGGGAAGTTTTAGATGGAAGCGACATTGATGAAGCGCATTTGCGGCGTGGATTTCCGCTATTGCTCGTATTAGCTTGAAGTTCAGGATCAAGGGAGGGAGGAGGAGGCTATGCCCTTCCGTGTTGGAGAACAAACGACATGCAGCGAGCTCCCTGTTAGGTCACGGTTTCGCAATGATGAGGTCTAGGACTACTTTGTACACACTTACCGCTAGGAGTTAATATCCAAATATGCTTTCGGTGACAAACCTGCAGTTACATCCTCTCCTATTTCAAGCTTTGCCCGGATGGTCTTCGAGCAGTCCGCAAGTCTGTTAAGGGCTTCCAGTATTTCACCAGTCTCCATCCAGGCCCAGCAGAGACGAATACAGTATCCAAAGCCATCTTTCAGCTCCGCACGCTGGAGACTTCCGGCATCGCCGGCTATGACAAACATGTGACCAAATGCAACCCGTAGATTGTAGTCCCGTAGAGCGATGGCGGCCAGATCCCTCGCATACACCCTATTCTCTGCAAAGATCCGAGGAGTACGTAGATAGCTGAAAAATCCACCGGCGATACCCGAGGTGTGCTTTGGTGCCTCATCAACATAGCCAAGTGGGATCAAAAGCTCTTCAACTGCTTTCATATAAACGTAGTAGCGCATGTGATACTCTGGTATCGCCACGTCGCTAATGTGCGATTGTAGACTGCCGGTACGTAGCATGTGTTCTACTATGGTTGACGCAAAGTGTGCTGGGTTGCCGCCGGAACGACTTGATCCTCTGCATCTCATCAGCCGCGATACCATCATGCTCATATCACACAGAACACCTACATCTGAGCAAGTTGCATGACCAAATCGGGCTGAGCCTCAACCCATCCTACCCGGATGCCTGGTCCGACAATCTTGGAGAATGAACCATTGCTAATCGCATTGCCGTAAGGAGTGGTTCCTGGCAGTGATCTATCAATATCAACGAGCCTGGCTGGTAGGAAGTCCATCGAATCTTCTACTAGGCTGTCACTTGCTGGCCAGCTCAGAAAGTCGTATACATCGTCAGAGATGAGCAAGATATCAAATGCTCGAGCTATCTCCACCAAGCGCTCACGCACGTCCGGCGGCATGGTTTTCGCACTCGGATTTGCAAAGGTCGTCGTGCAGTAAAGGACATACTTGTAGACGTGAGGATAACTCACGCCGGTCTTTGTAGCAGGCTGATCCGGCCAACCACTTTCACTTTCGGTCTTGCTGAGCTCATTCAGGAGAAAGTCGAGATCAATCCCATCCTGGCTACCTTCTGGGACGCCTTGTAGCCTTCCGCGGAAGCCACAGTCTTCAAAGATTGGACATGCCAGGAAGTACGTCGGCTCGACCATGAATACCCGGCGTGTATATGAAGGATCGGTAAATTTCAAGACAACATTCGCCAGAGATGCCGAAGCTCCATTCGTGACACAAATTCGCGATGCTTCCGTCGGTTCTGCAGAGAGTGCGTATACATCTGAGAGCCACTTTGCTATCTCGTTACGCAGCGGTGCATATCCTTGGCTAGGTCCATATCCTAGTATTGGTGTCATGTCGTTTCCTTCGGCTAAGACATCTTCGACGCCATTGCATATCTGCTTGCGAGCGCAAAGTCGAGCTGAGGGCCATCCTTTCTGGAGATCGAGCAGACCTTCGAATGGCCGGTGTTGTGTGGAGAACATTTCGTGTTGTGTTCGTGGTATTGCAGCGCCAGGAGAGAGCAGTCGGTGGATCACGCTCTGCAGAAGTCTGTCACCGTGAGTCATTGTTGTCGCATGGTCGCGATTGAGCTCAAAGTGAACTGCACGCGCTGATGGGAAATGGAGGGTGATGGAGAGAGAGATGGACCTGGCCGCTGCGATTAGATTTCGCCTAGCTAGTTTTGGCATGACATCGTTGTCGTCTTCATCTCCGCCCACTTTTCACATGTTATCTGCCAACGCATCCAAAGATCAGTTGGGACAGATTGATCGTCCGATCAGGCATAATATTCGAGAGACAGTTCGTTCTGGGCTGCTAGGTGTGCCTTTGAGTGACCGACCAGATTTGCCATGGCTCTAGGGTTAGGGTTGGGGTAGTGGCATACGTCCAGAAGCGTGCATGATGAGCTTCCAATCAAGACTCAACCTCAGTGTTTGCTGTTAATCAACAATACTTAGAACCTACGTCGACACGCTTATGTGAGCGGTGAAATGTGCGACTTAGATCAATAATTGGTATATCGAATTCGAGTGATAACATCACACCCCTGGTCAATGTCTCGTCATTTGATCTTATACCAACCGGACAAAACCAGTCTGCTCACGACTACCATACGAGAGCCAAAATGGCAGCCATGAAAGCCCAGACCGATACCGTCTTCGAGAGATAACCACTCCCAGTGTACTGCTCTGGACTTCCATCACCAACGCCATTCCCAGCCAGCACGAGCGTCCACGTGCCTCCCTGTACGTCGCTCGCCATACCATCAACCAAAGCAACAGAACTCGCATTCGAGCTACGCAGCGTACCACGGACGCCAGGTAAGCTTACACTCCCCGAGGTACCCTCTGGCGTTGTGAACACAAAGGCGGTGATAGCGCCACTCTCTGAAGCATTGACCTGCGAAGCAAAGCTTCCCAGTGAAGTCTCAAAACCGGTATCCACCGAGGTGAGATTTCCAAGTCGAGGACTCAGCTCCCAAGTCTGGCCACCTGCGCTCAACAGATGGATGCCACCAATGTAGAACGTCAAGGTCGATGTTGGGCCAGTTGCCCACCCGTGAGCGTGACTGACGCGAGGATCGTTGGTGTAAGGAGCGTAGTGTAGCCTCCCATCGAAAGAGTAGCCCTCGATGAAGGTGGAGTTTGTCATCCTTGGGTCGTCGAGCATGAATCCCCATTGAAGACGGATTAAATCTATCGCGGTCTTGGGATTACCGGCGAGAAGATGGGCCTGCAGTTCGAACCCGGAGATGAAAGGTGACACGGCATCTCCCGCTTCAGGAGCGGGTGCTCCGTATGAGCCCCAGCGAGAGGCTAGGCCTTCGCTGATGCGAGAGTTCTTCTCCGGTGAGTCAGTGATATTGGAGAGTACAGCCCAACAATTCCCGTCCTGTGGCATGAGAGTTGTCGTTTCGTTGTCGTGAAAGAGCCCAGCAGTATCGTTCCACAACAGCCTGTTGGCAGAGTCTTTGATGCCTTCGGCTGCAGCTGTCCATGAGTCGAGAAGAGATCGGTCCTCGCCGACGACTTTCCCAAGCATTACTCCCTGATAGATTGWGTAGTACAAAATGCTATTAGCTTCGATGTTGTGGCCGCCCATTCCAAATCTGAGCCAGTCTGAGGGACTCGTTACGTTCATCATACCGCTCTCGTCAATGAAGGATAGCGAGAAGTTGAGGGCTTTCTTCCAAGCGGGCCACTTGTCCTCCAAATAAGGAAGGGCATCAGCGTAAAGGTAATAGTCGGCCACTCCGATCAGCGTGTAGAGATGGTAAGTCGCCGAGTAGATGTAACTGGGAAATGGAGTGCCCGCATATGGCAGCTGGCCTGTGAGTGGATTTTGGTTATTGAAGAGCGAGTCCAGAGAATTCCCCACAGAGATCATGTCGTTGTAGGAAACGGCAATGGCAGGAACTGCAATGGCCATATCTCCAGCCCAGACCAAACGATCACGTTTAGCCCCATCAGTTAAAGCGGATGTACCATTCGTTATGGTGGCATTGTTGTACCAAGTGTTTGGAGGAGTCAGATCGCCGGTCATGTTGGAGGTAATCTCACCGAAATGCACGAGCGAATCGCCGGTCTGTGGATCAATCTATCGCCGTGTCAGCGCTGTATCGACGGCCTGTATGTACATGCTTACGGTGCAAAGTTGGTTGGTATACGCCCCAGCATACCACACGCGATTGATGAGCTCGTCGTTGCAATGAAAGTAGCCAGTATAGTCTCGAAGTGTGTCGCCTGCATAGTGTGGCATTGCCGTGAAATGCACAGAGACCTGCTCCACATTGACATTACCTGTCGTGTTGTGGATGAGGCTGAGATACCTGAAGCCACCACGTTCGTGTTCCGGCGCAACAGTATAGTTGCCAGGACCTGATGGTGCGAACCACAAGATCTCATCTAGACCAGCATCCGCAGTAGCATCACTGCCCTCTCCACTGATCCAGAGTGAACTCTCCGTGTAGGCAAGGCCGATGTACTGGTTGCTATCGGTGCTACTGACTTGAAAGGTGACGATGCCACCGATGTTCTTTCCAAAGTCCAGCGTGACTGAAGATGAGTCTGTGAAGGTCGCACTGCCGACAGTGTTATGCAGAAGAACATCTGCGTTGTCGACTGTACCGTTGACTTTGTAGATCGAGGCAGGGAGAATGGTTCGCGAGGCGGGAGCTAGAATGTATTCTTCATATTGAGCGGCAGTTGACAACCCAGCGAAGAGCAATGCTCCTGCCGCAAGTACCGAAGATGCCATGATGTGCCTGAAGAGGGAATGCTGTGACAGAGGAAAGACGAAGGAGAGGCATTGCACCTTTTAAAGTACCTTGTTTGCAAGCAATGAACTTCGGCATTGGTCCATGGCGTGTTGCCCACGCGGATGGAAAACAATCACACGGCGACAGATGCTGCGAAGAGCGCGGCCGAACGACATGGAACCTTGTCGGCCATGTTGTTGATCAGGGCGATGTTGCTGGGGAAAAGACAACCACCCCTGCTGGCGCGATCAATTCCTGCGGGGAAAGCGGAGCTGTGGTGACCGACCGACTTTGATCTTGACATCTCGCTGCAAGATTGAACCGAAGCCAGCAAAAAAACCTCTCGGCAGTTGCAGTAGATCTTCCAACATCACATGTCTCAGCAGGACGAAGAGATGCGCGTGGATCCGAGCAGAGCCAAGGTTCTCGTTGAGAACCTCGAACAAGTGGCCAAGAGGATTGACTCTGTCAGAGGAGGTCGCAAGGTCCGTCAGCAACATGGCTCAATTTCGAACGGAGCTGATGGTCAATGGTAGGTCCGCCTCATCGCAGTCTCGAAGCTGAAGCCTGCAACCGATATCCTCGCACTACACCAAAGTCCGCTAAAGGTCGAGCACTTTGGAGAGAATTACTCACAAGAGTTGACGGAAAAGGCCGGCCTCCTACCGAGATCGATAAAATGGCATATGATTGGAGGCCTGCAGACCAACAAGTGCAAGCCATTGGCAGAGCAGGTTCCCAACCTCTTCTGCGTCAGCAGTGTGGATACTGCGAAGAAGGCGGACGCGCTTGAGAAAGGCAGAAGCGCACTTGCAGAGAAAGAGTCGCTGTCTGAGAAGCTGAGAGTTCTAGTACAGGTGAACACTTCAGGAGAGGAGAGCAAGAGTGGAGTCGAGCCAAAAGACGCACATGAACTGTGTCGACATGTGAAGGAGAAGTGTCCCAGCTTGCAGCTGGCGGGTTTGATGACAATTGGTGCCATCGCAAGAAGTCAACAGTCTTCGTCCCCGGACGCAGAGAACGAGGACTTCGTAGCACTAAGAGAGACGCGAGACAAGGTCGCAGGGGAGCTGGGAATGGACGCATCGGAGCTCGAGCTCAGCATGGGCATGAGCCAGGATTTTGAGGCCGCCATATCACAAGGCAGCGATGAAGTCCGGGTGGGTACGACCATCTTTGGAGAGAGACCTGCAAAGAAGGATGCAGTAGTATAAGCGGCAAGTCACCAACGTGCAGGTGTGCCGTCCAGGACAAAGTCAATGAGCAACACACTTTCGTCCCAAGCAACGAATCGAGTACAATGGCAACAAGKATACCACATCTACAGCAAAGTGAGACGACGAGACGAAGTGGGAAGATACTCTAGTTGTATTCCTCAAAATTGTATGGTACACGTTTAGCCGAGTTCAGCTAACACCAGTCAAGTGAACTCCTGAACGCCTTGCTTTGCATCCCCGTCGTCCATGGTTTGATCCTCAGTGACCTGTTTCCTTAACGCCAAATTGATCCTGTTTGCATGTGACTGCTGCGTCACTCGCTTCACCCCTGCCCTCGAACTTGCATCAAATGACCGTCGCTCAAGCGCGCGAGCGCCATCCTGTGGYGCGCGCAGGCCCGTCGCCGTATTACACAGCGCCAGACGCCTGGGCGTCGACCGCAAGGGAAGCGGAGTCATTGATGAGGTCCTCGAACGAGAAGGGAAGCGGAGCTGTGAGGCTTCCATCATGCGCGCCATTCGAAAAGGCGAAAGTGTCCATATGGTCAACATGATAGCCTGGCAGCAAATCTGCCATTGAAAATTCGCCAAATGGCTGGTCCACCACGCAAGGTGATTCAAAGTCGTGCTGCTGCTCAAGCGGCGGGACCGACACTGCAGGTCGCACAACATTGCTGCAGAATGTTGTGTCGGGTCGAGCGGCGAGAGCAGAGATGACTTTGAATCGAGGTTGTCGAAGGCGGGTGGCAGAGATGTGATAGGGAAGGAGTGGTCCTGTGGTTCTTGTTTGATGGAGTCGTATTGGAATATGCTGTCGGCCGGTGAGGGCGGAGACATGGCGTCGTGTGTGAGCGAGGGTGCTGGCGTATCGGCCTCGGGGCTGTTGGTCCGTTAGCTTGTAAGGAGGAAGTAGGAGCACCACGATGAGCATACCTGTCGCTCTGCACGTGTATCTCGGGCAGGACAATGTTGCTCGGAAGTGGTCCATGGAGCTTTCTGTAGGCATCGAGCTCGGCGGTGACGCGTGCGAGTGCGACGGCAAGACCTTCGGTCTCTGCACGCTTGCGCTCGCGAGAGTTGTGCGCAGCCGCGCGGTTCCGCTTGATGCGTTCGATGCGGCGCTGCTCCTTCTCATCATCCGTCTTGGCCCGCTTGCGCGGCGGCAAAGCCGTCTTTGGCTCTGGCAGCTCTTGACCCCATGACTTCCGCTTCTTTGCTTGACGAGATTGAACAATGACAGGCGGAGGCGAGGATTGTGATGTTGAGCCACCTTCGTCAAAAGCGGAGGGTTCCGGACTCGTTGACTGTGCCGTGTCGAGGTCTCCCAGGCGGAGAAATTGTGAGTGTGGGGAAGACATATCAATGTGGTCAAGTGTTATTGTTGGTGAAATGGTCTCCATGATGGGCGGTCTGCAGAGGTGTCTTCTGCATATGCATGGGGGAAAGGGTAAGGACAGCTGGCGTCTGGGGATGAGTCGAAGATGCGGGAGAGGCAGCGGCTTTGTAGTTGGAACGTGGCTTCATCAAGGGGCTAAATTAAACTAGGGTCACAATAACGTGTGGGGCTGAGTGTCCAGGATCGCACGGATCGGCGCTTTTGAGACGCTTGGATTCTGGAACCTTCCCCCCGGGCCTTCAAAGTGAACCCCATTCCGCTCCCCTGGTTTGACGGCCGCTTGCTTCCGCCCACGATTCTTCCTCGTTTCAGGCGGACGCAGGCCAAAGGGAWGCCTGGTCCTTTCTTGAGAAGCCGCAAAACCTGACCTTTCCCGACGCTCATCACAGAGACTGTGACTGCCTCGCATCCTGCTTGCGCCCGGTCCAACCTTGAGCCGCGAGGYCCACCACAGCTCGTGAAATGGTGAGATCCACCACGAGCGAAGGAAGGGCGCTCCGCCGCTCGTGCAAGGATTGGGGCTTACGATGCTGAATATAGCGCAGCATCGAAAAGGCGATTCGTATTCTTCGCCTTCTTATAAGTTACCCAACAATTTCTCCTGATGGATACTTGAATGGCAGCATCATCATCTTCATGTCCAACCTCATCCATGGCGTTCATGTTCACAGGGTCCGGAGCGGAGGACGGGAGAGAGTGCAAACCCAACGCTGCAGGATTCGGTCACCGAACAGTCTAACTCCTTGCATCCTTCCTGCAGGACTGCATGCCCTAGAATAATACCTAATATGTGGAGCTGGTCATCCTGCTGCCATCATCATACCACCATCGGCTGCGATGTGATGTTCTTGCCAACAAGTCTAGGCTGATCCTACGAGTTGGATTACTTGCTAGCCGTCCTCCGTCCTCCGTCCAAACCGGATCGTCGCCCGTTTCCAACACATTCATCGAATTATTGCATTGTTGGCTTCATCTCGCTCTGTGCGCATGTGGCTTACCACAACTTCCAAATTGCCGTTCGTTCTAGGCGGTCCGTGTCTGCACGTGCGACGCAACAAACCGAGAACATTAACACATTCAAGCCAGCCCATACAGATGCGTACCATCATGCATTCTGTCATTGAGCCAGTCGGAGTTGAACGGCACATGTCCATTCAATGTTTCAGCTTGCGTACCACGTTTGACGCTCGTCGGGGAAATTCGTCCGCTGGAACTAGAGATACCAACATCCAACGTGACACAATCGACCTCGTCAACGTCGGGGCCGAGTGACAGTTTCTGTTTGGTGTGGTCCAACAGAGACACCTGAGAGGTAAGCGTCGCAAGCGGAACTCCTCCTCATGATGTGCGATGCTTCTTACTCGCTCATTCTACGCGCAATGCCCATTCCGCCTACCCTTGGAAAGTTGGTGGTGTCATGGAACGCTGGTATGGTGATGATATCCTGCTCCGTCGTTCCCGACGTGCTTACTACTGCCATCACCTGCTCTCAAGATCATCCCGAGCCTCAACGCGGCAAAGGGATGTTCCCTGGGATCGTCAAGATGGAACGCACAAGCGAGGTCGTGCCACACCTTGTCGCTGTCAAGATCTGAACCCGAAGCGTTTCAACAATCATTTCACTCTTTATCAAGCAACAGAATTCTGGTGACACACGTTCTCATCATGGAACACTCAATGGTTAGTAAGAGAAGCATCCTTTCTATAGCTAAGATGATGCAAGCTGCATTCATATACCTTGCTCGGCCTTTTCTCCTTCCGGCCCTTCTTTGTCAAGCTACAAGGATATACCATCTTTGATCAATAATATGAAGTGTTCGTGACACCACGCACCATCCATAGAATTGCGAGCGAGAGAATTGCCCTACTATGCGCCGCCAGATACCTCTGTTGCATAAAAAGCCGAGCTGTTGCTAGACATTGGCGAAGGCTCACKCGAGAGGACGTCACATATGGTATTTGGAGACCAGGCATCAACATATCGAGCAATCAAAGCCGATGCTGTCGTCGCCAAGATACCAGATCAGCAGTGTGCAGCCTCGACCTCGCTACTTCCAAGGAAGAAGTAGGCAGCCGTGTAGAATGCATTACTTCATGAGACCGTTCCAAACAGGTGCCGCGGGCAGCAGATTTTCTCTCCATAACCTACCACCAGTAGATAGAATGTCAGAGCTTAAAGTCCAAACCGTCATTCCACACCCCGAATCAACACTTTGCCATCCCTCCACTTCAGCTCTACCACCTCTCTCAGCCCTCCCGTTAGAAGTCCGAGAATACATCCAAACCTCCCTCACAATCTCTCTGGATGTGTCCACCTCAGACGCCATAGCAATCTCCGCCAACTGGTAAACCGATACAGATCACGATCTCTGCACCTTCCCACCTTCCCACCTTCCGACGTCTTCGAAATCTTCGATAGAGACAATGGCTGGACAATTTCTAAAAGCATCAGACCTTTGGTTCTTCGGGAGCAGATCCGAGAGACGGTAATGAAACAACGTATTTGCAGTTGGGAGTTGTCCAGCGCTGCATAACGCGATCCGCTAGTACTGACAAAAGGTATGCGGAGTCTTCTCCTTGTCTGTTACTCTTGCTGGCCTGGATCTCGCCCCAGGCTTTGAAGTTTTCTTCGAAGAGCGTCTTCATTCGCGCCATATCTTTGCTTGCCTGTCCATTCTCATTGGTCACAGGGATTTGCGTAATGCGGATCTGTGTGGTATCGCAGCAGACAATTACCAGTCCTGGCTGTTGAATCCCCCAGCGTCGGCGAAAGGTGAAGCGGCAAGGGCGGAAGGGGAACTAAGTACAAGACGCATCGGACTCTGCGCTGCGTTGAACGAAGAGACGACAGCAGAAAGCGATCGGTATATTACCTAATCCATTTCCATTTGCATAGTAGTAGTACTACACATTTCATTCTAGCAATCAATCACTTGTATGCAACGCCCTCGTCCTGTTCCAAGTCATTGCGGAGTAGGACCAGGCGCCAGCATCCCGTGATCGATAAAGGAACAGATGTGTACTCGCACAGCACATAACATGCAGTAACATTAATAGAAGCATCCACACTCATCGCTTTTCCCGAACACCAGCATTGTATAGCGCCGAAGACTCGTGGAGGTGGACATTCCGGGGGCCGTGGTCTGCCTCGCTTAGTGCATCTGTTCGCCATCCCTTGCTTGCTCAAACGCCTAGCCTAGCCTCGCCTACCAATTCCGTTCGAGTGGGCTTGGTGATGCACGCTGAGCGCTTGATTCTGGTAAAATGTTTAGTACTCATCGCCGTCTAGGAGATGATAATTGTTCACCAATAAGGCCGCGGCTCTTCGTAAGAACGCTCGTATCGACCGCCGTCACGGCGTGGCGGCGGCGGGCTCGCTGGGCGTCCACCGTAAGGCGCACGTGCGTGACCGTTGGTGTAGGGCTCGGGTTCGTATCCTCCGCGGCGTGGAGGGGGTGGGCCGCCGTAGCGATCGTCAGCTGGGGGACCGCCGTAGGAACCGCCACCGCGAGGTGGGTAGTCGTCGACTGGAGGGCGTCCGCCACGAACGTAGCGGTCATCTGGGCGGTCATCGTAGTATCCGCCGCGTGGTGGAGGAGTGCGACGGCGGTAGTCATCGCGGCGTGGACTGTACCCGCGTGGTGGTCCGCGGCGGTCGTAGTAGTCGTCAGGTGGAGGTCCTCCGTAGCCGCCACGGCCACGGTAGCCTCCAGGAGAGCGAGAGCGGTAGCGCTCGCGCGGGCGTGGGATCTCGGATTGAGGCTGACGAATGCGGTTAGTACGACCCGTGTAGAAGGGAATGCGACGACGTACATCAGAGATGCAGCGAACAGTAGCGCCCTTGAACTCGTTGTTATCGAGCTTCTCAACAGCGCTGGCCAAATCGGCTGCGGTCTCGTACTCGACAAAGCTTCTGCAAGGCATTAGTAGAGCCCCTTCACGCAGGCTAGGCGATGTCATACCCCTTGCCGTTGCCGCTTCCATCGCGCTCGCGGCCGACTTCGCTGTAGACGACGTCAAGTCCAGACTGGCGGGCAAAGTCCTTCAGGTCCTATAATCCGCAAAGTAAGTCCAAGCCGTTCCCAAGAATCGTGGCAGGTGATTTCCGCATGCCGAGTCGGATCGGGGTGAGAAAGCAAGAGCGGATGGCATAGCCAAAACAGGGCAGTAATGGCAGATGAAGAGGAGGCGACTCCGGCATGTGTCATGGCCAGGAACGAAGTGTGAGAGGGAGGATGTTGCTAACCTGCCAGCTGGTCTCGAAAGGGAGGCCAGTTATGGTCATCCGGTGAACGGTGCGGCGTGGACGAGGAGCCTGGCGTGGCTGATGCTCGAAGCCATCGCGAGGACGGGTGCTGCCACGTGCGAACTGGACAACGAGGCGCTCACCCATGAACTCGGAACCGTCTAGCCAGCGATAAATGTCAGCGATCGAGAGCATTACCACGAGTGGGAAACTTTGTGGCCCGCATGCGACTCGGTAGAGTGCCTCACAGGAGGGTGAACGTACGGAAGGCTACAGGGATATTAGTTAGCGAGCTGCGGCCACAAGTTTCATGCAAAGTGGGTACATACCAGGGACGACGTCACGCGCATCCATGGCGTCCTTGTACTCGATGAAGCCGAAGCCATTCATGAGCTTGATCTCGGTAATCTCGCCGGTGCCATGGGTGTTGAAGTGGTTCTCAACATCGGCCTTGGTAGCTGCAGCACAGGTCCGGGTCAGCGATGCCAGGTGTGGAAGGTTAGCCAGAGGCCGAATAGCGCGCCAGCTCCTGCTCCGGATCACCACGAAGGATGTGAGGACGCGCATGTATGCAGATGCATATGCAGATACAGGAAAGTACAGCACGGCGGAAGGATGCCCGAGTCACTGGAGCTAGAGCACCGATGGCCAGTCCTTCCTCCCAAGGCGCACAGCCGTCGTGCGTTATCCGGCCAGCGGCCACTGGGGAGAGAGCATACCGGTACGTGGCAAGTTGCCCAGGTAGAGCCTGGTATTGCTGACTTCAGACATTGTGGGTGGTGGTCTTGCGGGCGACCTGGTGGAAGGTGGAATCCGGTTGCGGATCGGGTCTCTTGTGTGCAGTGCGCGCCCTTGGTATATGGCAATGTGGTGGAGATGCGCACGCGATGAAAATACCGCGTTGGGGAGACTGGTGGATGCGCTGTTGATACAGTCGCGAGTGGTGTTGGGCGAAGGGTCAGGAAGTGAGGCGGCGATGAAAGAACGTCGACGCACGGAACCCTCTTGGCCGGGAATCACGATCCGCTCTCCGCCAATCACAAATCGCCGTACGGCCTTACCTCACAACGACCTCCAATAACCGAGCTCTTGTGCTCTCTGCGCCGAGCTGGTAGGTATACATTCTCTCTCTGTATACAAGGCGACTCTGTTGCATTCTCGCTGCCCCCGATTTTGCACTGGTTGGCTGCCTCACTCTAATATCCAGAATGGCCACCACCAGCATTTCCCGGGCAGCCGGTCGAAGGGTTCGCATGCAGCTGCAGGAGCTGTCGCCGCCATTGCCACTACCGCTTTCTCGAATACGATTTGCAGCCACGTTCAGCACAACCTCGCGACCATTCCTCCGAGCATACAAGCCGGCGGCGATCACAGCAGGCCAGAGACGTGCCCTTTCTAGTACCTCACGTAGGAAGTTTGCCACTGTAGAAGACCACCTCGATCCCTTGAAGCAAGAGCGCGAATCAGACGAAGTCGACGTCTGTATTGTGGGTGGCGGGCCAGCGGGACTGAGTGCTGCCATARAGCTCAAGCAGCTGGCCAACGATGCCGGAAACGAGGACTTTCGTGTGCTTCTTCTGGAGAAGGCCGGCGAGCTGGGAGACCATATTGTCTCTGGCAATGTGATTGAGCCATCGGCTTTGGACGAGCTCCTTCCCGACTGGCGGTCAGAGGACAACCCCAATCGGTTTGAGAACATGACGGCTGTCACCAAGGACAAGATGCGGTTCCTCACAAAGACGAGCGCTATCCCATTACCTGCGCCACCGCAGATGAACAACCATGGCAATTTCATCATTAGTTTGAACGAGTTGACCAAGTGGTTGGGCGAGAGGGCAGAGGAGATTGGAGTGGAGATATATCCAGGATTTGCGGCTTCGGAAGTCTTGTATACAAATGAAGGAGCAGTCAGAGGTGTCGCCACCAACGATCTGGGTATTGCTCGGGACGGAACACCCAAGGACTCGTTTGAGCGTGGCATGGAGTTTCATGCAAGGTGCACGCTGCTCGCTGAGGGTTGCCACGGTAGCTTGACAAAGCAGGTGATTAAAAAGTACGATCTACGGAGGCATAGTGCACCGCAGACGTATGGACTTGGAATCAAAGAGGTCTGGGAGATTGATCCTGCAAAGTTCGAGAAGGGTCTTGTTGCACACTCTATGAGCTATCCATTACCAGCGGACACATATGGCGGAGGCTGGATGTACCACTTCGGCGAGAACATGGTCTCCATCGGGCTTGTAGTCGGCCTGGACTACCCCAACCCATGGATGGCACCATACCAAGAGTTCCAAAAGATGAAGCACCACCCGTTCTACAAGCAGTATCTTGAAGGTGGCAAATGTATCTCTTACGGAGCACGAACGCTAAACGAAGGAGGCTTCCAGAGCATACCCAAATGTGCCTTTCCAGGAGGAGCTCTCATTGGTGATACCGCTGGTTTCCTCAACGTCCCCAAGATCAAAGGCACTCACACAGCTATGCGATCCGGTATGCTCGCCGCCGAGGCAGCCTTCTCTGCTCTAACAGAAAGCACCGACGACAAAGGCGACATCTTCCTGTTTGATTATGAAGACAAGCTCCGCAAGAGCAGCATCTGGAAAGAGCTCAAACAAGTCCGCAACATGCGTCCCAGCTTCCACACCGCTCTCGGTCTCTATGGTGGAATTCTTTACTCTGGTCTAGAAGCTTTCGTCTTCCGTGGAAAGATGCCTTGGACCCTCAAACACGGCAAGCCTGACCACGCCGCCACGAAGACCGCATACCAATGCAAGAAGATCGAGTACCCGAAGCCCGACAACAAGATCTCCTTTGACATTTTGACCTCCGTCTCCCGAACCGGTACCAACCACGAAGAGGACCAGCCTTGTCATTTGCAGGTCAAGGACTGGGACAATCATGCCGAAGCTGCGTACCCAAAATACAAGGGTATTGAGAACCGCTTCTGTCCTGCGGGCGTGTACGAGTATGTAGAAGATGAGAGCAAGGACTTGGGCGTGAGATTCCAGATCAACTCGCAGAACTGCGTGCATTGCAAGACTTGCGATATCAAGGTACCCGGGCAGGACATCAATTGGCAGACACCGCAGGGTGGAGAAGGTCCAAAGTATGTCATGACTTGATTGAGGGCATTATGAGAAAGAGGGAAAAGCAACAGCGGATGAGTTTTGCAGAGCGTGAAGCCAGATTGCCACGCGAGCGTTGTACATATCCTCCAATTTGAAGTTGGTGGCAGCTCCTCTTCCTATTCGGGTTCCTCACTCCTGCGTCTGTGACGGTCCGGTGCATCTTCTATTGCACTCCGCTCTCATCATATTTCAGCCAGATCGATTGGCGCTTTCGCGCGCCGATCCCCGTTTCTAGCACCAAAGAGTTTCCGTGCTGACTCTCGCAATAGCTTTTTGACGCCTGCCAGCTTCGATTCGGTGTTTTCGCAATGCCTGAGCACTGTGTTCAAGGACACCGTTCCATGGGTCGAGGACTTTACCTAACCACCTGCGAAAACCATCAATGACCATGRCAAGAAGAGGCAACATCAGACTCCCGATCTATCACCTACCTAGCATGTCTGGGTTCCGGGCAATCAATTGGACTTTACCTCTCGAATTGCCATTACATACGCTAGCCTTGATTTCGACCATGGGTGGAGGTCCTGTTTCCTTGAAGCCGCGCTGTGTGGGCTAGTTTCTGCATACTCATCTTTCAATCGCACTGTCTAGGCGCTTCTCTGCGAAATCTACCTCTGCACGGAAAATTTCGATCTCAACGCTCGCCAGTCTTCATTTACGCTCCCTTGAAATCCAAGAACATTAAACCGAATGACCGTCAACAGCTCGCGATGGGGTTTGTTAAGCTTCAACAGCCACAGACCGATCAAGTTGTAGGCTTTGTCGAGGAAGTCATGATAATCTTTAGTTGGGAACTCCGTCGATGGAACGTAATGAATGATTCCCGCCTTGTAAAACTTTCTCGCGAAATTCTCCCGGGTCTTACGGTCGATTTGAAGACCGAGTGGTGGCTTWTAGTTGCAGTCGATTTTAATGAAGCGGTCTGGTAGTTCGGAGGCGATCAACATGTCCTTGATCTCATCTTGTAATTCTTGCGGCAAGTTCTGGATGCGCTCGTCCAGTCCTGCTGGGGTGAGGCCGGGAGCACCCGTGGTGGTGGAGGTTGGCGTTGTCATGATTGCGGGAATTTGAAGGCGTGAAGTCAGAGTCGCTTACGGAGATACACAAACAGGGAATGCGGCGACCGCGCAATCTCGAGCAGTGCACTGCGGTTTCCAGGAGATCAATAGCCTCTCTTGCGGCGCCGTGCAGCTTGTGCTGGTGGAGACGTGAAAGTATAAGGTGATACGGGGTCGTCGTATCGTCAGCCTCGTACCGTACTTCAAATGGTTATGTTGTAAGGGTTTGTTGGGAGAACAGTGACTTGTGTTGTCGATGGTAGAGGGTTAGTAGGGCTTTGACGCTAAAGTTAGTGGCTTTTCGCCAAGATCATCACATGAATACAAAAAAAAGACCGGGATGTGGGACGACTTTGGTACTTGCGACAATTACAGTTTGCTCTTCAAAAACGCCACTGATAACACGTAGATGCACCTACAAGTCACTTGTAGATGTCATGACTTCCATGGGACGACCCTAGCCACAGATTTACATGGCAAGGAGGAACTGAAAAGACTTGCCCACGAGCTGGAATGCCACCCCGACGCTATGCAAGGATGCGGATCTGGAGTCTGACGATGGAAACTGTTCGCGCTTGGATCGTCTGCGTGTAAAGTATGCTCATATCGGCGACGAGCAGATCATGCATAGACTGAGGTGCTCAGTCGTCCAACTCGGTCCCGTATGGCCGAGACTTCTTCAGCCTTTTCTACGTGGAGAATAATCTGCAGCCACGGTCCTGATTTCATTCGCTGCTGTTGCATCTGTGACTTCGAGCGCCGTATTGTGTTATACAGCCTCAAGTGTGCTTCCAATAGAACTGACCACGTGAATCCACTGCGTTAAGATTCAAGCCACTGCGACTCGTTTAGAGAGCTTGAAGAGTGTTTTAGTAGATGTCCAACATCGAAAAACACAAGCGTGCGACTTACCGGATTCTGATTCATCGTGGACGAGCACCTCCTCCATGATTCCAACGTCATTCCTCGCCACGCCCTTCAAAGCGGAGACGCTTTGCTTGAGAAAGGCATTGCCAATCGCGATGTTGAACTTCAGTCGCGCTCCGAATGCCTCAATTGCGAGCACAAAGATCACATGTCTCCAGCCATCATTGCAGAGCATCGTGGTTCGAGGGGCTTGAGTGACATCGATCTGCAGGGTTTGCAGGAGCTCAATGTGTGACTTTTCCAATGTGCCAAGCCAGCGGATCACAACATCACACGCCTCCTTCATAGGTTCGGCGAGGCCCCACACCAGGCACGGGATCGGCGCCGGCTTAGCCATCGTGACAGCATCGTGGTAGGCGCCAGACTTGTAGTACTCCATCGCGAACCTCTCGCGGCTTGCGCGATCGATCTGTAAGCCTAGAGGGGGCTTATAGGTACGGTCGAGAACGATGAGGCCGTCGGGCAATCCCGACATGATCAGTGTCTCCTTGATGTCATCCTGAAGTTCCTGCGGTAGGCTCTGCACTCTCTTGTCGAGCTCTTCGACGGCGAGCTGGTCGGGCAGCGGAGTGGTAGTCATGACCTTGAGGGCCTTGGTAGCTTCGGATGTTGAGAGAGTGGGGTCGCCGGTTATGGTCTCGAGATCCTCACCGGTGGTGACGGTGAGCTTCTTCATTGTACTGAGTATGCGACTGATGGAATTCCCAAGGTGCTCGCCAGTGATCATGTCGGAATCGGCCATGATGTTGAGCGGATATCGATGTGCTCTGATGCGTTATTTGCACGAGATGGAAGCTTGATGATTGTTTCGATGACAGACTGGACAGTGCTTGTAACCGAACTGATGTGCTACTGCACCGAGATGCGGCAGGTGCAAACGCGGTGGAAAGGACACTTCCAGAATCAAGTCTGTTTGCTGCAAACAAACGAAGGGCCCGACAAAACAGCGAATTCAGTGGATCACCGCCCGCCAGATTCACTGTGTCACATGAAGAGATGTTAGACTGGCGGGGATGCTAGGCGACAGTGACAGTTGTAACAAGAGTAGAACAAGCGCGGCTGAAATTCAGAATCGCTGGGATGATAGAATTGCTTTCTTCAGAAGATGATAATCTGAAAATCAAGTGACTGCATGTCAAGCATCCGATCCTTCCTCATTTCACGAGGGGACAATTGTCGTAAAACATAAGCTGTTGCCCATTGTCCGACTGTACATCCTCGATGACCTTCCTGGGTCCATTCCCGCTATATCGACCTACGCTTCATTTCATTTGCTCGCTTTGCACAGCACTCGCTGATTGCGCAGCTACTCCGTGGTTCAATCATTGACCGCAGGCCCAAGCAAATTCCACCCCTGGTGATGTCTTCACCTAATGTTGGCATGCCATTTTCGAAAGTCTGCAGGTTGACCGCTGATTGATCATTCTTCAATAGGCTCGCGGAATAGGTCGACTCCGTGGGTTTCATCGGATAGCAACGCCTCGTCCATTTGAATGGCAACGATGCCATGCCCGAGCAGATGGATCCAGACACGTGATGTGAGTGCGGACCACGCCAGATTACATTCATCGGAAATATGCTTCGGAAACCAAGTGATCCCAGTGACCCTGCATCTCATTTCACCAACGTCGAATCGAAGGGTTGCGATGTGCTGGATATGTAACGTGCTTAAGGTCCATAGCCAACGCCGCATTTTTTCGTATGCGTGGTCGAGGGACTCGGCTGGCGAGTAAACTTCTGGATCATACTCAACCACACGATGGCTTAAGAGCCGGTAGAACTCCTTAGCGAACTTCTCGCGGCTCTTATGGTCGATTTGTAGTCCGAGTGGTGGCTTGTAGCTATCGTCGATGTTGACGTAGCTCGAGGGCATTCCATCATCAATGACCAGCTCCTTGATCCAATCCTGGAGTTCCTGTGGCAGATTCTGAATCCGATCGTTGAGTTCCTCGGTTGTGGTAGAGCTTGATGCAGTCATGGTGTTGTCGAGGTCGATGTGATTCGCGGTAATCGAGTTGTTGGCCATGGTGCCGATGAGGTCGGATGCTGTGCGTGATGACGTATGGTCTTGTTGCTGCTGCACGGTATTGTGCGGTGTCGCCGATGGAGCAGAGGTGAAGTGACACTCGACTTCTCTTCTGATGTGGAGTCTTCGCGCGCGGCACTTCTTGAGCAACAGAAGGTGGTGAAGTGCGGTGCCGAATGTGAGGGCAGCGTCGTTGAACTGTCGATCGAGAATTGTGCGCGTTTCCAAGAACTCGAAGATACTTGTTTCAAAGATCAGAAGTTGATCGTAAGAGAAGAAGGGTCCATCAAACTCTCTCGTCCGCTCTTGCCGCAATCGGTTACCCTCACGCCAAGCTTCACATGCAAAAGGCGGGAATGTCACGGACGCAGGGAAGACATTGCCCACTCACCGCGAATCGTCAATCGGCATACACAAGTATCCAGCAACTAACCAGGCTCCACACGTGAAAGATTCTATGACATTGCTCCTCAAGACAAGAAGGAACAACTCGAACCACAAAACTTCATTCCGCGCGAGCGCTCCATCTGTCCTTTTGGTCATCTGTATGTACGCTCACAGAAGAACATCCCAAGGTATCTCAATTCCCCCCAAACGCCTTGAAAGCCCAAGACAGAAATACGAAAAAGCCGTTCACAACTCATCTCCCAAACTCACCCCCAACCCCTCACCATCCCATTTCCTCGTCTTCAGTACTCTCATCTTCTTACTCGGACTCCTCATCCCCATCTTCTCCCTCTCCGCACTCGCCAACTGCTCCCTCAACCGTGCATTTTCATCTTCAAGTTCTCGAACTCGTGAAGTCTGCTTGCCGCCATCAAAAACATTCTGGTTCTCCTTATCGTCGTCCTCCCAGATCTGTATGGCACCGGCATCCAGTCCCTTGGCAAATACTTCCATCTTTCGATCGACATGCTCATCAGCGGCGTCTAGCTCAGCATCTCGCATCGCTCTCCACCTCCTCATCTCGTTATCCATCCTCCTCTCCATCTCCTCGCAGACTTCTTCTCGGATCAGTCCCTCAACTTCGTCAAGTCTCATCTCAGCTGTGGTCCAGCTCGCCTCGACCTCCACTCGCCTCTGCGTCTCCTCTTGTAGTTGCAGTTGAGTGACTTCCAGTTGCTCCTTAAGCCGCGCAGCCTCTGCATAGCTGGCCTCTAATTCTTCCAGGATCGCAGAAGGTGTGACCGGCCGGCCGCTGGAAGTAGCTCGGAGTGTCGCACTTAGAATTGTAGAATTTACTGATGGGATGCGAGGTACTGTGACTTCTCGGGCAAGAGCAGAGTAGCGTAGGATCTGAGAGGTTGCGTTGAAGTCTCCAAGTGGGTCGGCTGTGACGATCATGATGGCTTTTTGACTCGCCTTGGCAATTGCATTGTGACCGCCGTGGTGTGGGAAGGAGTTCGAGAAGAGGAGCTCTGTGAGTTTACATTGGCGGAAAGGAACAAGAGCTGGTGTTGCGGAGTGGGCATTGTCGGATTGCATTTGCATGCATTGACCCAAGTACATGAGGGACTCGTTGATCTTTCCGGCTTCGGCCAGAGTGCTGCCCGTTGTTTGAGCGGCGCGTGCACGTTCGGAGCCTGTACTTGTTAGTGGACTGAAGGCTGCTTCCAGGCAATGGGGCAGTGGCAATGCTACTCACCAGCAAGGTCAACGATGGTCATCGTACTGCTCGACCATGCTCCAGGAACGCCATGACCTCGATGCCTCTTCTTCACTTCAACACAGAAGAAGCCGTGACTCCGAGAACTGGCAGAGTTGCTACCGGTGCCTGTGACTTTGCGTTCCTGCAGGCCAGTCTCAAGTACAAGGAGAGCCTCTTCAAGAGTTGAGCAGACGACTTTCCTCAAGCCAGTCACAACCTTGCGATCAGGACTGGCTTCGGTGCTTTTAAACAAGAGTGCTCTCCTCTTCAGAGGATTCACCTTTCCAGCTCCAATGGAGGGCGTGAGTAGGTCAAAGATTCGGTCGTTGTAGACCTCGTACATGCTAACAAGAATAGCGTATTCGGCGTCCGTGTCGATGTTGATGGAAATATCGCTGGTCGAGGGAGATTGTGGAAGAGTGGACACTCTTGGGAGATACCGTTTCGAGGATGGGGCGGATAGGAAAGATGAGTCGGTCTGTTGAACACATTGTGTGAGTCTGGTAGTTCCGCGGGCGAAGTGAGACAAAGGAGACTTGGTAGGCGAAACATGTGACATGCGATACTTGTTGARAGAAGGGTATAGACGTTCAAAGACGCCGCTGTGTTCTGGAGGTGGTGACGGAGATGAAACATGTTCAGGGAAAGCGCCCGGAAGGCGAGAAGAAGGGGAGTGGTGAGAGGTTGATGAGAAAATAGAATCGCGCACCATTGCAGGCGTGGCGGCTCGCGACATGCGGCCGGAGAATGTCGTGTTGCCCACATCGCCGTCCAGAAATAGTGATGCCGTGCAGATAGATGCTTCCGAGACATCGGACTGACAGAGGGAGTTGTAGGCCGTGTCGTTGTAGTCAACGTCGGCGAGATATTCGTCGGTGTGGGCGAAGAGGACATCGAGCGTTAGTTGTGTGAGTCCACGCTGCGATTTCGATCCGAGGATGGTGTGTGACTGGACGACATATCAGCATGTTTCCTTGTATCCATCTTTTTTGAGATGAATATCCACCTTTCCACTGCCCGTCACTCCCAATGTCGCCAACAATCCATCCCGTCCCTCTCGTCCACTGTTGCCCAGCACGCCCTGGATCTGCTGCACAATTCCCGTCGTCTGGAAGATCTCTTTCTGCCCGATTGCTTCCTCATAGACCCGCGTGAATGCGAACCGCTCAACTGCTCGCTTTCTGGTATCTCCAACCGGCGGTTTGATGGTGATGTGTGTTGGCGCGCTGTAAACTGCGGGTTCGACATCCAGAAATCGCTCTCGGTCAACTGCGGGCGACGGTCGCAGGCGCAAAAAAACATCGAATAGGGCCGTCGACGGCTTGGAGGCTTCCATTGTGTTGGATTGTGTAAATACTCGGTCTTGGCTCGTTCTCCAGGATGTCCTACATGTAATCTTGAAGTTCGGAGAGCTCGAGCCCAAACTTCGCCGTTGTGCCGGGCAACGGGACGCGCTAATGATAACACGCTAGTGACGCGCCGACTCCACGTACACGGTACACCTATGAACAAGACTTTACCACTGCAGAGTACCACATCTGTTCATCATCTCCCACTCACCGGCCACATATTGAGGTTTGTTGTCAATCAATTTTGGTACCATTTCGTGTCCCAATTCTAAAAGAAGATCAATTACACCTTGTCCCATTTTAAAACTCCGGTCCATTCTTCCGTCCTGCCTGTGCTCAAACATTTCCATCCCGTCATTTTGGTAGCATTTCATCCTGTCAAGAGCGGCCGGCAGAGTACCATGAAAATAATCGACCCAATTACCGTCAAGCAGACCCTCAGCCCAATCCCGGCTAAGCCACAATCAACCTCGACGCCTCGACCTCCGTCCTACAAGGCCCAACGAGGGTCAAGCAAGATGAGTGGATACCTGTTAGTCTCCACCAAGGGCTTGACAAACCACCAAGGTGTCATCCGCAAACGAAACACTGTATCAAACATTCCTGCAATCAAATACTTATCCACCCTGGTCGAGGCCTGCGCTCGCAAGTTCTCGCGATGATAAGCATAATAAATCATGGTCTTGTCAGCATGAAATGTCTCGAGCCAGATGACCAGATTCGCCCAGCACGGTTTGTAGGATATCATGAATTGACATTTCGTCGACCGAAGTTGAGGCATGAGCTTGCTTACATGTTGCMGCCAATGCTGAGTTGGCATCACGTCGAAGAACCTGGTGTGATGATGAAAGGTGTTCTCCGCGTAGAATATGGCGTGGGCTTCGGCGCGGATCTCCTTGCAGGTGCCGAGGAGACCGCTGTTGATGTTGTATCCCGTGGATGTGACCGGGACAACGTTGGTCGAGACGAGGCAGAGGCGGTAGATGATGTTCTTCATCTCGCCAGGGAGTTTGAGAAGGTAGCATGGCTCGACTTCGTTGGACGGCTCGCTAGGCGGTGGGAGGCGATAGGATGGCTCGACTGGGTCAGATGGGTCGCCTGCATCAGACTGGTACGAGTCTTCCAGATCAGACGAGTCGTCTGGCCCACATGAGTCGCCCGATCCAGATGAGTCGTCCGGACCAGATGATTCTGGGTCGTCCTGCTCCGAGCTGGGCTCGTCTGGTGGTGGCGACGACATTATATTGGCGCACTGGATGTGAGACCCCAGAGAGCTGACGCAAGCAACCCGTTTCAGGGGTGTTCGAGTTCGATTGTTGTGTTGTGGTAAAAGTTCAGGAAGCCGGAGATTGAGAGGGCAAGTGTTGGTCCTGAGCTTGGGGAGCGAACAGCGATGCGTCGGTTAGCATTCCCGGACCAACTTTGAAACTGCATATTCACTGTCCAGGAGCGCCTGCAGTCAGCCGTGCGTATCAGCCATGATGCTCGCTCTCACGATGCCCGCTAGCACGACTCCAGAGAGGCAGCAGTAGACTAACACTCAACCTTTACCAGTTTGCGGAATGGAAAAAGATGGCTATAGCAACGGCGTATTTGCTTCCAACACGTTCGAAACCCGGCCTCAGGAGGAGCCCCTGAGCACTCTTTATCCAGCTTTCCGCAAGCAGGACACGGAGAAACACATGCGGACAAGTCTCGGAGAGGACCATGTCATACTCGTGGCAAGGGCCTATGAGTTGGTTGGGATATCTCCAACCCTTAAATCCCTTAAGAGGTGCGGCGAGCACACATCCGAGGGTGTTGTTCACCTGTCCTTTACAAACCACATTGGTCGCCAAATCTACCAGCTTCGCTGCTGGAAGTGTCCACCATGCCCGGTTGAAGTTTGCCACACACACTTTACTGCGATGGATGAAAGAAGCCAGGACTTTCCGCCGCGACCAGTACGGTATCATCAGCTGGATTGACTGCCGCAAAGCCTCCTCCGATGAGCGCTAGGTATCTGACAAGTTCAGGAGACAGACGACATGCTTTCAGTATTGGGTAACTAGCATTTGACCTATGCTAACACCCTAAGCGACTTCCACATCGCGTTCCTATGCGTCTACGCACGGAGTGATCATGAACACAAGAGTTACAGTTTACGCCATATCGCGTAATCATTATTGGTCATTTACCATTACAAGTTCCCGTTGTTGGCCAGCAAGTTGGGGCTGCCATTTCCGGCATCCTGGATCACGTCCTTGAGCGCAAGCTCCTGAATTCTGGAGCAAAGCTCACGAGGAGTCTTCTCGCCCTCCAAAGCGATGAGATAACTAGGAGATGATTAGCAAGCTTCATATGTGAGAGGAATGGAGAAACTTACGCTGCGAGACCAGCAATCTGAGGGCAAGCCATCGAAGTTCCGCTGATAGTGTTCGTAGCCTTTGAGCTGCCAATCCACGCACTAATGATTTGATTAGTATCGTCACACTCCCTGGATCAAAGGAACGACTGCTTCGAACTTACCTAGTGATATCCTGACCCGGCGCAAAGATATCGACAAGCTCTCCATAGTTTGAAAATTCGGCGCGAACGTCTTCGTCGGTAGTGGCACCGACAGTGCATGCTTCGGGGGCGGAAGCTGGGGAAGAAGTAGATGCATCTTCGTTCTCGTTACCAGCTGCTACAGCGACGAAAGCACCCTCTGCAACGGCTTCCGTGATGGCGTCGTTGGTGACTTGGCTGAATGGACCACCGAGAGACATGGAGAGGACAGTGCGTGCGATGTGTCCGTTGTCCTTGGCGTTTTGAACGGCCCAGTCGATGCCCTTCAGGACACCGGAGTTACTGCCAGATCCGTCTGCTCCGAGGACCTTGACAGCGATGAGGTTTGCTTTCTTAGCCTGCAGGGACAGTCAGTTGTGGAACTTGATGGTTCAAGAGAGATGACCTACAACACCGTATTTGGTACCGGCAGCGATTCCAGAGCAGTGGCTGCCGTGACCCTGGTCATCCTCACCATCGGAGCCCTTGATGAAGCTCTTTCCCAGCGTAGCGCGGCCGCCAAAGTCGTCATGCTCAACATTGATACCGGTATCAATAACGTAGATGTAGGTATCCTGGCCAGCAGAAGCGTCGTAGACATAGCTCTTGGCTCCTGGCTCGGAATGAGAGAGTCTTGCCAGACCCCAAGTAGAGCCATTCTGCGAGACAAGGGAGCCGTTGGCAAAGGGAGCGCTGTACGAGTCCTGCTTTGCGATTGGAACATTGGCATAGACTGTGAAATCTGGCTCAACGTGCTTGATTGCTCCTACAGATTGGAGCATATCCAGGACGGCATCGTCTCCATCGAAAGAGAATCCCTTGACTGAGCCAATGGTGTAGTTGGACTTGGACTCAATACCTGCGGTATCAAGAACGGTGGAGAGGACGCTGTCAAGGGCTTCATCGTCCTGGATACGAGCAATCCAAGAGCCGGGGATTGTAGCCGCGGACTGAGTTCTGATGATGGTTGGCACGGCAGATACTGCCTGCAGTACCTTTACAAGAACGAATGTTAGCACGACATGCGTGAGAAAACGCTTTCAATCTCCCGCTCCATATTCAAGCCGCAGTTGTGCGCTAATGGAGGAACTTGAGCTTTCTGGAGCGTACGTACTGCTGTGACGCCGAAGAGGAAAGTCGTGGAAGAGTGCATGTTTGCGGAGAATTGGCTTCTTCTGGCAAATGAACGTGATTGAAAGAGTGACAAGAGATCAACCAAAAGAGGGAATACGACAAGAAGAGTGATGCGGAGGATGGATGAAAGAGCACTCACAATGGAAAACAAGGCAGCATAATATACCATACCAGCTCATGCGTGAGCAACGACGCCATCCTGAGATGTCCATCCACCTGAGATGATCATCGCCAACCTCGCCGAGGCGAGCATACTGTCCGGAGATGGAAAGTAACTTTCTGATAAGCTGTTTACGAATGACAGTCCGTATGTTCTGGAAACCGCACAGTCTCTCATGGCGGGAAAGGCTGATGGGTTGTTTCATCGTCCCGTTGTAAAGTCACGAAGACTGTACATTTGGGTTGTGATTCATGGTCATTGGTTGGATTTGAATCTGCTCACGAAAGGGGAATCACAGCGCAGAGGGAGGTGTTATGCTGCATGCAGCGCATCTCGTCTTGTTCGCAAAGCCGATTCGCTCTTCGGTGATGCCGTAGTGCCTCTCCACAATGTGCTCCAATGCGGCGAGCAGAGCAGCGAATGAAAGATGTTCCAAGCTCCGTCAAGTCGAGTCGGACGGTCTTGGTAGTGGTCTTAACTCCCATTGAGTGGTGCTGTTCTCAAGCTTCGAAGCTACGCCTGGCAGGATCAAGAAGATTGCAATGGAAGAGAAGATGTTGCCGAGGATTGGGTGGAAGGAATCTTGGCAAGCGATCTACGCCACCGCTTCATCTTTCAAACAACCAATCACAAGCCGTATCGCCCGCGGGAGAAGTACAGTCCTTCAAGTTGAGGTGAGTAGCGCGGCACCCCGGTCCAATCCTGGTCGCTGAATCAAATCTCATGAAAGTTGTCATCAATCTAGAATCAAAATGGCGACCAGGGTGCTACGCGCTACTTATCTCAACTTGAAGCACTGTCGCCACAATGCTATCTGCTTTGGTGTGGAGGCATGGCATGGCATGGCGTTTGGAGGTAGATCATCGATTCGTCAATAGTAATTTCTGGATGATAGTTATATGAGAGTTGAACAGTGGGCAGATGGCTCTCGAAAAGGACGATCAGATTGATGCAGAAGAAGCAGAAGATGCCCCAGGCCGAAATTTGCCGGTCGACCATCGTGGTCTGCCGACCTTGCTTTCTCGTTCACTTTCCTACCATTCGTAACACATCAACATCGAACCTGCCTTTTGAATCTTGGAAYTGACATCTATGAGTAATATTGCTCTTCTCGGGCTCTCCCGCGCCCTTTCACGATCGGACGGGTCTGATGAGATTGAAGACACATAGAAGGTTTACGATTGTGCTTGAGGAGAGTTTTAATTCGGAGTCTAGCTATGCCATGCCACAGCGGCTGCTTTCACTGCTTTCGCAGCAGTAGTGTTTACTGAAAGTTTCGCCTTTTGTTGGTGAGTGAAAGAAAATGCAGGATCATGTACAGCCGATAGTGTGTCATAGCCGCTGATGCTGTCGGTGGGGTCGCTACTATCATTGATATCGTTGATGGTGATGGTGTCATGGTCCCATTTTTGTTGTGTTGCTATCGACCTCCTTGTCGATGTTATGTGGTGCCCATCGGTGTGTATACACGCTTTGAGCTGGACTCACTGACCGCGGCGCCACTTCTCAATGTAGTAGTTACGTTCAGCCCGAGTCCCAGGGTAGAAGTGAGACGGACCCCGGGTGGGTGGCATCTGACGAGGAGCTTCGCCACGCAGGCTGTTGCTTCTGCTAGTGGCTGAGCGGTAAGGAGGCGGCATGGAACCCGCTTGCCACGCGCTATCCCGCGAGCTGCTGTACGAGGGTGCAAGTACAGGCGAACGATTGTGTTGGCTTGCACTCGTGTAATCCGGCAGCGCGTCGTCGCCGTAAAGGTGTGGAGCAAGGCGTTGATTGCGTTGGTGGTTGTAGGCGGACGAGCTCATCGAATAATCCGATGCATGAGCAGAGTGCATTCCATACTGTGAAGACCAGACGCTGCTTCCGTAGTAGAATCCCTCGCTGTCCCTGTGCGCGTGAGAGGTACTGGCGGCGCTCGAATGACGGGAGCCGTCCTGACTAGGATGACGGGAGCTGTGAACGCTGGCTGGATGTGAACTCTGCGAACTGGGGCGCAGCGAGCGGTGAGGGCTGACTTGGCGGGAGCGGGGACGCTCGGGACTGCGAGCACTTTGACGTTGTGGGCTTCTTGATCGTGAGTCGAATAGTGCAGATGGGCCTGGTGAACGCGTTCTGTGCTGAAGGCTTGAAGACGGCCGAGGAAATACAAACGAGTTCGCATTGCTCTGGTGTTCGCGCTCACGCTGGGAGTCTCTGCGCGGTTTGTGCTCGGACATGATGGGAACGAGTCTGGTTGAAGGTGTTTCGAGGCTGCCGCGCGCGATTGTTCGAGGGATGTGGCAGGAATATCGGCTCCCAAGAGCTGTTGCAAACCGAAAATCGAGACGAAGACCGTGTCTATCGTGCAGACTAGCCAAGAGTAGTATTGTAGGTTGGCTTCTGTTCAAAAGGTGTTGTGATCGAAGCTGCCGGGAAGCTGCGTTGACCGAGGCGAGTTGGAGTATGTTACGTTTGAAGGTGTCTGGAAATTGTTGTAACTGAGAATATTTATGCTTGTAAAAGTTGCTGTGGCCCGAGCTCGAGGAAGCTGAGTGAATATGTGTTTCACAAACTGAGGTGACGAGAAGAGTAACTTTTCGCAAGCACGAGACCGGCTGTGGCTGCTAAGATGATGTCTCTTCCCGGGAACTGCCAAGACAAAGAGCAGAAGATGCGCCCACCACACTTGGAGGATGCTATGGCTGAGGACAGTCGGGTGAATGCACTCTCGCAGGACTGCCCCAGAGGGTCAGAGCGCGCGATACGATCTTTCCGAGAGCGTTCCGGAGAAGTCTTTCTGCGTGGTATGTGCTTGGCAGAGCTACTCCGGCCGTGAAGAATAGTCGAACGAGAGGCATAATTGGCGCATTCCGCATAATTAAATTTCAAGAGATGTTTGGACTTCCTCAGATCGTCATTCTCGGTACGCTCGTAAACTGATATAGATGTCAGGTATCAATAGGCTGCTTGAGATTCAAGCCAGCTCCCTGTTGTACGAGACATTACTGTATCCATGAGAGAGGATGGTCGCAARACAGGATGCAGCCACCTTGACCTGCAGAAGTTCGCACCATTTGGCAAGCCTGCCTGAAGAGGCATTATTGGATGACACGACGGGAAGCTTGTTTCGCATTATCTCCTTGCCGGATGTGCTATCGACCAAAGCTTTTTGGCCCTCCGGTTTGCAGGCMCAAAATTGAGAAAGAGCCTGGCAGGTCTGCGATCCAGATCCGATCCCTGAACAGCTTCGCATGCGCCTCACTCAAATCCTGTCTCTTTTTATAATCAACTCTCACGTCTCTCATCAATACACACCCAAATCCCTTCCTGCATTCGCCAACAACTCCCACACCCGGCCCGGCAACTTGAACCGTATCAGCCCCGCGAAGACCATCACATCCCTCGCAGCACCCATGCATCTCTCCACGACCTGTTCCCGCATCCCCGTCTCCCACCCTTGACTCTTCAGATATTCCACTTGATTCGCCGCAGCCGCAACCGTCCAGACCATGACGTGTCCGACGACTCTCTGCACAACTGTGGGCATCATTTCGAATGCTTGTGCTTTGCTGCGAATGGCGCTGATATTTCCACTGACATCCGTAGGAAGAACATCGGAGGACGTGACAGCATCGATGACAGCTGCCCATCGTCCTGCGTCGAGGGCGGTGCGGGCTTGCGCAAGTAGGAGTAGCACGTCGCATGCRTCGGAGTGTTTGCGGTCAATTCGTGTGTGGTACATAGCGTCGGAGTTATAGAGAGATTTGATGTCTTTGGCGAGTTGGACTGGGTCGTCGATCGCTGTCAGACTGAGAGAGCTTTGCACTGCGTCTTGTGATTGGTTGTTGTACGCATTGTCCGTGTTTCTGGGCCGGAGCGAGATAAGACGGGCAGGTTGGTCGCCCATCTCAGTCGTGAGCGCTAGCGACAGGGCATCGTTGACGACGGCAAACACTTTGTTGTAGTCCTCAGCAAGATGGTAGAGCAGTGCTGCGTCAGTCGYCCGGCCATGCTCCTCTGCTGTTCGGGCGGCAACCAAGGTAATGTGCTTAAGGAACTCGCGCTCATTGTCAATGTGGATGAGCCGGAGGCGTTGTTCGATAGCTCCTTTGATGCGTTGGCCGTCGGCACGAATGTCGCCAAGGAGCTGTGCGAACTCGCGTGTTTCGAGGACGACTTCTGTCAGAGCTTGGTGGCACAGCTCTCGTTGGGCCTTGCCAATGTCGCCTTGTAGATCGGCGTTGAGGCAGATGAGGGTGATGTAGTCAATGGCAGCGGTGGCGTTGGCGGTCCGGAAGTCGCGTGTGTAAAGGCCGATCATACTGCCAAACGCGATCTGTGATTGTTGGCGAGTGGTGTATGTGAGGAGATCTTCGCTATTGCTGATATCGCTAACGCGAAGAAGTCCGTAGAAGTCTAGTCCAATGGCAAAGTGAACAGCAGAAAGGTAGTTGTGGGGATACAAGTCGGCGATTGCCTTCTCAAACATACCAGCCAGGACCTGCATGAAGAAAAAGGTCGTGTGTGCGTTGGCAATGTCACTACCAGGGCCAAAGTACCGCTCGCCAATGTCCTTGATGGATTGTCGGACTTCTGCAAGACTGAATGCCTCGTGCGCAAACTCGTCTACACGGTTGTACTCTCGTGCGAGGGAGAATTGCAGCCAGATCCAGTCCATCATGTCGTTGGTGATGTTGTCCAAACTTCGCCGCCCAAGATCACATCTACCGACGACCTTGTAACACATCATCCGGTAGGGATCGATGGAGCTTTCGGGCGCCAAGCGTTGTCGCTGCGAGTATTCGTTGCTGATGGATGTCTGAATGTCGACTGGGAGTCGATGCTCATCGTTGTTGACGTATGCCTTGAGGTAGCGGGTAAACTGACGATCGATCTGTCTGAAGGCGCGATCGTTTTCCTCGACGTACTGCAAAGCTTCTGTGTAGAGACCGGATCGGAGGAGGTAGAAGATGACGGCCCAGCAGTAGTCTCCGTTGATGTCTTGCAACACCTCAACGTCAGGACCAAGTTCTTTTCGAGCAGCCCGTACCCTGACGTAGCCCTTGGCTTTCGCAAGAGCGGTTGGGACACCTCCCGTGTTGGCCTCACGGGGGTTTTTGGTCACGACAGCTTCAACCTGGTTGAGGAAGAGCTGCTCAAGGAACTTCCGCGACCCGACGAGGATGCGTTTGCGAACGGCGATGTTACCGGGCGAATTTTCGGCATCGTCGAGATATCCTTGCATGTATTGACGCTCCTTGACGACGCCAGGCTCCGAGACATTCTCCTTTGTGGCATCCTCTCCTGTGATCTGCACCAGCGCCTTGTAGGCGTTGAGCAGCATGGATGTATCCTCATTCGACGGCTCGGCCTCAACTTCTGCAAACCTGGTCAGGATGGGATAGACCTTCTCCTGCAGCCGCGCGATGTTGAGATCCTTGACCCGATCCGAGTATTTCTCCTGCTTCCTGCGCAGCATGCCATCTTCCGGGGCCGGACGGAAGCCTTCAGCGGGCATCTTCTCCGCCACATCACCAAAGACACTGCTTCGTCCGCCTCTTCCCGTACTGCCAATCACCGACTTTGCCATGCCTGACATTCCAAAGGTCGACCTCCCTGCGGTGGTGGATGTGCGGGGAGCGCGTCGCGACGATCGTCCAAAAGCGGAGGCTCCTCCCACCGATGCGCCATTCATAGCTCCTGCTGTAGCATCGTCCTCTGCTTGCGGCCTCTTGAGCCCAAAATGCTCGTAGATTCGTTGGCGATGCGCGTCCCAGTCTACCCCGTGCAACCGCTCTTCAATCATCTGGTCGAAATCGTCGTGGGCGCGCGCAATGTGGCTCTCGACCATCTTCTGGAAATCACTCTGGTGTCCTTGCGCCAGAGTCTCCCTGACTGCAGCAGTCGGTGCCTCTGTAGGGATAGGTTGTGATGCGCGAGGCCCGACCAGATCGTCCAGATCGCGCAGAGCCTGGCTGGTGTTGACGCCCGACGCGGACAGCAGATAATGCGCCCGCGCATCTGTGAAGCCTTTGCCCAGGTTGCGCACTTTCTTCGCAATGTCGCCGAGTCCGAGCTGAAGTTGAGGCTCCTCGTGGGCATTTCGTTTCGTCCCACGCTCGAGCAGCGCCTGGAAATAGGCTGGCGCGCCGGCACTGGGACCTGCACCGGCGACGCTCTGTCCCGGAGCGGACATGGCGAGAGAGCAGGGAAGGGGCGGTGATGGAAAATACGCAAAATGTTTGTTGCGGGCCAAATGTTTACAAGGAAACGCGATCAGCTTCGAGAGCTTGGAAGCCAAATTGCATGGCGCTAGCGATTGTTAGCGGAACTCTCCGCTTTACTTCGTTGTAAGTTGTAACTGGTGCCGACTTTCAACACTAACACCACATGCAACCACACTCTCTTGAATCATTACATCAAACACTTCCACATTCGACAGAACTATTTGGCAGTCATTATCAACAACACTTCCACAATCAACCATGGCGGGCTTCTTCGGCCCTTGTTCTGAACCTAAGGTACTATCGACGCCGACCTCCACCTCCTTCTCAGAACCTTGGATGGCCGCCTTAGCTTATTAAGATTTTTCCTTGGCTTGCCCAAGGAAAAAAAAGACCCTCAACCGTACCTACCTTACTACCCAGGTATATATAGATAGGGCAGGAACACTAGCTACGGAAGTCACACCTATACAGGGAAATCACGAAGCGGCTGAAAGTAGATAGGCCGACCTCACTTCATTGCTCGAGGAGAACCACGAGATTACCCCGCCACGCGACGGTCTGAGTAGCATCTCAATATCTTCGTACAGCTCTTTTACAGGCCGCCATCCTGCTGCAAAGACCTTGCTTCCCGTCCACATTCACAGTACTGCGACCCTGGAACTGGCAGGAAACTTCGCCTACTGTCGCCGCGGAAATTCTGACGAAATACATTGCATGTGACAAGACTATTCAAGACCTGAACGATGTCGCTATCGAGCACATTCGGGGCAAAGCCAAAGCTCAGGATGCCTAGTCTGATGATCAAGGTCCGAGCTACAGCAATGCGTGGGCTTGGATGGGAATGGCGCCCGATCGGATTCAGCGACGTACCAAAGCTGAGCATAAGTGATGAGAATGAGCAAGAGAACCGCGCCCTCAACTGCCCTCTCCGTTGAATAACGGGGCACTCTGCTAGTAGTAAAGGTTCTAGCAGCTCGACAGATTACAGGCATCTTGGGCTTCACCCGCTCAGACCAGGTAAGGGATTATGGTGCGATTGAGTCTTTTATCTCTATTACGAGTACTCGTGTCGACTTCCACGCGAAAGACCGTCTGAGTTCATCAGCAATGAAGCGGATGACAGTAGTTTAGGAGTTCAGAAAAACCAGCAGTGCGCATATGTACTCGGAAGTATTCGCAACGTTTCTGTCAGAAATATAGGCATTGGCATCTATCTCACTACGCTCCTACTCCGCCGAATCCGTTTGGTCCAAGAGGGGGCGCTATTCCCCGGCGCAGACGACGCGGTCACTTGGTCACTCTACATCGATAACCTGCGGCGCGATGCTAAGTTTGTCGTCATTCCGTTCCTTATCGAGAGTGATTGCGTGGCTTCTTTAAGTGTCGTGGACATCTGGCTACTAATCATTCCAACCAACGGGCTGCCACGGAAGGTCTATTATTCGTCAGCCGACCCGCCAGTCAATAAATACTTCTGTTTCTCCATCGGCCTCGTGTTTCCCTTCATTCCTTTACATTTTTTTGTCTGWTACATTTTGGGAATGGCGGCATCCATATCTACCCCTCAGCCTTCACGCTCAATAATAGCTTGCAGATATATAGAGGTCCTCTGCAAGCAGAGTCGCTCGCAAAATGATGACCTCGAGGAGCATGTCCGCCGGTTCGAGCTAATGTCAGAACTGGTTTCCAGAGAGCATGTGGATATGCAGAAACTCCTCCCCCCGCTCCTTAACGGACTACCACATCAACTGGTKCGCTTCATACATGACCACTGGTGGAATCAAACCCTCGAGTGGAGCACTCCCGATTATCAGTGGAGAAATCCTGGACCATGGCCCCCAAGGTTCGAAGAAGCGCTCTTGTACATCAAAATGGGAGTCGAGAGTATTCTAGGAGCTCCCCGTCTGGTCCCACCCGGGGAATCCATTGGCATTGACAAGGTTTTGGCATCGCTCGATATCAAGAAACATCCAAAATCTGATCCCGTAGAAAATGCCAAATTCGACAATCTCTACTGGCGACTCAGGACTTCAACAGAGGAGCAGATCATGGCAACGCCCTTCGCCAGGTTCAAACTCACTCCAGAGGTGCCATCGAGACCCGTATCTCCAACAGATAGCGTAGTCCAACTCGAGATTCCTCCACCTACGGGGTCGCGGGGAGACAAGGAACTGCACGAGGGCTCGGCCTTCGAGAGCGAAGTACTGCCAGATGAAGATGGAAATTTGGCGGTGAGGATTGGCACCAAAGTTATCAACTTTGCGGCGACCAAGGCCAAAGGAATGTTGGAGTTCATCACGCACAAGTGAGCCGATGGGGCTAGGCTATACCTATGCAACAGCGATTTCACATGAGAGTGTTTAGGACTTCATCATGGCGGATGAAGTCTGAGAGATAAGAAGAACACCCAGATACACGGAAAGTTGGAGGATTCCAGCGGGTTAATAAACTGCAGAGAAGATCTGGAGTGACGCAGATTTGAAACGAGTTCTGCAGTGCGTATACTTGTGCGCATCTCGTTCGATGGAACTATAAAAAGAAAAAAAGGAGAGAAAAAAAAAAGAGAAAACAAGTCGCTCCCCGAAGTATTATACAGTAGTGTGATTCAAAGCATAATAGCCAGTATATAGCACCGCGAAGCAGCGTCTATCGGTGAGATATATCGAGGTTGAATGGCAGAATTCGCGACCGTGACTATGAGTTTTCGAGAAATTCTGGTTTGCGCTGAAAAGTTGCGTTTTTCCACAAACATCACGCATACTCGCTTGTTTGCCGAGATGGACAACCCGCCAGCCCCCTGCCTGGACAAAGATTGCTCTTGCGAATGATAGCATCTCGAAAAAGAAAAACACTTGTCTAGCGATTGCGTCGAGATGTGAATGATTGTTTGCAGTTGACTTTAAAAAAAGCATGTCTTCGTCACAGTTTGCACGCCCATTGTACTCCATATTTGCGCGAAATCCGCTCTTCGATACATGCCAATACCAGCCATCTCATCTACTCCCTTCCTCAATCATCGCCACTCTCAACCATGGCGAACTGGTACCACAACGAGCCTTACACCGAGAACTACCAACAAGCCGCATACAACGGCTTTCCCTTCCTCCCTGAATACGGTCCCCGCCGCCACGCACCCCGCGAGGAACCCTTCATCACCCAACGTCGTGGCCACAAAGGCTGGTATCAAGGAGATCTGCGCCTTCCRTCATCCTTCAAATCCAAGAAGTACTTTGTTCGTCCTATCGATGGTGCTCGTCGTGGTACACTCGGGAGACTGAAAGACGTAATGAGTGGAGAGGGACCAGACGTTTTCGTTGTTGCGAATGGAGATGCTCGGACGTTGCATCGTGAGATACCAGGCCGGGAGAGGTGGTCTGGGTGGGATAAGTCAGGATTGCATTGGCCGAAACATGTCAATCGGGAGGCTGGTGAGGATATGGATTGGTATCCGAAGCGGAACTTCAAGAGTATGCCTTGGGCGAGGAGAGAGAGAGGGGAGGTGTATAACTTCCGGACTAGGGCGTATGAAGAACTGAGGGGGTCCAACCGGAGGGACTTCTGGAGTGACGCTCATTGGTGAGTGTGACATGTTGGCTTATGATCTGGTCCTTGCTGACTCCGTGCGTGTACAGGCCACAGAATGAGAGAAAGAAGTATTCGATGCCGACTTGTCACAGGGAATGGGACGGAACTTGGCATTCGACCGTGCACCCTCGTGCTGGCCTGTGGCCGGGAGGACGGCCCTTGTGGTGTTGATGACAAGTCATGAGCTCTCGGCCGGGAGCGCAGACAGCAGTGTTAAAGACTCGCCTTTGGTCAAGGACACCATGCTGTTCAAGATGTTGAGCAAGGTCCACGACACAGTGACCCAGCTATTGCGCCATAGTGGCATCATCTAATGGCGATGCTTTGGGATCGCCGTAGTCCCCATTCTCTCTAAGATTTTGAAACACGAACGACTCATGTTTGCTCATCTTTCACCTCACCCCAGCCCCATTTTGGGACGTCACCGGCTTTGCTCAAGTCTGTGTCTTTTTGCAGGCTCTCTTTTCCCTCTTTGAAGAGATTCTGGATCTCCTGTGAGTTCCAATCGTCTCGAAATGTGTGAAGACGAGAAGTAGACTGCAGCGCGGCRTCTTTGGTAGCTGCAAACAGCGTCGCCTTATCACTAGCAGTGCTTGCCAGAGGAGATACTATGGATGGGATAGTGGCTCGCAGGCCATCAATCTGAGGATAGTCAGGGCTTTGTATCGAGAAATCGCGAAGAGGATGTTGCTGCTCGTACCTGTTCTTGCAGTCGTGCTAGATGACCAAGTGCTACTTCATACTGCGCCGCATCCCAAGGCTTGGCCTCTCCGGCAGCTTCGTCGGCCATTCGTCGCCTTGTATCTTGGCTTCGTGAAGCGTGATCTTGATGTGTCGAAACTGTGAGGTAGCTTGTTTGCCTATTGCTGGCAGGCGGTGAGTGAAGTTCGGGGGTCCGACGCTAGAGAGATCTGACTAAGGTCTGGGGGATCGCCAAGTCGGCAGTTTCACACAGTACCCTGCTCCGATCATTCGTGCCTTCCCTTTATTTTACACTTCAAGGTTCCTTCCCGCTGCGACATGTTCGGCGTCATCAGAGTTGCCCAAACCGCAAAGCTTCACATCGCATCTGTGATGGGGCCGTGACTCCCAAACACAGACTTCACGGTGTATGTCAGAGTCGGCAAAACGCGTGTCGTCTGCAGCATCAACGGGCTCGTGCTTGCGAAAAGCTTCATGAACCGGAAGTGGAAGTGGCAATTACATAACCCGTCGCCACATTTCTATCCAGCACTAAGCCTCAATCGTTGACAGAATCCAGGTACCGACCGAAATCCGAGAGAATACGATCTACGATTTTTCTTCTACATACCCTATGGAGGCATGGCATCCCCATACACTTGACGCAGCACATCCATTGTTATCCCGGAGTCAACGCTCGAAATTTCGAAACTATATGACTCTGACGCCCGACATACCCTGTAAGTCCTGACATTTACTCTCTTTGCTCTCCACCGTCATCTGCGTCCCCATCAAATATCCCATGGAACTGCCCTCGAATTCAAGTTCTGGCGAGCCCGACGACGATCCGGACATCGCCGAGATGAAGAGTCCTTCGTTGTCGGAAAGTGCTCGAAGGGCTCGTGTACGCTTCAACTCCAACGCCAACGCCGCACCTCCTCCTGCATTTCCTCCTGCGGTCGTTACACACGATCAGCAGAAAGCTCCCCGCCGACCACATCCCATCCTCCGGGCAAGTTCTAGAGAAACGAGTCCTACGATTTCAACCAATTTCGATGCAGCTCCCTCTCCCACGCAAGATGCCGCATCCGCAGCCCAGCATCGAGGCGATGCGATGGCAAGGAAGGTTTGGGGAGAATCGCCTATAAGCTCACGCGCATCGTTCGAAACGATATCCCCGGCATCCTCTGGGGCCAGCGAACGCCATTTACTCAACCATGCGGGCGAGATAGCGATGCAGAAGCTTGCACGCGACTCTGACAACAAATACGACAGCAGGGATGACTTCTCTAAAGAAGGAACGTACGCTGTATCGTCAGCCCAACATCTCGACGCCGCCGATGAACAGCTTACAGCAAACGAGACCAACGAGGAGCATAAGCGCAAGACCGAATATAACATTTACTATGATGGATCGTACGATGTGCCAGCTCCTAAATCGTATCGCGGAGGGGTGCTGTCGCAACTGCTGAAATTGCACAAGGATGGCGACTCCTACAGCTTTGGCAATAATCGACCATCATCATCCTCCACTCCCAAGCCCATCTCCGGCGGCTCAACGCCCGACAGGCGGAAGTGGTACGAACAAAATCAATCGCAAGACACGCTTGCCATGCTCATCGAGGCTTCCACGAAGCTTGCGAAGCCAGGGCAGCCATCATCGACCGATGGCAGAAGGCCGCGTCCTCAGCAGCACATCCGAGGAAGTAGTCTATCAAACCGTCTCAGCGCACTTTGGGCTCAAGAAGAGATCCGGCAACGAGATCACATTGCCGGAATAGTAGCTCGCCATGCTTTCATTATCCAAGTATGCCGTGCTTTGATGCTCTACGGAGCTCCCACCCATCGGCTGGAGGAGTACCTGACGATGATTTCGCGAACATTGGAGATCGAGGCCGAATTCCTATATCTTCCAGGTTGCATGATTATCGCTTTCGATGATTCGAATTCTCATACAACAGAAGTCAAGCTTGTCCGTTTGGCGCAGGGAATCGATCTCGGCAAGCTCAAGGACGTCCATCGCATGTACAAAGAAGTCATTCATGACGTGATGAGCGTCGAAGAAGCGACCGAAAACCTCGACGAACTCATGGCGAAGAAAGACAAGTTCCATCCTTGGCTTCGTGTGCTGGTGTTCGGCATGACGAGCGTGACCGCAGCGCCATTCTCTTTCCACGCAAGGTTCATCGACCTGCCAATTTGCTTCCTTTTTGGGTGTCTCGTTGGAWTCTTGCAGCTGATTGTGGCACCAATGTCGCAATTGTACGGCAACGTTCTTGAAGTCACCGCTACCGTTCTTATAACCTTTCTAGCAAGAGCATTTGGAAGCATTCGGGGCGGTGATCTCTTCTGCTTTTCGGCTCTTGCGCAAGGTGGCATTGTGATGCTGCTGCCCGGCTTCATGTTCTGTGAGTGCTGCTCGTCGTCTACCGATTCCTTCTGTCTTTGCTGACCTGGTCACAGTATCCTCTTCCACCGAACTGCAAGCCCGAGCCATTATCCCGGGCTCCATACGAATCGTGTATGGCGTCATTTACTCTCTTCTCCTAGGATTCGGCATCACGATCGGAGCAGCGCTCTGGGGTCTTGTTGACTCAAGTGCCACATCGGAATTGTCGTGCAGGAATCCGCCGGATAGCAATCTCGGTCTTTTCTTTGTTCCTCCCTTCGTTCTATGTGAGTCGAATTCTCAGCGTGAGCAGCCGCAGCTTGTGCCCAGACACATTAACTCACAGGTCTCGAGGACTAGAGAAGTTTACAAAATGTGCTGACGAATACTCGCCAGGTATTACCATGCTCTACCAAGCAAAATGGAAACAGATGCCCGTCATGATCATCATCGCTTTCGCTGGCTACATTGTAAATTTTTACAGCAGTAAACGCTTTCCCACAAGCCCACAGGTCTCTAGTACGCTGGGCGGGCTTGCAGTTGGAGCTCTCGCAAATCTCTACTCCCGAGCTCATCATGGTGTTGCCGCCGCGATACTGGTCCCGGCAATCTTTACACAGGTCCCGGGAGGTCTAGCGAGCAACGGAGGTCTGTTGAGCGGGTTACAGGTCAGTACATGACTTATTTCTCGCATGAATACGATGGCTGATACTGACCCGACAGGTGGCGAATGAGCTCAACAACGCACAGTACTCAAAGAACGGGACGGACTACGCCCAGCTGGGTGTAGACATGGGGACATCTCCAAACTATGTCGCTTTTAATGTTGCAGGCAGCATGGTCCAGATTGCTGTCGGAATCACGATTGGTCTATTTTTGAGCGCTTTGATAGTTTATCCATTTGGGAAGAAGCGGAGTGGGCTGTTCAGTTTCTAGAGCAGATGTAAAAAGGACATTGAAGATCATGACTGATGAGCGCGTGTTGCAGGCGAGGTCCCCACCTACAGTTCGTTTCAAACGTGCCACTCAATGCATGTACAGATTTGCTCGATGATTCGCGTACACCATGGGCCTTTAAAAAACAAGCGCCGAGGTGGACCAGCACAAGCTGCATACGTATATGGAGAATGCGGTACTGGTTTTCCACGTGCACTAGTCAGGGCGGCGGATCCCCTGACCAAACTCCTTCACTTGAAACGCCAAGCACGCGCTTTTCTGTGCCTGGCCCGCAACTCTGGAGACAAATTCGGCATACTCGCTTACAGCTCAGTGTCTTTGCGTCCAATAACATGGCACCATTCCGACTCACGTGCTTGGGTACTCTGACAGAAAACGCTTTTGCGCGTGGCAGAACTATCGCCATACTTCCGACAGGCCTTGACAGAATCAATCAAGGTGGTTACCCAAAGTGTAAACAGGAATCCAATGTTGCCTACAGGATCGGACTATCTCCTCAAACYTCCTTCGCTAGGTATTCGACACATGATTTATGTAGCGAGCCATCGCTTAGACCTCGTCAACCACGGCACGATTTGGACATGACTTTGCATACCGACCAAAAATAATCACATTGGAACTGCGGGAGGCCCTCATGGCTTCAGCCCGTAGTTACATCGTGATCTTTGGGTGTATGCTCATTACTCGAGCCGTGGCCACAATCGAGCCAGACCGTATGCAATACGACATAGCAACATCATCATGGCAGCGAGACTGACACAGAGGATCGAGTTGCGCATGCACGAGGGAAGGGAAATGGRGAGCTTYTAGGGGTATAAGAGCGGGCTTGTTCGCTGTAAGTTATCGACTGCATCTAACAGACGACTCTCCTTTCTCGCTCCGAGCCATACTTCCATCCTCGGTACCATACATTCGCTCAACATGAAGTACTCTGCCGCACTCATCCTAGCCACCGGCCTCCTGGCCAATAGCTTACCTACAGCCGATATCGACGGCATCGAAAAGCGCACCTTCTTCCCAATCATGGATAGCGCTTTGAAGGCCAAGTGTGCAGTAAATCATCCCATCTTTCCTGCAACACAGACCGATACTCATGACCTCTTAGCTCAACGCAAAGCTCGGCTTACCAGCCCTTCCTTACTGCAAGGGGAACCAGCCACCCAACAACTCTCCACCTGGCTACTCGCCTCCAAGCCACACTTCCCAGGGGTATACTCCTCCACCAAAGTATTCTCCCACTGGCTACGTCGGAGGGCCATCTACCACGACTACTACTACCTCCTCAGTCTCTACGAAAGCTCCAACAGAGACTTCACCAACAAAGCCATCTTCTAGCAAGTGCCCGGGAGGCGGATCGCCTCCTTGTCATGGCTCACCGTCATACCCTAAGCCGCCAAAGGAGAGTTCGCCAATGTCGCCGCCTAAGGATAAGTGCCCGGGAGGTGGATCGCCTCACTGCAGTGGCCCTCCATCATACCCTCAGCCACCCAAAGAGAGTTCTCCAACAATGCCACCAAAAGGAAAKTGCCCTGGAGGTGGTTCCCCTCCCTGCAGTGGACCTCCATCGTACCCTCAGCCACCTAAGGAGAGTTCGCCAACGTCGCCGCCTAAGGAAAAGTGCCCTGGAGGTGGTTCCCCTCCCTGTAGCGGGCCTCCATCGTACCCCCAGCCACCCAAGGAGAGTTCTCCAACAATGCCACCAAAAGATGGCTGTCCCGGCGGTAGCTCTTCTCACTGCTCCGGTTCGCCGCCAAGCTATGAGAGTCCAAAAGGTATCTCGAACAAGCCATCTTCCACATCAAAGTCTCCGCAACAAACTTCTGCCCCAGCTTATGGTACTCCATCGTATCAGGCCCCTTCTTATGGTGCTCGACAGTACTAGAGTGCTGGTTAGATGATGCAGACTATTCTTTTGGCCCTTCGCTGATGGAAACTCGCGGCGCAACTTCGCTTTTCTTTGCGGTTACAGATGGGATGTCGAATGGAGGTTGTGCTACGATGGCGATCGCTGAAGATGCTGGTTTTTTTGTACTATCACACTACACACTCATTGAGCTGTTCATAGGTCGAATGTATACACTCCTTTACTCACACTATACACAAAGCCTCAGAAGGCGGGCAATAGTAGTGCGCACTTTCTCGAAGGCCACAATGAGACGTCCAAATCATCATCACACAACACCGAACTCTCGACCACCGTATCCGTAGTTGTACTAGCTTCTCTATACCAAGTCTATAGGACAAGCAAACACCCAGGATTTCACAGACTAGCAACATTTCTGATGCCCTCAACTAAGCATATAGCTCTGAGATTCAACTCGTCTGAAAATGTTCTTTCAAAAGACCTGGTACAGTGGATGTGAGATGTTCAACGATTGCGTCCGGTCCATTCTGCACCTGAAGCCCATGCGGAATAGCATACGTGAGGATACCAGGCTTGATTGACTTTGCAATAGTCTGAATCTCAACAGCTTGTTCCGATGTCCACATGCTCGCGCAGAACTATACTCGCGTCGGTCAGCGACTACCTTAACAGCTTTCGAGCTCTGGTGGGATGTACCAAGATGTCGGGCTCTATTTCCTGTACAGTTGAGGCCACAGTCTCGATTGCTATCGTTGGGTCAGATCTTCACAGGGATTGCTTTGGAATAAGGTAGCCCCATGCTCACTCACTTTCGCAGTTGGCTGCGTGGATGATTGTGTAGGAATCTTTCAACGCCTCGATCAGCCTTCCCACTAGGCGATATGCTCTCTCTGGGGCAGTGTTGACCGTGACAAGTTTGTACGGTCCTGCGGGCACATTGGATGTACTCATGGTTACCAGAGTGCTTTGGGTCCAAAAAAGTATGGGTTGTTGTTGATTTACTGAACAATCGCGAGTGCAGATTAGTGTTACTGGGCTCCAGAGCAATGGACAAAAGATCTGACTAACTTATTACTGGATTGTAGTAGGAGAAGCAAGATCGAGTTTGTTGTTGGTCCGTCTGCGGGAGAATTGGGCTCCACAATTCCAACGCCGCCCCGCCCCGGCAGACAGCGCGGCAAATTGAACCTCACCTCAACATCATCGCCGCCTTGAGGTACAGAAAGGCTTTTAACAGTGTCTTCTGGCTACATGTACGCGCAGACAGCCCACTTCATCTTTCCTTGGACCACGATAACTTCATTTCTGCCAGAATGACCGACTCTGCGAAGCAAGATTTGGCGTCTGCTTTTCGCCAACACCTACCTGATCTTACCACACCAAGATTTACCACATCGTCGAGGCAAAGTCCCTACGAGTACGTCGAGGCCTTCCAGAACAGCCACATCCCTCCGTGGCTGTACAACTTGACCGAAGCATGGAAAGCACTCCTGGATGAGCCTTACAAGGGCATCTCCACCGACGGTAGGATGCAGCCCTAGTCTAGTACAATGTTCAGCGACTGAGTCGAATCAGGAAGTATCAGAGATAACCTCTTCTTCAACGAAGACCTTGGGGTTCCCACTGCGGAGATTCGGGACGCAGCCATGACAGTCCTCAACAAGCTCACGCCAGAACAAAAGTCCAAAGTCCAGTATGCTGTCAATGCCCGCGAATGGAGATGCTGGTCCAATCCAGAGTTTCTGCTTCGACCCTTTGGACTTCGCTTGGAGGAATTGTCACCGGATCTCGTAGAGTCAATCTTGGGCGTTCTCCAAGCAACATTCTCTCCTGAAGGGTACGAAAAAGCAATCGCTGCCATGCGAGTGAACCATTTCCTTGGAGGTTTGTCAAGATGAGACGAAAGCGATACAACTCTTTCAGCTACTGATCTGGACCAGAGGTCTGCGGCGTCCCGCGCATCATGAATCAGTTTTCATACAACTTCCTCCTGTTTGGAGAGCCTTCCGTGGACAAAGCTTGGGGTTGGTCTCTATATGGCCACCATCTGTGTCTCAGCGTCTTCTTGCAAGGCTCTCAGATTGTCATCTCCCCCACCTTTACCGGTGCGGAGCCGAATCTCATCGATGCTGGTGAATGGGCCGGCACAGCCATACTGCACCGCGAGGGGAATCTCGGTTTGAAGCTGATGCAAAGTTTGCCTGCACAATCTCAGCGGTCGGCGCAGATCTATAAGTTCATGCGGGATCCAGATATGTTGCAAACTGGAGACCTGAAGATCGRCCGCTGGAACCAGGACGACCAGCGGCATTTATGTGGCGCATTTCGTGACAATCGCATAGTACCGTACGAAGGCATCAAGGTATCTTCAATGACGCCGGACCAACAACAGCTCATCCTCGATGTTGCAGAGGAGTTCCTGTTGTACCATCCCCACCAGACAAGGCAGAGACGTAAAGAGCAGATCAAAGAGCACTTTGCCGAGACTTATTTCAGCTGGATCGGCGGCTATGGCGACAACGACCCATTCTACTATAGGGTGCAGAGTCCCGTCATCATTTTCGAGTTCGATCATCACTCCGGGGTCTTTCTTACAAACACTGAACCAGCGAAATTTCACACTCATACCATTGTGAGAACACCCAATGCAGGCGATTACGGACAGGCTCTGCGGGCGCCGCAAGACCGTGTGCCTTAGTGGAATTGTGAAGCAAAGAGCGGATTAGTTTCACGCTGACCAAGACCACAACCCTTCGCCACCAAAATACAATATGAGGGTTTCACATGTCTTCGCCATCCGGAAAAGTCAGAAGAGATGAAACTCCAGCGATGAAACCATCTGTGGAATGCGCGGAAACTGTCTGCCAAGCATGCACCGCGACAGCATGCACCTCATGTGATTGTCACAGACCCTGTTAACGGCCGTTTTAAAGATCACATGCTCGGTCGGACGCAACGCTTTATGCAGTCTGGAAGGACACGCATTCCCAAATAGTACGAAGCTTTTCAATCTGCGGATATCTCGGATGTAGCGAATGGTCGCTATATCAGTGACAATCACACCGCTCTTCAGGCCACACACCATGATCAAAGCATGACGAGTCGGCCAAGACTTCTGCTGACATTCTGTTCCTCTATTTACGACTCACTAGCATCAAGGCGACTGCTTGCGGGCGTTTTTCAATGCGCCAATGCCCAGTCAGAAGTTGACGGCTAATGGCCGGAACAGCTGCTATACAGCGTCTTCAGCGAAGGACGTCGAGCTTTGTGTTGCTCCATTCGGTGTCATCTTTGGGAAGCATCACGCGTCCGTCGAAGTCGATCGTGTGCCGGCAGGTGTACGCGCGCCACATCAATCTCAAAATCGCTAGCGGTGCGTCTAGAAGCATGCTACCCCAGATCTTAATACAGCACCAGTTATGCCGAGTTCTTACTATCGATAAGTCCGGCCTGTTGGGCCAACGAAACGACGCCGCCAAGCAGTGACTGATACCCGATTGTCCGTGGGAAAAGTCACATGGGAAACTGAGTGCAAAAGCACAATTGTTGATGCAGCTCAAACGGCCGATTCGCAAACTTCCCGAGCCAAGCGCGGGTTCTGGAGCAGCGCCTCTGATCATGTTGCCCTTGCGGTCAGACGACAGTTGAGAGCTCAAAATGCCTATCCGAGCGGTGTCCAGCGAAGCAACTCCGGCTCCATGTTGTGCAGCTATACAATCATACCCGGTCCTTGCCATTCGAATGCAGCCTTCTGTGGGGAACCAGCGCGACTACAGTATGTGGTACATCTGCCATGCGGTTACCGCGGACTCCGGCCGCCACCTGAATGGGGGTTTGTCGATCTTAAGGGACCGGCATGAAGCTCCGCATAGGAGCAAATTGTGCATGTTTTACCGCTACAACTATAGAACGACAACGCCGGCATTTGATGTTGATAACGTGTCGTCCAGTCAGCCGAGTCACTGCAACCCGGTGCCAACGGTGGGAGTGCTCAAGAAACGTTCCACATCTTAGATTCATAACGACAACCGACTGCTGCTCTACTCACGCGGCTAATTTGCTGATCGTCAGGGCAGCTCCTTTTATGGCAAGCGCGTCCACGAGTCGTCCAACGCAGCGAGATCCGGTTCCTGGATCTCGCCTATATGACGTTCAAATATAGGTCAGGTCTACCTAGCATAACCATACGCCACGCCCCCTCTGGCCCGCTGACCGCCCTCTCCCATACCGCCTGTTTGCGGTTGTCGCGTCGAGCTGCGCGAATCAGCGGGAATCTCGCATCGGAGATCTCTCTTTAAGTTGCATTGGTGAGACGCCTGGAAAAGGAACACGGCGACTCAGATTCCTTTCAAACTGTGAACGCTTTCGGTAACGTTGGATACATAAGGAAATCGTACCGCCTTTCTACACACCGTCTCATCATCCCACGCAGCACTCTGCAAGTCACTCGTTTAAAATTCTCTGCACTGCACTTGCGATACTCTGTTGWTCAGCAGCAAGTGCCCACCGTTCAAATCAACCGGGAGTTGTCTACCACCAAACTTCACCCTCCATCCATCGCCGACTTGTTCATCGCCAGAGCAAAGTACCACCACTCCGCCCGGAAAAGATCACCATGTTCGAATACAGCCGTTCATACAACGCCGACGAGGCCAGCAATTCTGGATCTTGCAGCGACCTCGAATCGCCATGCGAATGTTCCGCAGCCAACTCACCTTTCGCCGAGTCCACACCCGTCAAAGTCACCACTGTCGACATTGGTGGACAGGCATATAGACTGCCGACACACTTGAGCAAGCGTTTCTACCTCGACCTCACATACATGACGGATGAGGAACTCATCTCGAAATACACCCTGGTCAAATACACCAAGCACGAGCGTTCCACTTCCTTCTGGACCCCTGCCAGTGCGGGAGATCTCAAGCGCTGAAATCTCCTCTCTGACCCCATCATGACTGCGAGATGAAGAAGTCTGGATTGGGACAGCCTGGTGCTGTCCGCTGGTTAGGCGGCTGAGCCCCGTCCTGCAATTGTTTGAATCCTTGCTCGACGAGTCTGGCTGGAACCTGTGCTTTGTTCGAGACTTCTGTGTAATGTAATCAATCAGTGGCTTGGTGTTGTGGGCGATTGCTGAAATGTGTTTCGGCCAATAAAAGCCTTTGAGACCAGTTTGGCAGGGCGTTGTAACGCCAGAAAGCATAACTCTGGGGAAGGCAGCGGGCTTAGAGCCGTTATGGTGGGATGGAGGGACAAGATTGAGCTCTTGTGTAGGATTAACAGAGCCTCGAAGATCAAAATTCTAGCCGCCAGTTGTCTACAGTGCCTTCACCATGGTCGAGTATTCAGAAGAGTCGTGTCTGTCCGCCGGCCTCAGAATCCATAACCCTGCTTCACATTGCTGCCTTGAACCGAGTGAGAGGTCACAAGCACCCACTTTTTATCCGTCCTTCTCTTCCACGTATGTTCCACCACCCAATCCGTGATTGGGACTCCCTGCATCCATCGCATATTGAAGTACACAAGAGTAGTACCTTTCCTCTCATCAACCAAAGCACTCATATTCTCCACTTCAAAGTAACAATCCGGACCACTCATAGCCGGATTTCCGTACATGTGTCGCCATGCCATGGTCATCTGCTTCCACGTCGCAGGCTCCATCCCTTCCACCTTGCATCGGTAGTCCTCAGCAACGCAAGCCGCGACCTGGGAAAGCGCAAGACACATGTTTCAGCACAGGATCGGGTCTCTTGCGTGGACACACCAGTGACCACACTACTCCGCGGGCGGGCGCTCATACCTCTAATCCGTTGGGACTCGTGAAGTCGAAGTCCTTTTCATTTAAACAAGTCACGGAGTGTAGCGCCAGTCGACAGAGGACGGTGGAAACATCGCTGTTTCGTGGGATGCTTGCCATCACATGTGACGCATGGCCGGTATCATGCCCGTCTTTCCATGAAGGCAGCAAGGGGACTGTCGTCGGGTGCCTGTGTCTGGGTGGGCGAGGGAGAGCCCTCTCCGCGACGACGAGGCCAAGGGCCGCGGAGGGAAGATGGTGGAAACCTTGATTAGCTAGCAGGTACTCACTCCTACCATACTGGACGCGACGGATAATAGTTCTGCCGACAGCTCTGCCGTGTGCATCCAAGGATCTGGCYTGAAAACCGGATCTTTCCGCGTCCTCTAATCTCGCACCAACTCCACACAACTCCCAGGTTCTTGATCCATCCTCAACTTCATTCTCCACAGGAGCGGCACACCAGACAATGTCAAGGTAGCATGACTGTTCCTTGGCATCTTCATCCGGAATTTCAGCTCGAGGAGCCTCGACGGAGCTCCAGATTCACAATTACCGCCTTCACGATGGTCTACAGCATCGATCTGCGATTYAGCCCACAAATAGATGGATGAAACTGACGGAATTCTTCGACGCACCGCTCATCTCCTTTCACCTACGTCAAATCACTCAAGAGACGAGCCGCTCGCAGATTGCACACAGCCATTTCGGACTTTGCACATGTTTCATTTTGACAACTATCAGATCAGCTGTCCCGGATGCGGCGATGTGAGCCGCGACTTTTATAAATCATCTCCACAAGCACCAATGACCCGGTGAATGACCACTCTAAAGACTAGGTCCCTAGCACTCCGGAAGTGCAAGCTGTGAATGCAGTAACCGAAAGTAGCTTGGGTGATCACTCTGGCATACTACTGCGTCGTCTGGAAAGCATCTCCACGGCTGTGAGCTGCCACGCGTGGATGCACGCCTCTTTGTTGCCCACGCGTGCGCACTCTCAACATGCGAAGCGCAATTGCCCGCTTGAGATGGTGTCAGCTCTTATGCAAGCCACAGCATGCGAGTGGGATGCTTCATGCGTCCTTATAAGTACACACAATGTTCATGGAGAGAAGATGGCAAAGCACTAAACTCATCTCTTTTTGCATTCCCTCAGCTACACACTCACTTCTACACTCATTCGAAAAGATGCATTTCTCCAGCCTTTTGACTATGGGCTTCGGCTTCTACGCCATGGCCTCACCAGTCGAGAAGCGTGCCGGTATTCGAGAGAACGACTTGATTGACGGTGATTGTCGCGACGTCACCTTCCTGATGGCTCGAGGCTCGGGCGAGGGTGGCAATATGGGCCTGACTGTGGGACCGCCCACTTGTGAAGGGTTGAAGGAGACGTACGCAGACTGAACTTCCTCTCGATCATGCTCAGTCGGTGGCTAATCCTACCGCTCGCAGTCTCGGAGACGACAAGGTCGCATGCCAGGGAATCGGTAAGACATGTGGTCAGATGCTGTGTGATTTTGCTGATGGGCTGATCCTCGACGTATAGGCAACGGGTTCGTCATTCCATAACGCATCAGAGCGTAAGATTCTCCAACTAACCATCTTGATGCGCTTTAGTTATACGGCTTCTGTCGTTGACAATATCTCGACTATTGGCACATCGCGAGCTGGACTTGCGGAGGGCACTAAGATGGTAAGAATCTAAGAACGAGGAGCATGCCTTCGTTTGGCGAACACATGCCAAGTCTATTCACTCTCCGCGGTATCTGGGACATTACTGATTGCCTTTTGCTTCTTCCTAGGTTCAACTTGCCAGCACTCAATGCCCCGATACTCAGATCGTTGTTGCCGGTTACAGGTAAGGCTACTAAAGTCCGTACACATACTCCCTTAACTGACCCCATTTCCCCTCCAGTCAAGGTGCAGCTCTCATAGCCGGTGTTCTCAGCTCTCTTGATAGCACCCTCCAAGCTAAGGTAAGCCATTGAAGATACGGGTACCTTTTAGCCAGGCCTTACCCGTCTCGCAAGCAATTACTAACTCGAACGTCTCGCACAATATAGGTCAAAGGGGCCGTCTTGTATGGCTACACAAAGAACCAGCAGAACGACGGGACCATTCCAGATTACCCTCCAGCTCAGACAAAGGTCTTTTGCGCACGAACCGGTATGAAACAATCATGGATCTCATCGTTCTAGTTCTCTTACTGACTCACCCAAGACGGAGTGTGTTTCGGAGCATTGCTTGTGACTGCCGGTCATCTGTAAGTTGCACAACCCCTCAACCCTATGAGTGGTGGCTAACTCAATGTAGGGGTTACACCCGAGACGTCGATGAGGCTGTTGAGTTCTTGGCTGGCACCCTTCAGACCACTGCGGCATAAGAGAATCATCTCATTGGAAAGGGATTGTTCTCTCCGTTTCAAAGGAGATGGGCGAGTATGTTTCTGGCGTTTGGTGAACTTTGAGAAGGTGGATAGGTTGCATGAAAGAGAATGTATGCTACGAACAGACGCTCAATGGTCACTTGCACACAGAATAAGGTCGTTTGAGCAACATTACTTTCTTTCGGCTTGATTAAAAATTGGTGTTGAAAGAAATTTCATAGGGTTAGGGTTTGGGTAGTAGCTACTACCGACAATATCGACACCCTTTCACGGACATGGGGATGTCAAGCTCGCATGACACATCACATATTTTCCTCGTCAAGGTGGTTGCTGGTTAACGAGAGGCAGCCAGAGCGCGCTTTTCACATCAAAATAGCATGGATGACTTCTGGCAAAGATATCCCGAACAACGATCCAAAACTCGTGGAAAACCAAGATCAAACCAAGCTCTCGCCTGTGTCGTTGCTCAGGAGATTCAAAGGCGTTCACAGGCATTCAAAGTCATTCTTATACTCAATTGAAGTCCTCGTATCGAAGAATCACCCCTTCATCTCCTCCCCTTTCCGAGACAACGAGACATAACAAGAGAACTATTAGGAACTAACGCAAATCGCATAGCTCTTTGGACGACTCCGAATCKTCGTACTGACCCGTTCTCTCCTTGCATCAATGGAGCTCATCACCATTCCACTCAAATCTGTCCCTCCATGTTCTCCTTGACACTCTGCTTGAGTGGCTTGTATCCATCTTGGCCGTACCTATAAAGCGAAAAGCGAAAGGGTCAGCGATGTTTGAGAAGTTTGAACAAAGGCCTAGCGTAGCTCGCGAGACAACTCCGTGCTACACCTCATGCCTGTGGTCGTTCATTATCTTACCACTCTTTTAGCAGCTTGGCACCAAGTTCATTGGGAACCTTGCTCAAATCGCGAGGCTCATTTTCCGGCGCCTTCGGAATGGATGTGGAGTTTGGGTAAAGCTCCTTGAGGATCTCGATAATGTCCGTCCAGTTGAACGGCACATTGAATGCGAAAATGCGCTCGTTCTTGATGGACGGGTCGAGAGCACCGGCAATAACATGAAGACGTGCATCATCGATGACATCGATCATATACTGTGGAACGGCCCACGACTCTTTTCCTTTGAATAGTGATGGAATTCCGCTGCCAGTAGCACCTGCACTGCCGCCAGGAAGGATTTTGCCCATATTGTAGTTTGGTAGCACGGTGTTGACGACGAACTTCGGTTTCTCTTCCTTGACAAACTTCCAGAGCGCTTTCTCACCCTCGGTCTTTGATGCAGCATACACTGCGAAGGCACGGTCCGCCTCATATGGCGGCGGAGCCCAGGCCAAGTCGAGTGCTTCCTGGTTCCAGTCGTCCTTTCCCACGGTGATTTCCTTCCCTGGATGAGGCAAGAGAGCAGCCGTGGAGGAGGAAGTCAGCACAAAGCGCTTGACAGATGGGCTCTTGGCAGCAGATCTCAGGATACTGAGCACGCCAGCGACAGTCGGCTTGACAACTTTGTTTGGATCTGGATCGAAGGTCGTATCACTTGCCACGTGAATGACCGAGTCAACACCCTGAACCGCCTCGTCAAACGCGCCCTCGTGCTGGAAGTCTTCAACTATGGTAGTGGAGTAATTTGGGTTGTTGTTGAAGATCTTTTTGGTGTTCTCGGCCTTGTCGTTTGATCGAGCAGTGCCTACAACCTTGTAGCCGGCATTGAGTGCTTCTTGAACAACATGGCTGCCGATGAAACCGGAAGCGCCTGTGACTAGAATGGTAGAGCCTTTAGGCAGGGCGAGTTCTCCATCAGATTTGCCAGTCACCTTGGCGGCAATGTTCTTGATAGTGTTCATGGTGTGTGATCCAACTTCAATTGGTCAACTTGTGGAGGCCTGTGTGGATGAAAAGCACAGATGAGGAATGATAGTGTTATATTGGAAGTGGTTGTGAGCTCTCGCCTCGTTCTTGCACTTCTGTGCTCCATGTCGCTGAAGATGATGACGTAAAAGCGGGTCCGCGTGAAGTGGGTTCTCTAGGCCATTTCATTTCATTGGAGATTCTTTACCTGCGAGGTCATCTCCTCGCAGAATCAATGACTCCAGTTCATACAGCATGGAACCACAAGTGGATACATCCCCTCAACACTGGCTCTCTCATCTCTCCGCTCGAGGTCGCTTTGATGGGCACAAGAGAACCGCTCCGGCCAAAAGCACTTGGAATGGTTGCCAACTATCTCCGCGAGTCATAACAGGCATGCCAGCGTGGTAAAATGCTGTAATCTCTCGAGCAGCTTTGATCAAAGGAGTCGCGGATTAAATGCATGCCACATGCCGAAGAATGCGTTTCGTTGGGATTCCGGACCGTACAACCAACCTTGAAGCTGAAAGCTGACTTATGGGATCACGAACCTCCTCAACGGCCTGCTTCCGGATGCTGCTATTGCACGAACATGAAGCGCTGTGGGACTCGGACGTTGTGGCAGCTCAAGGTCTTCGAAATTGGCTCGGCGTTGTGCGATGAACGCCAGGACCAGGACCGGACCGGCTCCCGAGAATGCTGGCATCTCTCATCATGTTCGAGGTCTACACGTTGAAAACACGCGTATCCTGTTGATAAAAGGTCGCAGGACGACGTATCATGTTGATCACGTTCTCCCGCTTTTACCTTGAGCTTTTGCAAGCCAGAAGACGACTGACTGTCAGGAGGCTCGCCACGGTCTTCGTTGGTTCGACACTATCCCCTCATACTGGGAATCGCCAATCCGAATCACTCATGCAAATTGGAGTGTCAAACAAAATGACGTACCGAGACTGAGGAAGGGGCAATGACCACTCATCCGGCGTCGATATCGTCCTCTCATCATCTCAAAGGTCAAATCAACTTGATGCTTTGTGTCTTATCAATGGACGCACAACAATCGCCTTTGTTACGTCTTCGCCCACTCCTTTTCTTGTTCGACGGCAACAAAGCTCTCAAGGTTGGTTAATATATCGGGTTCACCCTTTCCAAATTTCTCGAGTACATACGTTTTCCTACATCTCAACCAAAACTTTGTTGATCTGGTATCAACCTTGCATCTCAACAAACAAGCTAAGCACATTCTTAATTCGCCTTATACCCGATAACACCCTCAGTATGGAGCATCTCCAAATGCGCGCCAATGCGGCAGAGCGAGCCGCGCATAAAGCAAAAGATGCTTTGGAGGAAGCGCGCGACATAAGTTCACATCTTTCAGCCAAACTAGAAGACTACGAAGAGAGACTCGCAGGAATGCGTCGAGGTCGGGAGTACGATGCGCTGCGTCGCAAGTATGACACCTTGCAAGATCGCCTGATCGCCAGCCGAACAGATGTCCGCCGCGCACTGGATGCGGCTGCCAAGCTGTCACAGAAACACCTCGATCTACTTGATCGTATTTGCGAAGCYGAGGATGCACAGAAGCCCAATGGAAGCCGAGCTCCTTACGAAGACGAAGAGCCTGTAAGACGCCACCCGAGATCAAGACATACCTATACCACGCGAACCACTTACCACTATGGACCTGTACATGGAGAGCAACGAGAATCTAGCCCGGAGTCTAGTGATAGCCCCACATACGAGTACGAGCACGCCAGGCACCGGCACCGGCACAGGCACAGGCACGAACAACGCAGTCGCTTCGATGACTACGAGGAGGACTACATTACCGAAGAACATGTTCCCCACCGGCATCGTGGACGTTCGGAGTCTTCTGGCCGCTATTCTGAGGAAGCCTTCATGCCTAGCAGCCGCGGCTATCATCCAGGGTATAGTCCTCCTACTCCTGATCGCAGCCAACACTACTATCACCCTGGGTTTGCACCTTTTGAACGTGATGAGCATTATTTCTTTACTACAGAAGAGCACATCCCTCGATCCGAACACCATCGTGATCACGAACCACACGGGGATCACCGTCAACATCCTCCTAGAGGTCACCATACGCATTCCGAGTCCCGTCAATATGGTCATCATGCGCCTGATCCCCAATTCACTACCGAAGATCACACTCCTCGAAGATCACATCGCGAGTACAACGAATGGCCTGAGAAAAGCCATCGAGAGTCCGCCGGGGACGATAGGTCAGGCCACCGTTCCAGCCGCTCAACCCCTCGCCCTGAGAACGGCCGCAGAGAAGAGTACTCTGAGAGTCGTTCTGGACGCTCTGCCCCTCCTCAGTYCCGAAACAGGGCTCCCCAAACTCCCAAGCTTCCCTCTCAGCAAACTGTGGACAGCTGGTGGAAGTATGCTAACCAATGTTTTAAAGACTACTCGAAAATCAAACAGTTCCCGATACCTCCGGCCTTGAGCTGTGGCAGTCTCGACTGCGATGCCGCAAGCTCAACCCGACCTTTCGCCGCGTGTGAACACACCATTCGGACCAGCTTTGGCATGGTGCCGAATCTCAACGTCAAACGTGAGCGCCTGAGGTGGCATCCTGATAAGTTCACTGCGTGTCCTGCGAATCTCCGTGATAATTTCCAGAAAATGGCTTCTGAGATTTTCATTGTTCTTGACAACATGCATAAGGAAGTATAGTAAGTTGACTTGTTTCTCCTTTGTACAATTTATCACATTTCTGTAAAGGCAAGGCCAAGAGGAAGGCGGATGTTTAGCCAAGTCGTATAAAATTAATGCCTTTCACATTTGCGTAGTCTCTACAATAACATTCGCAAACTCACTTTGCGTTTTTTTCTACTCCAATCGTTCAAGATGGTCTCACAGATTGTCGTCCATTTTGGGAATCCAACAAGCAACAGTCGTGGCTCTTAGATACTATGCTTGCATCCACACGTTGGCTCTGTCTCGAATCAAGCTTTTTGCATCATCTGTATGATGCGTTCTTCCCACGAGTCGTGGTCAAGATGGTTGCGAGACTGGGATGCTGTTCGCCTTTAGATTGCCCGTGCTTCGCTCTCCGAGATGATGGGCAGGGTCCACACTACGTAGGAGTAGGTTCAGATTGATCTGCCAAATTGAAGCTCAGGCTCCCGTAAAGATCGTCCCGAGTGATTTATGCCGAGCTCATCAGCTGTCGTGGGCACACGACCAAAGGCAAGGACCTGAAAGGCGGTGTCTGGAGAATTGTCGCACACCGCTGCAAGAGGGATGAGACGACCAGAGAGGTGGGTACGCACGGAGCCATATCCGCCCCCGGCGACTTTTCACAATCGATCCAATGAGACTCGCGTTAGAATCGCTAGCGTAACTAGCGGGAAACACGCGAACAACGACCACAATCTGAAGTTCGGGAACCCAAGAAAACGTCGTACCAAATCACAGTAACGCAGCGGTCAGTTTGACGACATGAGTTTTGACTTGAGTACAGAGTTCATGGTAGAAACGATGACTCTCGGGGTCTTGGCGCCGAATGCGAGGGCCCTTCTCCACATACGCTAATCTAGCTGGCCAGCGAATCTCTCTCAATCTCTCGCCGCCCGTTTCTCTTTCCTTCATGCTCATTATCGGCAAGCGCGTTACTCGTCTCTTGCAGAACCCTCACACATTTTCTGCTAGCACCTTCCGCGCAAGCGTTGGAAACAACTAGATCAGGCACGAACGTCGAGCAAGCTCCATTTTGGGAGGGCTCCCGCCGCAAACACCCGAAGAACCACGACTCTTTCCCCACAAGAATCTCGAAGCCGCCTTTTTGCGTACACTTGTGGAGGAACAGAAGTATTGCTTTGGGCAGCCGTAAGATCGGAGCTCTTCGTGCAGGATGTTTTTTGACAAAAACAAGAACGAACGTCAACGACCTCCTCCCTCCCCTCGAGACCCGAATAAATTTCCGGCGACTCAACTGTTCTTGCTCGGTCAGTCAAACCACTGAAGCTCAGCTCGAATCCACATCACTAACCTCAATGATCCCACAGCTCTCGTCCGCGTTGCTGAGCCGATCGCTCTCACATCCATCTTTCCATACGCGTGGTGAGTCTGATACAGCGTCTCTTTGCACCCGAAGTCATTCTCGATGCCCAAAGATCCACTTTCGCCGCCATCGCATCAGTGCTACGATGCTCCAAAGATCTTTTGTGGTCTGAGCATCCTCGGTTGCAAAGAGAAGCCGTAGGTGCAACTTTCGTTAACCAGGGTTGATTTACAGGCGACTCGTGCTTCATTTTCACATCGGTGCAAAAGAGAATGCATCATTCTATGCAGGACTGCTCATCTCCGCCTTCGCATTGGCGGAGAGCATCACAGGAATGTAAGTGACTTACGACTTGGTTTCATCTGCTTTTCCTAGTTCAAGTGCTGAACAACGTGCAACATCAGGTTTTGGGGAGGCTTGAGTGATCGTATAGGCAGGAAGCCTGTCCTGTTGATGGGTTGTCTAGGTACCATTGCCTCGCTTTTGGTCGTTGGTTTCTCGCCGAACTTCTGGGTTGCGCTATTCGGAAGATTCCTAGGTGGTGCGCTGAACGGGAACATCGGAGTCATTCAAACAATGGTGGGAGAGCTGGTTGTGAACCCCAAGCATGAGCGTGAGTGCATATCGTGGGTAGCCCCCTCATCATAAACTAATGTCCTTGCAGCAAAAGCGTATGCGGTCATGCCTTTTATCTGGTCTGTCGGGACGATACTGGGCCCCTCAATCGGAGGATACTTTGCATCTCCCACCGAAAGTTGGCCGGGCGCGTTTCCCTGGCACGGCATCTTTGACAAGTTCCCATACCTCCTTCCGAACCTGATCTGCGTTGGTCTGATGCTCGTGTCCGTGCTTGCAGGATACTTTTGTCTCGAAGAAACGCACCCCGATATGCAACCCTGGAGCACCGCGAAAGACCTCGCAGAGACCGAAGCAGAAACGCCCATCATGCCTGCGCAGGCTGGAACTACAACGCCAGCTGTCAATCTCTCCCAGGAAAGTTATGGTACCTTCAACGCAGTCAGCGAGGAAGAAGCGATTGAGGAGTGGGATCTCAATCCTGACGGAACGAGTCGAACACCTAGCGTACACAGCGCCAACGACAACAAGGTCTTCACAAAGCAGATCATCATGCTTACAATCGCTTTGGGAATCTTTACTTACCACAGCATGACATACGACCACCTTCTACCGATCTTCTTCCAAGATGACCGAGCATCGCTCAGTGGCGATATAATGCAAGCGGTCTCGAGCGACGGCTCATTCGCTGGCGGCCTCGKACTGAGTGTCAAAGATGTTGGAGTCATCATGTCGTTCAACGGGATCATTGCGCTTTTCGTCCAAGCACTAATCTTCCCGCTCATCTGCAGCTGGCTGGGTGTATGGAAGACATTTCTGCTGTGCTCCCTCGGCCATCCTCTGGCATACTTCATCGTGCCTTATCTGGTTTTCCTGCCCGAACATTTGCTCTACCCCGGCATCTACGTCTGTCTCACGATCCGCAACATCTTCTCGATCCTGGCATACCCACTTCTCTTGATCTTGATCAAAGAGGCATCTCCTAGTTCGAGWTGTCTTGGGCGGATCAATGGTCTGGCGGCTTCCACCGGGGCGGCTTGCCGAACGATGGCGTCGCCCATTGCGGGTTTCCTGTATGGGGTTGGCATCCAAATGCAGTTCACTGCGATTGCATGGTGGGCTTCTGCTTTGGTGGCGATGATCGGCGCTGTACAAGTCTTCTGGATTCGAAGGAATAAGAAAGGAACACAACACCGAATTCAAGGCGTGGCACCTTGTCGCTTCATGCCGGATCAGGCGCATCGAGAGCACAGGCCGAGCGTTGTCCGTATCAAGGTCAACGAATCAGACAGTGGCTATTCAAGCGTGGATGAGGCAACGCCGATTTTGAGGCGGGCATGAATAGGACGACTCGTGAAATGCATTTTAGCGACTGTACAAATTGACAAATTGACGATATCAATAATAAGGTATCTTTCAGGAAACAACCTAACACTAGGTAGTGCATCTTTCAAAGGACTTCGCTTGGAGCACTGTTTTTTTTAAGGTTCGTCTGATCGACAGGGTCCAGTAGCGGAGGACCCGACGAAAAGTTCAAATGCTCTTGCCCGCCCACACCACCTCTTCAAGCTCGACACTTTCCACACAACCGTCGACTCCTCTCACACCTCTCACACCGCTCGCAATCATGGCGAACACTGCACCAACCAAAACTGAGGGTGGCGGCGACCCAATGGCTGGCCTTGTGCACAGCGAGGCACACTACTTCAACAGGTACACATTGATGGGATTGATACTGCACGAGTGATGGCGGGCGAACTGGCACTGACTGCCAATTCAACGATGCAGTTACAACCACCACGGCATTCACGAGGAGATGCTGAAAGACGAAGTGCGCACCWAGTCCTACCGCGATTCCATCTACAACAACCGCCATCTCTTCAAGGACAAGGTCGTTCTCGATGTCGGCTGCGGAACCTCCATTCTCAGCATGTTCGCCGTCAAGGCCGGCGCCAAGCACGTCATCGGCGTGGACATGTCCACCATCATCTACAAGGCTCGCGAGATCGTCGAGGCCAATGGAATGTCCGACAAAATCACACTGCTGCAGGGCAAGATGGAGGAGGTGGAGCTGCCTTTCCCAGAGGTCGACATCATCATTTCCGAGTGGATGGGATACTTCTTGTTGTACGAGAGCATGCTGGACACCGTGCTGTGGGCCCGTGACAAGTACCTGCGCAAGGATGGCCAGGGCTTGATCTTCCCTGACAAGGCCACCATCTTCATGGMCGGTATTGAGGATGGCGAGTACAAGAACGACAAGATTGGATGTATGTGATCAGTCAATCTTACAACAATTGTGCATTTGCTGACAAAATCTAGTCTGGGACAACGTCTATGGATTCGACTACACTCCTCTCAAGCTCACCGCCCTCACCGAACCCCTCGTCGATACCGTCGAGMTCAAGGCCGTCGTCACCGATCCCTGCGCCGTTCTTACCCTCGACCTCTACACTTGCACAGTTGCCGATCTTGCGTTCTCCCTCCCATACAACCTCTCTGTCCGCCGGACAGACTACATTCACGCTTTGGTCGCCTGGTTCGACATTGAGTTTTCCGCCTGCCACAAGCCCGTACGCTTCAGCACCGGCCCACACACCAAGTACACCCACTGGAAGCAGACTGTCTTCTACCTCGCCGATGTCCTCACCGTCGAGGCCGGCGAGCAGGTCACAGGCCAGCTTACCTGCCGTCCCAACGACCGTAACCGGAGAGATCTGGACATTGCGATTGACTACAAGCTCAACACTGAGGAGGAGGGACGGATCGCTGATGGGCATTGCGAGTACAAGATGTGCTAAATTTAGCGATGAACAAATCTCGCACAAGCGTGGTGTTTTGGCGCAGTATCATGGGGCAATTACTGCTATGAATTGATGGGAACGATCATGGCATCGCATGGCGTGATGAATCTGCTGCATGTGTTGCGGCGGCTGTTTTGAGGTCGCAGCTTTAGCTTCGCTGACCGTTTTTTTGTACAGCATTGGCGTGCACTCAGGTATAAAGGGTGTGCGCTGGTCAGACCGAAGGCGTTATGAAATGCATGGCGAATTCAAAATTCATTCTCATATCACTCAAGTGCAGTGAGCGTCCCCATAAGGTCAGCAGTATGTTCGCGCGATAAGTGTAACCCCGAGAGTGGCGAACATAKATCTGCGGCGCTTCTGCTTTGTGGGAAGTGTAAGAGGACGCATGACTGCAGTAGAAGCTGCCAAAAGCAGGACTGGAAGGTTCAAAGGTTGTGTTGCGTTTGACATGCGGCTCGGCATGGCTCAGCCTGCGTGCTCTTTGTTCCTACAAGCATCTTCCCGTGGAGGAGTGAAGCGCCAGGCGCATTGATCGAGTAGATCGGCATTGTCGATGGTATCCTCGCGAACACACTTCAAGCAAAGCCCCTTGAAAGACTCCTCGAAAGCTTTGGCTGCAACTTGCAATTGCGTTACACCCTCGCAGTGTCTTCCGCATGGACATTGCCGGCTCGGCCCCTCAGGGTTTTGGACACAGTCCAGGATCTCCCACAAAGACAAGCTCGATTCAGTGTACCACGCAGGAGGCCATTGGGAAATCCCTTGATGGAAGAGCACGTCGGTCCGCGAAGCGACACTACCATTTGGCGAAGTATCGCGTCGGGCGTCTAGGTGTTCAACTGCCTTCGCTTCAAGGTCGGATTGCAGCAGAAGTCTCAGGCTTCCGCGGATCTCTTCGAGGGCGACTGGTAAATCAGTTTCAGCATTATCACAGAAGAACCCGTGTTGCCAGACATACGCAGTGCATTTACAGGAAGCTTGGCGCCAGGCGTAATGTCAGGCCTACTCAGAGCTGAGTATGAGCTAGGATAAACCAGCACTAACTCGGCTGTGAACATTTGGAAGCAGCTAGACTGCTCCAGCATATAAGCAGCTGTTGCAAGGGCACCAAGGTCATTGTGCCACCCGGTCCGGTCCTTCTTCCAGGTCTTGTATAGGCGCAGCAACAGTGCTTCAACTTGCAGGTCCAATGCATACTTGCAGCAATATTTCTCATCGAGAGGTCAGCCTAGAAGAGCAGACATGCGATCCACAGCTTACATCGATCACCGACGCAAGTCGGAATAGCTGAGCGGGCCAGAAGTCAACGAGGTCGTATGAAGGCCCAGGATGGAGGAGACAAAGCATTTGAATCGTGGCGTCCTCATCGTCATCCGGTAAAGGGATCATGGCAGGACTGCCTGCGCTTCGGTGTTGCTGACCCTCCTGGTATCATGGACACAGAGATTAGCTTGCCTAAAGCTGTATTTCTGTTATCGCCAATCGATCTCACGTACGTGGAATCGATCACTGAGCAGCGCAGAGAAGACCTCAGATGCAGTTGTTAAAACTGCGGAATGGACCAAGACTTGCTTTTGCTTCGCTCCTACGACAAAGACGATATCTCCATCTGGATGAATCACTTCCGTAGCAGGGGCTTCGGCGTCGGCTCCATCGCCACGATCCAACCGGGCCTTCTTTTGAACAGGTGGCATTGCTTTACTTGTCAAAAGACCGAGGTGGAGATGTTGCAGGTCAGGCGTGGTCAATAGGAGGTGACATTGGAAGAGGGGAGAAAGACAAATCCCAAAACCCACCCGTGAGCACGGGCCAGTGAACATGGATTCCCCTGCAACTGCTCCTTCTGTCCATATCACTTCGCCGTCGGCTTTCCTCTCTCCAATCCAAAGCACAGTATCCCAGGACTATGGCTTCGCTAAAGGGGTTAATCACAAGGGAAGAGATCAAGAGGGACGCACAGATCTCAGCTTCTTGATCAAGTCGAGAGGATCTTGAAAAGTCATTCTCACATGAAAGGATGCGATGTTTGGGATGAGGTCTTTGATTATCTCGTCGAGGACTTGGCGGTGACCTGCTGGCCTTTGGGAACTCACTTTTCGGGAGAATGCTCGTTTTCAAGCATCTCTCAAAGCTTTCAAGCCCTCGAGCCGTCCACATCTGGCTGGTGTAATGAATGATGAAACGGAGATGCACCAGATTGAGCTGATTTTCACGGATCACGGGAAGAGCTTTTGGTCAAGTCTGCTTTGAACGTCGACGCAAGTATTGATCAAGCGGCCTGAACCTGCTCCCGTCTGCATCCCTTCTTCAAATCCCTTTACCCGTCTTCGGCCTCCACCATTATGGCTCCGCCCTCGCTTCCTTACTGTATCTCTGTCCACTCTGAGGCTTTCTTCGCCATTACTTCACGCTTTTGCAATCGGTCTTTCTCCCTCGCAATACAGGAACCCATATCATCATGAATCACCTTTGACCCTTTGGGCCTCGCAAATCGTAGTGGAACGCATGGCGTCGAACAACGTCCGAATTACTCCTCAAAATCTTCCTGTGCATATTCCTGCGGCTCCTGGTTGTAGCGAACGTCATTCAAGTACTCCTCGTCGTAATAGCCGTTTTCGTCGTAGTCGCTTTCGTCTTCAGAAGACGATGACAGAGACGAGTGGCGACTCTGGGGCCATAGTTCGTCGGGCAATATCTCTTGCTCCCATTGCAAGGCGTTTTCGAAGCTCTTAGATGGGGCAGCACGACCATTGATCGAGAGATTTTCGGCAGGGAGATGTCTAATCTGCTGTAGAGTGCCGCTCTCAAGGTAGTCGAGCCTTGAGCGATATTCCTCTTCGATCTTTGCGATCGGAGGCTGCGAAATGAGCATGCGAGTCCAAGATGGTGTGACTGATCCATTCCCGACTGGAGCTCTGAGTTTGTCCGACAATGTCAAGCTCAGGACGTCGCCGATGACGAGAGGATTGTAGCGGGCGAAGCTGATAGATGGAGACAATTCCTCGATACGATTGTTGCAGAGATGCTTCAAGTGCACGAAGGGGTAGAGATTGTACTTGCCGCACGTTTCGGCCCAGATCTCATCGTACGTCGGGATCATGCAGAGCGACACGACTTCCTCGTGAGTGGCGGGTTCGAAGAAGAGCTTCTTCTGAAGCTTCAGAGAGTCCTTACCGATGACTTCACTCCAGAACTTGTCGACTCGCTGGGCTAGCAACAGCGTCTTCGGGTCGGTGACGTTGATGAGAATCTGTTCCAGCAACTCCGTCGTGTGGAGGACTTGGATGGCGGCCGACATCTTGAAGATGATGCGATGATATAAAGGTGATGTGATGATACGAAGGTGCGGCTCCGCTGGGCGTGCGATGTTTGCTGATGCTTTGTTAGCCTAGGCAGCCTCACTAGGGTTTCCTGCCCTGATCATCAACGAGCGAGCCACCAAAATGCGTAGGATCAATCTCAGAAGCGCTTTAGAAGGTTGTTGAATACAGTAATGAGAGACGCACTGTCGTCCGCCGCCTCGTTGTCAAAGAGGATGGGATCGGGATCATCCATATCAAGAAGGGAAACTCCTCCAGGCTTCCTGGCGGTGGCGATGGGATCGAGGACTCTGATGACACAATTCCTTACCAGTAAGAGGCTCTCAAAGAGACTGGCTGCGGAGCGATCGTGCATTCAGAGCTCACCACTCAGAGCAACGAGTTTCGTAGTACTCTCCAGCAAGAGAGGCACRCTTACGTCTGCAGTGACCAGAAGGATACTAGCAAGGTCGAGCTGTCGGAATGAGAGGTTTTATTGGAGGGACTCGCTCATCCATAGTGCTTGATTGAGGTTGCTCACGGTAGATGAAAGAAGTGAAGTCGGCTGCTGATATGGACGACTTCGTTCAGCGCAGGGCCATCTATGCGCTACTACCCTCGATGAAGGATACAGATCATCATGCCTTGATCTCAACAGGCGAGCGCGAGGGATGGGAGTAAACATGGGACAAGAAGCATGAGAGCGCAAGGACGGATTTTATAAGCTCAGTACGGAAAACCGCTTTTACAAAAACAACGCCGACGGGGATCTCATATCCACCGATCCTCCTTGCAGACTGCAGCCTTGAGTATCATACAGACTTTTCCGTGCCGTTCATCCATCAATCATCGTGCTCCTCAGTAGCCCTCGCAAATTCGTACATCCTCCATCATCAAGCACTGGTCATCTGTACCAGATCATCTGCACATGGTGTAGTTCTCAGGGTAGCGGTTGAAAACCTGAGCACGTCGCTTGATGATCTTTGCTTCATCATCAGCCTCCCACTTCTCGTCCTTGGCAGTCATTTCCGTTCTCAGCTTCTCTCTCCTGTCGATTGAGTCCTTGAAGGCGTCGTAACTGGCAGCGTAGCCTTTCACCCAAATGTGCATCTCGGGCTCGAGACCTGGGACAACCCATGTCTTGCCAGTGTTGCRTTCGTACGCCTGACGTTCCCTCATGACTTCGCGGATGTTCAGGTCACGGACAGGAGGCTGAGTGGCGAACATCTTGTTCCATGATTGAGATGGGTGAAGACCTTCGGGCAGTCGGAGACGGACCAAGGAGTCATCGTGATCAGGCATGTCCGGCAGAGTGATGGCGTTGATGAGGGGATTGATCATGACGAAGTCGGTAGGTGGGCATGTAGTTGATTCTTCCTTCGGAGGAACAACAAAAACGCTGTTGTGGTCTGCAATGCCGAGTGAGATGAGTTCATCAACAGTAGCCGGCTAGTCTCAATGTTAGCATCCTTCATGAACAACTTGTTATCTAGATGTGTTTCACCGTGAGGTACAGTTTTTTCTGCAGCTTCGTGCTCTCCTTGATAGTTGTTTGCCAGAATTTGGACACTCGCTGAGATAACAGCAGAGTCTTCATGTCGATCTTGAGGAGAATTAATTCCATCAGGCGTGGTTCTTGCAGAGCTGCACTAGCTGCTGGCGTCGCGTTCGGGCGAAAAAGCGCAGGCGACAGCGGAGGTCGCGAAGGGTCAATTGTTGGCAGCTCGCTGGCAAGTTCATAATCGAGATCGAGTCCACAAGATCCTGCGATTTCGTCAGTCTGTCTTGTCCAATGCTGACGTTTCCAGGCCATGGCTGGTGTTGTGGAGCGGAGAAGAAGTTTCGAGGGGACGTCGGAATTTATATGCATCGCGGCTTTTGCCAAGACATGGCGTGACTCCGCGTTGCTAGGCACCAGCGTGATGGCGACAACAATCATCGAAAATGCGATTAGTGAAATGAGTGGTGACATACTAATAAACTCATGGCGCCGGAGTCCTCAATGCAATCGAAATTATGCGGATCCTCCAGACAGGCGCTGTCTGCAGCGAGCGTGGCGAGATTCTTAGAAATCGAGAGACCTTTGTCGCAGCGACTACACAACTCATATCAGGTCGTACGCTCTGCTCTTGATGCCGGCATCATTTGTGAGGCCAAATGTCTGTCATTTTCCTAACTCGAGATACGCCGAATTCATTCACACGCAGTGAACTCAAATTCGGCGCTAACCAGATATGGCAGGCGTTCCTTATAGCGAACGGGCTCATGCCAGCAACGTGGGGACCTGAAAATGATAATGTGTCGTAGATTGTCTTCCTCCAGAAACTATGTAGTGCTTCGACGAGTGTTCGCTCTTTTCACCTACGCCTTGACATTTGCCAAAACGTGCTTGCTCAGGATCTGTAAATATTTCCACCTTGCAGATTGGGAACTTATAGTCCGCTCATCCTATTGGACTGACCACGAAAGCTATAAGCGAGAAGATGCTTTTGGCGGCAGCTTCAGAGAGCACCTTGGTCGACTTTTGTAGCAGCACTGGAGAACATGCAGCACCCGGTGGAACAAGCCTTGCGGCTTTCCAAACTTCGCGGGCATGTTTCGAATAGAAGATGCATTGTATTTTATGAGATTTAGGAAGCTACTCGCCTGGAGTCGAGCAAATTGAATCAATAAGGTAGCATGTTAGTATCTTTCTAACCTCCGAACATCTTGTTGAAAACCTTGTCCCCGACGTTTTTGTAAGGAGCCTGGACGAAGTTGCGAGTGTACTGATCACGAGTTAGCCAGATCTCACACAGTGACCAAATATCACGGCATTGACTTACCTCATCAATCTCCTTGGTCTCTCCGACCAGATCAACTTCCTCCGGTTTGTACCACTTCGTCTTGTGAATCAATTTCCATCCGATGAAGAGCACAGGTGTCAAGAAGATCATGAAGTAGCTGAACACGAATGTCGACGCTTCCCATCTTCCTGGTAAGAAAACGGTATATCCTCCGACGACCGCCATTACCGATGTCCAAGCCAATCCGTAGTAGGCAACGCCCGGCATGAGGAACGACTTGTATGGCAACGAGTCACGAGAGATGCCTTGAGCTGCCAAAGCACGGTACCAGCAGAGATATGTGAAACACATGATGGCGAAGTTGAGCAACTGTCCGGCGGTAATGAGACTGACRAACCATCCCAGAACTTTGGCGGATCCAGCGCTGACTTCGAGGAAAGCGAGTAAGCAAATGAGCAGCACCGCTATAACACAGTTGTAGGGTACACCAATGCGATTCGTCTTTGTAAGGAACTTTGGAGCCTTGCCTTCAAGCGCTAGGCCGAACAGACTCCGAGAAGCGCAGTACATGTAGCTGTTTCCAGCGGAGAAAGCGGATGCTAGCACCAGAGCGTTGACGATGTGTGGGAGGACACCAATTCGGAGCCTATTCATGGCCACGACGTAGGGAGATGCGGCTGCGCCAGGAAGTCCAAGTTCAAACGCATTCATCAGCTCTTGGTCGTTGTATGGCACGAGGATGCCCACACAGAGGGCGCCAAGACAGAAGAATGTAGTCAAGCGGTAGAATACAGCGTTGAAAGCCGCTGGAAGCACCTTGCGTGGGTTTTCCGCCTCACCCGCGGACATGCTGACGTAGTCTGGTCCTGCGATCACGAAAGAGGCTTGGATGAGACACTGGAGGAAGCCGAGGAAGTAGCCAAGGTTTCCCTCATATCCTCCCCATTGCGCGAAGGCGCCAGGGTTGTTCCAATTCCGGAATCCGAAGCGGTCTCCTAGAGGATTTCCGCCCAGCATGACGATGAATGTGAAAATGATGAGGCCAATGATGAGCAAGACTTTGCCAAGCGCAGCCCAGAACTCGACCTGCAGCAAGTCAGTCGATGCCTCAAGTCACGAACGTCCCTAGATCAACTTACCTCACCGTACCATTTGACGCTCACAAGATTGACTAGTGCGTACAAGAAGATGACAATGGCAATGATGGCACTCACAGGAACTGTATCGCTCCAAAATCCAATGATAACATTGCATGCTGTAATTTCGAACGGAACCAGCTAAGATGTATTAGTGTCTCCCAAAGCCGGTCGACATTTTCCACTCACAATTGCTTCGAACACGAAGAAATTCCACCCAGCGGCGAAGCCGAATGCCTCGTCCACATAACGTCCAGCGAATCGAATGAATGGCGAAGAGATTGGGAGATATGTCACCATTTCGGCCAGGCACATCGTCACGGCCAGTACGACGGAGCACCTTGAATCAATCAGCTTGATATTTGATGTGGCACTCACTCATCTCCATACTTACCAGAATGAAAATGCAATAAACAAGCTTGCAGGTCCTCCCTGTAGCAAGCCTCTACCGATTTGCACATACAAAGCTGTTCCAATGGTACCTATTCGAGTTTAGCATGCGAGTCACTAGCGTCCATGGTTGGCTAACTTGCCTCCAATACCGATAAGCTGGATATGTCTTGGCTTCAGCTTGCGGTGGGTATTATCGTGAACTCCCGAGATATTGTATGATGMCACAGAAGCTCGGCGCTCGACATCACCTTGGCTGTAAGCTGGCAGGCCCAGTTCTTTCTCGCGAGTGACGCCATAGTCCTTGCTTTCGGATTTTTGAACGTCTCCAGTGTCCGTACGCTTGAATGTCGCACGCTGTCCGAGACTCTTCAAGGAGTCCATGTTAATGTCGCTGCGTATCTTGAGAGGCCTTATCGGAACATGAGTGGAGGGAGGGTAGTCTCGCAGAGCGGGAAAACAGTGAGAAAGTCGCGAGTACTTATCTGTCTTGCCGATAAGATCGCGTGCCGAGTAAGCAACATGTTGGGTAAGCTTGTGAAGTCCAAGGCTCCCTTCGTGTATCTTTGCCACATGGCGTCGAAGGGAATGGAGCTATTTCCCAGCCGCCAAGAGGCGGCCAAAAGAATCCCAGCAGCTCGCTAGAGGGTTGAAAAGACTCCAGCGGCCCAGTGGATTCGATGAAGGTGTTGAAAATGGGATTCCTTAGCGGCGTCGGGATTCCTGCTATAGAACTATCCCGACCAGTGTATGTGTTCCCGTGACGGGCGTTCGTCTTCAGGTGAAATGTGCAAAGGCCTGCCGATGCTTCGCCATCTCTTGGAAGTCTTGGTATGGGACCACAGCCTCGGCTTCTAGAAGCATACAGTACCGGTGATGAGGTGCTCGAGGCGAAGCATGACAAAAAGGCGCAAGTGCGAGGCCTCGCATACATGCGTAGCAAATCCGTGGGCAAGCGGGCTAGTTAGATGCCTTCCGATGGTTCTTGCTCATGCCTGACCCGATGCTCGTGTTTTCGTGCGTGAGTCTCTCATCTCGCAGTATATCTCATACTTCTGGTACTAGATATACTGCAAAGGGAAGTCGACACAAAGTACACGAYGAGCAACGGCGGAACTGATAAGTTGTTACCTTCCCCACCATAACAATCTATACCTGAATGTTACACGCCCACCATAAGCGAACAATGTTACAGCAGCAATGCCTCATAGGCTTTGGTCTTCATTGGCCTGGTCGCCTGCAGAAGTTCGATACAAAGACAAGGTGACACGAGCGGCTAATGCACCAGCGGTCAGGCTCCAACATGACAAGGAAAGTTGTGGAGCATTCAATCGGACTCCATAAGGGCCCCGCAAGGAATTACACTCGCATTGCGCTTCTCTATCTTTCCCTGCCCTTCCAATTCCATGCCAAAACTACTACAAAGTCCGCTTGAAAACACTGGCCAGCTAAGAAGGTCGTACAGGGCACTCAGATCGCTAAATGGCCAGTGTTGGTAGTCTTTTCTGGCGAGCATTGCTCAAAAAATCATCCACAGTGCTATCCCGTACGTTTGGCTCAACTGCTGTGCGCTACAAAACAAGACCAAGCTTCGCACCGCCGCATAACATGCAGCCCGTAGTCACTCCTACGCCGTCTACCAAAATCGAAGACCTAAGAATCCCAGCCGGAATTACAGAATGGGAGGTTCTCAGCTATTCTTTGTTCATGAAGAAGCTACAAAAGCTCAATCCTGGCGTGCAATATACACGTGCACTGGCCGATGAGGCGTTGGAGAAGTCACTAAGATCTGCAATGCCCAAGTTCGTGTGGAAGGCTGTACAGTCCATGCTTCACGGCGAGAACAATTATCACAAAGTTCGCAGCACAAATATTAGAAAGCTCGTTCACAATTGGAGGAGGCTGCAGACTGAATCGACTGCGTACTGGACTGAGTCTACCCAGAGCGGTGATGGGACTTCCCAGTGATGCGCAAGCAAGAGCAGGAGGAACGGGGGATTCCCCTGATAAACGGCGCTTCCCTATACTGTGACGATCCAACCAGCCAGTGGATTATCCGCTGCAGCCATTGAGGGCGAGACTGATATCACGGCATGATAAAGCACCACCGCCTGTCGTAGCAGCTTGTCCCTAACATCGTGGAGAAGGTCACGATTCTGCGATTTGCGGCCGTATGAACACCAAAACATGACATGCAGATGTACGAATGGCAGATCTCGCCACCCCTAAGGGCTTACAAGCAATGGTGCATCATCGAAGAGTCCAAGATCATCGGAGACTTTTGGATGATGATGTCGATGTTGGCACACAGGGCGGTTTCAACTGTTGGGGATCGTAGGAGTTCCTCGGTGTTTCAACCGACTTTTGTCGGACCCTCCGCCTTATACCACATTATCACACTATCTACCAATTACCACACAGTCTTAGAGGACCTGCAGTTCACGGACGCTTGAGGAACGTGTGGCCCAAACTCCGTCAGAGATCTTCCGGTTCGGCAAGGACCTTGCTCATACCAATTGCCTATTTGGGAAACCGTTCAAGCGGAACACGGGTAGCTTCGAAGCTTGTCGCAATCCGACCGGCGGAATAACGACAGGACACAAAACTTTTCCCCAACACTCACGTCTCTGCATCCGCAGAACGATGGTTCACGGCAAAGCTTGACCTGTGCAAGTCACGATAGAGGTACAAGCTACGGCGGACGACCGGCGATTTTAGATCTCTTGGCTGCGGAAAGCTTCCTTCGAGAACAGGTACCAGACTGCAGAGAGATGCCTCAATGTCTCACACCTAACATTACGTCGGTCAGTCGAAGATTCCATTCGAATGATCTACACAGCACGAAATCGCTACGTCAGATGTCTGAGTAGCCTTTTGATCAAGAATGCTTCATCCCATACTAAAGGAGGCACCAATTTGTATATTACAGACTTCCTCTGATCCCCCGTATCTCTCGTCATCTTCATCCACCTCATTACTTCCACGGTATCCTTCTACGCTACTATCTCATCTTCCACATCATCTCCTCCAACCTCAATCAAAATGGTGTCCTTCAAGACCATCCTCACCGCGGCTCTCGCTGGTAGCACTGTCGCTATGTTCAGTCCTCAAGAGGTCGCCGACAGCATCAAGACGATCACCGAAAAGTCCAAGGACCTCCAGAGTGAGATGACGGCTGACGTAAGCCCGTTTCCACAATCTTCTTAATTCATGCATTCACTAATACATACCCTCAACATAATAAGCTCGCCAAGACAATCATCAAAAACCTCCAGGGCCGTAAAGCGGAAATCAAGGAGCAGCCCGAGTCTCTCCAGGATGACCAAACCATGGAATCTTCGATGGCGGAGGACAGCGAGATGTCTTCAACGGACTCCTCCAGCGTGATGTCTTCTTCTAGCGGCCCTCCTTCCGGCATCTCCATCAGCTCTGACGATATCCTTTTCAAGGGGATCTTCAAGTCTATCACCCAGCTCTTGCAGGGTGACGATAAGAGCGAGCGCGGCGGCATTACCACCACTCTCCCTGTCAAGAAACGTGCTCAGGCTTTCGTTGCTTAAGGGGTGGACTCGACGGATGGGAGCGATACTTCGACTCATGGAAGCTTTCTCTAATTTGTTGTACAAACTCTTAATGTAGTTTATGAAGGGATGCTTTTTGTTGTAGGATAGGTTATGGGAAATACCACAGAGTCCGAAACATTCAGAATAAAACTGCTTGAGTTTCTCTTCTACTCATCCAGATGGATGTGTTTCGCAGCACTTGGAGCATAGCAAGTATCAGAGGTTCAGCGGCGATCAGACCAGCGAATCTTCGTTCAGCCATATGGCGGGGCACTCATCTTTGTGGTCAGTTAGTGGCTTTGAGGATATTTCCTTGATCGTGACAAGCACTCGCTTATCTTCCGTGATGCTCCAAGTCGCCTTTGAAACGCCAAGGCTACTACTTAGTATCGCCGACGATTGTGCAACAGTGGTGATTTTTCGCGACACCCCAATCCATACGTGCTCGACAATTGGGATCTCCCCCTCGGCTCGTCTCAGCTCCAACATCTGCGAAAAACAAACTTGAAGGCAGAGAGCGCTCAATGACGGTCATAAACAAGTACTTTTTCCATTCATCATAAGACACAATGCACGCTCGCTCAAGGACATCCCAAACAATACAGTCCCCTCTCATGCTCATCTGCTGCTCGTATGATGTCTCACTCGAATGCCAGTTCCAAGCCCTCTTCCGCGGCCGTAGACATGTCTCCAGTCATGATGCTGCTCGCGGTGGCGGCGGCTGTAGCTACACCGGCAGCCATCAAAGCTATTGACTTGGCCCTTTCGCTCCCTGGCAGAGGCACCTTCTCCTCTTTCTTACTCTGCGACCTACTGTCGTGCCGCTGGAAGACACTCTCCACGGGCTCCTCCAACTCTATCGGACTGATCGGCTCGGCCTCAAACAGCTCTCCATCAGGAAATGGCGAGATCCCCACCGAAGGAGCACTCTAGGCGCCAGCAGCCCCGGACCGGCCCTTTACGAGAGTCATGACTGCCTGCACCATGTGGTTGACATCGTACGCCTCTGCGGCTTCTCCGTATATCCTTACGGCATCCTCAGTGCCACTGGCGCGAACGAAACATCTGCCTTGCTTGTACTTGGCGACTTCAGCTTCGATGAGGGTCTGCAGACCTTCAGGAGTGGCGAGCTTCTGCTCAGCGGTACCCGGGACGGTTGTGTACTCGCTTCTGTCTGCAACGACCTGCTTAGCAAGCTTGTTCGGAAGATCGGTGTAGGTAGCAAGCCACTCCTTGACAGTGAATTCCTTGTGCGCGAGAATGGCCTCGACCAGGAGGAAGTCAGAGAGAGCGTCGCCAACGGTCTGGTTGATCAGATCAGTCAACCCACGTAGGGTCCCCAGACTCTCAAGCTGTGCTGGTGATTCAGGTTCCTGCTTCCAGATCGTGCGCAGTGCATTCTGAGAGAAGAGGATGGTGCCGTGGCCATTTGCTTCGAAGTACACTCCAATATCGTAGCGAGCGGCAGCGTGGTGAAGGTGCTTCACGCCGGTTGCGGTGAACTCCGCCTTGATCTTGAGTCGGTCTTCGATGAACTTGGTGCTGGCGCCGTTGGCGTATGCGGTCTGTACAACACCAAGCTTGATCTTGTCGCTAAGGCCACACTTCTCTAYCAGCTCGCCAAGGAAGGAGGCAGCAAGAGTCGCGATACGGTCGCCGTCGAGCATACGGAAAATGCCACCTTCTTCGTTGAAAAAGTAGATGATTCGGTCTGCGTCGCCGTCAAAAGCACACCACCTGTCGAAGGGTTTTCCGTTGTAGTTGGCCGGAGTCTTCTGCTGAGTCTTGACGAAATCGGCACCACAGTCCTTGTTGAGAATTTCAGGATCCTCAATGCGGTCGTTCTTGACGCTGACTTTTAAGCTCTCAGGTGAGTCGGGGTGATACTTGAGAAAAGCCTGGAGCTTGGGAGCACCCACTCCATTCGCACAGTCGACTGTCACTGGAGAGTGAAACTTGGTGTTCTTGGTGACGGTTTCAAAAGCAGCAGCCAGCTTCTCATAGTAGCCGACCTCGGAAATTTTGCCATATGGATTCTTGTCGTGCTGGGTGTTGGTTGCACGAACCAGGTAGTGCAGCTGCGGGGTCGTGAGGATACCAAAGTCCTTGTAGGTGACATTGGTGGCCTTGAGACCAGCCTCGAGCGCCTTGACCAGTCGGATGCCCGATGGACGAGTGTCTCTTGCGTAGATGACATTTGCTGGTGCTTCCTGGTCGATCTTGAACTGCTTGACAACATGACCGTATGCGTTTACACTCTCTTCGGGTGTCTTGCCGTTGACAATATATGTGGCCCACTCCTCCCAGTCCTGCTCCAGCATTTCGCCCATTGGGTCCACCAACTTCACGCCGTTGTCCTCGGCAGGGTTGTGAGAGGCAGTGATCATGACACCAATAGTCTGCCCATTCAGTTTGCGGGAACGAATTCCCGCGAGCAGACCCATACCAAACATTACATGGTCGAGGTGGTCGCCCTTCATACGAAAGCCAGCAGTGCCATATGTGAAATGGGAGATGGCTGCTGGGCGAGGATAATGCTGGACTTGCTCTGCGACAGCTTGCTCCGTCTTGCCCGAAATGTCGAAATGTCCTGGTGCCATCGTGACTCGTGAGGCTGTGTGCGGGGAATGTTTTTTTCGAGGGGGCGTTGTGTTGGGTGGGGGTGATGGAGCGAGAGAAGAAAGCAGTGCGGTTGGTACTAGGAATTGGGAGGAAGATGGAAGATAGGTATGGTGGTCCTGACCTCTCTAATAAGCAGGYGCAGACTTGCGAGCGAGCCAACGAGCTGGGTTGTTTCGCAATACGATTCAACAGGTGCGACGCCGCATGCCAAAACTTGAAGCTATGATTAGTGCTATTTTCGTCATGGTGCATGAGCTTCAGCCGGCCCGCTACCGCCCCGGCGCTACGCAAGGGCACGCGGGTCGACAGCATTCGAGTTCCAGATGAATGATTCCATTGTCCATCACAACAAACGCCATCATGTCGTTCCTTCGCACATTCCCGTCCGCAAGACGGACACAGAGTCTTCCATGGACCGCAGCCCGATGTCTTGTCCTGCAATCACAACATAGCACAGCCTTCTCCACCTCTGCACAACTCCAGGCGCGAAAAAAGGGCGGTCCCAGAAAAGATCCCCGAATCAGTATGTATCTCCATGTGCTATTCTATTGCGTATGCTCATAACTATCTCCAGCACAAATTCGTTACCATCTACAACACGGCCTCACGCCCCGACCACTTCGCTTCTCCAGGAATCGCGCCCTCCGCCACTGGACCATTCACCGGGCATGGCAACGTTTCCAAGATGTCCAACGTCAGACAAAGGAAAGGGAGCTTGAACGACAGTACAATGCCATGGCAGCAGCATGCGAGACATTGAGATTGATTGACGACACGGGATTGACGAGGGAGGAGGCGGAGAAGATTGGTGCGAAGAGGAAGGATGGTGTCATGGGCAAGAAGGGAATGGAGGAGGGAAGATTGTACAGAATCGCAATGAGGAAGGATGATGTGTGGGATGGCGTGCSAATTGAATATGCGAGATTGCAGGTCGAGACACCGGGCAGGGATGGGTGGAATCATGGTTGGACGAGGTAGTGTGCGGTGGGTGTGACATGTACAAAAGGATGGCATTTTACGGATCGCTCAACGGCTCACTGCGACGTACGAACCAGTGCAAGAGGACTCGGAGCCACGCGATKCAGTAAGTAAGTAACAGTGCCACTCCGAGGCGTGGAAACATAACAGCGTTGGCACAGAAGTTCTCACCTCGATTCGATGCAGAGTGTTGGTCGCTCTCTGCTCGCAACGTGTTCTCTACCGAGTTTACGCTGGCTAGCTAACCGCATGCTGTCCCCACACCCGTGTCTTCTCGATTACCTTAACTTGCTTGTGCGTTGGAGATTGGATCGGATACTCGCGGCAATCTCGATCAGAGTTCCAAGGTCGGGTTGTGGCTCTGCACGCAATCCATTGCCCCAATTGACTTATCACATGACTCTGCTCACATAGGTAAGGTATGACGTGCGCTCATCGCCAATGGTCTCGAGAATTCGCGATTCCGTCGTCAACAGATCGTGTGCACTCCTCGAACTCGGACATCAACACATCACAATCTCCAAAAACGACATCAACGCTCCGCATCCAACGACTCCGCTAGCTACATTGATCACTCTTCGTGATTGTCATCGTCGCAGTCTTCCCGTCCGAGATGAATTTCCACGCGCTTATCAATTACGTCTACGACGCTGGAGCTCAGCCTGTCGTCGCACCTACCGCCCGAGCGTCGTCAATCTGCAACCGCATGATCTTCAGAGATATGTCGCATCGATATAGGCGCAGTACTCCAGCTGGTCTACTGGGTAGCTTCGGAGAAATCGAGGATCCGCGTACAGCGACAGGCGGCGCTACGGCGCATTCCCCATCTGACTCGGACCATACACTCACCATGAGGTGTGACGATCTCCGCAGTCGGCTGGAGAATCTCCCGCAGGAGCTGTACGATGAGATCCGAGCCCTGACTTTTGCATTCGACTTCACGTCGGAAGCTCGCTGCATCGACCAGCATGGCTACAAGCCTCCCATGCAACTCCAAATCAACCAAAACCTTCGCGCTCAATTCCTCCCGCGGTACTACGGCTCAGAAGAAGACTGGGTGTTCGTGTCAAGGTCGCGCTTCGATAACCACTTCAAAGACGTTGAGATGTGGCTCAATTCCCTGTCGCCAGAAGCGTTGTTTGCAGTTCACAATCGCAAGAGAAGGGCGCTCCCTGGACGTTGCGATGCTGAAGGCCACTATTCCATCGTGGGTGAGTCGTGGACGGGAGGTATCATGTGGCGAGATATCTGCTGGACACGGTCAAGACTACTACTCTACAATCACGAATCCAGCTGCTGGGCCTGGAGCCCCGGAGTCAGTGAATACGGGCGTCGAGTGACAAGATTCTGGAGATGTAGCTGAAGCCCGAAGCGAGTCCAGGAGGTTGGAGGCAGGGCCAACCGCGTCTTATGCCAGGTCACCCGTCAAAGTCATGGCGAGACCGGAGTCATGCGAATAATCAATTTGAGTACGGAGACAGAGTATACCTATCAGCGAACATGAGACGGAAAATATGGAGTTAAGTCTACCAAGCAACAACGATGCATGTTGGCGGTCCGGGCACACTTGTCAATGAGATGCAGCTCGTCTCGATACCCCCAAAAGCGCAGCAGCGAAGATAGCAAGTTTTCTGCTCCTACTGAAACAACAGACATTGCAAGTGCATACATTCGTTCTTGCCAACATACGTTACACGCAGGAACAGCGCAGTTATCGCCCTCCGCCATCAATCTCGCCTCCCTTCTCTCTTCATCCACAGCATCATCGCCAWTACAACAACAACAACAGCAATATCGACATCGCAAACCACTTCAACGACCAACATTACAATATCGCACACCACTTCGTACCGAAACATCATACCAACCCATTCATTCGACATAGACCTCGCCCAGTTTCAACCCGACATCCTTGCGAAACACAAAAGCTCAAGTCAAAATGGCCCGCCGAATCTACACGGATTACGACAATAGTGAGGTTTTGATGGTACTTGCAGTCGGAATTATCATCATTGCCATTGGATTCAGCGGATATTTGGAGAGTTTGTTCCCTCGGGCAAGGCTCTGAGTTGGAGACTCATGACCTGGGCGTACATCTGTGGAGGCCAGTCTGTGATATGCATGTCATTGGTTTCTGGCTGACTGATAGTAGTCGGAGCATAATTGGCGATCATCCATTCGAAGTCGATTTTCCCATTGTTGTGAAGGAAGCATCGCTCGCTAGCATTGGTGGGAAGATAGATGAGAGACACACTGGCAAAGAGACGAGCAGAGTTTTGACGATATTTGGATCAGTCGGGTATGCGATATACAAGCTCATGATCCTTTCATTGAAGGAGTGCCTGTAGCGTACTGGCTTGGTAACTGTTTTTACTGAAGTTCACTACAAGTGTCCTTAATCAAAGCCTTAACATCGATTAGTTTTCCTTTGAACGACAGTCTTCGCATATGAAAGGACCATTCGGCACTTCCTTCTGCCGCCGTCTCTCCCTACTGATCTCTCGCCGCTCCTTCAGAAAACGGCCACCAAACAATGCCCGAAGAGCATCGCCCGGACTCATCTCAGTACCATTCTTGCAACCTTCTTGATACCCTTCGTCCAAAAGAACGCCACACATGATAAACCACCCCGTGACCTGCAGACCTGTCACCCAAGGCATCGTAGCTCCTACAACCTGCAGACACACTCCAGCAACCCCCCCCCTTGACCAACGGTTTCAAATCATCGAATAGACTCCCCCATCCTCCAAGACGCTCACAAATCTCCAGCGAAAAATCAAATAGCAGGAAGGCAGTTGTAAAAGGCGCAGCATCTTCTGCGAGATCTATGGGCCAAGTTGGACGTTCTCCAGTTCGGATTTTTTCAATTACAGTGTAGCTCGCGACAAGCAGTGCAGTGTAAGAGTAGCCGACCATACAGGTTTGGAGAATTGTATGTTTGGTGAGAAAGTGGTCGCCAAATGCGATGAGGGCGTACAGGGTGAAGATGACTTTGTGGAAGCTGGAAGAATTGTTCTAGCTGAGGAATTGCGCGTGTCTTTTGAGGGGTTTGGGGTCATACCAGAAAATGTAGGCGGCTGATCCGCAGGTTACAGCAGCGAGTACGACGAAGTAATCTGGAGGTTCTGTTAGCTGTTTTTGCTTTGGAGTGGAGTTGGTCTGACGGGCTGACATTTATGATGCTTGTGCAGGAAGGCTGTCAAAGCTGAGGACATGTCCATCGTCTGCTTCTTGCGAAATTTGTTCGTTTTGGAGATGGACCGGGAAAAACAGACTGGTTTGTAGTATAGATAATCTCTCTTAGGCGGTCTGGGGCGCCTGATTATGCCAAGAGATCTGCATGCGTGGGTGAGTGGCTGGCGCCTACCGTCTGGACGCCTGAGAAGCTGGAAGCAATGATGAGATTCTAGACTTATGACAAGGCATCACCGCGACCTTGCACGCCCGCATGATAATCGAAAACCGCGTGATTCGAAGTGAAAGTGCTTCGCTGTTTCAGCGTTCTCAATCCAGGTAACATCCTTTCTTCTCCGCCATGTCTTCGTCTGCACGTGCACGTGCACTTGCACCAACTACCACATCCCTTTCAGCCACTGGGCCGCCACCATGCAACCAAGTCCCAGAACAGTAGACCCAAGTAGCGACCAGAAATGCCACAATGTAATCATGGGAACCTCCAAGTTTCYTATTCACAAGCACCATACAACCAGTCGCCTCAACGCACGGCTTAATTCACTGCATAAGGCATCGTGCCACCTTTCAGTTTCCGCATAACTCACTGGTTCTATGTCCAACAGCCATGAATACACCTGCAGTTCCCAACCAATTGACCTCTTCGTTGAAGACGGTGATCGTTTTGTCAGTTATAGGACGAACACATTGTGGTGACTTTGTGGCAGGGCCCCATGAACTACATGTAGTCAGCGAGCATTGTAAATCATTGACCAGTACGAGATCGAATTGATCCAGAATGAGGGAGAAGATACCCCTATCAACAGTTTTGGTCTCATGATATATATGCAGTATTAGAAGAAGCGGAGTGCTTGGCCGACCATTCTTGTTCAGACCAGTCCAAGTCTTTCTAATCTATGGYATTGCGCAGAGAATCAAAGCAATGCACTCCATACCTCTGAGCGTGTTCGATGAGATGTTCGACACGCGCTGCAACGTTGATCTTTCTAAACAGCGCCGTCCGCGGATATTCATCGATGCCATCGAGGATCGACTGGATGAGCTTACAGAGGTCATTATCATGCCGGAAGTGTCTGCGGATTTCTTGAGCAATGAAGCTGTCCCCAGATGCGACAACACAGCAACTAATTTTGATCAGTGCTGTTAGGGCCTTGCCTTTCGACACCAGGGATAGGTGCGAGGAAGTTTCCTGTCTGATGAGCTCGATCTGAGTTTGGATTTCGATGTAGGCATTCCGACTTTTGCCATGCCCGTCGGCGTCGTTKAGGTTACAGTACTTGTACTTGATGATGGATTCCACGTTGGAAGCACAGATGTCGAAGTCGATGAACTTCCACAGGTCACACTTGGTACGGCTGATGGCCTTCGCTTCGTTGTAATATCCATGATCGACTTCGGCATCAGGGTCGTCTTCAGCTCCTTCATCGTCTGCCTCTTCGCCTTCGGATTCGTTGGCGACTGCCATAAGTTCGTCGCGGTCTAGGTCACCTCTAAGCATCGAGTGTGACTTGCGAACGTCCAACCCTCTGACTCCTTGGGTGACAGCTTCTCTCCCGACCCACTCCAGTCTGGAAAGCAGATTCCCTTCGCCAGTCTTATCAACACTTTGACTTGCAGCTAGTCGCGCTCGTTGAGGCATGTTCTTAATTATAGACTCCATAACGTTGATGAGATCGTGCTCGTGTTCCAGGCGCTTCCTTGCTTCATGGCCCAGCGAGTTCCGAGAAAGCAACACTGTCTGCGCAATGCTGCACAGAGATCTTAATGCATTGACCTTGGTAGCCAGCAAGCTGCCAGTTGTGACCTTGGCATTGATAGTCTCAATACAGCGTAGTAATTTCGCGGTCACGACGTACGATTTCTCATATTGCTCAGTGGGGCTGAGATGGAGGTACGGGTCGTCGAAAGCGTACCAAACGGTCTTACTCTCCTCGTCAAAGCTCTCGGGGAGAGGATCCTTCGAGAGTTTCCCCACGATATAATAGTCAATTACAGCAGATTCTACCAGGCCAGTGCTGTCAAGCGGTATAATCAATTTGAGCACTGTACGCAAGTCACTTTCGCTGAGTTCTGCGAGCAATTGTTCCGGAGAAGGTAGAACAATGCCAGGTGGGGTAGGACGAGGCTTGTAGACTCTACCCAGCAGCCTCTCTGGACCCTGAAATGGGGGAGGAGGCGAATAGGCTGAGGGCATCTGATTAGGAGGTGTCGGTGGGTAGCCTGAGGGTATCGGATTCGGAGGTTGAAGAGGGCAGGCGATAGGAACCTGAGGTACCGGCTRAGGCGCACTCCCTGCGCTTCTTTGGACTTGCGGCGGAGCCGGAGGTCCATGTCTGAGCTGTTGCCCAAGTTGAGCTTGCCCAGGCTGCTGAGCGGGACCGGACTGTTGCATGTCGTGCCTGTTTGGTTCACTGAACTGTGCCGAAGAAGGTGGGAATGGATGTTGGGGATATTGCGCTGGCAGGCTTTGTGACAATGGGCCTCTCGATCCTGGTTGTGGCTCTGGCATTTGTTGTGCCGGCTGCTGGCCGCCAGCAAAGTTGGCCTGATCGACCTGATGATTGTGAACTACCTGGCAGTTGTTGTAGTGGACTGTCGTTGGTCGATCAGCAAAGGCTTTCAGTCCCTCTTCGAGCTTTGCCAGCTGTATTCGTATGTCGTCCATGGCCGAATTGCTTTGCGACACCGATTGCGTGTTCGAGTCGGAGTTAGTCCGTTGCCTTTTCGCTGGCGGATTCATCGTGAAGACTTCAGCGAGTATGAGCGAATGGAATATTCATGAGTTTGATGAAGTTGGAATCAAGTTGCAAAACATGGAAAGATGTTCGGGAGACGCGATCTGACGCGAACACGTCACGTGAGAGAAATTGGACAGAAGATTGAGTTTATGCAGCGACATTGTGCTCAGGGGTTAGCTAGCGCTTGATTATGTACTCAGTAAGTGCTTACACATCTAGATGAACCCTCTCGCCATCTTACGTGAGCTGCAGCATACCACTACGGAAATACATAAAACACTATCATCAATATGGCTCCCCCACCTGCCACCATCAACTCTGGTACTCCCTATACTGTTGACATTCCTTCATAACATCATGTCCCTCCCTACCACAAGCCGCAATTGGCGGAGGACTCAGGATGGGAAATCAATCGAGCTTGTCTCTGAGAAGCTTCCAAGCACATTGGGCTCAAAGGAAGTCCTGCTCCAAATCCATGCAGTCTCTCTCAACTATCGCGATATCGCCATGTTGTACGTTCCTGGAACTAGCAGATGCCTTTCGACATACTCATCAGATTTCACTTTAGGGATGGTAGCTATCCAATGAACGTCATTGATCGCGGAGTGCCTTGCTCAGATGCATCGGCAACCGTCGTTGCAGTCGGTAGCTCTGTCGAAACATTCAAGAAAGGCGATCGTGTTGCGCCGTCCTTCACCCATGGATTCGTAACGGGTCAAGAGAAGCGCGCCAAATCAAAGTCCTTAGGCGGCGACCTTGATGGGGTGTTGAGAGAATATGCCATCTATGAGCACCAATTCTTGACCAAGGCTCCTGACTATCTGTCTCACAACGAGATCTCCACCATAGCTTGTGCGGGTGTCACAGCTTGGACTTCTCTTGATATGGAAAATCCGATCTCCACTGCAGAATATGCGCTCATGCAAGGCACCGGTGGTGTGAGCATCTTCGCTGCTCTCATCTGTGTTGCGGCCGGTATCACCCCGATAGTCACATCATCCTCGGACGAGAAGCTCGAGCAGATAAAGGCACTGGGTACCGAGAATACCCCTGTCCTAGGGATCAACTACCGTACTCACAAGGATTGGGCTGGCGAGGCACGCCGCCTCACGAACGAGGGTGGAGTTGATATTGTAGTCAACAATATTGGGATCAACGCCATGCAAGAGAGCATCGATGCCTTGTGTCTTCGAGGAGGCATAGTGTCCGTCGTAGGATTTCTCGGAGGTATTCCAGAGATGGTAAAAGATTTCATCATGCCTGCCATGTTCAAGACTGCAACCATCAAGTGGGTTTACCTATTCAATAACAGTTGAAGAAACGGCACTAATATCATCCAGGGCAATCGGCGTTGGCTCAACAAAAGATCAACAAGAYCTCTGTAACTTTTTGGCCAAGCACAAAATCGACCTCGAGCCACTGGTAGACAAGGTCTTTGAGTTCGAGGATGCTCAGGCTGCATTCAAGCATCTCAGTTCTGGAGCTCATGTCGGCAAGATTGTCATCAAGGTCCGTTGAAGTACCGAAGCGTAAGAATCCAAATGCTACATCCTAGATCCCACGGGCAACAAGGCAAGGCAGATCAATGAGATGGCGAGCGCGGATAGGTCTTGATTTGAGGGTTTCAAAAAGAGTAAGTCTCACGAGCAACACCAAGTGTTCATACTTCTCACCTTAGTTGCCAGCACCGTGATCTCATCTAAACCGCATCGAAGCTATGATACTACACATCTAACCTATACGGTCTTTCGGGAGATGGCCAAGGAACACTAGCTTCCAGAATGACTTAGTACTGCTTCCGTGGGTTAGGGTTGGGGTAATGCACGCATCGCTCTGTCGCTCTACTTGATCCATACCAGTGCACCTAGATTTGTGTTCCTACTTCAATGCGAACAGGCCATGCTAGGCGGGCTTACGAGCTTAGAAATAGTGGTGGTCTCTATTCTTGGCAGTTCATTCTTTTATCTCGCGATTCTTCTTGGCGAGTCCTCCAGCAAACAGGTGGTTTCATCGAGCCAAAGCATGACCTCCATTCAGGGCTGTCAGCTTTGAGATGCTCGAAGAGCAATGTGACTTCCACAGGTCAACTCAAGGGTGATCTCGGTATAGCCCAAATAGCAGCGACAGGAGGAATAGTGTGGCTTGTCGGGAGCAAACATGTTCAGTGAAAAACAGGGAATACGGGTGCGTCGAACCAAGAACATTTCTTCGTTGAATGCATCTACGCACCAGTCGGCGACATTCTCCTGCTCGCTGTATCTGAAGAAGGCTAATCAAAATCGCTCCATATCAACCCAATCGATCCCTCACTTGTACTCCTCTCGAAGCACCCACTTTCCTCTACCCCTCGCTCCCGCACCGCCCATTCTAGACCCTCTCCCACCCCGGCCTGCACTACCACCAGTCTCAAGCGTCGCAATCGTCTTGAGCATAGCCTTGAACTCCTCCGTCCGCTGAGGGGTCCCACAGAACCGATTGAAATGATCAATCAGCATTTGCGTGTATGCGGATCCTCCTTGAGCTCGCAGATAGTCACGGATCATGGTGATCCACTCCTTTCCTTTGGGCTGATGCTCAGCTCTGGCCCGTGGATTGTATGAGGAGGAAGCGGCGGATGTCGAGCCACCTGTTTGTCGACTGTGGAGATTTGCAAGGACAGAAGCGGAACTGGGTCCTGCACCGCCACGTCCACCGCGGCCACCACGACTTGCACGAGGCGGTGGACTCGGCGAGCGACCAGCRGTTCCATGTGTGCCGGTCCAAGTCGGTACACCTGCAGGCAGTGAACGCGCGATTTCTCCAGCATCGCGAAGACTCTTCGCCGCTTCCGCTGCAACGCGTTTGGCCTCCCGAGCGATCATACCAGGGTCGGCACGGATCGTSTTGCGGCCGTTGATGATGGCGTCGTGGTCTTGAGCTGATTGCACACCTGTTCTCGCGAAGATACCCGCGAGAACTCGATCGCCGCTGTTAGACTCCTTGCCGTCAACGTTGGCAGAGCTCTGTTCCTCGTCTCCAGTTTGGAAGTCTGCCTGACGGGCGATGCCGAAAATGCCCTCTACAGCCGCGCGATCCTGTGCCTTTTCTTTGTTCTGCTCTTCTTCTTCGGGTGGAGTTGGGAGACTCTCTTCCTTGCGGAGCTTCACCTCCGTTCCCTTGAACAGACTCCCCGTCTCCGTGGGTCCCTCACTCGCATCTCCCAGCGAAAAGAGATCATGCAAATCTTTCAACTGAAAGGTCTGTCGCTGTCCTGGATCCCTCAAGATCTTGTTGGTCAAGAACTGCTTGAAAATCTGCCGATGGTAAATCTTTTCCTCGATAGTCCCTGCAGTCATGAGTCGGTAGATCTCCACTTCGCGCTTCTGGCCCAATCTCCAAGCCCTCTCGCGAGCTTGAACATCAGTGGAGGGGTTCCAGTCGGGATCGTAAATGATGACGCGGTCCGCACCTGTGAGGTTTACTCCCAGCCCGCCGACTTTGGTGGTCAATAGGAAAACGTGCAAGTCTGGWTCGTTGTTGAATTCGTCGACGAGGGTCTGACGGTCCTTGATGGAGGTGTTGCCGTCCATGCGGCGGTAGTTGAAACCTTTGAGATTCTTGATAAAGAGCTCGAGAATGTCGAGCATGATCCGATGCTGCGCAAACAGGAGCGTCTTGTGGCCGTTGCGCTTCCAGATTTCGAGGAGTGCTTTTACGACTTGCATCTTTCCACTCTTCGTGCCAGTACCGTAAACGTAGCCAGGCTTCTTCGACAAGGTCTTGTGCTCGGTCAAATCTGGGTGGTTGCATATCTTTCGAAGAATATCAATTCCGTACAGAGCTTGGCGTTTACCGTTCATGATCGATTTCATTTCTTCAGAGTTGAGGAAGAACTCGTATGCATCGCGCTGCAGCTTTGTGAGTTTGCAAAACAGTACTCTCTCGCTCTTCTTGGGGAGATCAGCAGCGACGTCCACTTTGAAGCGCTGAAGGAGGTATGGCGAGATGGTGTCCTTCAGAGTCTCGGCGCATTTCTGCGCGGTCTCGACTTGGAGGTTGGAAGCATTCGCATAACCGCCTTGTTTGATAGGTACCTCAAATTGCGATTTGAAGCTGACCAAAGTGCCGAGGCGCATCGGGAAGACAAAGTCGAAAAGGGACCAGAGCTCAGTCAGGTTGTTCTGCATAGGTGTACCGGAGAGGATCACACGATTGTGGGTACGAATCTCTTTGCAGTAGATCGTAATGGCGGTGTTGGGGTTGCGGATCTTGTGTCCTTCATCCAGAACAGCATACTCCCAGTCGGTGGGAATGAGCAGTTCCGCGTATGTTTGCAGGCCGGAGTAAGTAGTGACCAAGACGTGTCCATCACGAATGACTCTATCGAGGATGCGCTTGGCGGACTTGTGGCCCTTGGTTTGTGTGGTCTTCCGTCTGTGGGTATCTTCCTCCAGGTCGTCTTCGATCCGGGATTCTCGACCGAGATCGAGCATGCCGCTGCCAGAAGTGTGCAGGATGGAGACTCTCAGAGGTGGCCACCATCGATGAAACTCATTCACCCACTGCTTCATCACAGTCGCAGGGCAGACGACAATGATGGGCTTCTTCAGCTTGCCAGAGTAGTGTAAACCGGCGAGGAACGAAATGATCTGAATGGTCTTTCCAAGTCCCATCTCATCACCGATGATTCCGCCGACTTGCTGCGCGAAGAGCTCCCACAGCCATTGCACACCAGTCTTTTGGTAGTCGAAGAGGGAAGGGTAGATGTCGCCCGGGATCTTGAAGCCGCCCTCGAAAGCAGCGTCCTCGCGGGTGGGATGAGGCATTTGCCATTCTGGCGTGGCGGTTTGAGGAACAGTCTCTTCGGCATCGTGGTCATCATCAGAAGCCTCATCTCCATTTGATCCTCGTCGTTTCGTATGTTGTCGTCTCGCCGCACTTCTTCGTGAGATCCAACTCTTCAATCTCGCTTGATAGACGGACTCATTCCCGTCATCAATCCCAGTCAAATCCTCCGCCTCTGTAGACTGTACTGCCTTCTTCCTGCTCTTCCGCTTGATGCCTGCAGTCGTGGGCATGACCCCATCCTCGTCATCATCATCGACCTCGCCATCCTCCTCCGAGTCGTGTGTTGCTGCCTCGCCTGGAACAAAGGGAGCGTCCGAGTCTTCAGCAGGAGTACTGACTGCTTCCGAAGCCGCTCTTGCTGCTCTTTTCGTCTGGAGTCGCCGTCTCTTTGCAGGCCTCTCTGACGCAAATTCCTCGTCTTGGAGTCTCCTCGCTAGTGCAGCATCTGACTCGGTATCCTCTGCCGGGCTGCTTCCTGCCTGCTCAAAGCCAGGCGCCAGGAGATTCCGATGCGAGACAGGCCCTGCGCCATTGGCCTCCTCTTGCGCCTTCTCCTCCAATCCCTCTTCTTCGTCCTCCTCATCTATGCCACCTTCAGCATCTAATAGAACGTCACCCAAACTTGACGACTGCTTTAATAAATGCATTCCGACTTTGGAGAACGGAGTAATCTTTCCTGTTCTGATGAGAAACTCTCTCCGACTCTCGCCAGGCATCTGCTTGTTGCCCGCATCCTCCAAGAGACCCTCCCTGCCCTCTCCATTCGCCTCCTTCTGCCTCTCCTCCATACGCTTTTGAATTTGCTGGAGATCCTTCTCGAGTAGACCTAGCATGGCAGTGTAATGATCGCGCTCACTCCTCAGCTTCGTCTTCGTCGCCAGGTTCCCGAACTCGGTCAACTTTTTCTCTAGCGCGCGGATATTGGTCTTTAGTCTGTCGAGTTCCTTTTGGGTCTTTTCAAGGCGCTTTCGATCCCGCTCATCGGCCTGTTCAAAGAGGAGCTGGTCTGCTTGCCGGCCAATGTCTCGCTCGAGGTCGTCTTGATCGCGCACGCCGGTGGCCAGTTGGGCGAGTTGAGCTGCTTCATCGCCTGCGAATTCGCCATCGTCGAGGTCGGCGGCGAGGTTGGAGGACTCGGTAGTGAGAGGAGGAATGCTGCTGTCTTCTTTGTGAAGAGAGACCACCGGTGTCTCGTGCTCATGCTCCATTTCCGCGTGGCTGTCGTGGTCGGCCATGTTGGTATATTTTAAGGGTGTCGATGAGGAGGAGAAGGTGAGATGGACAGATTCGGGGTCATGTTCAAATTTTCATGCGATTGTTCTGTCATCCAGCCTAATCGAGCGCGAGCGCAGTGAATGAAGCAACGCGAACCTCGTGGTGATGATCGCGCGGTCGCGGCTGCCAAATGACGCATTTGAGCTGCATTAGCGCGTGCAGCTAGCGTCAGACTCGGATCTAACCGAGAGATTTCGGTACGGCCGCGAACGGCCCGCTGGGACTCGACTGCACAAGGGATCAGGTACATTATTGAACGAGAAGATGGAGTAAATCTCTGGATAACGCAATAACCGCAGCCCGACCCCTCGATCTCAATCACGAACTGAGATATTTCGAATCGCACGGCTTCCGCATCTTCAGCGGACTTTCATGTCCTCCTCAATTGCAGCAATCTCCTTGTCCACATTCGACCCCGTAATAGCAGAAATAGCACKCAAACCAATTTTAGCCAGGAACAGTCCCGTCTTATCTGGCATCCACGTCTCGGAACACACGAACTTCTTCCCGCCTAGCACGCCCTCGACAGTCAGCTCAAAGGCTTCCTGCAGACTCTCGTCAGCGCGTATGACGCCTTTGAGCTCAATCTTCTGAATGTCCACGACAGCGTCGAGTGCCGCGCTCACAAACTCCTTAATGGCGGTGTATGCCGTCTGCTCAAACTTCTGGAAGGCCTCCAGAGCATGCTTAGCCGCGATTAAAGCGATATTGTTGTCCCGAGCAATCTTTACGGCTTGCTGGAGGACGGACGTTCCAAGTTGACTAGCCGCCTTCTTGACGCGCTCTCCTTCCAATTGCAAGACTTCGCATCGATCATTCTTTTCCTTCTCGTATCGTTTGCAATTCTCATTCGTCTGAGCAGCGAACTCATCGCACTTCCTCTCCAGATTCGCGAAGCTGAAATCTCCTTCTTGTATGGCTTCTTGAAGCTTCTGGAAAGCAAGTTGTGCCTCGGTGATGGCCAACCTCAGAGCTGATGAGACTTGATCCGCGATAGTCGACAGATATCGCTCGGCGCTTTCCATGAGATCCTTCAAACGTCTGAATGGTTCGGTCGTCATGATCGCTTGGACTCCTATGAGAGTTCCTTCTGCCAATAGCAGACCAAGTCTGGCAACCGCCCATGTGTTATTCACAATGCCAAGTTGCAGGTGCTACAATTCACGCGTCAGTTGTATGCCGATAATACCAGAATACAGGCGGAATCATACCAAGTCTGGCCGGAAGAATGAATCACGGATCCGCTGTTCCRATTCTCGCATAAGATCTTTCAAGCGATCCACTTCTCCTATCCAACTTGTCAGTGTTGTCTCCTCGACCACCGTTTAGTCGATACGCACTTTGAGMATAGTACACCTTCTCGCTCGCCTCCCTCAGCGACCGTTCTGCATTTCCAAACTGAGAGAAAAAGTCACCCCGTTTGACATCTCGATCGCGTTGAGCAGTGAGTATGCGGGTGTCCTTATCTTGCTGCTTATAACGGGTGTTTGCGTCTGCATCCCGATACTTTGCGTTCACCTTCTCGATGTTATCTGCTCGGGTTTTCTCCCCCTGCGCCAAGTCAGACGCCCGTTTGGCATTGGCATCTCTTATCAAGCGCTCATTGTTCGACACAGTTTCGGCCAGATCTCGTCTGGCGGCTGCAAGTTGTACCTCCAACTGGTCGATTTCTCGCTGTGTCTTTTCCAGCTCGGCCTGAAGTTCTGCTTCAGCCGCAGCGCATCTGCGATCGTAAATCTCTTGCTCCTTGTTGACTGCATCGATTGCTTTCCCAATACCTTCTTTCATTGCTTTGTGGGTCCTTTCTATGGCGGCCAGGATGGCCACTTTGACCTGAGCGAGGATTGATTGCTCCACGAGAACGTACACTTCCCAGTCGTGCTTACTAGGGTGCTCTTCCATTTCCTTGCCAGAAACAAGTGACTTCCCGTCTGGCCGCTTCTTGGCAGTCACCATCTCGGCGTGGACTTTGATGATCAATCCAGCACTCCAGATGAGCTCGAAATCGAAGACGAATTTCGGCGTCGGCATGTACTGGATATCGATGAAAACCGAGCAATATATACCAAAGACTTCAATTCCTCCAGTCAGGAAGAAGCTTTGCTTGATGGCATTGAGATAGACTTCCATCAAAACGTCCGGATCTTCCGGGCGCGCACCTTTGACCTTCAAGGGCCCCAGCTCAAAGCCTTTGATTCGAGTCAAAAGATAAAAGCCGGAAGATAGTGAGAACTCTGCCTGCAATGTAGCCTCAAAGTCCCAGAGCTTGATCATGCCCTTGAAGCGGATGCCAGCCGGATAGAATTCGTCGATCCAGGTACATCCTTTGCTGACATAGACATCCAGACCGTGAAGACTGACCGCTTTGAAGTCGGGTACAGGTAAGGGCTCGTCAACTATGGCACCGATGAAATTCGCGAGTTGCTTCAGGCCCATCGTACGTGGCCCCTGAATGTTGATCAGCGTATCGACTGGATTGGCGCCTAATCTCAGCTGGATCTTGTATCGATCTTCAACGACTTTCAAGTCTGCTCCTAGTCCAAAACTGTTGATGGCTCCGGAAGCAACGAAAAGTGCCCAAGTGACATCTACCGAACCTTGAAGCGAATAGAGCACGAATTTATCGCTCAAGCCGAGCGGCCCCTTGAGACCATCAGCAGCGTCCATTTTGCTATACAAATGTTAGTCCTCCTGTYGTCGAAAGAAACTCTCGTCAAGAAGAAAACTTACAGCTCGAGTGATCCAGTCAAAGCATCGGCGCCGATCGCGAGAACGAACTTGATGGGCTTCTTGGTCTCGTCCTCCATTCGCATGTAGAGCTCGCCATAGAATTTGGCAATGGGCTTATTAGCAGGGTCGATGTCCAGGTATATACCACCAGTGTAGAATCTGTCACCAAACTCAATCTGTGCACCCGTCAGTATCTATTAGAGCGAAACATGTTAATAGTATAAGTACCCGAAATGAAGGAGGAAGAAACACCGTGATCTTCGGTATCTTCACACCTGCCTCATAACCGATACGAAGATATGCTCGATCGGTCGCAACAGTCTTCTTCACAGCCTTACTCTCGCCATCCTTCCCTTCGAGCAGGGGCACTCGATCCAAAGTAGCACAGACGTAGAATCCTTCAAATGTCAGCTTAATTCTGGAACAAAATTCTGGAATGATTCCACACCTTTCTTCAATGGGAACCGTGTTATCTCTGCAGGGACGTAAGGATTATCGGCATTGGTACCAAGGATCGTAAGGTCAGACAGCCGGGCATTCAAAAAACCACCTTCGTCGATGGCATCACCACACAAATCTCTCAGTGAGACGGTAGATCGTGCCTTGCCAGCAAGCACGACTTCCAAGGACTTGCCTGGARATTTGGCTAATGAAAGTGATACCGTGAATTTGAACTTTGGCTCAACGGTAGGGTCTGAAGAGCCGTGATTGCCATAGTCAACGATGACAACACCATTGACCTTGAGACCGAAGTACCACGAGACTTCTTTCTTGCCGGCTGGTTCGATAGTAGCAGGCTGGGAAGTCCCTTCGGTCTTGGTAGCAGCCTGCTTGGCGGGAACGGCAGTCAGTTTGTGATTCCGCTTTGCTTCATCCAGAGAGCTCTCTCCAGCGGTCGCGGGAACAGTTGGACCGCTAGCTTGTGGTAAAGTGGTGGTGCTTTCAGTACCTTTAGGTACTTCGACTTGTGCCTCAGTCTTGCTGGGATCTTCGCTGAGGGGGTCCTTGCCATCCTTCGATCGTCTGGCGATGGTCAAGTCCAGCTTTGCTTCTTTGATAACGACAGAGCTGTCAGGTACCCGGAATTCGGTAGCAGATCCTGAGATGAAAAGACCACTCTTGGATATGACAATGGCAGCATCGAAACTGCCCCCTTCAACAGTCACTTTACCATAGAGTGTGAACAACCCGGTTTGAGTGATGCGCAACTGCAGAGTATCAAGCTCGAACCGACCCTCAGGGGCTGGTGGAGTGTTGCCGTGAAGCTTCTCTGCGATTGCGGCGAGATCTTTCCACGTTGGAGATGATAGAACTGCCTCGAGATAGGATACTTCTACGACGTTATTAGCATGGTGCAGTCAAGCATTCTGTTCACTTACTTTGAGTTTGTCCTGCGGAGTAGACGGCCCCGGCAACAAACAACCTCTTGTTGTTGCCAAACGCCCAGCTGGCCTTAATTTTGCATTCAAGGCCCTCATCAAGAGCGGCTTTGTCAGCTTTATCCTTGAAGACCTTATCGGCTGACTTGGTTGGTATGTTCGCTTCTATAACAACATCATCAAGCTGAAGGATGGTCAGTCTACGATTGGGCTCAAAAAAAAAAAAATAGGGGTCTTCTTACATTAAAGTCCTCCACGCCGAAAGCGTCCCTCCATGATTTACCATGTGACAGCACCATCCGTAAACGAATACTTTCGTCTACGAACGTCGCGGTGTACTGAAGTTGTAAAGGTTTGACTCGGCCCACATGAATGTGGAACAGGATGTTGCCGAAGACTTCAGCACTGAAGCTGCTGTTGCCTTGTTTATGAGTCGTGGCAGTCATAGGATCTTTCTCCTTAGTCACAGGTCCGGATGGATTGGTCAGTGCAGCAGCTCCAACACCAGAAAGAGTCTTAGGATCTGTCAGGCTAACCATTGTCGTCGAATTCTTGGAGGACGGGTCAGAAGTACTTGGTGGTGTAGAAGAGGTCGTCTGAGTCTGCGGTGTACTTGATGTCGCCGTGATTGGCGGTGCTGTCTCATTATCAATCACGATTCGAACACCAGCCGTGATAATCTCAATCAGAACAAATCCAGGAGGGTAGCATAGCTTCAAACCAGCGATACAGCCGGTGAGGACAAGCTTATCCATATGAACTGGTGCGTTTGGCTCGAGAGTGAATCCCAGGAACGCACTGAGGCGGAGTCTGATATAAGACTCTGACAGGAACATCTTGAAAAATCCAAGGGGTCCGTCGAGCAAACCGCCGAGTATCACGTCGGTGGTGAAGTACAGGCCGGGGTCCATGCCGACCCTTTCAATCGGATAGTAAGACATCTTGCAGTTCTCCAAGGCCAAATCTTTGAAGGCACCACTCTCGAACGAAGGAAAGAAATCCATTAGCTCCGCTCGGTCGAAGATTTCAATCTCTTGAATGTCATCTTTACCAGGCGTCACACCGAATGTGTCTCCAAAGAGGGCATTGTGAAAGTACTCATCGATCTCTTCTTCCAAACTCCAGTCGTTTTGGGAGAAAAGTTGCTGAATAGAGCACGCATCGTGGACATTGGGTGCCACGACCTGGATTGTCATGTTTGCTCCTTAAGAATTTGGATGAAGGAACAAATGGGAGTATGCGACAGAGCAAAATATAAGATGCGGATTACATTACTAGGGATCAATAAAGCCCCTCGAAAGGTCTCGGACGAGAGATACTCGTCTGCAGGCCCGCATGCGCTGGCCAGCTGAATTGCTCGTTCCACCTCAGCTCGCCTCGACGTCGGTATGCGTGGCTTGCATGGTATTTGGTCTCGAGCATTCGGTTGCATGCATAGGACACCTCATATTATGAGTTCCAGCGGCGACTCCGTGATGGCTTGTGGAAGCGAAGTGCATGTGTCCAGACAAGTCTAGTGGCCACTAGTGCGTGGTGGCTGAAAGTTGTTCGCTATGCATGCGTTGGCCTGATCCGTACTTGCAACATTTAAGTACCAAAGGAAACGATATGTTTCATTGACAGAAACATTCCAGAAAGTGAGAACCACTGACCGACGAAATCAAATACAAAATATGGATTTCGGAGACGTCGACCTCGCAGCTGAGAAACGGAAGATTTATCAGGTCAGTGTTGACTTCTATACGATACGGAACAAGTCAGGACAGATTACTGACTTACCATAGCCAGTAGTACTTGGAACAGAGTGCTACCTCCCAGACTTCGCTCTTTCAGATGAACATCGTCGGCAGAAGTCAGTGCAATGGACACAAGGCGGCGACAGATCCGACGAGTACGCCCTGGTGATGTTCGCATACCGAGCAAAGGGCAAGCAATCAACCACTGCAAATCATTCATTCTTTTCTAACGCGAGGTTCAGACAAGAAAAGTATGCTCGACGGCCGCTTGTTCATTTCAACGAAGAAGCTAGCAGAGTTTCGAAAGTTGACAACAGAATATCGGAATGAGAACAGCAAGAACAACTGGCGCTCATTTGTTGTCTCCAACGACTTCCAATACGGCCAGGTGGACGCAAAGGAGACAGGTCGTTTCTTAGTTCTGCATGACAAGAGCCAGAAGCTCTATCAGGTAGGTGGATGTCGAGGTCACGGAATGGTATCGACTGATTGTGTGTCTCTACAGCATCGTTTTGTCAATTCTCGCTGGGTAAAGGCGGGAACTCTATCTTTCGATTTACTTAATCGCGCTGGCTTTGGATCGAAAGATGGATTGGACTTTGCTGCACAGCAAAGTAAGAGTGTGGTCGGTGACTACTTGAAGAACTTTGACGGTACCGTGGTARCCGGCGGAGGTTTGGACGAATTGTTTGCGGTCTTCTCGGGGTCTAAATAGTATATAAGGCGAATGACATGCACTTACCAACCGACCACTACTGTCTCGTAATCTCAATACCACGTTTCGTTGTGATGGAAAGAGTACAAGTCGATATGGTATTTCTTCTAGCCAGAGCTGTCGATATGAAGATTATTCATCAGGATGAGGCATCCTCAGTCATGTCCATAGTGTCTCGAGGCCTCGCTCTCTAAAGGTTCGATGATTTGAAGCCTRTTAGAATCCCTGATACTAGCAGAGTGGCCGTCAATCRATCGAGAGATCAGTTCGGGGCGCTCCTCTTGTTGATGATTTCTCATATCGACAGCTCTGCTTCTAGCTAAGCTCTTACACACATATGTCAATAACTTGCACGGGATCGAAAGCGAAAAGCCGTATCAGAGCTGCGAGAAAGCACTTGTATGCCAATCCAACATGATGCTAGAAGGATGGAGTGAGGTGAATATTGAGGCATAATTCTGGCCAAGGGCAGAGGTATAGACGAAGATATAGATGGATTGTCATCTTGATGAAAGGCGAACTCCTTTGCATGATACGTAATCTGTCTACAAGAAGACCGTAGCTGATTGTTCACTTCTTGTCCATGGCGTTCAACTTGTCTCCAACCAGACCCGAAACAATCTCATTCAGCCCCTTCAGGTTGTAGTAGCCCATCTTCTCTACAGCTTCCTGAGCAAGTGTCATGTACTTCATGAGCACGCCCTGGCTGAAGCGATGCTGAAGCGTGCATTAGATTTCACATTCGAAAAACAAAACTTGTCGACTAACCTGGAAACACTCTCTGCTCTTATCGTGGTAGACGAGCCAGCGGTTCTTGCCGTCTTTGCCCTGACCGTTCACAAAGTCAAGGGTCACAGGCAGGGACAATTTCGAGTCCTTGACAGTTCCTAACTTCTTCAACTCTTCGGCTTTCTCTTCCTGGATGAAGAGGTCCTTGCCCTGCTCTCGGCCACCTGCATATGTGTGAGTTGAGGTATGGGTATACGGTCGGAAAGAGTCGACCTACTGGTGGTGTTGGTGAACGGGACCTTGTAGTACTTGGCAGTTCGCTGCTTCATAGACTGCTGCCACTTGATCTCAATGAGATCAGTCCATCCCGAAGCCGGGATCTCAATGATATCGTTGAGTTGAACGGCCATTTTGTATGATTGATCGATGAAGTAGATTGAAGTTGTCGACAAGGTTGAGAAAGTAGAATGTTTGAAGTCTGAATGCATTTGAAAAGGTATTCAGCCGACCTTATAAACCAATGGTGCTCGGCGACTCCGTATCACGCTTGGAGAGAGCACGGCTGACCATCGCTTCCACATCGATAGCAACAGATGTGGAAGTGGTAGTTGTCTCTGCCAAGCGTAGCTAACGATGGTCCGAATAACGCCAAGCGAGCGGCTTTAGCCTTGCGGGGATCTGCCCGAATCACGCCGGTCCGCTCTAGATCTCCTGACTTCTCTCTGTGCGAGACCTTCTTTGAGACTTTCGACACCTCGTACCTGCACCTCGAGCTTGAAGGTCACATCATCTCGTTCATCGTCTCAAGGTCGCTTCGGTTCCGTGGTAATGCGAATAGTCAGTGGCGTAAATCCACGGACACGCCGTCAAGCGAGATGGGCTGACTTCTAAAGTCGCACTGTTGTCCAGCAACTAGATATGGTATAGACAACACTACCCTGGCAGTCGCAGCTGTGAGGATTGGTCCATGGCGCACATCTCATGCTCGGATGCAAGTTTACAGCTCCTGTTTATATGCAAGTCTCGACCGACGGAGAAGCCGAGTCTTGACCAGCACCCTGGCTTGCACGCCGTCATCTCATTCAGCTTCTATTGAGCTGCGTGGCTTGCATGTTCATTCTAACAGCCGATAAGACGAGTTTGGAGCGAGCAGCTCGGCTGGGAATTGCACAGGGCAGCTCCACTCCGGCGGTTCGAATGGAAGTGCGTAGTATGTGAATCAACGATAGACGCTGAGGAAGAGGTCGGAGGTGCCATGGAGACACAAGCGACGAGGAGAGGATGCGAAAACACGTATAAAGTGCCAAAGGTCATGTCTCTTCTATTCTCGTGATTAGCACACTTTCACCGATCTCTTACTCTTGACCAATCTCGCCCGCAGGACTCAACGCCATGGCAACAGTAATCAAGCGTATCTTCGGCCCCAAAGATCCAAAGGCTACGGCGAAGATCTATCCGACCAGCGACCCCAAATGGCCTATATGGGGTGATATTCTCACACTACCCTTGACACCAAGCCCGCTTGATCTGATTACTGTGTCTTGGTCGGAAGACAAGTATGAAGTTTCCAAAAGGTACTATCAGATGCGTGCTTGGTACAACCGACCACCAGCAGGCACCACAGATGAGGATTTTAACAAAGCCTATGAGACGGCACGAGGTAAGGCGAACCGATTCGCATAATAGCACTCATCTCTGACGGTAACAGAGTGCAAGATCTTCGTCGCGGAGGAGTTCATTGATCCTCGTTACCGCTTCGGGCCTCCGATGGCCGATCAGCACTTGCTTAACGCCACCCGTAGTCAGATTGGGTTGAAGGGTGAACCTGAGATCTTATCCCTGGACGACGTCATGAAGGCGGATGCTGCGGCTTCTGGTGGGCTCCCCTTGTACCACAGTAAACGTTTGTTTTGGCTCGCTGACCACTCACTTCATTTCCTTGTAGACGACAGCCCAGGCCACCAGGGTTGGGCGCGGCTCACCATCGACGAGCACTTCTACTATGGCCAGTCGGCTGATGTCGAGAAACCCGATCGACGATGGCTCGTGTATCATCCTTGTCGTGAGGCTTTCCAGGTACGCAAGCATTGCTTTCGGAAGAAAGATCCACGATTGACAATGGCATGTCTGACTTCATTGAAACCATAGGGTCGATTCGTGAAAGACAGCAAACAGCGAAACTTCGAGACTGTGGCGTCGGTCCTGCCAGAGGTCAGCGCTTTTGGTTTCACGCTTGTGAAGATGGACGCGATCAAGGCCAAGGCTTTGGGCTTGCTGCTATTGAAAGCTGGAGGAGATCCATTGAGGCAATTTGTCCCACCGGAAGTCAACAAGGCGGTGCTGGCAAATAAAGATTTGGCTGCTATCAACAAGGTCAACAAGGTGCTTCCTGAGAGAGCTTCCACGCTGTACATTGAGAAATAGTTCAGGGTGCGCAGAGAGGCATTGAAAAAAAGATCCCTCGACGTGCAGTATATGAGAAGTAGAAGCAATGAAGGTGTCGTTGTATTAGACGCTTGAAACTGCTCGTCCTTGATCACATGAATGGAGCCGGCTGTGTGGGATGTGGTCAAGATGTGGTCCGCAGAGTTTGACGGCCCGCCGGATATAACCGGAGTCACAGTCACGCCTCGGTGATCGGCAGAACGTGGACTGCACCTGCCATGCTTGACGTGATGACTTTAGAAAGTGGAGCATGTGCGAACAACAAACGCGACATCTCCACCTTCATGCGATAACCCGCGCCCCATCTGCTCCATCTCAAGACCAACATGGAGTCTCTACCCGCCCGGCAGCCGGCTCAGCGCCGCTCGTCGCCCGCTCCCACTGAATCGGCGGCAACATCAGCACAATCGCAGTCCACATCGCCCATCCGTTCGCGTTCCGAAGACTCRCAAACCATTTTCATTCAAAAAGAAGAAGAGGAAGTCCAAGAGCCAGAGCAGATGGAACAACCATCGCCAATCATATCAGCATCTCCACAAGAACAACAACACCGCCAACCCCAAGAGCAACAAGAGATTCCCAAATGCTGGATCTGCCTCCTCGATGCCAGCGAAGATACTCCTCAATCGACCCCGTGGCGAAATCCCTGTCCCTGTGCTCTCGTCGCTCACGAAGCTTGTCTTCTCGACTGGATTGCCGATATCGAAGCGCCCACCAACAAAGCTACCWCCAAACCCAAGATCCTCTGTCCACAATGCAAGTCCCCCATCCAACTGTCCAGACCTCACGACATTTTGGTCAGTGCCTTTCAGGCYGCAGAACGAGGTATTGCCTACACGTTCCCCAAAGCCGCATTACTCGCACTGGGAGGGGTCATATATGGAGCCTGCGCAGCAGGCGGGATACATACCATCTACGCAGTGTTCGGGCCAGAAGAAGGGAGGAAAATATTGGAACCCGTAGCACGAAATGCTGTTCGTGCGCCTGTGGACGCTTTTGTGGGAAGACCAAGGGAGGCCCTGAATAAGATACTGGGAACTGTGATGGAGCATTTGGTGCATTGGAGATTATACGTTGGCTTACCGCTTATCACGCCCACATTGATCCTGAGTCGGACTAGTTTGGCGGACGGACTGCTGCCGATACTGCCGGTGCTGTTCTTCGTTACGCAGAAGGGTGTGGAGGGAGGGGAGCTATTGCAGTGGCCGCCCAGCGCAGAGTTTGCGTTTGCGGTGCTGCCGTATGTCAGAGGGCTGTACAACGCTTGGTATAAGAAGGTTTGGGAGGACAGGAAGAAAGGCTGGTTAGAGGAGTTGCAGCMTAGAATCCTGGCAGAAAATGAAGAAACACAAGAGGCGGCTGCAGATGGGGAGAATGTGCAGCCCGAAGCGCCGGAGAGAGCGGAAGAGGAGGAAAATCTTGTGGAAATCCGTATAGATGGCGGCTTCTTCGACGATGTCCATGACGACGAGGCACCTGTTATTGAAGGKGGCGATAATGAAGCACAAGACCAAGAAGCTGAACGACAAGCTGCCAGACTACGCGAAGCTGGACTCCCAGCAGAAGAGCTGTTAGAAGCAGCTGCCGCCGCCGCAGCTGCTGCCCCACAAGTCCCCGACAATCGCCCTCCAAGAGCAGCAGGAAATGCAAACCTTGCACCCCGTCAACGCGAACTCTTGTCATTCTCTCCTACAGGTATTGCACAGACCGTCCTCGGAGCGATGGTATTCCCAACTCTCGCCGGTCTGGCCGGAGAGAGTCTCAAACTGATTCTGCCGAGGAGTTGGTTAGGTGGGAAGGGAGGTCAGAGGACATTCTTACAAGCTAAGTGGGCGCGGACGTTGGTTGGAGGTTGCCTATTGGTGCTGGGAAAGGATGCGCTTGTGTTGTATGTTCGGTGGAGGATGGCGAGGATGCAGCGGGAGCGGAGGGTGCTCGATTTCGCGGGGAAAAGGAGGGTTGGAGGGTGATCCTGGCTAGGGTGACGGATTTTGAGAGAACACCATGATTGATTATTTGGCGTGCAGCGAATTAGCGGGTGCATTACTCTACTTCCTTGGTATGATGAATGGAAAGGTTGAAATACGGACAGAACAAGCTTCTCTGACGCACTACGGATGGGATGATCATGGCTCAATGACTGTGGTTTGTAGTCTGCTGATAATGTAGTCTGATGATCCTGATGCCCAGATGAACGATCCTCACGGGGTAGAAGTCGTAACCATTAACGCCAAGAAAACGCCCCTTGAACCAACCACTCGAGAGTTCTCTTATCCATTTGCACTCTCTCCTGCCTCGACATCTCTCATACCCCGAGAAACCTGCCTATATGCATAGTTCTCGACACAGCTCATGGGATGTTCTTCTTATTCCGAGTCGTCTTCACTCATCCACTCCATTAATCCAACGTCGAGATATAAATCGCGAAGCCGTCCTTCACGAATTCCTCGCTCCAGGTCTGCTCTCCTATAGCGATTCTACTTCTATACCTCTAGACTGATCTCTGCTAGTAAAGCTACATTCGGGATTCTTGAAAAAAGATCCGTCGGGTAGGCGATTCTTACTCAAATCATTCTCGCAAGCGAAAAGTCTCGAAACCGCCTTTCAAATTGTCGGCGAATTTCTCTACCAATTTATGTTCTATTGCAGCTTCGCATTCCTGTAATCGCAGCTCGGAGTTAACGGTCTCTTTCCAACCGCCATAGAGAGCGACCTTGAAGAAGCTTGAATTCGCGCACAGCAAAGCCTTGGCTACACGAATTGGCGGCTGGTCGGCAATCTCTTCTAAGACTATGATAAAGTCGTGTCTTGGCTGACGTCGCTAGGGCAGTAGGCCAGTAAAGCGATCGTGGTCGAGATTGGACCTAAGAGATCGGACCTAATACTAATGCCGTGATCTGGGCTGGAGTACATTCAAAATACGAGATATATCTACGGTTTACGCACGAGATATCATAGCAGTCGCGAGTAATATTCATCAGAGAATGGTTCTGTATCAGTTTAGTGAATAGACGATCAACGGAAATTGGATTGCTCCAGGCTTTATAGAAATCATTCACTGAATTATTCAACTAGGTCTTGGCTAGCCTTGGCTAGCCTTGGCGACGGCAAATTGAAGTATAGGCGATTCCTGCACTATTCAAAAACAGACATCCTCCTCGACGGGCCTTCATTTAGAGGCAAGTGGATTCGGTGGGCTTCTTCAGTGAATAGTATCTAGTGAATTTGAGTTGAAATGATTGGAGGCTGTATAACTGACACCCATTGTGACGACGCAGAATGCGACACGAGGAGAGCCGGAGCAGAACGGGCCGTAACGACCCGTTCTCAGGGGCTTGGCAGGAGGCCACCCCATTTCGTAGCAAGTTAGCTATCCTTCTCTCCCTATCGAATCGAGTAGTATTCAGTCAGCGGATAGCTCAGCCTACGAACTCATAACCTACAGTTACACCCATTGATAAGGATTAATAGGTTATTCGCGACCTCTCTGCGCGCAACGCAATGTGTTCCGGCTAGTGGTGCTCGATCGAGGCTGCTCAAGATCTTGCGACTTGAGGTAGTTGAAGCAATTTTCGTGGAGGACTGTGTCGCGTTGGTAGCATGCTCTAATTGGCATACTATCCATGAAGTTGGTGTAGATGCCGTATACTCATATTGCTTGAGGAAGCTGCTGAAGAAGAATTCTGGATCCAGAGTTCTGCTATCCTAGGCACACTGCTGGAAGGCTTTGAGCGTGGCCTAATGCACCGTCAAGCTTTGTAGCCGCTTCTCCACTCCGTCAGGGCTCCTATCGTGCAGATCCATTCGAATGTACCTCGAGTATTGACCCGACTACCACAGTCGTCATAAGCCGTCGCCGAGAGCATGCAAAGCGCAAGGTGTGAGACCCAAGATCTTGCCATCCAAATCCAATTAACAAAACTCCAAACTCCAAGCTAAATCCAAAATCCAAACTCCACACCGAACCGACTCAGTCTCTCTCTCTTCTCCGTCCTCGAACCTCCAACGCCCTGCCGTACAGGAACGCCACTTCCGGACGAATGCTATCATCTCGAATAATCGCCAGATCATCCAGATTCGACGCCACATTCACGTCGAGAGGGTGATTGACACCGTCAATGGGCGCATGCGTGCGAACCATCTCCATCTCCTGCAACACCGCAACGCCTCTCGCACCATCTTCATACGCCCGCTGAATGTCCTCCAAGACCGAGAACCGGCGCTTGACATTGCGCATCACCTCCACGGCAGTTGGGCAATTAATCATCCAGCCCACGTCGCGCGCCATTTCCACCGCAACGTACTTTGTCGCAAAGACGGCGGCTTCTTTGCTGTATCCTGCGGCTTCGGCTGCTGTATGAAGGGCCTTTTCGGTGAATCTCGAACTACATGCCATCAAGTATTAGCATGTAAGGCTGTGAGCAATGGATTCAGAGGCGCGTACATCAACTTCTGCATCACACTTGGTCCATCATCAATCATGAAGTCGCCCTCGCTAGACTCCGCGCGACGTCGAGTGCGCATCTCGACAAGTTCGAAATCGTCGTGTGGGCCGTTGTCGGGATCGATGTACTTCTTGGTAGAGTTACGGGACTCCCAATGGGCGAGGCGGTTGAAGTCTTGGCCGTCGATGGTGTTGAGAAGCTTCTTGTAGAACTTCCCGGCGGACTTCTTGAGGTATTCGCTGGTCATGATTGCGATGATGAGGAGGAGTGCTTGGAAGAAGGAAATCGAGACTAAGCAGAGTGGCTGTCAGCGGGATGTTCGATTGAATGAGGTTGTGCTGTCCATTCCTGGACCAGGTTCCGTGATGGAAAATGGCGATGTCGATGGAAATTCGATGTTGTGGTGCTGATGAAGTTGCAGGTGGGAAAGGAAGAGCTCGAAAGGGACCAAGATGAGGTCATTAAGAGTTTGGGATACGCGAGCGGCCGCTCCCAGGAAGTGGGATACCATGAAGTGCCCGCGCGCGCCTTGGAAGGACCACGTAACTCATCGAGAGATTGAGCCAATCAAATGTGCCGTTACTGAGATGTGTCGTGATTGAGAAAAATGGAGCATGATCTGCAGATCGTGCATATTCATTCACTCACATCGGCGCTATCCCAAGCTCGTCTGCCGATCTTGCGCCAACAGAACTACCATGATCAAAACGCTGCGCCTCATTTCGTGAGGGTCTCGCAGCTACTTTCGTTGGTGGGTGCATCATATGGAACCCGAAATGCGATGTTAAGCTCCTATGTGGCGTGCGACGAGATTTGAGACGACAATGAGGCAGTTCTGTAATTGACATTCAACGTATTCTTGCATCCAAGTCCTCGGGCTGTCTGCATCCATTGCCGCCGAGGGGTATCTGTAGTAGTAGGAGATATTCGCAACTCACAGCTGACCTGCCATGCCGAGCTGTATTAACTGTGCCACCCTAAGCGCACATGACTCCATTCTCAACGTCCAACTTGTTCCATCGCCGCCCCGGCACACGATGGCGCGCCTACAACTGTCACGCTCCCTCCTAATCGGTAGGCACAATCACTGACGGTAAACGCGGCCCTTCAAGTCCAAACTAGCATGATATGCTGTGRCAGCAGTATCATTCTACGATACTGGCTTCGCATCACTACTCGCCTGGCCACTGTCTTCCGCATGCGAACGTGCTCCAGCATAAGGATCACCACCTGGGTATGCACGCTCCTGCGCTGCCGCTGCTTGAAGTTGACTGATTCCATCGTGTTGAACTGGATCCTCACCGGCAACGACAGGCGCCGGCGGTGGCCTCCGCTGCTCCATGTCGTGGTGCTGTTCCATCTCGTGCCGCTGCTCCATTTCGCGTCGAAGCTGCTGCTCCGCGGCGTAGGTGCCGTCTGCGCCAGCGCCCGGTGGATGCGGAACGGCGTGAAGGTTGATGTGGGATGGAGCGGGTGGGAAGTCGGACTGATTCTCCAGCAGGCGAGATTGCAGATTCAGAATGTACTCGCGAAGCTGGTAGTTCTCGTTTTGCAACGCCTTGTAGTTTTGCTCCAGATTGCCAAAGTCCTTGACTTGCTCTTCGAGCTTCTTGATGTATCCTTCCTTACGCTGACGGAATGCACGCTGTGCTTTGTTTAGCAACGATCTGGACAGTTCAGACGAGGACATGACATACCTGCGCAGCCCGGTTCTGTGCAGCTCGCTTGCTAGTAGAAAGTTCCCTCTTCCCCTTCTGAGTATTAGGACTCATGCCATCATCCATCTGCTCATCGCTCGCCATAGCATATGGCATTTGCTGGCCGGTCACACTCGGGTCAAGATGGTGGTGTTGCGCGCGGGGGCTGCCTTCAGATGGTGGGTATGGATGCTGCGGGTGCTGCTCGTGGTGCGGCTCATGCTGAGGGTGTGGAGCTGCAGCGGGGGGATACGGTGGAGGAGCAGAGCCAGATGTGCTCTGGGAAGCGAGTGCTTCGCGAAGACTCATCTCGAGGCCTCCCTGCTCGGCCGTGCGCTGCATGTTGGCGGTAGTGCGGATTGTGACGAAATCGCGTCTTTGCTAAGCTGCAGATGGCGCTCCTCTTTGCAGAAGGTGTCGTAGGAAAGCAGTTGGCTACGCGWTCAACTTGACGCACTCGACTGGCATGCGCCGCGAAGGATCTACGAGCACGATCCGATGCGACGACGGCAGTTCCGTGTGCGCGTTGCGGTCGTCGGTGTTGTCGGCGAAGGGACGGGAGTTGCTGATGCTGGCGGCAATGTCAGCTCACGTCGAGAGGATGCAGGCGCCATGTTGGGAGCGCTTTGTCGTGGACGTGATGATGTTTCCATCGTCTCGCATTGACGTACCTTGTCTTGATCTTGATGAYTGTATACTCTGAAGTTGAGCGAGCGCGGTGACTAAGAGATTACGAAGAAAGTGATGGCGCTGGTGACTCCGAAAGACCTTGAGCCCGCGAAGCTGGCTGGGACGTGCACTTGCCGGGCTTGCCGCCGTTGCCCCGCTTTCTGAACCTTCCCGTCCTACCCTTGGACGTCGCTTCCAACTTCTGGTCAACAGGTGAGTGAATGGCGATGAGGACCAACGTGTCTCGGGAGCCTTTCTGCACAGAGGAGAGCCCGACAAGGCCGTAGACATGTGCGGGAAAGGGGAGCTACTTGTGGATGGATCTCGCTTTGAACCCAAACCATCGGACCGCTTACAATTGGACTGATTACAAATATCACCAGGAGATGATGTGCGCCGCTACCTACAGCGTTTGGCAAGCGGTCSTCGGCTGACTGGATCTTTTGGATGTCTGGACGCAGTTCTCGGCAAGCGTACGCCTTCAGCCCAGTTTACTCGCAGTGCCCGTCGCCCTGATCAGAGCCATGTTCGCGGTGGCTAGTTTGCTGCAACAACAGCATGCAAAGCTGTCCCAGAAATGAATTCCCCAGAGAGGCGAGGAATGCGACACCCAGGATTATACCTCGATCAGAAGACAGGCTGCCACCAGACTTTGAGACCAGAATGAGCCTGACTTATTCATGGTACAAGAAGAGCTTCAGGACTGTCTCACATCACGCGGGATTCTGTGGCTCCTGGTGATATCTCATTCGAGTTTCGGGCTCCAGCATCAAGACTGACTGCAGAATACTTTCTGCAGCGTCCATTTGCCCTCGGGTCCAATCCACATTTGGACACCCCATCATGTCTGGGAAGTCTGATTGATGGTGCCAAGAAGGGTATTAGAGCAGTATGAACACCAGAAGGTCCTGCTCATCCCCAACCATTCAATCGGAATCGCTGTAGAATCAAGCGTCGAGCTCAAACGCTGCGAACAATACTATTTCTACCTGCTCAACTCCCAGCCAGTCATATCGCCTGCAGGTTACCGGCGAATGGCTGGAGCGCTTGGACCAAGACGCCCTCGAGTTGAGCTCTCCCCAGCTTAAGGTAATGTCAACCATGTTTGCTGACTGGTGTGCTCCGCGGACTACAACAACGGTCTGTATGGCAGCGGCATTCGTCCTCAGTGGCTTTTCCATGCATCTATTCAAATGCTCGTTACAGCAGATAGCATACCACAGATCGAGGAGCGGTGAACGCGATCCGGCAAAGGAGACCCTCTCCTGGTCCCAGCGCAAGCTAAGTGAATGGACACGACGATGCGAACGATCAAAAATGGGGCGCACCACCCGCAACAGCAGAAGCGCTGCTGACGGCGGCGGTGGCAGCGGCGGCGACGCTTGAGGAGTGAAGCTAGGCTGCCAATTTCTACTCATGACAACTTGTCGCGCCAGCTTTCACCGCTTGAACCTCCTCCTCAGAACAACTTTCCACTCCTAGCATCTTACCAGTCGCGACTACGTACAAGAAACGCTTGAGCAACACAACAACGTCACCGCATTGTTTGTCCCGCAACTCTTTTCGATTGCGAATATGACGAAGAACAACACTGTCACCGTCCCATCCGCGAAGCTTTCTCCTACGATTCCAAGGTTGGTCTCCACGGCTCCGAACGAGTGGCCTCGCTAACATGTTTCTAGACACAATGGCGAGATTGTATACCTTCTGGTAGGGAACAATGTCTTGAATGCTGTCACATTGTACGAGAAGCTGCTGAAGAGCGACTCGCCTGTTCTTCGCGAAGCACTGAAGCTTGCTCACGAGGAGCGTCGGAATGCACTTGCAGTAAGGTTATTGGGCTCCAAGTTGAACCTGACAATATCGCTTCCCAACGATGACCACCACATTGTCCAACGCTGGGCCACCTGGCACAATGACCACCGCGCCGCCCTTGATGAGGAAGATCAGAACCTGCTGTCGAGAATGTTCCTTTTCGGAGAGAGCATAGGAGGCGTCGACTTCTGTCAGGCAATTTTGAAGAGAATGGCCGCTCGGGCGAAGTCCGGCTGCATCTCGGATGCCGAGACCGTCTTTATGGTGTACGAACGAACCGCCGCCGGCTCTCTGATCCGGCAATTCTTGGTGGATGCGTGGGTAGCGAGGGCCCCATCGTCCTGGCTGGAGAATACCGGAGACGGGGTGAGGCATCAAGAATTCAATCAGCAACTCATTTTAGCCCTCGCGCGGAGATGTCGTGGACTCTCCCGCTGGCGAGATTGGTTGCTGGGCTTGTCGTCGCTCCTGATCTGTTTTTTGTTCGTGCAGCTTTGCCTACATTGGACTGGTCTAGGACGCATTCCCCCATGGCCCGTCAGAACTATCTCAGTGCAGCCCGAAGAAGTCGCCTCGCTGTGGTCTCGTATTTTTCCGCGATGATCTCGCGACTGCGGAGCTGTTGGCCGTTTTGGACTACAGCATTCCGAAAAAGAAAAAGAAGAAAGATTCAGCAACATCGACGACTTCATATAAACCCAACGACTATGGCCTTGACGCTTGGCGGTGAGAATCACGCTAGTGATGTGAGCATTGAAAGAACGAATCACGGCCAGGTTTTAGAGACTGCCTCTCAAAATTGTGCTTGATCAAGCTCAGCCATGTCAACATCAAGGTTCTTGAGCAAGAAAAGCCACGCGTAGAATGATGTAAGTTTCTACAGGGAGCGTTTCGACGGCGGGATCGATAATTGCTGGCTTCTAGCCTTGGAATCAGGTGGCGGAAAAGTTTGGGGGAGTGTGAAAGTACACCAAGTCTATATTTCGTCTCGGTAAGTCATGAATGCGGTCCTACCTGTATGAATACTCGCAGCACTCTCAAGTCTAGTCCCTCCTTCTTATCCTTCGTCCATGATCTGGCGACGCTGAACATTGATGAGGAGTATGGAATAGGTCCCCAAGTCTGATCAATGCGAGCCAAGGATCTTGTAGTGCTCGACAGGTCTTCGTGGTCCTGGCGGCGATGCATCACCGTGCGGTGCTGAATCGGTGTTGAAGTGAGGTGGGCTTTCATATGCAACCCATTCACTCAGCAGAGCGACTAGCTCTTCATGCAGCGACAAAACCTTAAATTTCTACCGCGACAATAGCATCACTTTTCTTACACTTCACTAATGTTCAACTGGACAACATCCATCCATCCTCTCCAACATGTCCAAGAAGCGCAATTTCCAGCTTGGCCCTGGCGACGACGTGCTCGACGCCGATCCTCCTGCCAACAGAGTGCCATCTCCACCTGAGGATGTCTCTGTCATGCGCGCCACCAAAAAATCGAAGACTGCAGCTGCACCATCCTTGTCCCCCAAGAAACTCAGCCTTGAGAGACTAAAGTACGTGACAGATTTCCGCACCACACACTATTGCTGCTAACACTTCTCCAAGATTCACCGGAAAAATGGTCACAGTCCAAGTTGGCATGGACGGGGAGCTGCCTTTCTTAGTGCACGAGCCGATCATTAAACCAGACTCCGACTTCTTCAGATTGGTCCTGGACACAAAATGGAGAGAAGGTCAGGAGCTTCTAGTAAAGCTCCCGGAAGATTGCGTCCACATCTTCGCAACCTACGTTGAGTGGCTCTACAACAAAGAAGTCACCGCTGCCCATTACCACATGCTAGCAAGAATGTATGTCCTGGGAGAGAAGATTCAAAGTTCAGGATTCTGCAACGCCGTCATGGAAAACATGATCAAACGATCCAGAGCACGGTGTCCGGTGCCCATCGATATGATCAGAGTAATCTACGACGGTACCATGACCGCTGCTCCGGTGCGGACGTTTGTGGTGGATACATGGATGTCATTAGGCAGTACGGTGCGGTTGACGGAGGAGCCCGATGGAACGCAGCCCCATCCGGAGTTTGTGATGGATCTCGCCATGGCTCTTCTTCGTGAGCATAACGATGGAAAGCGCAAGACGTGCGAGGAGAAGGTGACGTGGTTTAAGTGAAGTCTATGTGAAGGGTGGTCTTCCAAGGCTCAGAGGATTTGGATCTTAGGAGGCAAGACTTGGACTCCGATTGATGTGCAGCCACAAGGCTCACTGCAGTCATGGCCAGATCACACATGAGCGGATCTCGGAGTGTCGGGCTGGTCCCTAGTAACAGCACTCTGCAGCTCATGCTTCGAGGTTTGGAGCCAGAGAACATGGGAATGGACGGCGAGGATTTAGATATCTTGTGCTATACAAAGCACGCTTGAATCATCAGTTCTAGGTTAGAGAAGCCTCAATACTGCAGCATCATCCTATCATTCCTCCGTGAATCCATCTGCATCATCCCTCTCTGCCTCACAGCCTCCGCCAACTGTCTCGCACCCAAGAATTCCAACAACGTCGCAAGGCTCGTCAACTTCCTCGCTCTCGAGCTCTCTCGACCATACATATCATTCGAGTACCGAGTATTCCCAGCCGGTAATCCATARTCCGCAAGAATTTGCTCAATGGAATGCTCACTCATCGACATCAAGTCAACCAGCGGTCTAGGCATGGAGAATCCCGAGGGAAAGCCACCATCGTTGCACATTATCGGATGGACCACGGCGTGCTGAGATATGTGATATTGTGAACTGTTTTGTAGAGCGGCTTCTTGATTGGTCCTAGAACATGTAAGCGAAGATCAGAGAATGTATAGTGATGATTGTGTACCTTTGAATGATGTCTCCTCCGAGATGTCTCGGGTCGCGACCATGTGTATACATATCACTTTCGTACGGAGATCCTTGTTCGTATGCCATACCATAGGCATGACTAGCTCGACCGTACTCTGATTGCCGCGCAGGTGAGTAGATGGAGCGAGGAATGCGTGGGTCTTTTGATCGACTGGTTCCATATGCTGGAGCAACGCTAGGACCAGAGCGAAAAGTAGCATCGTCCATGTATCGAAATGCGCTTCGGGAGATTTGGTATGCCATGACTTTGTCTGTCGAATTGGAGCAAGAGAGATTTACTTACAGGATGTGAGCAGAAGCGGGCCTGTTTTTGTAAGAATTGAACTGCGGCTTGTGTAGCTTCAATTGGTACGACTATCATTATCAGTAATTTTGACCGCTATCGGAGCTTCCTGTTCCTGGCATGCCATCACGCGTCAGATCTCAAGTGTGACGTTCTGTCAACATTGGACTGCATGGTCGTAGAGATCAAGCGAGCTGAGCCATTCAACAATCCGACTTCCTCCATCGGCTACAGGTAGCCGCTCTCCGACGCCGGGGGTGTAACGTCAATCGCCGGAGGCCTCCGGATTTAAGGCGGTGGATTTGAGAGGGTGTACAGAAGGAATTTCATCTCTGTGTGCGCAGGCATACACAAGTTTATTTCGAGCTGGGGAGGGTTACTCGTCTGTTGGACCTGATGCTGTGGAAGTTCGCTTTGATCCGTTCTGGAATGAGAAGCTTGACTGAATCGTCTTCTTCTCGTTGTTTGTCCTCGGGTTTCGTAGCAGATACAAATTCGACCAAATGATGCGGAGAAATCAGGCCGTAAGCAGAATGGCTCCACAGACCACGAGTCTGCCTCTTTGTCAGGCGAGTGATCGGAAAAGGCAACCACGTGCGACTATTCTCGGTCTGCGCATGTTTCGGGTTTCTCGGTCCAGTGAATTCCCCAGAAGCCCGCACGATGAGATTTGATACTCACCAAGTCGCCCATCGCATTGGTCATACGGTCGATTTCATCTCATTTCGTCCTGTGATTTGGAGAGATCCCGGAAAGTGACATGGCTGGAGCTGCGACGCCGCCCAGTCGAGAAGGTTTCCTGGCCAGTATTCAAATCGATTTGTGGCAGCGATTGGGTCCCAATAGGCAGACTGATCTGACGTCTATGGCCAGTCGGACGTGTCGTTAGGCTTGGCGCTCTAGGCCGCGCTCGACYGCGAGCTCGACCGCCAATAATTGGTATGTCGTAAGTCGCAAATCGCCAGATGTACAGCAAAAGATCGTAGAATAGGATCAGAAGCCATGGGCCGATGATCAAGAGGGCGAAGAACAGCTAGCTGACCATCAGTTTTCGTGATCGCGTTGTTGCACATCCACCCAACTTACGAAAACYCTCGCGACCCAAGTTTCCAGTACCAGGAAAGACGCCGGGAGGATGGAGAACATGCCCATTGTGCGTGCAGTGTTGTTGGTTGAACGACGAGGATGATGATGACCGGGAGGCCTCTTGTGGTTGGAGGCCTCAACCAGCAATCATTCTTCTTGTTGGCAGATCGAGATGCAGTTGAGATTCATGACAACAGGGATGATCAATCGGGTGACGCGGCAAGAGCGGGAAGAGCCGCTGCTCCGGGAAGCTCTCCGACATAACGTGTGTAAGGTAGAAGTGGTGACACTCGGCAGTCGTTAGCGTTGGCTTGGCGCCCCCCCTCAGATTACTACCAACATGTCTACGGCTATATAGCTATAACTATACTTCGTAAAAATATTCTAAGACGAGGGGATTAAAGAGCGTATACTATATACTAACCGCTRGTATTATAATATGTTAATAATAGTTAGTATTAATAGTAAAGTAGCGAAGTAGCTAAGGTTAAAATCTTACTTTTTAAACTTCGTTAACTTCGTAAGTTAAGTCGATTATAATACTTAGAACTAGCTCCTTATTTACTATACTTAATTATTCTTATCGCTACTAAGCCCTAAGCGTACTATCCGTATTACCTAGTACTTAATTAAGCCCCTTACCGTCCGTATCCTCGTCCGACGTTACTATATCCTCCTATTACTAATCTTACGTATAGAGCTATACTAGCCGGTTAACTCTTCGTAGTAGTAGTAGTAGTAGTAGTAGCTCCTACGTAGGCTCGTTAAGGTATAGATTAAGGTAGCGGATATCGACCTTACTATCGCTATTACTACTAGCCTTATTAAGTTAGTTATCTATTTGCTTATTAAGCTCTTTATTTAGTTCGTCGTCTACGTTATCTATAGCTAGCTATTTAATTATAGTAAGAGCTACTATATAATTAAGCTCTATAAGTTATTTAATTACTATATCGTTAAGATAGTTAGTACGTACGTGTATTACCTCTAATATAGATAGCTTATCGTCTAAATTACTCGTCTTTATAACTATAGTTTGCTATACTTTATAAGCCTCTCGTATAGCCTACTTAGCGGCCTTCTACCTTACTAGATCTATATTAATTCGCTTAGTTATTCGAATAATAGCTATAATAGGCACGTTACGGCCTTAGTATTATAGGATAATGTCCTCTTAAAATAAATCTAGTAAGTCGTCGTAAATAGCGTCCTTTTAACGGCTCTTACTCTTAGCCTATTTAACCTCTATATTTAATTTAATACGCTCTAAACGAGTAAGGGCTTAACGAGCCTATATAAGTTTCGTACATTATTTCTTAATAGCCGTTAAACTAACGATTTTATCCTTTAACTGCTTTATAAGTACTAAGAGCGTCTCTTTTACTGTTTTATCTAGCTTTAATTATAGTAGGTAGTCTATTAAGAATAACTAGCCCTTAGTAACTTTCTTATTCGCTCTACGCTTAATTTACTTCGTATTAGCTCTACGGAGGGCGTTGTTTTTAGCGAGGAGTAGGTTATAGGTATTAAGTAGTATATAGATAGTAGAAAGTGTCTTTTTATAGCGCTTAAAGGACCGTACTAGTAACGTATTAAACTCGCTCTTAATTAGGTCTAATTTTAAAGCCGTGCGCTTAAGGCGGTTAGTAGTAAGTAGTATATATAGATTAGAGCTTAATAACCGTAGAGGCGTCCGTAGAGGTATTACTATCGCTTAGCGAGGTATTATTATTACCGCTTAGTAAGGTGTTGCTATCGCTTAGTAAGGTAACTCTAGTACGAAAAATAAGCCTAATAGAGCTACTTTAATTAGCTGCTATCGCTATACCGGCGGAGGTATAATATTACGAGTAAGTATCTTCGGTAGCCTATTAAGAATAGTAGTAGCGTTTAGAGGCGATACTCTAGTTACTCTAAAAGCGGACTTAATATTATAGCTATTAAATACGCTTACTCTAAGGCTAGTATATACTTTAATAAAGTCCTCTTTCGTTACTACGCTAAGGCTCTTACTAGCTATACGAAGGAGGATTTTAGAGCTATAAACTGCTTTTAGAGGGCTAAAGATACTAATATCTAGTATCTAGAGTAGGTACGTAGAATAGCTTAGTAGGCAAATTAAGAGAATATTATTAGCTAGTACGTACTTAATAAACTCTACATCCTTATAAGTTAAATAGCCGTCTATAATAAGGAGCTACTAGTAGCCTAGTATAGAAGGTAGATACTAAATATTATAGTATTAGAGCTAAGCTAATCTATTCTCTTTACTGTTAGAAAGTGCAGTTATAGAATAGCTGTATATCTAACATAATAGAGAGCTAAGTAGCTATAAGGTTATATAACTCTATATAGTGTTAAATATTAGTCGGAGGTTCGCAGATTTTTAGGGGTGGAGTATAAGAGTATCTTAATCTTTAACTAGCTTACTATCTCCGATAGGCAGTACTTA